TCTCCATTCCATTCCTCTCCATTCCATTCCTCTCCATTCCATTCCTCTCCATTCCTCTCCATTCCTCTCCATTCCATTCCTCTCCATTCCATTCCTCTCCATTCCATTCCTCTCCATTCCTCTCCATTCCTCTCCATTCCTCCTCCTCTCCATTCCAGCAGTTTATTGAAGCAGTGATTATTAATAATTGGAATGATACAACCTTTAATTAATCAAAATAAATAAATGAATTTAAATATTATGATTCAATTAATTGGAATGAGATTAAAACTACTTTATATAATATCGATATAGTTTCCTATTTATTGTTTTTTATCTTTTAATCTCATTCCAATTAATTTTTTTTTGAGGTTGAGACGAGTGAACCGCACACAACCCTTCATAGTTTTAATATTATTTTTATTTTATCATATATGGAACTAATAGAGACAGACATTGATACAGAGACAGAAAGTATCACTTCTGCAACAGGAACCTCGAGTACATCCTCTTCATCCTCTTCAGTGTGGAATCACTATGTTAAAATAGTCACCGAAACAAAGAAAGAAGATGTAGAGTCGACTAAAGCATTGAGAGAATTGGGAAAGAAGAACAAAGATGGTTCATACACTTTGACGATGGCCAATTGCAATCGCTGCGATATTTCATACAATATTTCAAAGGGTGCAAGTACATCTAATTTATGGGGTCACATCCAATATGACCACCAATATTGATCAATTTAAATCATTCTTGGGATAATTGCATCGCCACCATTTCGATTTCTGACGCGTCGGTTGTTACAACAAATAACAAATCTTAATTCATGTTTGTAGGAACTCCTCTATGGTTTGTTTTATTGGCCCTCAGAGATCGATCATTTAGGTAAAAATGCTACAGCACCTCGCTCCTGGTCCATCGCTGGTGATCGGCGTTTTAAATTAATGTCTAGTCCCAACAAGATTAAAAGTATACTCAATGTGACTAGACATTGATTTAAAACGTCGATCAAGTCGATTGGTTCTTTATGTAATTGTATGTTGTATATGGTATTTTATTTATTTATATTTCATTTTGTTTTGTTTATATATATATAGATCTAGATAATAATTTAAAATATGTATATGTGAACAAATTATATATATTTGGTTGAAACAAACAATAGAATTCTATGCATTCAAAGGAGATGAAGATGGAGCTCTACCAATATGTGGTGAAGGTGGAGAAGTAGAGGTTGCAGTCTTTTGTTTTCTCTTATTGTACAATATCTTGGCGACGGCACCAATAGCCACTGCCCCAACAACTGGCCCAACAACAGCACCAGCGATAACACCTGCATTGGGATTTGATTGATCGCCAACTGTTTTCTCGGGCGCTGGAAGGAACTGGACAGTGATAGAGTCTCTAGTGGCATGTGCGACAAATGGAAGTGGATCCGAGTCGGTTGGTTTCAACTTTCCATCCAAAGGAACAAGTTTTACCTTTTGGTAGTCTACCGTTTCATTTCCAAGCAATCTTTTAACATCAAACTCTAAAACAGTATAGTTTTTAAACAATACAATTGAATTTACAAAATAACCAATTACCAATGTTCCATTAAAATGTCCATTTTCAAATCCATTTAATTTGACTAAGAGAGACGATACATTAATTAATAAAGTTAGTTTAAATAATTTTGTTTTTTTTTATGATTACTTACAAGTTGAAGTAGTATTGGAATCAATGAATTGATATAAAGTTAGATTAAAACAATTAATATTTTGTACACAATTGATTGAAAAGTTTGAATAACTGACAAGTGAACCAATTGGAGCATCAATGATTGTTTTGGTAGAGTTTATATCAATGATACCATTACCTACAATAGTTGAATCCTTTTCAAAATACAATGATGAAATATTTCCACCAAGTCCATTTGAAAGAATAATAGTAGAGTTTGAAATGACTAGAGAATCATCATTTGTTTGATTGACTGAATTTGAAAATTCTAATCTATTTGAAAATTCAAATATTGAATTTTTAATTATTACTTTTAATTCCTTAAAAATAAATCAGGCAGGTTAATTATTATTATTATTTCTTTTTAAAAGAATTCTTATATTTTAAACTTACAATTTGAATAATTTTATGAATAGTAAAGAATTGAATATTTTCAATGGTTGCATTAAAGAATGTTATCATTGTTGAATTTTCATTTTCTCCCTAACAAAGATAAAAAGAAAATATTAATATTTTTAATATTAATTAATTATAATTTTTTTTAGTTTTATACAAACATGTAATATGGTTAATTTATCAATTTGATTATTTGAACCAATCATTGAACCACCAAAATAAGCAATTGAACAATTATTGATTAGATTGTTTTTTTCAATACCTGTGTAGATTGGGAATTTAACAGCAGAGGATGCATTCAATGTACTATTTGAGAGAGAAATATTAACGAATTGAATATATTGAACCAAATTCAAAGTTGCATTTGACACTATAGTAAAAGATGGGTATCCAGTCATTGAGTAGTATGGAGTTAAATTGAACCCATCATCATTTCTAAAAATAACACCATTCTTTCCTTTTAATTTGATCGGTGGATAGATGGGTCGATTATCTGTATTTCTCTTGTTGAAAATAATCACTGTATCATCCTAAAAAAAATAGAAAAAAAAATAGAAAAAGTATTTGGTTTTAGTTGATATATCTTTTTTTTTTTTTATCTACATACATTTAAATTAAAAAATATGTCTGGATGATGAGAAACAACAGGATCGTTTAGTTCAAGTATAGATTTACCATAGAGATTGACTGTAAATGGTACTTTTGTATTGACCGGGTTTCCTTCTATAAAGAAAGTAGAATCAAAGATATCCAAAGGAAAGGGGTTGTTTATCGTTACATTATTAAATATAATTTTTGAATTATTTGATATAATCATTTCCGGACTATTGCTGTAACCTTTGTTTGTGATGGTAAAGGTAATAGTATGATTCAAATGAATTTCACCATGGTTAACTTTAAATGAAACAAATGTTAAATTTGATTGATATAATAATGCTTTGGATCCAGTTTCAAGAGTTGTATTGATCGTTTCAATCATTGAATTTTGACAATCAATAATTGAATTATTCTAAAAAAAAAAGAAAAAGGTTAAACAAAAAAAATGTAAACATTTTGATTTATATTTTGATTCTTTTTTTTGATACATACGATATAATAACTAGTTTTATTATTCCAAAGATAAGAATTATTATATAATCCTATATATGATTCATTAAAATGCTTTAAAAAAAAAAAAGATTAGTTAAATAAAAAAATAAAATGAAAAATGATCTTTTTTTTTTTAATTTTTAAACATACAATATATTCAATCCAATAACGAATATCATTTTGATAAATGTCATGTTGTTTTAATAGATGATAAACAACGGTATCACCATTGGCACAAAATTTGATTTGATAATGTTCACATAAATAGGTCATCAAAAAGAGCATTCTTTTATGTTTCGATGGTGTACAGAAAAATGATACATTGCTCATTCTATGTTCAAGAGAATAAAGTCTCATTGGTACAACAGAATCTAAAAATAAAATAAAATAAAATAAAATAAATAAATAAATAATCTTTTTTCTATTTTCTACTATCATACCAATATTATAAACTACATTTGTATAATTTGAATAAGTCATTGTCATATCCAATTGAGTGGGACGATCAGGGATACCATCCCAAGAAATGGTAGAATTGATAAATTGATAATACGGATGGTAAATGACAAAATAATAATATGGCCATGGTCCAGTCACATTGGGAAAACAATGAAAGTCAAAACAAGTATAATGTATAGTATAGTTTACATTTACAAATTTAAATATAGTATCATCTCTAGAAAAAATAAATAGAAAAGAAAATGAATTAAAAGAGGTAGGTTGTTTGGTTTGTTTGATTGTTTTAATTACCTAAAACTCATTGGCATAAGGGAAAACTGTGCATTATTTTTATGTGATTCGTTAAAGGTATTCCAGACATAGAAACATTTAGTCACCCAATTTAATTGTACCATAAAATCAGTGTTGTTTACATATTTTTTAGGTGCATTGGGGAGATAAGTTGGACCCATAGTAATTTGATATTCCATTGCTTGGATTGGGGAATTGGAAATGTGACATAGTAGAAATATAAATATCCCTAAAACTATTAATATTATCTTTGACATTCTTTTTAATTTTTTTTTAAAAGAAAAAGAAATAGAGATAATTAAAAAAGAGATAGAGAGATGATTGTTGGTGTGATTCTTTAAAAATGATTTTAGAATGATGTTTGTGTGTGTCTCTCGAGGTAGGATGTTGAAATTTATTTATTTATATTTACGGAATGAAAGATGTTTTGTGGTTTGAGGTAGGGTAGGGTAGGATAACCCTAACCCAAATTTGCGTGTCTACAAAGCGAATGAAAGTGATCCCCCATCATGGTTTGATCCTCTTTAAAACAGTTCTCCCTCCTTCATCATCATAAATCATAACTGAGATCCTACCCTAACCACATTCAACCATCCAACACTTTACCCCACTTTGTGTCTCTTTAATCTCGGACAGCAAAGGGTAGGGTATTGTTGGGTTTTCAAAATATTAAAAAGAAACATGTGGGGGTTTGTTGCAATGATTGATTGTGATGATGATGGTGATTCCAACCCACCGCTTTGGAAAAAGATTATCTGTTTTGTTGTGAAGGACAAAAATAAAAATAAATTTCAAATAACATCGATCAAACAGAAGAAAACGAGACGACTTACGAGGGGAGATATTGTTTTATCTTTATTCTATCTTTGGGAGTTTTGTCATTACAAGATCCGGATCGTTTCGTTTCATCACTGCAATGAAAGAAGAATGTTTTATTGATATCCCAATTCAATACCAGTATCCAATTTTACCGACGGGATGTGAAGTTACATCATTATCAATGTTGTTACAATCAATCGAAATCAACAATAATGACAATAATGATCAACCATCATCTTCACCATTTACAAAAGAATCATTGGCAAAGATTGTATTCAAAGAAAGTGATCCTCATATGGTAAACCAACAATTGATTGGAGGTAATCCCTACAGATCATTTATAGGTGAACCAACATCAAAAGAATCGTTTGGCATGTTTCATCAACCTTTGGCTCAACTATTAGATAAAATGTTGGTAGATTATCTCGATAGAATAAATGGACAATACAAAGTTGTAGATCTTACAAACAACACTCATAAACATCATCTACAAGACAATGAATCAAAATCAACCATTGAATCAAGATTAAATTATTTTGAAGAAACAAATGATCAAGATGACTCCGATGTTGATGTTTTAGAGGAATTTCTATCAAATCAACAACATGCAATTGTTATTTGGATGACATTGGAATTGAGACAACCAAGAGTAACAGATACATGGCAAGATGAGAAAATAATAACAAATCAAATTCATTGGGTGTCACCTGAACATTGTGCATTATTAGTAGGGTATACATCAAAACATTATATAATTAATGATCCACATACAGGCAAAGTAGAACATTATGATAAAGAATTATTTAAAAAAAGATGGCGTCAATTAGGTAGACAAGCAATCTCTATAATAAATAAATAAATAAAAAATAATTATTATTTCTTTTGTTTTTAAAAAATTATATAATTTTAATATATATATTGATTATTATTATTATTATTATTAATATAGTTGGTATGTGTTATTATTATTATTATGTTTTGTTTTTTTTTTTTTTTTAATCATTTCTTTTCTTATTTAAAAAAGCTCTTGGTTCAGTTAATGATTGTCCATTTTTCATCTTTTCAAGTTCCAAACCGATATTCATGAATGAGGTCAACATGAGATTCAATTCTCTTTGAGAGGATTCCTTGCCTTCACGTAACTGTCTGACAAGTTGGTCGATACGATCATCCTTTTGTTTGATGGTAGCTTCGAGCTTGGAGATGTGATCTTCCTTTTCTGTGATTTGAATGTCCTTGCTTTGGTTATCCTTATTTTTCTCTCTGAGATCTTTGATCATCTTTCTGGCGGCTCTGAGGTAACCTTCCAAACGTTCCTTTTCCGTAGTCAATTCGTTGACTTGGTTGATCAACTCTTGAGCATTGACATTGGAGGAAGTATTTGATTTGGCAAACACCTCTACCAATTGTTTCTTAAGTTCATCGTTTTGGTTGGCTGAATCTTCCAACGATTGATTCTTTAATCCAAGTTGTGTAGTCAAATCTGCCAATTGTTGTTTAAGTTTTTCAATTTCAACCAAATGTTCCTTATTGTCAACAACTGTAACAGTAGTAGAGGTAGTGGTTGATGGTGAAGAGGAAGATTGAGTTGCCTTTAAAATTACTATTTGATTTAATAAATCTTCTTTGATTGTATTTGCTTCTTCCAATTGATTTTCCAATTCAGGTACCTTTTCAATGGATTCTTTGAGACGTTTATTTTCTCTTTCCAATCTAAACAATCTTTCCTTGGTTGACGAATCCATGATTTGATCAAAACCGCCACCACCACCTCCAGAAGAACTTTCCTCCAAAAGCTTAGAGTCCTTGTCATGCTCCAAGTCTTGTAATTTTTTACGTTGACCTTCCAATTGAGAGGTGAGTGATTGTTGATCCAATTCATATTGTGAAACGGTCGAAGCGAGCTTGTCACGTTCCTCGGTGATGGATTTGATTGAAAGCTCCATCTTTGTATTTTCAATCTTGAGCGACAAAATTTGTTGTTTGGTTTGTTCCATTTGTGATTTATATGATACACTCTTTTTTAATTGCTCTTCCAAGTCTAATATTTGTTGTAGATAATTGTCATTGTTGTCTTCCAATGTTCGAATTTGCTTTTTCAACTCATTAATCTCTTCAATCTTGTGTTGGAATTTTTTTAATTTCTCTTCTGTTGCTTCTGCTGTAATTGCCTTTTCTCTTAAAATATCAATTTCATCTCTTAATTCTCTATTTTCATTAATTTGTCTTATTCCTTCTTCAATCTAAAAGAAAATAGAGTAAATTAATAAAAATATTTCTTTTTTTTGTTTTCTTTTCTTTTTCTTTACCTTTTTCTTTAAATCATAAATATATTTATCTTTATCTTCAATTTGTAATTGTAAATTATGTATTTCTTCTTTAATTCTATGATCAGTCATAACATTCATTGAAGCTTGTGCTTTATGATCTGCCAGTAGTTTTTGAGATTCGACTAGGGTTTGTTGAAGGTTGGTACAGAGTTCAACAAGATTCTCCTTTTCCAATAATAAACTCTTCTTTTCTGCCTCTAATTGAGTCAGTCCTATACTCATCTCTTCGATTTCATCCTTGTTTCTAACCTTTTCTTTTTCCAATTGTTCAATTTGATGTTGAAACATTGTAACTCTTTCATCTGTTAATAATATTTCTTCCTTGTTTGTTGATTTTGTTTCTATATCACTATGATTACTAAAATAATTTAATTTAATCATTCAATTAATCAATCAATTATTATTAATTATTAATTATTTCTACATACTTTGAATCATCAAAAGAAGTTCTATTATCAGCAATACCCATTTGACTTTGATGTGAAGCCATAATTTCACCAATGATAACCATCATATCGTTTTGAACATCAGCATCCAAGTTCATAATGGCACCAATGTATTTCTCCTTGTCATCACATTCAACGGCAATACCAAGAATCACCTTTATAAGATTGACAATCTCTTCTTCATCATTTTTAGCAACTTGATCGGCATCTATATGGTCTACTTGATTGGTCAATGTTAATTCATTGTTATAGTATGCATCAAGTGCTGCCAACAATGTCTTTATATTGTCAGACTTTAAAACCCAATTATCTTGTGATGATATTGGTGAATCAAAATATTTTGATGATCTAGATGAAAAGAATAAGATAATATCGATGATTATTAGATATATATTGTAAAATATGTAGATATAATATATATATATATCCCATATACTATCCACTACTATACTGCTGCTTACATTTGATTTGCAATTTCATACAAAATAACACCATCTGATAAATCAGATAAAGAGTCACATGAATTTGAAAGACCTTCAAATGTATTAATCTAAATGTAATGTAAAACCAAAAGGGGGGGTATTAGAACTCTTTCTTTCTTCTATTGAGGTATCCAAGATCTAGTAGTATTATAATACTATACCCATTTGACTAAACTTTGATCAATCATTTTAAAAATACAATCGTATATAATATGTCAACTACTACTACTACTGTAAGTTATGTATTATATATATATCTATCTATCTCCTTCTTATCTGTATCCTTAATCGATTACACAAGATATATATATATATAAATAGTAATAGTGACAATGATGATAGTGGTGATATAATAACAATACCTATGTGTCGTGTGAAGGTCAAAAAAGATATTATGCCAAGTATTGAGTGACATGCTTTTGGTCAAGAATCATCTTTTTTTCATTTTTTTTTTGTTGAACTTCCCTTGGAATATTTTATTTGTATACAAAGGAGGAAAGTACAAAATAATAATAATTAAATATTTCCATCCAAACAATTAATTGTTGATATACATAATATAATAAAAGTGGACATCATGCCAAGACCTTGGAGAATAGAAGACCCTGATGATGATTTAGATAAATATATATATATTTAAAAAAAGAAAGGAAAAATAATTAAAAATAAAACTAAGTAGGTGTAGAATAGATAGAAAATAACCATATTTCATTTTTGATCAAATATATTGAATATATAATTAATTAATTAAAGAAAGAACTTTCCGAAAGTTAAGATCCAAATCCAAAATTGGATCATAAAAAAAATATAAAAAAAAAAAATAGAAAAAAAGAAGCACTGAAAGATGAGATGGTTGGGGAGCAGACAGAGACAAGCTACTGATCATCACCATTTCTTTTCATTTATTATCACAACTCAACGTCAGATTATTATTAGTCAATTCTGTAAAAGAACTCTTTATATATATTATATTTATACATCACCTCACCATCATAGTCACACACACACATATATAGAAATCGACAATGTCATTGTAAGGTTTATAGAAAGAATGAAAGATATCTCATTCATAACTGATCAGTGATTAATAATCATTCCTTTTTCTATCATCAATATACTACTACTACTATTTGTAGAAAACATAATCCTACTAATATAAATGGTATTACATCTCCAAATAATGGTTTAATATCTTCACCCATCAACAACAACAACAACAATGCAATGACTACAACTACAACTAGTAATGCATCTTTGGATCAAAATACACAACAACAACAATCAAATCAAGGAGCACATACATTGGCCAACAGTTACTTCTTTTACTATATGCCAAAGAGACCAAAGAACATGTCTGATTATTTAAGTGGTCTTAATTTAATTTCTGGTGCTATTCATACTGTAAGAAGAATAAGAATGAATGAAAGAATGAAATGAAGAAAGAATGAAAGAAGAATCAAAGAGAAAGAATTAGAAATACCTTTCTTTTCCCTTGCTTTCTCTGTTCCATTCCTTTACTTTTGGATCTATGAGATAATTAACAAAAAAATGGTTGATCACTTTAAATGTATATATAGGTAGAGGATTTTTGGTCCTATTATAGTCATATGATTAGACCAGTCGATGAATTCTCATCACTCAGCGATATTTATTTATTTAAAGAAGGGATTAGACCAGTTTGGGAAGATCCAGAAAATCAAAATGGAGGAAAATTTGTAATTAAAGTTAGAAGAAATTATACCTCTAAATGGTGGGAAGATTTGGTATGTTGAATAACTGATCAATCAATCAATCAAGAAAGATACAAACATACTTATATATCTTTTCTTTTTAATTTTTAGTTATTGGCATTTATTGGAGAACAAATTGATGGTGGAGATAGTATTAATGGAGTAGTGATTTCATTTAGATCGGCAGATAATAGCTTAATTGGTATTTGGAATAAGGATTGCAATGATTTGGAATCAAAGGAAAGAGTGGCTGCAAGTTTGAGAAATCTATACAGAATCGAAAAAGTAGACTACAAGCCACATTATTTTAGAATGACAAACAAGGAGGATATCAAAGAAGGTGGTGTTGGTGGTGGTGGCGGTGATGATCTCACCGGTAGTGCTGGATTACTAAACTCTTCCATGGAAGGTATTCCATCATCAATGATTGAAGAATTTAAACAAACTCAATCTCCAAATTCATTCAACATGTACATGCAAACCACTTCCCCACAAACTCCAAACAAAATGTAATACAGTAAAATGAAGGAATGAAGGAAAGAAGGAATGAGAACAGAGAAAGAGAGATATATGAAAATAAAGAAGAATATATTCTATAAATAACAAAAGAAAGAAAGAAAAAAAACAACCTATTCTATTCCCTTTAGAAGTACTGGAACTCTAAATATATATACAATTTGTATATATTATTATATTATTATATTATATTTAATTTTTAATCCCATTCAACTTCTTCATTTTCACTTGCTTCATCAGATTCTTCATCGTCGTCATCGTCATCATCTGAATCATCCATATCTGGGTTTAGATCCAAATCTATAGTAGCAGGTATAAGTTGTGGTTGTCTGGTTGGTGGAGTGGTAATTTGTACAATTGGTTGGAGTGTTGGTAACTGTGTCTCTGTGTTGTTGCTATTGTTGCTATCTCTTGATTGACCAAGTAGATCCTTTTCCATTGATCCTATAGGAGGTATTGTATCTAGTGTCGTCGATGATGATGCTAATAATGCCGGTGATATATTAGTGTCACCTTCTTTTGCCGATGTCGATGACATGGAAGGAGGAGTTGCCAATGGAACCACCAAATCCTTTTCAGCCAAGCCATAGAATCGTAATAGGTTGAGCGGTAATTTTTGAAATAATACAGAGGCACGCATCATCTCTTCTTGTGGTGCAGGTGGTTTATAAAGAGGTATCAATGCCAAATGTGGTTGATATCCAAACGGTGCACTAGTCGTCCCACTAATCTTGTGTGCATAACTAATCAAGTCTTCTGGATATACCTCCCTTTCATCACCCTTTGTCTTTTTAGCTCCATACTCTTCAATGTCCTCTTCCAACGTCTTTTCCAATGATTTCAGTGTCGTCGCCATCTCCATGATCACCTTGTCCTTTTCTATAATCTCTTTTTGAATGTCAACTATTTCTTTTTGATATATTAAATGTTGTTCTACTACAATACAAATAATCGAATAAAGATAAGTATGTTTTATTCATTCATTCTATATAATGATCGTAGTTTATCAATATAGTTACATTGTTTAAGTGATTTTTGATATATTTTATCAACATCTACCAATCTTTGTAGAGGTTGTTGTATTTGTAGATTTTGTTGTTGTTGTTGTTGTAACTGTTGTTGTTGTTGAGTTCCTCCTGTTATCTGGTTGAATGCTTCAAATAGAGATTTACATTTCATATGAAACTCAAATATATTGTTGGTTACTGTATCTTTGATTTGTCTTTTAAGTAATTGTTGTTGTAGTAATTGATGTTGTTGTTGTTGTTGCTGCTGCTGTTGCTGCAACTGTTGTTGTTGCTGTAATTGCAACTGCTGTTGTTGCTGTTGTTGTTGTTGTTGTCTTTTTGCTGCTTCCATTATTATTATTAGTATTATTATTATTAGTATTAGTATTTGATCATTGTCTCTACGTTTAATAAAATGAAACTTCAAACTTTAAATCTGAAGATGATCATCAGGATTTTTAATTAATTTTCAGGAGGAGTACCTATTAAACTGGATTCACTTATTTAAGAGAGATTCCTATTACTATTGCATTTTTTATTTCCATTCTATTAAATTATTATTATTATTATAAGTTATATTTTTGATCTGCTGAATTGTAAACAATCCTCTTTGTTCCATTGTTTTGGTACATTTATCTTTAAATCTTCAAGGCGCCAACTTCTTTCTCAATCATTCTTTGGTTGAGATAGGATCTCATCCTTTGGGCCCACTACATTGTCCCAATATATCGATATCAATCGAGAAATTCTTTGTAATTATCATAATGATATGTTATCATGATTTAAAAAAGTAATTTGGAAATTATCAAAATTAATATCTATACTTTGCGAAAGGATAATAATAGCCATCTATTATCTATTAGTCTAGATCATCATAGATGTATGTTAAAAAAAGGAATAATAATAATTAATTAAATTAAAGGGTGATGTGTTTTCCCGTGAAAAAAAAGATATCTTTGACCAAAATCGTCACCTCTGGGGCATGAGTGTCAGAGAAGGTCGCAAAATCCGGATTAGGAGTCTCCCGCCCGCCTTGCCCAGTTGTTTTGTAAAACAGACGAATTTCATATTTTTTCGAGAAGTTGAACCTCACTCTATCTATCTTTCTTTCTCTGTATTATTATTATTATTATTAGGAGTTTATAGCAAAAGTACATAGAGTTCTCTACTTATCCAGTGATCACATCGAGTACACTCTCTATCCTATAATATAATATTTTTTTTATCAGCAACATCTAAAAGTAAGTCTCCCTCTCTAATCACCATAAAGATAGATAGTAGCAAAAATAAAAATAATAATAATACACAAGTACCTACCTACCTACCTTCCTACCACCCTAAAAAGTGTTGACTACGAATTGTCAATCATTGTGTACAATTTACAAGAAGAAGAGAAAGAACATTGACACATTCATTCATCGTATACAAACAATCGATCGGATATGTGAACATCACCTATCCTATCCCGAATCAACAACAATACCTATTATCAACAATTTACAATTAAATATAATAGAATTGTCAACAACCAACAACACAACGCGTCGAGAGAATGAAAGATCACATGAATATTACTGTACATACATACATTCATTCTGTTCTGTTCATGGACGGATGCGGGCGTGGTGATGAACATGACAATAGATTGCAGATGGCATCAATAATAATAATAATAATAATTAAACAAATGATGGAGTGGAATAGAATACATCCATTATCCATCCCATCCAACAATTCTCATAATCTATCGAATTGAACAACACCACCAATATAGTAATAATAATTAATATTATTGATGGTAAAAGGGGTAATAATAACTTATTATCTGTAATTGTATTATATTGTCTTTGGAGTGAAGAGAGGGGATGTCGATCGCGCACACCTTCTACCTACCTACCTAGCTACACTTGGTAATTTATTGTATTTGTTATTATTGTTTTTATTCGTTTGTTTTTTGGTCAATCAATAAGTTGGATATAATTCATACATTCTACAAGCACACACACAGAGATACACACGACTACCACGACAAAAATCTACCCCCTTTCTCTCTGTCAACCACACTCCACCTCCTTCCTACTACTAGTCGCTTGCTTTCTTTTCTCCCCCTCGTCGACGTTTGTAATGTAATTGGTGAGCGTTTTGGAAGATGTGTAGGCAGGCAAGCAAGCAGTCGACTGGTATCAGTAACTCATAAAAAACGATCAGTTATTATTATTATTATTATTATCATTACCATTTTATATTTTATATATAAACTATTATTATTATTATTATACACCTACCTACCTATATTCGTCGTCCTCCTTTTTTTTATTAATATCCAAAGAGGCGAAATTAATAATAATATATTCACAGACAGTATCATTAGACGAAGAAGAAAGAATAGATAGATAAAAGATAAGATAAGATTAGTCCATCCATCTATTTGAAACAAACAAACAAACAAAACAAACAAAAATAATTCAATATTATTATATAATTAAACAATCCAGTACTATTATTTAATTGTATGTATGTAACCAAACAACAACAACAACAACAATAAGACATTGATTGGATTGATTGACAGTCGATTGATGAATTGACTCGATTGACTACAATTGGGTGTGTGGGAGGGAGGGAAGGAGGGTGAATCATCGTCATCTAAACAAACATACATATGTATTATATATTTTCAATTTTCGTTGTTGATACCAACAACAAACATATATATATATGGTCAAATCAAACCAATCAATCATACCAATAATAATTGTTGCTCCTTATTCCATGTTTTGTTTCGTTTGTTTGTTTGTTGACCCACTCACCACATCGTATTTTAATAGCCAAGCTTGGCTTCCTTTATATTGTGACCTACCACCACTACACCAACACAAATAATAATAATAATAATATTGATTGATTTATAATATTATCCAAAATTCATTTAATTTTTAAAATACAATTGTGATATCATTCACCAATCATATTTCATTCATATTTTATTGTATTATATTGTAATACTAATCACAGACTATTTTATTTAATTTGATAGGTAATAACATTGTTTAAACAACAACAACAACTATTTTAAAAAACCAATATTCATCATCATCATCATTTAATAATTAAATAATAATATCTAATCAATCATTAATTAATTAGAAGAAAAGATTAAAATGATGTCGATTCCACATAAGCATACTGCCAGAACAACAACTGGTGTAGTTCCACCAACCGAAAAAAAGAAGGGAAGTAAATTGTTTGCTTTAAAGACCGATTTCTTAAAAAATGGTAAGATCTTACATATGATTATTATTATTATTGTTATTCCCCCTATTATTATTATTATATAATTCATTCATTCCTTTTCTTTTTGATATTAATTATATACTTTGTTTTCCATTTTTATATAGATGAAGATTCAATTCAAAAAGGAATTTTAGATCATGTTGAATATACATTGGCAAGAACCAAATATAATTTTGATTCATTTTCAGCCTATCAAGGATCAGCATACAGTGTAAGAGATCGTTTGATTGAACGTTGGAACGAGACACAACAATACTACACTGAAAAGGACCCAAAGCGTGTCTACTACTTGTCGTTGGAGTTTTTGATGGGACGTTCACTCCAAAACGCCATCTATAACATGAACCTCAAGGACGAGTACCACAATGCACTTTTAGAGCTCGGTTTTGAACTCGAGGACCTCTATGACGAAGAAAAGGACGCTGCCCTTGGCAATGGTGGTCTCGGACGTTTGGCCGCCTGCTTTATGGACTCGCTTGCCACACTCAAGTACCCCGCCTGGGGATACGGTCTGCGTTACAACTATGGTATGTTTGAGCAAGGTATCTATGACGGCTACCAAACCGAGGTACCTGACTACTGGTTGGTTGCCGGAAATCCATGGGAGATTGAACGTTTGGATGTGCAGTACACCGTCCGTTTCTACGGTCACGTCACTGAACGCAAGTCGGGTGACCAAATCAAGTACGACTGGGAAGGAGGTGAGCTCGTACAAGCCATCGCCTATGACACACCCGTTCCAGGCTACCATACCACCAACACCAACAACATCCGTCTCTGGAGCTCCAAGCCACACAAAGAGTTTGATTTGGAAGCTTTCAATGGCGGTAACTATCTCAGTGCCGTTGAAGCCAAGCAACGTTCTGAAAACATTACATCTGTCCTCTACCCCAACGACAATACCTACTCGGGCAAAGAGTTGCGTCTCAAGCAACAATTCTTTTTCGTTGCAGCCACTCTCTGCGATATCATCCGTCGTTACAAAAAGAATCATCAAGGTTGGGCCGAGTTTAGCGACAAGGTTGCCATCCAACTCAACGACACTCATCCCACCATTGGTATTGTCGAGTTGTTCCGTAAACTCGTCGATGAAGAGGGTCTCGTTTGGGAGGAAGCTTGGAACATTGTCACCAAGACCTATGCCTACACCAACCACACCATTCTCCCTGAAGCCCTCGAGATGTGGCCCGTCCAACTCCTCGAAGACTTGCTTCCACGTCACATGCAACTCATCTATGGCATCAACCACCGTTTCCTCATCCAGGTCACCCAAAAGTGGCCAGGAAACATTGACAAGATGCGTAACCTCTCCATCATCCAAGAGGGTGACGAGAAGAAGGTCAGAATGGCCCATCTTGCCATCGTCGGCTCGCACTGTGTCAATGGTGTAGCTGCCATGCACTCGGACCTCGTCAAGCACCGTGTCTTCCCAGACTTTTTGGCTCTCTTCCCAACCAAGTTCCAAAACAAGACCAATGGTGTCACCCCACGTCGTTGGATCGAGCAAGCCAACCCAGGTCTCAGCTCCATCTTTACCAAGTGGCTCAAGACTGACCAATGGACCACCAACCTCGAACTCGTCAAGGATCTCAAGAATCACATCAACGATCCTGCCTTGATCGAAGAATGGAAGGCTGTCAAGCAATACAACAAGGAACGTCTTGCCGACTTTATTCACAAACATTGTGGTGTTCAAATTAATACCAATGCTCTATTTGATGTTCACATTAAAAGAATTCATGAGTACAAGAGACAATTATTAAATATTTTAGGGTAAACAAAAAAGAAACAAAAAAGAAATTGAAAAATAGAAATATTTATTTATTTATTAACCTTTTTACTTTTTTTTACTTTATTTTTAGTGTAATCTATAGATATTTATCAATTAAAAAGATGAGTCCAGAGGAAAGAAAGAATGTAGTACCAAGAGTTGTAATATTTGCAGGAAAGGCAGCTCCAGGTTACTTTATGGCCAAGAGACATATCAAGTTGATCAACTCTGTCGCTGAAGTGATCAACCGTGACAAGGAGGTTGACCAATACCTCAAGGTTGTCTTTATTGCCAACTACAATGTCTCTATTGCTCAAGTCATTGTGCCAGCATCTGACATTAACCAACAGATCAGTACCGCTGGTACTGAAGCCTCTGGTACCTCCAACATGAAGTTTACCATGAACGGTTCGTTGATTATCGGTACATTGGACGGTGCCAACGTCGAGATTGCCGAAGAGGTCGGTGAAGACAACATGTTTATCTTTGGTCTCCGTACCAGCGAGATTGACAAGGCCCGTGAAAAGATGAAAAACAAGGAAGTCGTCATTGACCCACGTCTCCAAGAAGTCTTTTTGAACATCGAGCTTGGCACCTTTGGTCCACCAGAGATCTTTAAGCCAATCCTCGACTCTCTCATTTTCAATGACTTTTACCTTACCATGCAAGATTTCCCACTCTACTTGGATGCTCAAGCTGAAGTAGACGCCCTCTGGAGACGTCAAGATGAATGGATCAGAAAATCAATCATCAATGCTTCAAGCACCTATTTCTTCTCATCGGATCGTGCCATGAATGAATATGCCGAACAAATTTGGAATATTAAACCATGTGAAGTTGAAACTACTGATAATAGAAGATATTAAAAAAAAGAAAGGAACAAAGAAGAAGAAGAAGAAGAGGAACAAAACAAAATTATCACAATCCTTTTTAGAGAAAATTTAAAAAAAAAAAAGAATTTAAAAAAAATAAATATATACACCAACCAAAACAACAACAACAATCAAATAAATTAAAAATGTATTTTTTCAAAACAATCATTACTTGTTGGTACTACTATACACTATATAAAAGTTTATTATTATTATTATTATTATTATTGATTGATTGAATATTTATGGAAAATCTGGTGTTGAAGAACCTAGGTAAACCTTAATTTCTTCTCTAGTTGATTTTACTATTCTAGCCCTTATTGTTGGTAATCCTAACCGTTTGTGAGCTTCAAATCTATGACAACCTCCAAATGCAAAGTAATAATTATTCTGTGGATCACGACCTACTATCCACTTTACATCGATTGGTGGCACGAGGTCTGGATTATCACCCTCTGTTTCTATGGTTGCCATTAAACTTTTTACTTTTGATTCATCCAATACTGATGGGATTGGTCTATGTATAACTGACATTGGAATAACTGTCTCTGATATTAATCTTGTATAAATACTCATTTTTAATTATTATTAACTATTATTATTATTATTTAAATTATTATTATTACTGATTATGATTATTTAATATTTTTGTAATTATTAACTATTATATATAATTATTATTAAAATTATTAAAATGATTTTTGATTGTATAAATATTTCTATAGTTATATATATTCTATTGTATTATATATATTTATATATGGATGAATAAGTAGGTAAATTAGATCTAGGACTAATTAAAGATTGGGATAAAAAAAAAAATCTCCTGACCTTTTTTGTTGACACGTAATCAATGAACTGAAGTCGTAGTAAAATAGTTTAAAAAATAAATAATGAGTGATTGTGATTTTTTTTTTTTTTTTAATTATTATTATTATTATTATTATATAGTTTTAATATATATCTCTATGTAATTTAGTGAAATTGAAATAACATCATTTAATTGCCTTTTCATTTATATACAGGTTGTTTTAAAACCATGGAATCTAGAGAAAAATGTGGAACGACTTTTTTTTTTTTTTTTTTTTTTTAATTCTACTCTTCGATTACTTGCCTCTGCTTCTTATTTTGGAAAGGAATGTTGGAATGAGAAACTCGAAAAATATTTTGTAGTAGTAGGTTGTTCAGACTGTTGACAACGACGATTTATTCATTTATATGAGCCACTCTTTAAAACAAACTGTCATTGCCTCCCTCCTCCCTCCCATCAATGAGGATATGATTAAGAAAAAAAAATAATTAAATTAAAATGTGCACCATTGAATCTAAGATTAAAAAGTGATGGGTGTGCATCTTTAGACATGTTTCCATTGTTTTAGCAAGTGCGTTATCTTCCTCCTCTTCCCCTCTCTTATATATATATGGGCCTTCTAACCATCACTCCTGACTAGCTACCCTTCATGATTAAAAGGAAGTACTATGGTTGTTTTAAACGTAAAAAAGATAATCAAAATGTTGGTGATCTGTAGATCAGTGTCCTGACATGGAAAACTATAGATCATCTGACAATCGTCTTTTAAATTGGAATTTTAATATCTTGGCCACAATAATATCCATCATCTCAATTGAATAAAAGATTTCTCTATCTATCTATCTATCCCACACACATAACTGTGTTGGGGTTTGTTTTTGTCATTGGCAGAGAGAGATTGGTTGTTGTGGCAGAAAGGGGGTGAAGCTATTTGTGGTTGTTGGTAGAGGAGTACCATTGTTATTCAAAAAAAAAAAAAAAAAAAACCCAAGTTGGTCTGATTTCTTTTGAGCACTGGTCAACCGCCCATGCCTTCATTGTTTTATTACTACTAGCAACGATCGACTGTTTGTTAGTTTATGTAAATAGTTGTATAATACCATCCCCTTCCCATCCATCCTACTTTTATCAACATCTGAAACTGTTTGTCAATAGATTGAAACAAACAAACTAGTCAAGGCGAGGTCATAGCACAGTATAACAAGAAGTTGATCAACTACCCACATCATCATCATCATCATCATCCTCTTTTAACTCACACATACAACGCAACACCCACATACCCACAGTAATAATCTCTAGAGAGGGGTACAATCACAATCGTTCATTCCCTTTATTTATAACACAATTGTGTTATCACCAAACATTTATTAGTATTTATATTGTAATAGTATCTATTTATCTATTTATCCTATCTATTTGTTTGTTTGTTTGTTTGTTTAAACAAATAAATTAAAACTATATATAAAGATGGAAGAAGATCCTACAACGCGTAGGACAATCTCTGAACCAAGTGAGATTAATAATACAACGGCCGATAATAATAATTCAAGTAGTCATTTACAAAGAAGTAATAGTAGTCATGCTGCAGCACCAGATGCATCTCCCTCTTCCCCTTCCTCTTCCTCCTCCTCCTCTTCCTCTTCACCCCCATCCTATTCAAATGATTCAACATCTTTAGATACAGCCTCTGCAACACCACAAACACCAGAGACTACACGAATCAATACAATGAACAATAGTAGTTCCGATCTTTCACTATCACCTCTTTGCTCACCTGCCAACTCATCACCATCGATTCAACCCAAGAAAAAGACAATCGACGACTTTGTCATTGGAAAGGTACTCGGTGAAGGTTCGTACGGTGCAGTTGTCCATGGCACAGACAGAGACACCAAAAATGAATATGCAATTAAAATACTCGAAAAGAAGCATATCATCAAAGAAAACAAAATCAAATATGTACAAATAGAAAAGGAAATCCTATGTAAAGCAAATCATCCAAATATCTGTAAACTATTCTTTACTTTTAGATCTGAAGCTTGTTTATGTAAGAAACCTAAAAAAAAACAAAACAAAACATACATATTATATATATCTATTTATATCTATTTATTTATATCTAACCTTTTGTTTTTTTAATATTTAGATTATGTATTAGAATTATGTTCACAAGGTGATTTATTACATCACATTAAACCTGTTGGTTCATTTAGTGATGAATGTACAAAGTTTTATATGGCACAGATTATTAGTGCACTCGAACATCTTCACAACCTTGGTGTCATTCATAGAGATCTTAAACCTGAAAATATCCTCTTGTCTTCAGACATGCATGTAAAGATTACCGACTTTGGTACTGGAAAAATATTAACACCCGAACAACAACAACAACAACAAAATGGAACTGATCAACAAAACACTACAAGTACTAGTGGCAGCAGCAGCAGCGGCAGCGGCATGACAAGATCAAATTCATTTGTTGGTACTGCAGAATACGTGTCGCCCGAGTTGATTAGCAACAAAGAGACATCGACAGATTCTGATTTATGGGCATTGGGATGTATCGTGTATCAGCTGAGTACTGGTAAACTGCCATTCCGAGGCAAGACAGAGTTTTTGACATTCCAAAAGGTATCGAATCGCGAGTTGGTCTATCCTACCAACCTCAACCCACTCATTCAAGATTTGATCGAGAAATTGCTCGTGCTCAAACCATCGGACCGTCTCGGTTCGAGAAGTGGTGGTGCTGGAAACGACTCGTTCAAACCACTCAAGGCACACCCCTTTTTCCAAGGTGTCGATTGGGACAATCTGCACAAGCAGACACCACCAACGATTGTTGGGCCTGCTGAACGCATTCATTTCGAAGAGACGTCTACTGGCGATCTCTCAAGCTCCATCTCCAACGCCAATGCCCTCTCTTCCTCTCAATCATCTACTCCTAGATCTGCAAACAACAATAATAACATCAACGTCTCAACACCCGAACTTGGGTCGGTCAGCGCAACCGAACAAAAGAAATGGGTACAATTCCTCAAAGATGGAGAATCTATTATTGAATGTGGTTTGGTTTGGAAAAAGAAGGGTTTCTCTATTAAAAAGCGTCAATTAATCCTCACATCGCAACCTCGTCTCATCTATGTCGATCCAAAGAAAATGGAACTCAAAGGTGAAATCCCTTGGTCACCAACCCTCAAACCAGAAACAAAATCAAATTCAAACTTTGTCATTCAAACTCCAAAGAGAAAATACATGTTGGAAGATGTTGATCATAATCCTCAAAAATGGATTGACGCAATTAATGATACTTTATCTCATTTTAAATTAGATCAATAAGAAGAAGAAAAAGAAAAAGAAGAAAATAATAATTAATAATCAATAATAATCAATAAGAATAAGAATAATAAGAATAATAAGAATAAGGGAAATCTATTCCTTAATTCATCCAGTCATTGTAACACTAATCAACTCAAAAGAAAACCAAAACAAGAAGATTTTTTTGTTTCTAAAAAAAAAAAACTAAAAACTCTCTCCTTTACTACTACAATCATAATCATTAACAATATCAAAATACCCAATAAACCTTAATTAAATTGTGTATATTTCTTTTTAAAAAAAAAAAGAAAGAAAACTAACAAAATGGTCCTTATTTGGGACGGGCAATTTTTCACGATTTATTTTGTGATTCTATTTTTTTTTGAGTTTTTTGAAAAAGTTTTGCCGAGTCGGTCAGCGAGAGTGCTCAGCGTGTGTGCCTTTGAAGAAGCCTATACAATGACAGCATTCTTCTTTTAGCTTCGTATTGAATTGATCTCACCACAATGGCCAAGTCAAAGAATCACTCAACTCATCACCAAGAGCGTAAGAACCACCGTAACGGTATTAAGAAGCCAGTCTCCAAGCCAAAGGACTCTCTTAAGCACGCTGGTGTAAGTGTCACAAAGAACAAATAGATACAGGATAGAAACAGCGATAGATAGATAACAAACGAACATAGAAAAGAGTTATACCACGGATATCTTCTTATACAATCATTCCCCCATATCCCATCCCAACACTATCATCATATCATTATATTTCAGGTTGACCCAAAGATCTTACGTAACATCCGTTTGTCCCGTAAGAACAACAAGCGTACCCCATACGTCCGTGGTGACTTGCAAGTCCAAAAGCCACACCCAACTGCTGCCCCAAAGAAGTAAACGGTTGTAATAAAGTGGAAGATATTAAATATAGCCATTCAAAGCTCAAATCGATTATTATCAGTCATTATTTAGGATTTCAACAAAAAGACAGACAAAGAGATACTATGATAGTTTAGAGAGAGAGAGACGACGAAAGAGACAATAGACACCCACCTCACAGGATATTGTTGTTTTAAAAAAGAGGTTATCGTAGTTTTATTATTATTATTATCATTTATTAGTTGTTTTGGAATTAATCTTAACTTTCTCTTTTAGATGTTTGTTTGGTTGTTAATCTTTTAGATGAAATAGTTGTGAGATAGGCAAGAAGAGTAGTGCAGAGACCGACGAGAAGGGCAATTTGCCAGAGCGAGACAAACTGATAGTATTGGATGATTTGATTCGAGAGAGCATAGACCATCATTAGAATGGTAATGACCAACTCTTTGGGACGGATGGTACTTCTGACATAGACGGGAGCACGGAGATTATTGATAAAGATCTTGCTTGGATCCTCTGCTCTTTCCATTTCCAAGTGTTCAGGTGATGATAGTATTTCATTTAATTCATCTTCTGATAGTTTACTATAATCTGTTGTATCCTTTTCAATTGTTGTTGTTGTTGTAGTTGTTGATTGATTGGTTTCCGTTTCCGTTTCATCAGTATCAAATACCAAGTTTTCAGCGACATTTAATTTTCTGGATCGGATAGACCAACAATATTCGATCATCTTCATCGTTCCAAATCCAAGTATGTTAGCACCAAAGAAATAGGCCAATGTGACAACGAAAAAGATAGAGTTGTGATTGACAGCGTCGTAGATGGCAGTTGATAGCAATGCAATGACAACGCCAATCCAGTCGATCAGGATCGATTTGACCAACCAGAAACGATCGGCCAACTTTATGTTAAATGCCAAGATACCACCGAAAAAGACAATGACGGCAGCTTGCAAAGAGAGGGTTTGTAAGGTGAAAGCGTGTGGCGTACCACCCATATACCATTCGAGATAGAGGTTGGCGTCATCACCAATGACCGATCGCAAAGATTGCAAATGTTCAGTTGGCAGATGTTTAATGACTTGTATCAATGCCTTGTAGATGAATACACCGATAAACAACCTCGACGTTGTCTTTCCAACTCCACCTACATTCCATGCAACAATAAATAAAATGACAGATGTAGTCCAAATAAAGATTGATTCATCAATCCACATCTTTGTTGCTTTATCATCTACTGCAAATATCTTTTCTACTCTTGTAGACGTAGTAGTAGTAGAAGTAGAAGTAGTTGTAGTAGCAGTAGAAGGACGGAATCTATTGAATACTAGAGCAGATGATTTATCATCACCATTTGAAAATTGTGTATACAAATACAATGCAACAATAAACAATATGATTTGAATGATTTTAAAGTGATAATATTTCATCTTTTCCTCTATCTATCTATATCTATCTTATCTATATCTACAAAAGGTGTATATATATATATATATATCTCTTTAAAGGTTTAAAATAATGATGACGATCATTGGGCTACACCAAAATTTTTTGTCATTCATTGTGTGGTGAGCTTCACCTTCAACTTCCTGTTTTGGTTCATTACAGATTTAGAAAATCTGCGCGGGTAAAAATGTAAAAAGAATACTATATAATATATTATATAAATACTAATAAGGATGGAGAGAGAGAGATGATTATTGTATCCAACAAACATGTTACTATTTTTAAATAAAAGTTAATTAAACTTTGCTCCACATTGTACTTCATTGAGTGAAATGAGGGGTCAGGTGATCACCTGTGTGAACAAAAATTATTTGATCTCTCTGCACTAATATTTATATCTATATTTATATTTATATTTATTTAATTATATTTATTATTTAATTATTTAAAAAATAGTCAAAGAAAGCAGCTGCAAAGAAAGCACCTGCAAAAAAAGCAGCAGCAACTGTAGTTACAACAATACAGTCATCAGAGACAAAATTAGTACAAGAAATATTTAAACAAAATGTTGAAGAGTTGACAAGCGACTTTTTTTATGAAAGTGATGTACACCAAGAAGAAACGTATCAGATACTACACACAGATGTTAGCTACTATCAAAATGCGGCCACAGTGATCAACATGATCGAAAAGAATAACCTTGGTTTGGAATTTCTCAAAAACACTCTACCATCCTACAACAAGAAGAATGAATACTATACCCATCCAATTCTACTCAAATTTATACCGTACAACGAAGCAATCAATCTATTTGATCGATTCGACCGAACATCAAATCAAGTGGCACGTGTCTTTATCGCTCTACAATTCTTTATCTACTTTTACTACAAAAAGGATAAGAATGTAAGACAGGTCAATGCATTTAGAGATAAATTACTCAATGATCAGTCTCAAATGGTCAAAGCATGTGGACTGTTGATGGAAAAGTATTATATCTGTGTCAAAGATAAACATGAAAAACAGTTGATCAAGGCTTTGGACATGCTAATACAAATGGGACATGTACCACTGTCAGAAAGAGAAGGCTTTATACAAAATTTCAAAAACGATGATGACTACTATTCGATGGATTACATTAACTTTTACGATGAAGAGGAATGTGAAGGTGACCCAGAAAAGTTAAAGTATATTAAACCCAAAACAAGTAAATCCATAAAGAGACAAAAGAAACTACCCGATATGATCAACCCGTACACAATGAACTTTCAACGATTGAATGGTGATACATTCAACAAGATTGTTCAAAAGATCATTGGATATACAATCAAGACCGATACATTCCTCAAACAAGATTTAATGCCAGAAACCAAATCACAGACGTGGATGGATTTGTTGGATGAACTGACAACCGTACTCTTTAGATTGGCTACGGTATCAAAGCAATTCCATTATAATGTTGGTCAGGTACTTGATAGAATCGATTGGACTAGACGATTCCCAAATAAATGTCTCAAAGGACAAATCAACTATGGTAGACCACTCTGTCTGTTTAAATCGGTCCCTACCACCATGCGTTATGATGCACTCGTCAGAACAACACCATTCCATCTATTCGACGCTGCACTTGCCAAAGCACAGTCACTCACCATCGTTGGTGATGTTGTCGAATGTAGTTTATACGGAGGAGATGATGACGAAGAAACCCAAACAAACAAAGAGGTCACTAGACGATTGTTTAGTACGTATCCAGCATATGGGTCAATGCCAAACCTCAAGAAACTAAAGGTGGTTGGTAGAGCATTCAAAACACACAAACAACAGGCACAGACTGGTGGTCAATACCTCATGTGGTACATCATCTCCAACGTTGGTTGTAAATTGGAAGAGTTTGATATCGATAGTAGAATCTCGCTCGAACAAATGGGTAATGATGTCCAGCTCGTAAAATACTTGTTCAAGCATCACAAGTCATCACTCAAGGTTGTTAGATTGAAATATGCAGTCATCAAAAAGATTAATGAAGCACGACCCATTCGAGAAATGATTGAATTCATCAACAAAACCAAATTACCATCAACCCGATTAGAGTTGTACTATGGTGATGGTTCCTATGATGAAGAAGATGGTTTTAAACTAGTTAAAAGTTTTGATGACAAGATAGATAAATTATTAAATGATGAAGATGCGATAGATTCAGATTCAGATAGTGATTATTAAACAATAATAATAACCAAACAAACAAATAAAATAAATATTATTTGTATATATATATATATATATATAATAAAGAAAAGGGTGAGGAAGATGCTGATGATGGTACTAGTATCGTATCCAACATTAAATATTTTAAATTAAAAATTAAATTTTTAATTAAATTTGAAGTTGTGAGCTTCATCACACAACTCTTCTTTTTTTATAGAATAGTATTACTATTACTAGTATTCAATTATATTTGTTCTATACATTAATATTAAATATGACAGAACCAATTAAACAAACATCAAGTACAGATATAAAGGATATAGACTTTAAGAACAATGCAATTTCATTGTACAAGGATCTATTGTCTGTACCTAGTATTGCCAATGCAGTCATTACAAACAAGGATAGTTTGGATGGTGGTGATGTCAATATCTCCATCGTAGTGTCACAGAGTGATCTAGTCAATAAAAAGGAAAAGTCATACATGTTTAACAGAATCGTCGGTGCAGATGGTCATGTACATAGTAGTCCATTCCCAATTGAATTGACCTCTTCCATTGTATCAATCTCTCCATCTGGTAGAAGGATGGTTACCATCAAAGAAATTGGTGAAACAGAGTATACTTTTGATATCGTTGATCAACACAATAGAACTGGTTTCATCAGCTCAAAAGAAGTTCATAAAAAAGTTTGTAATGATGGTATGACATACATATATATTTAAATACAAAAAAAAAGAAACAACAAACAATAATAATAATAATGTTAACATATATATTATTTGTTTTTTTTTAATATTAGAATGGTTTGGAGGTATTTCATGGTCTCCATGTGAAAGATATATTGCTTATATTGCAGAAAAAAAGGTTGATACTGCTACTTTTTATGAAAAGGAACCAAAGGATAAACTTGTTGTATGTATTTATAAATAATCAAAAAAGGAAGAATAGAATTAATATTAATGTTTTGTTGTTGTTTTAATTTTAGGGAGATCAATTCCTTTATAGAAATGATTGGGGAGAAACATATCCAACCATTTATAATCCATCCATTTATGTTGTTGATACATTAAATGAAACTGTTATTCCTATTCCATGGTCGATGGATTTGGCTTTGACTGCAGGTCAAGTTATTTGGACTCCAAATGGTGATGGTTTAGTTTTTGTTGGTTGGAAAATTAATCTTAGAAGATTTGGTATTAGAGCTTGTTTTAATAGACAGTATTGTATCATTAAAAACAAACAAACAAAACAACATATACTTAATTTTACTTACTTATTTTATTTATTTAGATCATCAATTTATTATATTGATTTCCAATCATTATTAAAAAAGAGAGAAACTTTACCAGCTGATCAAATTAAAACTATCAATTTACAACCAATTAATTTACTTGGTGGTGATAGAAAGGGATGTTTTAGATCACCAAGATTTACAGTTGATGGAAAAAAGATTGTATTCTTTGGTATTCCAGGTATTGTTTTACCACACAATACTTGCTCATTACTTTATTCTTTGGTATGGAATGTTGACCAAGTACAACAAGACAAACCCCAAAAGGTTGAAATCTTAATAGATGAAAAGAATCACAAAGATACATTCAAAGGAATTTACTGTCAATCACTTCCATCTAATCCATGGATTGATCAAAATACTTTAATCTTCCATACTCCAAACAAAGCTTGTCAAGTATGTCAACATAAAAACAAAAGCAAAATATATTATTATATTCTAATTTATTATTTATTTATTTTTATTAAATTAGGTAATTTATTCATTTAATATTATAACAAAAGAATTAAATACAATTCAAGGATTACTTGGTGGTAGTTGTACAGTTTTTGATGTTTCATTAAAAACTAAACAATTTATCTTTTCAGAATCAACTATTAATAGACCTGCTTCTTTGGTATGCAAACCTAAGAAATCAATCTACCTGTTTATATTTGTATTAATTTTAATTTTCTATTGTTTTAGTTTATAGGAAAATTAAAAGATAATGATAAATCAATTACACAATCAAATTTGGAATTTAAACAATTCTTTGAAAACAAGATAACCAATGAAAAGGTTGTTAAATTGTTGACATCTATTGATTTCTCTATCCAAGAGGTAAAGATACCAGGAGAAAAGTATGGTAGCGATATTGACAGCTTTGAAATCATCCAAGTGATGCCAAAGAACCCCAAGTCGGGCAAGTCTCCAGTCTTGTTGTATCCACATGGTGGTCCACACGTCGAGTCGGCCAACGAGTACCTCTCGACGGTGATCTTTTTGGTTGGATTGGGATATGCCATCACATTGATCAATTACCGTGGATCGACAGGTTACGGAAAAGATTTTGTCGATCTTTTACCAGGTCGTATTGGAACGGTCGATGTAGACGATTGTTTGGCAGCACTCGACCACGTCGTCGCCAAGTACCCCAATCAACTAGACATTGATCAAGCCGGTGTGATTGGTGGCAGTCATGGTGGATTCTTGAGTGGTCACTTGATTGGACAAACTCAACGCAAGATGAAGGCATGCTTTATGAGAAACCCAGTCATTGATATCCCATCAATGGCAACACTCTCTGATATCCCAGACTGGTGTTTCTTTGAGGCTGGTATCCCATTGCCAGCTGGCAAGGAGGTCTACCCCACCGTACCGACCCTCGCAGAGATTGAGATTATGCGCAAGGTATCACCTATTGCCAAGCTCGAGCACATGACCACACCCACACTCTTGGTGCTCGGTGAAGGTGATCTCAGAGTACCACCATCACAAGGTCTCCTCCTCTACAACTCTCTTCTCCAAAAGGGCACCCCCACCAAATGTCTCTCCTACCCCAAAACAGGTCACGGGCTAACCTCTATCGATGCCAAAATAGATCATTGGATTCATATCGCTTGTTGGATGCATCAATACTTATTTATTGAAAATCAACCTTTAATTTAAATTAATAAACCAACAATCATAGAGGAGTAAAGAAAGACATTAAAAAAGTAGGAGAAGCGTAATGCTGAGGTTGTTGAGACAAAAAAAAAAAACAAAAAAAATCGAAAATTGCGGTTTGCTGCACTCGTTTCTCTGTAAAACAACCTTTATATTTTATTGTATTCATTCATTTCATTTGATTTCATATATATCATATTTATTTAGAGTAGAGAAATGTCAATGTCACGTAGAATCGGTCAATACGTCCAAACCTTTGCTGCCAACAGATCAGTTGTCGGTCAACACGTCGCTATTCGTAGTGGTTTGTTCAATGGTAGCAGCTACTCTGTTGCTCCAAAGGATGCCCACCACCACGATCACGTCAACGTTGCCCCACGTTCAGCTACCACCACCTCTATCAAGACTCCATTGTTTGAAAGCAACTCATCAAAGACTTTTGAAGTTAGAACCTATTCATCTGGTAGGTTATTAAAATTAAAAAAACAAATAGATAATAGATCAACAAATCTGCAGATATACTAACTCTAACAAATCAATCAATCGATCGATCAAAATAGTCCCAGCTGCACCAACTCCAGCTTCAATGTTGACTAACCTCTGTGATAGCGAAATCAATGATTTCAAGACCTTGATTCCACAATCTGATGATGGCAAGGCCTTTTTGGAAGAATCTGGTTTCTCTGTATAGTATCAACAAAAACAAATAGCAAGTGATGTCTGTCTCTCATACTTATACATTTTTTCATTCAAATCTATATAGTTATCAAAGGATACTGAATATGCTTATTTGAAAAAGACCAATGAAGATGGATCTGAAGTTACCATTAGATTCGATTTGGTTGAACAAAATCAAGACGAACAATTTGACGACGAGGAAGGTATGGCCGATGAAGAGGAAGGAGAAAACGAAGGTGAAGAAGAAGAAGCTGAAGAAGAGGAAGAGGAAGAGGAAAAGGAAGAAGAGGAAGAAGAGGAAGCTGAAGAAGAGGAGGAAGGAGAAGATGAAGAGGAAGGTGATATGCCAACCACTCACGAACACCCATACGAAATCCAAGTCACCCGTAAGGTTGACGGAAAGGACGTCACTGTCACCTTTGGCTGTTTTGCTGCTGCCGACGGTTCCTACACCATCTCTGGATTCTATTTCGGTGGATTCAACGAACCAAACAACCCTGTTGACATTGGTGGAACTTCAAGCGACTTCCAAGACAACATCCTCCTCTTCCTCCAACAATTCGGTGTCAACGAATCATTATCCTTCTTTGTCCACGACTACGTACACAACAAAAAACTCCACGACTATGTTGACTCTTTTGAAACCCTTAAAACTTTCATTGCTGCCAAGAAGAACTAAATAAATAAATAAATATAAACAACCAAACTCTTTTTAATATAAATATATTACGTATTTAATCACTATAATATTCTTCCTCTTCATTTGTCAACTTTTCAAAGGACGAGGCCGAGTCTTTTTTAGGGCCCTCTCTCAAAACTAGTTCCCATAAAAATTAGTTTTTTGTGAACAAAAACTTTTTTTGATTAATAAAAATATTAATTTGTTTTGAAAACGATCATCATTCATCATTTTTTAAATTACATTCATTATCTATCTCTCTTTTTCTCTCTATTTATATCTATCTATCTATATATACAATAACAAATATGTCTAAAAAGGTTGAATTAAAGTTGGATGAAAGACTTATTGAATTCAAGCAAAGCTTGTATGTCAAGATGCTTGAACATCTCACTGTTACCATTCCAGCAAGAATCGAAGAATTTCAAAAGTTATCTGGTCCATACAAGGGTCAAGAAGACCTTTACAGTTTAAACAAAGATATAGACATGAAAGAAAAAAAGAGAAAGACCATGGAGATTAGTGAAATGGATAGTATACCACTTGAAGAATTGGTTAAAACAAATACTGTATGTCATATCATATCATATCATATTGTATTGCATAATCACGGCCGTTACTTACTTTTTTATATTTCAATAGACCATTTTTGAGATTCACAGAACCTTTAAGAAACATTACATTGAACTTATTGATACATTTTCAGTTATTAGATCATGGATCAATTTAAATATTCCAAAAATAGAGGATGGTAATAATGTAAGAATGAATCAATATTTGGAATAGCCATCATCATCATCATCATCATAGTGGTCATAACGTACTTGGTATTCATTCCCCCTTCCCTTCCTCTTTTTTCTTCTTCTTCTTCTTTTTTTACTATTTTATAGTTTGGTGTTGATATTCAAGAAGATGTACTTCAACAAGTATCCAAACTCGAAGAAGCTTACACCAGTTTACTTGATCAATCTGAAAATTATTTCCTAAATAGAGCCAGTACTGTCAAAAAGGCCTTGAAACATAGAGAAATTGATGCCTACAAATATGCGTAAGAAGATAAAGATTCTTATATATATATATATATTGATCTGTTGATACATTACTAATCAATCACAACTCTTTTTTTTACTTATAGTATCATCCAACAGGACGAAAAAGAGTTAATTAGATTCCATTTCTCATACTTTGATTTAGCTTCAAACTATGCTACCACTTATAGGTAATTAATTAAATATTATACAATCTTAGTTGTAGTGGTAGTAATGTTACAGGATCACTAATTAATTATCTTTTTATTTTTTTTTTAGTCTTATTATTAAAAACTTCCAAAAGGTTGAACAACCTAGACCAACTAACCAAGGAACTAATATTTATTAATAAAATATTAGTTTATATAATAGAACAATAATAATAATAATAATAATAATAATAACATCTTCACCAATTATATTGTTGTTTTAATTTTTTGATTGTGGAATGTTGTCATTAATTAAGTTCCCTTATTTTTTTTGGCATGTATTTGATATTGTTTAGGATCTGTTTGATGCCTAATAAACCAAATCAGTCAATTTACAAAGTATTGACTCGACTGTTTGTTTTTCTTGTTGGTGGCGATCATTCGATGATATCCTGTATAACAATAGTGGGATGATTTGTTCATAATGGTCTACAACTGCTTTTTCCTTGAAGTGCTGACAATTGCCACTTGTATGCAATATTTGAAATTATATAAAATCGCTCCTGGAACCACTGTACATGTTCTATTTAAATATCTATTATAATGTTGGTGCCAGTGCCACCCATCAAAATAATAATAAAAAAAGTAAGCACTAATATTGTGATCACTTCAAAGATTACACCAGTCGATTGATTGAACCTTCTCCTTTATAAATATTAATATTTTCTTATTTTATTTATTTATTTACTTTTTTTTTTATTTATTTTGTCATCATAGAAAATTTTAAAAAGAAAAGGTGTAGGATTGGTGACAATGATATCAACCATCATAGTCTGTATAAACAACATTTCAATGATGTAATAGATAATATTAAAGTTAGCGAGGTAACTTTATGATATCTCTTCCTTTTAATTATCGTTTACTTTTATCTTTTTTATTACTACTATTATCATTATTATACAATTGTTTTGATATCTCACTGATATGATTGAATATTAAATGTCTGATATATGTCACTTTGATGATACTATTGAATGTGTTGTCTATCATCATTGTGAATTAAAATATAACAAATTGAAATAATAATAATATTTCCCGATAAAAGATCTTTGTCTCTCTAACTATTTTTATTTGCATTTGGTTGGATAAACAGTATTTGGATTGTTTTTCGTTTGATCGATTTCTTGTTGAGATCTAGTGTCTTTGTGATCGATCATCCATTGCGGGAAATCAGTAGTATAGGAAAATGAATTATTCGAGTATGAAAAGGCGTGGAGATAGATTCCAAAGGCAAATAATGATTGGTCGGCCCATTCAATCTTGCAATCTGGACATTCAATACCATCAAACATAATAGGTGGACTTGAATCATTTTTCACACGAACATTTAATTTAAAGAATGCTTCATCTTCTCCACCGCCACCAGAGTCGATCTCATCGTCTTGATGATCATCCTTTTTACCCAATCCATCAATACCATCACTTGTAAGTGCTCTTGTTGAGTCGCTGCTGTTGTTGTTGCTATTGTTGTTGTTGGAAGGTTTGTTATCATTGTTGTAGAGTGGGTCGTTGAGAATGGGGTGACCGAGCCACTGCAAGTGCAGACGGATTTGATGTGTTCTTCCAGTCTTTGGAGTGGCACATACTACACTAGTGTCAGTCTCTGCGTCATACGACACAATGTTGAATACAGTGGTCGACGGTTTTCCATCGGGTGCCACCATGTTGAGTCCAAGACGATGGTTTTGTACTTTGAGAGGTTGGTCAACCACCACCTCATCGTTGCTAAACTTGCCCTTGACAAGTGCCACATATCGTTTACTGACCTCTCCCTTCATGATGGCACCTGACATTTTTTGTGCGCTTTCCGTCGATTTGGCCAAGATGAGTAGTCCCGACGTCAACCGATCCAATCGATGCACGCCAAACAGGTTGTTGAGACCGTACTCCTTGGCCAACACGTATATAAGCGAGTTGTGTCTAAAACGACCACACGGATGAACGGGAATCGAAGATGGCTTGTCGACGGCGACATACTCGTCATCGTTGGCCACGATTTTGATGGGTGCCGATGTGACGGGTGGCTCGTGTCTGTGAACACGATGCTCGATCATATCCTTTCGACCGACGCAATAGTCTACGGTCGTCTGCTGACCATTCACTCTAATCCATCCATTTTCAATCTTTTGGCGATAGATTCGTTCGGGTAGCTGACTAAACTCCTCTGTAAACATAGAGAGTAGATTACGTCCAAACCAACGTTCCTTTGCATTGACCTTGAATGTAAAACTATACGGATCGACATGTCTCAGCGGTCCTTCTATTCGATAGTTTGTCTCTGACAATACATCGACCGATAAATGATCGTTTGCCTCTCTAAATACTTTCTTTTCCTCTTTTTTGTTTTGTTTCTTTTTTCTTCTCTTTTCCAAATGTCTTGCTTTCTTTTCATCTTTTGTTAATCTATTTCTTGCATTATTGGTTGTTGTTGTAGTTGAAGTTGTAGTTGAAGTGGTAGATGTAGATGTGATTTGATTATCATCTTCTTCTTTTTCATCATCATCATTATTGATATGTACATTTTGATTATTATTATTATTATTAGTTTCGGTCGTCAATGGTGATGATGATGTTGATTCATCATCATTATTATTGACCTTATTATCATCCTTTTCATCTCTTAATCGTTTATTGTGTTCATTAAACTCTATTTTTGGTTGTTCTTCTGTTGTTGTTGTATTATCATCTTTTATTCCAATATCTGAAGAATGTTCGTTATTATTTGTTTGTGTTTGTGTCTCCATCTTTATCGATTTTACAAATGATCATTTTTTAGTTTTACTCTTTCGTTTGAATCGATCAAATAAATAATAATTTTTATTATATATATTTATTTATCTCCTCGAATACTTGGGTGAGAGAGCACACCATTCATTATCTAATCTCTTTCATTTATTGTTGTACTTTCATTTATGAAATGAAAGATATAGATAGATAGATATTTATTGAACAAATTATAAATTGCAATTTATAATTTTATAATCGGGATAGGGATGTCATTGTCATCGGGACGTTGGTTTTTACCAGGATGAAGAGAATTAGTAGTACAAATCAATCCCTCCCTTGCCGCATCAACCAATACCTACAATTGTTGGGAAATTCCTTTGTAGATTTGCTTACCCTTTTTCTTAGAGTAGGTTGTTGGATGAATCATCATCAAACTTGACGAGAGAGAGAGAGAGTTTAGAGTCAGAAATCGATGACCCAGAGTTCGCACCCCTTTTTCACCATTATTTTTGTCGACTCCGAAAGACACACATCATTATAATTATTTTTCATTCTCTGTTTATTCTTCTCTTTAAGTAATCAATTTAAAGAAAGAGAGGTAGCGTAATATAATATAGTATAAGAATGACAGCACTAACAGCAATAGCAACTATACTATCTGTACTTGGAAATATTCTGAGTACTTTATTGGCACTGTCACCAATGTATGTATGATTGTTACATAATACTATCAACCATTTATATATATATATAAACTCAAACCTATGATGATGATGATTAATATAATTACGATGATGATGTACTTATTAAATACATATTCTTTTTTAACCTTTTTAAAATCAACAAAGAAAACAATTTATTGAAATTGACAAAAAAAGAGATGTTGGTAAAATGAACATTCTACCTATTATCTTTCTATCGGCCAATTCAATGATGTGGATTATATATGGGATGGTGACCAAGAGATTAAGTATTCTTCCAGTCAACACTTTTGGTTTATTGATTACACTATACTTTGTATTTGTATTTTATGGTGCCACTCCAGACGTTTATGCTGTATGTTGAAACGAATCACAACAACAAAAACAACAACACAATTGGAAAATATTAATTTAATTTACTTATTCATCAAATCCACATCCATCTTCATCTCTTTATCTCTCTCTAATAGAGACGAAAAATAGCATTAATTTTCTTTGCATTATTTACAACACTTGTTGTATTTTCTCAATTGGTTATTATGATGGCCAAAGAAAGTGTTCAAACAACCATTCTTGGACTTACTTGTAACGTAGTATTATTTTGTTTCTTTTTCTCTCCAGTACTTGGTTTGGTAAGTCATAAATACTAATAATAATAATAATAGAAATGGAAATAGAAATGAATCATTATAATGATTAACAAATTGTTGATTTATATTTAGTATCAAGTGATAAAGAAACGAGATGTATCAACAATGAACTATCCATTAGCATTAATGTCGACAATTGCAGCGACATGTTGGACTTTTTATGGTATACTAGTTCAAGATCCTTATATCATTGTACCAAATGGAGCAGGTGCAGCCATTTCATTTACTCAATTGGTTGTTTACTTTCTCATTAAAAAGTTGGCAAGTGGATATTCGGATCATCTCAATCTACAAGGCAACTCATCACCTACATTTATAAGTGAATCTCAACATCTTGAAATGGATGAAGATACTCCTGGTGGAGAAATTTAAGTTTAAGTTCATCCTAAATCAAAAATATTAATCATATATCATCACTTCCACTCCCTCCCCCCCAACATAATATAATAGTAATAGTAATAATAATAATCATTAATGATCTTCTTATTCCTTTCATCTTTCTAACCCTAACCAACTGCGCACACATTGTATCCACATTTATATCATCTTGGATATAATTTATAAATTATTATATAAAAATTTTTAAAATATATCAATATTTTTTCTCTTTGATATATATATATTCCTAAACAACAACAACAATATTAAATAATAGTTATAATAACTATTTTTAATTTGATTGATTGATTGATTAATTTTTTTTAAAAACAAAAGTTGTATAATTTTTTTATTTTATTTTAGGAAAACATTTAAGATTTAATGTATTTTTATGTATGTATGTATATATATATCTATTTCATAATCATTTTTTATGTTATAAAATGATTTGATTGTGAAGAAAGAAAAAGAAAAGAAACCATTTCATTTTTTGTTTGGTTTGTTTTTTTTTTTTTAGAAACTAAAAGTCTACTCTTTTTTTTTGGTAGTTTTGGGGGATTTTACATAAACATGACGACGGCAGTAACACCACACATAACCATACCAACAAATGGAGAGAGGGATGAAGCGAGACCAGTGGTTTCATCGGCAGTGGTGCTTGTGAGTGATGGCTCGGTGGAAGAGGTGGTGGAAGCTCCAGCTCCAGTGGTACCAGTGGCAACTGAAGTGGTGGTGGCAGAGGCAGTGGCGGCGGTAGAGGCAGCAGCAGTGGCAGCGGAAGTGGTGGCGGCAGAGGTGGTAGCAGCGGCAGTTCCCTCGGATCCAGAACCAGAGGTGGCAGAGGCAGTTGGGGCCGGGGTTGGGAGTGGAACATCACCGGCGGTAGTGGCAGAGTTGTTAGATGGAACACCACCCTTTACCAAAAAGACATCGGCACACGAGTAGTAGACATCACCACCACCGTTACGCGAGTCAAAGACCATTTGGTAGTATGCTGGAACTGGCTTTTTAAAGTCGATTTGGTCCATGATGGTCTTGTCGAGAGCTGGGACTGGGATAGAGACTGAACCAATTTCACGGGAAATAGAGTCTTGATCAACGGTCTTTAAGGTGTAAGAGAGACCGTCAACAAACAATTGGATGGTAAAAGTGTTGGAATCATTCTTTGATGCGTATGGCTTGGCTTGGTAAATCTTGAATGTATTGGTTGCAGTTACATCAATATCCTTTCTATTGGATTCAACTGCATTTGATAATACACATGCTTCAGTATTACTACATCCTATAAAAAAAACAAAAAAAAAAATATAAATATCTTTAATTTTATTTGTTTTGTTACTATTCATTAATTACCTTTTGGAGAAGCAGGTGAACAAGCTTGTCTTGGGGTTGGTGCATAGAAACCAGCATTTCCAAGTGAAAGTTGTACCAAGACAGAGAAGAACATCAAATAAGCAAAGAGTCTAAACATTTTTAAAATTTATAATTATTATTATTGTAGAAAAGAAAAAATAGAAAATGTAGTATAGTATTAATTAATTATTATTAATATTATTATTGTTGTTGATTATTTGATTGATTTGAAAATTACAAATGGGAATGAAGAGTATTTATAATAAAAGTGTAATCATTGTGACTTTTCCAAATGTGGAAAGATTGATTCATAATTATCAGCATCATTTCCTAGACTTTTTCTTTTTTCCCTAAAATGTCTCCTCATTCTATCTACATTTCCAATCTCTTCCATATTTGTACTTTGAATTTTTATCTGTTAATTCCTATTATAGTGAGTTGTGTTTATAAACACACACAAATAATATTTGTTGTTGTTTTTTTAAAACCACCATTCCATCAACCACACTACTCTTTATACATTGATTGAATTTTTTAAAATAGACATCATCATTTTTTAAAGATTGGAAAAATCAAAATTATTATTTTTCCAACAGATCACCACTCACACACACTATAACAAACTCTTCATTTTCCATTCATTCATTATTTGTGTAATACATATGTGTTATATGTCTATAGGTGTACATTTAAATTTTGAATGTGAATTGGTAGATAGATGTGTTTTGTTTGTTTGGTTGGATATGGAATTTAAATTATCTGTTTGTCTGTCTGTCTGGTCTGTCCCAGTCGGTTAACCTATTAACCTTTACCTTTTTGTTTTAAAAAAATTATTAATTATTATTTTATGATTATTATTGTTTATAATTTATAATTTAATCTTGTTGTTCATCTTGTTCTTGTTCATCATCATCATCATAAATAACATCAACATAATCATCAAGGAAACCTCTTTGAGCTTGTTCTTGTTGTTGATTATTACCACCACCTTGACCAAATGGTAATAGGGTTCGAACAAAATGTAAGAGTGGATGATAGTCTGGATTCTCTTGAATGAGTGGTTCTTGTGGTTGTTGTTGTTGCTGTTGTTGTTGTTGTTGTCTTACTACTTGTTGTCTAACTGGTTGTCTACGATAGACTTGGAAGCCTTGACCAACTCTTCTAGGGTCAACACCTTGTGGTGGTTCAATATTGTTGAAGCCTTCTTGACGCATGACTTCAATGACATCGGGTGGCAGTCTTTGGATGACATCAGAGTACTCACTGAGGAAGAGATGGTCAAACATATTTTGATCGACCACCGAGTACTCTTTCAACACCTCGTTGATAGACTCTTCGATAATAGGATCTTTGATGGCGACTCGACCAATCACCGCCTTTACATTCTCTTTGAGCCATTCAATGACTTGTGGCGAATCCCAAAGCGTATGATTCTTTCGACATAGAGAGTTGCCAAATGTTGAATTGGTTTGAGTTGATCTTCGCTGTCGACAAAGTAGCTGTGTTCCTCCATGTTGAGTGGCTTGCTTGTCGATGGGTCAATAGACAATAAAGTTGTCTTTAACTTTTGAATCAATGGTCTCAGGAGCATTGGGAATCTGATCAAAGCTGTCTGTAACCATTTACTGCTTTCCTCGTGCTTGGCGTTGCCTGCCTTTTCAGAAAAGAATTTTGCCAATGCACTAGAATAACAAAAGTTTGGTAAAAGGTAAAGTGACTGATTGCCAATCTTTGTAACCTTTTTGTAAAAATCAACCAACCAACCATATTGTTTTGATCGAAGTGCATAATAATCTATAATTAATCTAACATATAATGGATCATTATAATCAAATGATAATAACATTTTACTAATATTAAATCATAGATTAGTAAAATATATATAAATAGTTAATTCTCTCATTTGTCTAATTACCAATATTCCAAAGCTGTTCTTGGACAACCTCTTCTACCTAAAATTTGAATATGTCTAAATATTGATAAAAATCCAGTCCTAAAAATAATAAATGGAAATTATTAATTAATTAATATTTTGAAACCCCAATATATATATATATATATATATATATATATATATATATTATCATCATTTTATATTTTGTTACTTACTTATTATCTTGAATTTTATATTCAAATCTTGAATTACCAAGTAAAGGATTAAAGTTGTGATGAAAAGAACTTTCAAATGCAAATATGGCACGTTCAACAAAATCACCGGCATGTTGGAAATCGGCAGTTTGAAGACAAACTTGACTGAGTTGAAGAAGAGAGTCAATGTGATAGGGATAGTATCTTAAAAGTTCGGCAATAGTCATTGGATCGTGAGATTGAAGAACTGTTAAAAAGTCTTGTTGTACACGACGATAATTTTCTGTCCATTTCAAACGATAATATGTAATAGCTCCTTCAACACGATCAACCTCCATTGAAAGTGGATTTAAAAGTGGTGGCCATTCTGTCTTTGGTGAAACAAATATTAAATGTTTCTTTTTTGCCAATTGTAAATTAATATTATAATATGGATTATTTTGTTGTTTACTAGTATTCTTTTCAACTTCTCTAATATCACTCTAAAAAAAAAAAAGATATAAATAAGTAAATGAGTATAATTATAATATATATATTGAAACATTGGTTGTCTGGTCTGCTGTTGTATGACATACAATTTTACAACCAAATAATTTCTTTAATTCATTTGATGGATTCATATTCTTTGGTTCAATGATAATCATATCTCTTAATCCTGTTGGATCAGATAATGATGATAAAGTAGATGTTGTAGATGTTGTAGAGGTAGATGTCGATGTCGATGATGACTTGTCATTTATAATATCAACCAATTCATCCAATTGCTTATTTAAACTATTACTATTATTCTTTTTCTTATTCTTATTCTTTGATGATGATGATGATTGTTGTTGTTGAGATTGTTGTTGTTGTTGTTTACCCTTCTTATTTTTGTTCTTATTCTTTGATGATGATTGTTGTTGCTGAGGTTGTTTAGGAGTATTGGATTGTTTTGGTTTTACCTCTACAACTTGTTCCTCTTCTTCTTCTTCTTCTTCATCTTCATCTTCTTCTTCTTGTTGTTGTTCATTATCATCTTCATCTTCTTGATCACTTAAACCCAACATTGAGAATGATGATACAACCTTTTTCTTTTGTTGTACTACAGGTGACTCTTCCTCATCACTAGTGCCATCGTCGTCACTCGAGTCTGCTGTGCTATGATTATTATTGTCCAAGAGATCATTGTCCTTTTTGACCTTTCTCATCAATCTTGACGACATCTTCTATCTGTATCTGTGTTTGTCTATCAAGCTTGATACAAAAACGAATAAAGCTCATCTTTTGAACAAACAACCTCTCTTTATCCCCTCTTATTTGGTTTTTGTTAAAAAAAACAGAAGACATGAGATTTCATTAGAAATTCCCCAACAAGACTGCTATAGTAATACATGTATTATATCATATGATATATAACTATAACTATAATACTTGTATTCATTCTAGAATAATGACCGTCATCAATATATTTGGTATTCTCAAAGATGAAAGCATCGAGAATGGAATGAATGTGGTTAAGTTTTATTCTTTGGAATACCTTGACCAGATGGACTACCATAATTAGTGGATGTGGGTGTGTGAGTGTGTGACTATTTCTGATTGGAAGGTATCAGTCAGTTTGGTGGGTGATAATGCCATCGTAGGGTATCGACCACACACAACACAGCACTCTATGATGCTGCTGCGTCACACCTGCTTTTTTATTTTATTGATTATTTTTTTTAATTTTTTTTTAAAGGCAGTGAATTTTGAAGTTGATGAATGACCTACCAACCAACCAAGCTAAATTTATATATTTGATTATTTAAATAATATTAAATAATTATTATTATTATTATTATTAAAAAGTATATATCATATATAACATACTTGTTTGTAATAAACTAACAAAACAAACTCTTTCTTTATCTCTCTATATATAATTAATCATACTTAGATGAACAAGATCATTTTATTAGCATTATTTGCTGTTATTGTTGCATGTGTTGCAGCTGATGGCAACGTGGTTGATTTGAAGCCAGACACTTTTGATAGTGTTGTCGATGGTAGCAAGTCGGTGTTTGTCAAATTCTATGCTCCATGGTGTGGTCATTGCAAGAAGATGGCTCCAGACTATGAGATCATTGCCGACACTTTTGCCGGCAGCAAGCAAGTCGTCGTTGCCAAGGTCAACTGTGACGACCACAAGGAACTCTGCTCCAAGCACGGTGTTAACGGATACCCAACCCTCAAGATGTACGCCAAGTCAACCACTGCCAAGGACTACAACGGTGGCAGATCGATCGACGAGATCATCACCTTTATCAACGGTGCCGCCGGTACCAACGTCCGTGTCAAGAAGGCTGCCTCCAACGTCATCGACTTGGATGACTCCAACTTTGAAAAGATTGCCTTGGACGAAGACAAGCACGTCTTGGTTGAGTTCTATGCTCCATGGTGTGGTCACTGCAAGAAGTTGGCTCCAGACTACGAAGTCCTTGCCAACACCTTTGCCAACGACAAGGATGTCGAAATCACCAAGGTTGACTGTGACGCCCACAAGGACCTCTGCTCCAAGTACGGTATCTCTGGTTTCCCAACCCTCAAGTGGTTCCCAAAGAACAACAAGGAAGGTGAAAAGTACGAACAAGGTCGTGAAGTCGATACCTTTATCTCTTTTATCAACAAGAATGCCGGTACTCTCCGTGTAAAGGGTGGCCGTCTCCTCGCTACCGCCGGTCGTATCGAAAAGTTGGACGAAATCGCCGCCAAGTTTGTCGACGCCACCGCCGCCGTCAAGAAGGAATTGATCGTCGCTGCCAAGAAGATCGTCGACACTTTGACCGCTGAAGTCAAGGACCAAGGCAAGCTCTACGTCAAGATCATGGAAAACATCGAAAAGGCCTCTGACTATGCCACCAAAGAAGTTGCCCGTGTCACCAAGATCCTCGCTGGTTCCGTTCCAGCCAAGAAACTCGATGACTTTTCAAAGAAGCTCAATGTCTTGGATGCTTTCTCCAAAAAGGAATAAACATCATATAGATACCTAAAAAAATAAATTAAATAATTATAATATAAACAACTAAACAAACATTTTGCAGCACTGCAGATATTTGCTTTGATTAACCAAAAAAAAAAAAAAAACTTTACTTGTTGTTTAATCAAAAGAGAGAGAAATAGAGAGATAGAAAGAGGAAGAGGAGAGAGAGCTAAGATGTATACTAATTTCACTTCAAGTAGTATGAGTATTACAGATGTATCATTAAACTATTTCCTTGTATATAATCCTAAACTTGGTTTAAAGGAGGGTACAGAACATGAAAAGATCCTCTTCTTTCATCCACAACAAAACTTTAATATAGGTATACAAACTAATATTGTTGGTTTAACTGAAGCTTATGTATTATGTACAAAGTATGTAATAGAATAGAATAGATAGATAGATAATAGATAAATATATATATAAGCTACTAATATGTATGTATGTATGATTGATTCACCTTCATCTTTTGTATTTTAGACAATTCTCACCAGATAAACCATGTGAATATATACATACAATGAAACATTCAATAGCATTATTACAACCAGAACCTGATATATGGATGGTGATAGCATTGAATAATCCATCGGGATCGGCAGATGGTGGAAAAACAGGCAAGAGAGAATACTTGGAAGATGAAATAGATGATATCCTACTACAAACCATTCTACAACAAACCTATGATCTATGGAGAATGTTTAATGGTCCGATGCAAGATATCTCTAAAAAGAGATCACTCGATATACTAAAGAAACGATTGGATACTTTTTATCGTCCCTATCTTCAATTGATCAATTTCGAACAACTAGACATCTTTACTACATTGGATGGTATTCAATTCCTTCCGACCGACAAGAACGTATTCCTAAAGATGTTGAGTATGGTCAATGGATGTGAAATTGCATTTCAATCGGCATGTCCATCATTTAGATTTGCTGCATTGTTCTTTAAAGATCATCTCATGTATGGCAACCTTTCACAACATCAAACAAGAACTCTTAATCATTATTTAATTCATCTCATCAAAGTTGGTACCGATCGTTCCTCTACCAATTCAATTATGGCTACAAATGTTGATGGTGAATTTATTTGGGGTACTAAAGGGTAAAACAAAAAATATCAAACAAACAAATTAATTAATTGATTTATTAACTCTTTTACTTTTTATTTTATTTGTCTAGACAAAAAAAGAATGGATTCTTAATTGAACCAACAAATAGTCCTATTTTACCATTGGTTTATATCGGTGATACTTGTAATTATATGATTATTTATGAACATAAAGATACAGTTTGTATATTCCTAGTCGATCAAAACGATCTAAAGAATATTAAATTGGATGACATCAAAACCTCACTTTCAGCTCAAATCGATTATGTTTTCCCTGTTTTAGATCAAAGATATTCTCAAAAATCATTGTATGTAATAGAAAAAAAAAAGAACCAAATGATTTAGTTTGATCCGATCCACTCACCATTTATTTATTTACCTTTTTTTTTTAATATTTAGTATGGAAGAACAATACAAATATATATTTTTCAATCAAATGAATCTTGCCATTAAAGCATCACTCAAATTAAAGGGAGGAGTTGAATTGACAAAGGAAACATTAAAGATATTAAATGAAATGCATACAGACTTTGAAAGTAATCCAGAGAATATAACAGAGGCAACAGTTAAAACTCAAAATGATCGTTGGATCGTTGGAAGAAAGACTGATTCAAGAGAATTTTATGTCATTTTTGATACAAAGTCTACTAGTCTTTTGGAAATTAATGGTATGACAATACATATCATATAATATTTAATTAATTATAAACTAACCTACTACTTTTTTCTAAACAGAGGAAATGAAAAACATTGCATCAGTAATGTTAAAGAATCATTTCTTGGATTAACCTTTTTTTTTTATTTATTTATTTAAATAATAAATAAATAATAATAATAATAATAATCAAAATATTTTGACGCGTCACTTCCAAGATCCAATGAGCGATGGGGCATTGATAAAATTTCGTCGTTGGATCAAAATCGGTTCAAAAAATTCATTTTTTTTTTTTTTTTTTTTTGAAAACCCAATCCAACAAAGTGAATTTTCATCTGTTTTTCTGTCTCATTTTTCTTAGCTCACCACATTTCTAACTAAATATTCTTATTTGTGCTAACAATAACAACAGCCAACATCAGCAACAGCAACAAAACATTGATCAAGCAGCTTGATTGTTTTCTATTCTATTATTATACGATATCGTAAACGACAACGACGGTCCTCTTGTAAAAAAGTAATACATTTTAATAGTATTAACAACATCCCATCTTCCCTTCTTTCAATATCATATATTTATTTGTCCCCAACACGACACCAACCAATTTTATAAATTTATAATCATGGAAACCACCAACACATCATCAACAAATGTTGAAAAATCACCAACTCAAACCGAAAAAGAACAACATTCCATCGGCCTCACAAATGCAATGAATAATCATTACAACAAAAACTTTGAAAATAATAATAATAATATTAATAATAATAATGATAATAATAATAATATGATGCCATTACTAGGTGGAAGTATGGGTACATTAATTAGCCAACTTTTTGACAATAATAATAATAATAATAATAATGATTCACCACCCCTTTCATCGACAACTACAAATAATATTAATAATAATGATATTTTAAATCAACCACATCATCAAAATACATCTTCTTCTTCAGGACCGATGAGATCATCACCAAATGTTTCATCGTCCACTTCAACATCTTCACCACACCATGGTGGTGCCAGTTATCACCCATATAGACAACCATATGCAGCATCACCCTCGGGTGCGTCATTACCCTCACCCTCACCTTCACCCTCTCCCACATCCACTCCATTGGCCTCTGTTGCAACACCTTCCTCGTCCTCCTCGCTAGCCCTGTCACGTGATAGAATACCAGTTCATCTCCAACATTTCATGGATCCAATGCCAAATACTACTCATCCACATCAACAACAAGCTCAACCTCCTCCTCCTCCACCTCAACAACAACAACAACAACAAACATTCCAAGTTAACTCACCCAACAACAACAACAACTCTATTACACTTCCCAATCCAGTCAATACAACTCTATCAATGTCAAGTGGAGAGTCTGATTCCGAACCCGATAACCTCATTCCAACCAATGAGAATGCATTGGCAATCGTTTCACCGCAAGATGACCTATCGATGATTCGTTCAGGTCAAAACTATGTCGATATCACCGAGTATTTGAATCTGCCACAGTCCAACGCCGCCAAAAAGCTCGGAATTCCAACATCGACACTCAGCAAACGATGGAAAGAAGCAGCACAAGGAAGAAAATGGCCATACAGAAAGGTTGCCAAACTAGACAAGGAAATCATGACCATCTTGCACAACATTCCTCCAGGTGGTGAAATGCCAGCCAGCGTAGAACAACAACTTGCCAAGTTGATGAAAAAGAGACAAAAGAATCTTAGTCCTGTTTATATTAGATTTTAAAATCAATCTATATATATCCACACAAGAAAAGGAGCAAGAGGTTGTTTCTCCAACATAAACGAAATCAACAACACCAATCAATCATATATTATACAACCCATCCTAGGATACTAAACATTTGACAAATTAGTAAGACAGATAATGGAATGATGATAATAATTCTTTTTTTTTTAAAAAGTAATTAGTCTCTATTATATAATATAGGTTGTGTGTGTGGGAGAGAGGGAATGAAACAAAGGAGAAGAAAAAGAAGAGGAATAATCAACGATTGCTAAAGAAGGATAAACACCTTCACTCTCTTGTCTCTCTGCTTTCTTTCCTCTCATCCATCTCTTTATCTCTAAAGAATGTTGTTCAAAAGATCCAAGTCAACTAATAATATTATTAATAAAACTACTTGTCAAAATTTGAAAACTCACCATGTTCCCTGATTCACAAGACTAACAAGCAAAAAAAAGAATTTATTATTGTATTATTTAATTTATTGTAGAAAGAGACAGAGAGAGAAGAGAGAAGAGATAAAGGAGAGAGAGAAAACAAACATGAATATAACAGACAAGTTAAACTCAATAGTCAATTATCTTACGACTATTCGTATTTATAGAGACCCCCAAAGAGTAAAGAATGATACAACAGAAGTATTTAGATTTTTCCCAAACCTACAACCTTGTTGTGCACCATATAGTATGTTGATTGAGTATAGATATATAGATATATATTATATATATATATATATAATGAATGAAACATATATATATATATATATTTATATATCATTTCCTAATTCTTTCTTTTTCTATTTTATTTAATTATTTTTAGATAGAGGAGGTCATATGGTAACATTAATATATTTAAAGGGTACAATACCTATTGTTTATCAAAATGTAACATATTATATACCAGTGGTTGTATGGATACCAGAGACGTATCCATATGTGCCACCAGTGGTGATGCTCGATCCAACACCAGAGATGGAGATTGTAAAGAATCATCCACAGGTCAGTGACAATGGAATGTGTCATCATCAATACTTGTCGAGTTGGACATGGCAATCAAATATTAGTCAAGCAGTAAAGTACCTATGTGATGTATATAGTGGTTACCCACCATTGGTTTCAAAGAGTAAACCAGCTCCTCCACCACCTATCCCTCTTGATCCAAATAGAGATAGTCCTCCTCCATATGGATCATCACCTTCAACAAATGGTGGAGGCGGTGGGAACTATAGCAATTGGAATCAACCACCACCAACTTATCAAGAATCAATTCAAAATCAACAACAATATCAAGGACAAGGACAACAACAACCACCTCCACTTCCACCAAAACCACAATCACCATCACCATCACAACAACAACTATTAAGAGAAAGAGAACAACAACAAAAAAAAGAAATAGAACAAAGAGAACAATTGCAAAGAGAAAGAGAACAACAACAACAAATAGAAATAGAGACACAAAGAGAAAAGCACCAACGTGATGAAGCTTTGATGAAATGTACAGAAAAGTTGCAAATACTTTTATCTCAATTCTACGATACCTCTTCCAAGGCTATCGAAGACTATTCGGAAAACAATGTCCTACTCGCCAAACAGAGAGAACATCTCGAAAAGGAAAAGGAGACACTCAAAAAGGATACCGACTATTACCAAGGTTTGATTCAAAGCACAACCGATCAAATCGACAAGTTGAGCGTTTGGATCAAAGAGAATGAGAGCAAAGACGATATCGACATTGATGTTGTCTCTTCACCCAAGGACCCACTTTCCCGTCAACTTCTTACCCTAGTGTCTGAAGATGCTACCATCGAGGACATGTTGTACTATTTAGACAAGGCGTTACACTCGAATCGTATCACTCTTGAAGAGTATCTTAAAAATGTTAGATCACTTGCTCGTGAACAATTCATGATCAGAGCCACCATTAAAAAGTTCAAACTCATTTAATGTTATCACATAATAATAATGGTGGTAATAATGCTGTTTCAATTTAAATTAAACCCTATTCCCAAACCAACAACTACTACTATAGTACTTTATTGTCAATAAATTAACAAAATATGTAATTTCTTTTCCCTCCAATGTAAATATTTATATTATAATTATAATTGTTGTTGTTGTTGTAAACTCGCCAGTTTACAAACAAATATTTATATTTTTAATGTCAATTATTAATTTTGATTAACTGATTTTGAAAATTGATCAATAGATTTACCATTTGAATTAATTGCAATTGCTGCAATGTTGGTTGGTGTAATGGTAACTATCCAAAGATGATTTGATCTTGACCGTTTCTCTAGATCTTGTGGTAGGTTGTCAGCTGATGCAGTTTCCATTGTATTGGTTTCATGTCCAATACCAAATGCACCACCACCAACATAGATAGTTCCTTCATCATTATTATCTTTGACTTGCCCACCTTCTAGTGCAAATGTTCTTTTAAATATATGTTCATGATTTTCCATTACCAAAGTAACATTGTATTGATCAAATAGTGGTACAATATCTGATCTTCCCAAATTATGTATATGTTTTTTACCATCGTTTCCAGGATATATAGGAACATGATAAACAATTAAACGATTATGTCGAGGCAACTGTTGTTGATCCCACTTTGATTTTAACCAATCTCTTTGATCTGCCCAAGTACTAACTATACAACTGTCTAGTACCGTCAAACTAGAATAGTTGCCCAAGATATGATGATGATAGGTTGGTCTAGGTGAACTCAACATGTCTTGTTTTGCAAATACAAAATAATTCAAATAAAATGGTACTTGTTTACTCGTTTGAAAGAATCCTCCTGCTTCATGGTTTCCAATTGCCATTAAAAAGGGTAATGTTAATCCATCCTCTGTTATATTACTATATGTATCTGTTAAAAATTTTAATTTTTGATCCCATCTTTGATAACATGCTGGTATCCTAGGAAAAAATATAAATAAATAAACAAAATTAGAAAAAAAATAAAATTATTATTAATATTATATATTTTTTATATTATTTCACTTACCCTTCAGCATAAGCAATATCACCACCAATAATAACAAAATTTGGATTAAATTTTAAAGATTGAGTTGCCATATCAATGGCTTGATTATTTAGTTGAATATCTCCACCTTGAACAAAGGTGATTGGTGAACTATCGTTTGGTAGTGTTTTGAATCGACTGATTGGCGTGCAAATGGATTCATTATTTGAACTTTTTGTAATATAGCACATTGAAAAGCTGTACAATGTCGCAGGGTTGAGTTGATCGAGATAGCAACCAACTACCCATCGATTCTCTTCGACAATGGTAGAGGTCATTGATATCATTGATTGAGCTTCTACAGTTTGTAAAAGAGAGTCTGCTGCTTTGGCACTGGTATTGTCTACCTTGCCCTCTTGATATTTTATATATGCCACTTCGGGTCTATCTCTTGTGTGAAAATAAAAGATCATCGATTGTGATGGATCTTCTGGTAGCAAAAGATAGGATATGCAAACTTGGTTGTTTTGACAACTTGGTGATCTTGTCATTCTGGTTGATAGTGTCATTGGATGAGAACAGACGCACATACGGTCCATCATCAATGGCATAGCTACACCAACCAATAGAATGAGTATAGACAATGACACGACCAATTTCTTTGGTGATGTCTTTATCACTTGTTGAACATCCAACCCAAATTGTTTCCACCAAGCCAATTTAACCAGACATTTCGGTGAAAATGATATACACGATTTTAATTTCTTTGTTTTCTTTCCTCCGTCATATGATGGATCAAATGTATTGTCACCGTCCTCTTCTCCATCGTCATCGTCTTGTTTTGAATCCAATGCAATAAATTCATCAAACTTGATTGATCCACTTGCTCGTAGTGGTCCGTCAACTCCATCGCTATCTTGATTACGACCACCGAGGTTATCCATCATCATACTCTCTACCGGATCAAATATAGATGCTTCGTAGTATCTTGATTTGAGGTGATGAAGACTCATCACTACGAGAAAGATGAATGATGGTACTATCACCAGAGCTACATGCAAATATTGCCATGTACTTGTTGCTGTCATAGCTAGTACCACTCCACATACAACCAACAATTTGATGACATCGAAAAAGACGTGTACTTTACTGTTGGGATGATGTTTACTCTTGTCATAGAATAGATATCGTATAACAAACAGTATGACCAATGCTGCTAATGGGAGTAGAGAAAATAATAAAAAGAATATAGTTCTATATGTTAAATATATATTTGTCATTCTAATAAATAAATATAAATATAGATCTATATGAATAGTATAACTCTTTCTCTCTAGTTGATTCCCTTTCTATTCTACTTTCATCATTATAATATATTATTGTTACAATATCATCAAGAACTTCACATCAGAATATCCACAGCAACCAAAAAAACAAAATTAATTTAATTTATTTATTTTTTTGTTTGATAAAGTTTATTGTTTATGGTTATTCTTGCCATCTTGAAGATCCCTTTCCACCCAAATATTTTTCTAAATCAGCCAATTGAACAGGTTCATAGGCAACATTCTTGGTTGAAGTTGCAAATACATCATTTCTAAATAATGGTATTTGGTAAAAACTTTGATCTTTTCCATTTCTAATCACTCTCAATCCATAGATCATAACAGTTTGGAATATTGCAAATGTACCAACACCCAAATCAACTGTAGTATGAACAACTGTTTCCTCTGGAATGAAATATTTATCATAGACAAAATGGTGTTTGACTGGATATGCTTCTTCACATCTTTAATAGAATAGATGTGAAATTAGTTAGAATTATTATAAACAACAATGGACTATCAACTAGTATATACATACCTTAAGAAGAAATAAGGGTCCCATCTAGCATGAGGCCAATTTCCCTTGGAGTAATTGACAGTGTGTTTGGTAGGTTTGTCAGTTTTCACATACTCCAAATACTTGTTGAATATTGCAATTGGTTTCATATTATATATTAAACCATCTTTTTTAATTTCAACTAAATTGAATTTACAATCCTAAATCAACATTGAAATTTAGAAGGTATAAAAAAAAAATTAAATTTCTTTTTCTTGATTTTAAGCAACTCTCTTTTTAAAAATATACATACAACTAAAACACATTGATCGATTGGTGTTTTCAATTTAAGATTAGAATCAGCTCCATACTCCGAAGTGACAAGGAGGCTATTCTGGATGTCAAACTTTTCTTCATCGGAATAAAAGGTTCCATTCTTGTTCATTTTATTTTTTAAAAATTTCTTCTATTTTGTTATTTAATATTTAATTAACAAACAACCAATCCATTCAATGTAATAAATAAATAAATACAAGGTTGTTATATGCCAAGTTCAGTTGTTCTCGAACCCAACACAAAAGTTGTTTAAAATTAAAAGGTGTTTGTAGATGGGTGGAAAAAAAAAACCTTGGGCCATTTTACAAATGAATCCAATAACCATAATTAATATGGTTGTAACTACCAACTTGTTATTTAATATTGTTGTTAATGATCATGTTGAGATTTAAAGGTAAAAGGTACATGTGACTTTATTCACTTGGAATATTTGAACTGTCTAGGGGGTTCTTGCTCGAGGATTGTTTTTTGGGCAGTAACTGTTACTGTTTCTTGAGAAAGGTTACTACTTTCGTTTTCCTTTTCAATTTCCTTTTCGAGATCAGCATTGTAGTATTGAGGAAACCATGAGCAGATTACTTCTGTTCTTTCTTTTCTTGTTGCCTCCAAGTCCATTGTTGTGATTACTTATCTTTATCTTCTTGTGATTGTTGAGAAACATAAAATAATGAAAATTGAATTCAGCACTTTTTATTTAAATATATGGTTTGTAGCTAATTAATATTTATAGATTTATTTACAGTTTGTGAAGTACTAAATAGTCAAAATTAATTTACATATCGATATGTAATTGACTACTGGTTACAGTCGATTTAGAAGAAGTATTTTTAACTGGTGATGGTAGAGGTAATTCTATTGAATGTCTAACCAATAATTCTTTTAAAGTTATTTTCTTTTTTGGTTCTTCTTGTTGTTGTTGTTGTATATTATTATTATTATTATTATTTACAGTTGGTGGTTGTTGTTGGTTGTTATTTTGTTGTGATCCCATATTTTGAATAAAACTTAATACACTTTGTTCAGATGTTGTTCTTGGAAGTACAAATTCTTCTTCCTCTTCTTGTTGTTGATCCATAGAATCTCCACTTTGATCAGTACTCATTCCATCTTGATCGGGAGGAGTGGAATTATTATTATTATTATTTTGATTTTGATTTTGATTTTGATTTGGTGAAGAAGACCCAGATGCTGTTTGTTGGTCAACTTTTTGTGGATGATCGATTAATTTTGAATTGATAAATAATTGTTGGATTGCTTGTTCAGTTTCAGCCAAGTTTGTAAAAGTAGGAATAGAGGAGGTTGACGATGCCGCCGCTATGGTAGAAACAAATTGAAGTTGTTTTTTATGTGAACGAGATGGACTGATGATGCCATCATCATTTTTTTGATACATGGTTAGAGTTCTTTTGTTTGGTGATACTTTGGTAATATCTCTTTGTTGTTGGTGGACTGGGACTGTCATCCAATCTGGCAACACTCTATTCTTGGTTGGTGTAAATGGTGAGGTTGGCACTGACGACCCTGTATTGTTTCCCTGCACTGGCGATAGGGGTGGAGACACTGGAGTGGACGACTGGGGTGATGGCTGCTCGGCCAGATTGAGGTTACAATAGAACAACAAAGAGACAATATGTTTGCATTTACCAAAGGTGCGTTGTCCATGTGGACAACTACAATGTGTTTCCATCAATGGTGATGCGAGAATATTTCCTTTTTGACGATACCTGATTTGCAACATGTATGGGTATGTCGCAGTACCACGACACTCTGCTTTAACCAGTGTAGATGGGATACTAAAATCAGGACTATGAATAGATGTCTCGATATTTTGTACTCTACATTCTTTATAGTATCCTTCGCCTCTTCCAACACTAACTCTATCAATACCATACTCGATCATTAAATCTGGATGAACATATGGTATAATTGGATCCGATGGTTTTTGTTGTTGTTGATCCATATTGTTGATGGGTTGGATCAAGAGTAGTTGTTGATCAGTTATTGATTGGTGGAAATCGGCATGAGGAAAGAATACACCATGTCTCTTGTCAAGTGGCAAGTACTCCTCGGTAAATGATAATTCATTTGATTCTGAATTGATTCGAGAATGTAAAGGTAATCCCTTTTCACTTTCTTCACTATCATATCCACGAATATCATCATAATTTACAAATAATATATTTTCTAAAAAGTTAAATGTTGGATTTTCTATTTTGTTTTTTAATCTAAATTAAATAATAAAGGTAAATAAGTTTTAAGTTGTATAGTTTATATATATTATGTTACATACAATTTAGTTTCAACTTCAAAAGAATTTTGTTGAAAAAATTTAGATGATAAGATGACTGGAAGAGGTAGAGAGGAGAGTGATTTGGTATCGGCATCATCGACAATGACGATTGAATTGTGTAGTGATAGTTTGTGGCGGTGTTGAGCAGCAGCAATCATACCGGGATTTGGAAAACGATAGAAATCATTTTGGTATGGCATGACTGGTACTCCATCATTATTGTATCTAGCATTATTGTATGGTACGATATAATAATAGATTGGGAATTGAACGAGATCTGAAAGGGTCTTGATTGACTTTTTCACTTCTTTTTGGTATTGCTCGGTGAGAATAGAGTCTGTCAAATCGATTGATGCTGGGAACAATGAAACTTCATCAATGAGCAAAATGACACGTCTCATACCTGGTCCAAGATCAACCCACTCTTTAATAGGTTTGTAAACATCTTGTTTGAGTTGAACATGATATTTGAACCTTAGAGCAGGTCCGCAACGATGAGTTTTGGTTCGATCGACAAACTCAAATAGCGAACGAGCATCGACAAAAAGACCAAGGTTGGTGAGTGCATGTCTTGCATCTTTGTGAAGATTCATGTGCAATGGGATAGTAATATCGCGAACAAATTTAAATCCATCCTTGTAGGTAGGTTTGGTGTATTCACTTTTGAATTGCGATAGTTCCATTCTTGAAAACTTGCTTACACTATAACTATTGGATAGCGATCGTTCTGTAAATGCCCATGCCTCTGCCCATTTCAACTGTGTCTCTCCTCCACTTGGTATAAAGTTTAGAAACATCGTTGTTCCAAGTGGTGTTTGATCCTTCAACAATGCCATAATATATGATTGTCTAACTGTATGTAAATGATTCATATCATCAATTACAACATTTTTTCCCTAAACACAATAAAAATCAAAAGTAATTTAGAATCATATCTATCTCTAATATATAATATATTTACCTCTCTTAATTGTTTAATAACATAGTTATAGATTATATTTCTAAATGACATATCTGAATGATCTTGAAATAGACTTTCAGCAGACACTCTAACATGAGTGTCTTTGAATGTTTGATTGTAGTAATATGTCTTTCCTGAACAAGGTGGACCACCTAAAAATACCAACTCTGGTGCTCCGTCAACAAAGTTTAATGTTTGGTGGCTATTAGTTGTTGAGTCATCTTGTTGTTGTTGTTGTTGTGTTGGGTTATTATTGTCGTTAACAAATCTTATTCTGTTTAATAAAATATTTTGATTATTATTATTATTATCGGTCATGTTATATATATATGAATATGTATGTATGTATTTTATAAAAAGCGAATGAATAAATTTAAACAAGTGAACTTTCCCGCTTTGCTGAATACTTTCTAAATTTCAAATTTCTTGGAAGGAAAATTTTTAAACGGCTGAAAATGTGCGACAGATCACTCTTACTTTTTTGAAGACTGTCTTGTTCAAATCATTCAGATCATATATACAATCAATCATGTCACAACCAAAGATAACAGACTTTTTTGCAGCAGTAAAGAAAGTAGATGATACTAAGGAGAGAGAGGATAATGATAATGTTGTAGCCGAAAATGAAAAGAGAGGGAAAAAGAGAGCTCAAGATGAAGAAGAAGATATTCTCGATCAAGATACTGAAGAAGAGGAACAAATTGTAGATAATAATAATAATAATAATAAAGAGGAAGAAAAAGAAGAAGAGAAAGAGGAGGAAAAAGATGATGATGAAGAAGAAGAACTAAAGAAAACTGTAAAGAAACAAAAGAAATCAGAAACTACAACACCTTCACCAAAGAAAGCAGCAGCTAAAAAGACTGTATCTCTTAAAATATCAAAGCAACCAACAAAAAAAACAACTACTACTACTTCAAATCAATCAGATGAACAACCAAAAAGTACTAGTATTACTTCATCAAAATCATATGATGATATGCTTGATTATTTAACAGATGAAAGTTGGAAGACAAAGATTGAAGCAGAGTTTAAAAAGTCATATTTTAAATCGATGGTATCAAAGTTGAATGCAGTTGCCGCCGATCCAAAATCCAAACCAATCTATCCACCCAAAGAAGAGGTATTTACCGCTTTGAATTGGACACCACTCGACAAGGTGAGAGTAGTTATCGTTGGACAAGACCCATATCACGGTCCTGATCAAGCACATGGTCTATCGTTTTCAGTAAAGAAGGGGATCGCTCCACCACCATCACTCAAGAATATGTACAAAGAATTGGAAACTGATATTCCAGGATTCAAAACACCCAAACATGGCTTTTTGGAACATTGGGCTCGTCAAGGTGTACTCATGCTCAACGCAGTACTCACTGTCGAAGAAAAGACACCAAACTCTCACAAGGATTTCGGATGGGCTCAATTCACCGATCAAGTCCTTCATCTACTAAACAAGAGTGAGACGCCGATTGTATTCATCCTATGGGGACAGTTTGCACAGAAAAAAGCATCAATGATTGACAAGAACAAGCATCATATCATTGCTAGTGGACATCCATCTCCTCTCTCTGTCAAAACTTTTCTTGGTTCCAAACCATATTCAAAGACCAATACCTATTTACAGAAAATTGGTTCCGATCCAATTGATTGGAATTTACCTTTAAATATTTAATTATGGCGATCGCAAGCAATTTGACTTGTTTGATTAGCAGCATCCGAGGAGGAGGAGGATATTATTATCTTTATCTAAACCAAACCAACAAATAAACCAAACAAACTTGTCTTTGGGAATTCTTTATGTATTTGGACTCTCGAGAGACTATATATTTAAAGATACTATACGATATATTTTCTTAATACTCTTTTCTTTTGCTCAAATGACAAGGGGATGCGACAGTCGTGGCAAAAAATCAAATCAGCTTACCATCCCTATAATCAAACTCACAAGCTCTCAAGATCTCAACAAAAGGCCAGAGTGCAGATACTTAATTCTTAATTAATCGATTGGAATACCTTGAAATATTTATAAAGGTAAATTTTAATAGGATCTTAAAATTAATCAAACAATTGACTATAGTTTAATTTAAATCGATAATATCTTAAAAAAAAATAAACCAAACAAACTTGTTTATATATATTCATTCTTTTTGATACTTTATACTTTGTTGTTATTAATTTACAAAAAATCAATTTTGAACCAGACATTGAACTTGCAAAAGCATTTGATTATCTTTAGTTTTTTGTTCTTTATGAAAGAGATATAAAGAGAGAGAGAAAGAGAGAAGAGGGAGAAGATAGAGAGAAGAGAGAGAGAGAAGAATGCAAGTGAATAAGAGTAATGAAGGAATACCGATTGGTGGCGGAAGGAACCAATTGACAAGTTCCTCTTCATCACCATCATCATCATCAACTACTCTCCCTTCTTCAACAATGAATAATAGTACAAATAATAATCTATTATCATTGATACCATCATCACAAATCAAATTGTATGATAGTGAAGTAACATCAATGTTTGAAAAGAATGCACCAGAACAAATGAAGACAATAGAATCAAATACTAGATTTGAAATTGAAGACAAAAAGATGCAATTAAGAAGATTAATTGGGTATGCAATGAATAAAATGAAACCATTATCTATAGATATATATATATATATATAGGTCATTACTAACATTTGATTTTGATTCAATTTCACAGTAATAGGTATAGAGATTTAGTTGAAGGATCAGATTCAATTGTAAAGATGAAACAATCATGTGAATCGATAACAGAAATGATTGGAACTATGCAAACAAGTCTAAAAATGTTTAGTGAAAAGAGATTACAGAAATCAAATAATACAAAAATAGATAGTCAATCTCAAAGTATGTAAACCATACACATATACAGAACATCTGTATCATTCAATTGAAATTATATACTAATTATTTTATCTTTAGAAAAAGATATAGTAAAAAGAAAGATTGGATCAATTGCAAGACATTGTAGATTTTTAATTGATATAAGTGAAAAGATTTGGAGATCGATTGATCGAAATGAATACTTTGAATCGTCTGTACAATACCTAAAGGCAATCTACTTGTACAATCGAATAAAGAGTGGAGGACAATCATCGGAAGAGATCAAGAAACTTTTAGATAATTTGCCAGTGATTGAAGAACAATGGATGACGATTCAACAGTTTCCATCAAAGACTGTAACATGTGCAAGAGAGTTTTTAATGCGATCTACCCTCTCTACTGAACACTATGTAGGCAGTCTGTCATCGTTGGTCATGTTTGACAAGAAATCAGTGACCGATGTATTTGTAGAGTTTCTTCATGTTAGATCGCTGGCATTTTCTCACATTATATCCAAATCATTGTCGAGTCAAAAGAAACAGACAACTACTGATTCGGCAACTGTTGTACTCACTGTAAAATCAACGCTGGTCAAGATGGTCGACTATATAAAGTCAACTCTCTATCTGATACTCATCATCTTTGTAGATGATACCTATCAGTATGATGATAACCCTCCTCCTCCCATCCCAGCACTTTCATTCACATCAAGTGTACTAGAGGTTAATTTCGAATGGAAAACACCATACATTAAACAATGTATCGCTTTTTTAGAGGAGGTTCAAAATGGTGGTGGAAAGATAAGTGGACAATGGTGGGATGCAGATCAAGATGATGGTTTAAGTAGTAGTGGTAATACTGCTACTGCAGCAACTACATTCTCGTCTACTAGTAATAGAGATAATGTATCAACACGTATAATTAGAGAAAAAACATTGGAATGGTTAAATGAAGTACTTCAAAAGATAATATCAACACAAAAAGAAGTATTGGCACCAATCAAATCTGCCAAAGACCTTTCACTTCTCAGAGTTGATATTTTAGCAGAATTATCTGTTCTTTCACAACATCAACAAGAAAAAAACAATAGTAATGAAAAAGTAGTAGATTTAATTGGAATTCAAGTACCAATAGAAGGTTGGAATTGGGTAACTGTAGCAAATAATGTAATTGGAAAGGATTTGACAAGAATAATAGATGTATTGGAAGAAGTATTTTTAACAAAATCTGAAGGAATCATTGCCAACACCTTTTCATCAATCAACCTCACCTCGTTACTACAACACAAAATGTTACTACTCAGACCAGAAGATAAAAACTTTGGTACTTCATTCTTGTGGACCCAGAGACAAGATGACGATACTGTCCAATCGATTCGTAACAAGACCAATGGTATTACACCACTATCTGATCACTTTTTACAACAAGTCAACCAAATGTATACCAATTGTGTCTCTGACTTTGTCTATCTTTTCCCAAGTAGCGAGCAAACAAAACTAAACGGTGGTGGGCTAATGGCATCGCCCGCTCCAACTCCTCGGTCAGCTACATTATCAACCATGTCATCGAGACTATCAATCCTTCAAAAAAGAAATCAATTCTCACAAACTCAATCTATTATTGAAAAATACCAAATCAAGGAAAATGAACTCAGAGAATACATGAGACAATCTTTCCACAATTCAATCAAACAATTTTGTAATGATAACCAATCGACCATCGTTTCTCTTTACAAAGAAATCAAATTGGAACAGCAACAACAAAAAATTCATGAAATATTATTTATTGCCAAAGCTTCAAAATTATTTTACAAACATATCATTCAAAATCCAAATTTATTTTTCTTACCAATTGATCAATCAAATAGTAATAGTAAAAATGGTAAGATTGACAAAAAACAAAAAAAAAAAAAGAAAATTATATTAATCTTTTTTTTTATTTTTAATTTTTAGAAACACCATTATCATTAAAAATAATTGAAGAATTGAAAAGTATTTATTATCTTGGATTTATAATATGGGTTGAAAATTTTATTCAAATTCATTCAACATCATTACTTTCGACATTACTATCATTATCTTGGGATAATTCAAATCATCAAAAAACAAAGTCATGGCAATCATTTGAAATTCAGGCAGACAACCAACAAACTCAAATTCATATGCCATATCTACCTTCTTCATTTATTTTATCATTCCTCTTTGATATTACAAAACAAATTAATCAAATTAGTTTTAATACTTTAGATAGAGTATGTAAAACAAAAGATACAAAAAAATTATTGTATTGACATTTATTTTATTTTTTTAGAATATACAAAAATATATTTCACAATGTATAGCAAATCATATCTATAAAATTGTATCACAATTTTTGTCAACTATTAAAACAACGTCAAATAATGGACCGATTTCAAAAGAAGGTTATATACAATTATTACTTGATATGAAATATCTATCATATGTATTGTATGGAAACAAAAAAGCTCCAATTATCAAAGATCAAAGTTTTAAAAGATCAAAAGATTATTTTGATACTATTATCGTAGAAAACGTCGATAATCCTCAACAATCAATTTCAAAAACTTTTAATGATATAATACAATTAATAGAAGAAAAGGTAATGAATATAAAAGTATTTTTAAAATAGTAAATTTATTTTATTAACCAAATTAAATTTATCTAGATTGATCCAATTGATTTAAGTTTATATAAAGACCATATTAGTAAATTTGTAGAAACATCATATTCTAAAACATGGACAATGTTGGGTATTTTTACTCAAATCCATCGTACTGTTGCTAAACCAATTGAACAGTAAGTAAATCAAAATTGATTAAATAATATTTATAACCAGGCAGGTTAATTAATTTATTTATTTTCTTTTTTATCTTTTAAAGTAAATCGCCAACAATGAGTTCTTCATCGAGTAAACAATCATATGAAAATACAACCAATATAATTCCGTTGATTAAATCCAATGTTCGATTCCAATTATTTACTATAGAGACACCAATAGAACAAACTCTTCAACCAACACCTACAACAACAACAACAAATCCAACAACTCAACCATCGTCGATGAACCAAAAGTCCAATACAAATATTGTCTCACCACCACTACACCAACAAACAACTGCATCACTTCAATCAGCAGCTTCTAAAACATTCTCTCTCATGGACTCAATGACTAAAAGATTTACACAATTTGGAAGTGGTACAAGTAGTGGTCACAATAATAATACTCAAAACAGATAGATAAATAAACACAAAAAAAAACATGTTGAGTTTGTTTTTAAAAAGACTTTTATAGTTTATTTTTTATTTTATTTTATTAAGAAGAAAAGATTGTACTACAAACTTTTTCAATAATGAAAGCTCCTACTAAATCAACTACAATAGTTCCAAACATTAAATTACGGAACTAAATAAATAAAAAAATGGTTAGAATATTCTATACTTCTATTATTTCTTTTTTTTTCTTTTTTTTTTCTATTTACAGTATCATCAGGGAAAGGAATTAATTCCATGTATTGATTTAAATCTGGCATGATTTCAAGTGAAAGGATAGCACCTAGACCCCAAACAGCAGACAAACAATAGAGGAGTGGACGATTTTCACGAAGACTTTGCATGAATGGATGACCCTTGTAATTGACGGCAAAGGTAGCGACCTGCATGGCGTTGCTGATAAGGAACACGGCACTGTTGACGAGGTTTGGCTCAAAAGTAGAGTCAATCTTTGGACGGTTGGCATCTGACGTTCTAATGTCTGCTTCACGAACGATAAAGATGAGACAGGCGAGATGGAGAGCAAACTGGAGCAAAATCGAAAGCATCATGTATGGACTGAAAAGATTAGGGTTTGGACGCTTGTTGGCAAGCTTTTCCAATGGCTTCGAAGTGGAGATGAAGAGGAAACAAAGAGCAATGAGCATACCACCCAAGGTCATTTGGGTGTCACCTAGTTTGACACCATCCAAATAGAGAACGGAGAGACTGTATGCAGAGACCAACGAATTGAGTGCAAGAATCTTGTACATTTGAAAGGTGGTAACAAGTGTGCAACGTCCCTGTCTGATGATATGAGTGACTGGAATGACACGTGAACTCTTTGAAGTGAATGGTGCTGCAATACTAGCATCACCAAGCTTGACCATTTGGATCTCTTGTTCCTTCATTTCTTCTTGCAGTTTTTTAGTCATCTCTGCGAGTTGTTGTTGTCTGGTGAGACCTTGTTGTTGTTGTTGAATCTGTTGCATCTGTTGTTGTTGTTGACGAATCATGTCACGTGCACCGAGCATTGGCCTGGGAGGTGGCATCTCTCCCTTGTTGAGGATAGCGACACCTACGTGAGCTTGCTTGAGTGCACCAACGTCGTTGGTACCGTCACCAGCCATCAAAGTGTGGTGATCATACTGCTTAAAGTTGGCTAGAATGAGTTGCTTTTGTTCCGGAGAGACACGTGCAAATACTTGCACCAAGTAGAGGTATTTTTCAACGATCGTGTTGTTGAGGATGGAGTCAAGAGTCTGTCCAGAGACACAAAGGTTGTGTTGTTGGCTGAGATCCAACAAATGAGTTGGTGAAACACCTTGGAATGGCTTTTCAATCGTTTCATCAACCGATACCCATGTGTAACCTTGGTTCTCCTTTTTGGTGAGAATCAACGTAGGATTGGATGGATTCATAATGGCAAGTTGCTTGGCTACATGGCAGGCAGTAAGACTGTTGTCACCGGTAATCATGACGATCTGGTGTGCAGACGATGCTAATCTTTCAATGGCGTCCTTGGAGTCTGGCTTGAGTGGGCAGTCAAAGATGAGGAATCCTCCAAACTCGAGACCACTCTCAACCTCTTCTCTGGGCGTGGCCTTGAGCATGTTGGTATGCTTGACTGCATCCATTTCCTTGTATCCGAGTGCTAGCACACGTGAACCTTGGCGTGAGAACTTTTTGTAGACATCGTCGTATTGAGTTGGAACGTTCTTTAACATTGGCTTGAGAATCTCTGGAGCACCCTTTGCAAAGGCATAGATGCCAGTCTTGTTTCCGCCGTCGCGAATAACATTGGCAATGGTCGACATACGCTTGAGTTCAGAGGTAAAGTGGTAACGGTTGATAATCTCAATCACAACCTTTTTCTTGGTATGTGAGCTGCTGTCACCCTTGCAAGTGTATGGAATCGATTTCAAACTAGCAGTCTCCATTGGATCACCAACCAATTTACCATCGATTGAAACCAATGAATGACAACCAGCCAACAAATAACCAACTACTTCTGATGTATCTTGAGCTGGAATCAATGAAAATGGATCAACAATTGTTGCTGTTGATGAACTCGAACTTGTTTCATCACTATCAATTTCATCTTGTTTGGTTGATTTCTTTGTTGTTGGTTGGTCTCTTGGGGCAAATGCAATACCTTGAAGGATTAAATCATCGGTGGTCAAGGTACCGGTCTTGTCGAAACAACATACATCGACCTTTCCAGCCAATGGAATACGGAATGGTTCGGTACAATAGATACCAAGACGAACAAGTGACATGAGCGAGTTGTTGACGGCAAGTGACAACTCCATTGGGAGTTCGGGTGGGACAACACTTGTAATAACCATGATACAATGAAGAATGAGTTTATATTTACTTCTTTGATTGTCTTCAATACCTCTAATAAATAGATAGATCGAAGCTGCAATGGCAAAGATTAACAAGAAAATAATAAAGAGGAAACTTTCCTTGTTATTGGCTGTAACACGTTCAGTTGAAAACCAAATAGTTCTCATTAATCTTCCTTGATTTGTATCAAATCCTGTCTTTAATGCATATGCAATACATCCTTTATCAGGTGCTAAAAAAACAAAAATAAATAAATAAATATATAGTTTTTGTGTTTTGTGTTATTTTGTTTTGATTGACATACGTTTAGAAATTTTTAGAGTCTTTTCAGCTGGAGTATGTTGAACAATGGTAGTACCACCATACATAATATGAATCTTATCATTCTTGTAATCTAATGGATTTTTACTTGAACGTTCGGCAATTGATTCTTTGTGATGTGGAGTTGATTCACCAGTCAACATGGCCTCATTGACTACAACACCACCACTTAGGAGCAAGAGATCACATGGTGCAACTGATTTGGCTTCAGTCTCTCCTCTGACCATCGAAACAACGTCACCTGGAAGGATTTCAGTAGTATCGATTTGTTTCCATTGATTTAAACGATAAACATAAATTGGATATGATGGTTTACTACTCATATCTCTTAATGATTGTAAATTTCTTAATCTCTAAAAAAAAAAAAGGGAAAAGGAAAAAGATATGGTTAATAAAATTGGGAAATTTAAAAAGATTTGTATCTATTTGATTTTTACTTGTTTAACAACTGTAGCTTCAAAAGTAAGTAACATGAAAAGAGTGAATAGACAATAGTAAACGTATTCTTCAAGACTCCAAAGTAAAACACAGAATACTTGAAAGACAAAGAATGGAGCCATGGCTTGTTCCTTGTAGAGATCCAAAAAGGCAGGGATTGGAATATCGAAACGATTGCCTCCAAAACGTTGAATCGAGTTTGTCAATGATTCTTGAGTGTCGTAACCACGAATTCGGATAATGTCATCGACTTCTGTTGGCACGGCCAATTTGATCTTGACAAATTGCTTCTTGTCGGCGTCATAGGTAAACTTTCTCTTTTGAAAGTAAAAGTAGGATTTGTCTTGACTTGTGGCTTGATCGACATCGTGCACAATATCACAAAGTGTCTTGGCTCCAACGTGTGACGATGGAGTAACACGTACATGATCGGCTTGAGATACACTTGCAACGGGAACCAATGATACAAAACAACGATATTCTACAGACCAATGTTTGAACAACTCTGAAACGATATGAAGTCCAAATGTAATCCATATTAAGAAGATATAAAAGTCATGTTCACTCCATTCTACTGATTTCTCTTCGTCAGAAGAAGAAGAAGTTGTAGTAGTATCATTCTTTGTTGTAGTTGCTACAGTTTCGGTTGTTGTACTATTATCAGCTCCGACAGTTGCTGATTCAATTGGAAAAGGAGTAGTAAAGTATAAAAAGATTAGATAGACATATAATAGAATAAAAGGGATAATATTATAATGAAGTAGAATATGTTTCTTTTTATATAATCTTATCGATGATATAGATTTGGATTCAACCCTGACCCTATAATGAATAGAATAGAATAAGATATAGTTTTGTATCAATATATTAATATTCTTAGTTTATAAACCTATTTTTTTAGAATATACATTACATTCTGCCTCCTCCTTTCTCTCTCTCTCGATAATGAATGAAAAGAAATGAATCGTCAACTTGTGATGACGCACATCACATCCCATTTTCAATAATTTTATTTTATTTTATTTTTTTCATTAAATTAAAAAAGTAATATTAGTTCGACACATACATATTTATAAAGATATATATTTGTAGTTAGTTAGTTTAAAAAATGAGTGATGATAATAGTGTTATCTATGTGACTAGACATGGTCTAAGAGAAGATTGGGCAAATAAGGAATGGAGAATGACAGCTACTAGAAAGTCTGATCCACCACTCTCTAGTGATGGTTTCAATGTTGCTATCGATCTTGGAGAGGAATGTTTAAAGCATCGACAAGACATTAAACACATTCTATGTAGTCCGATGGAACGTTGTGTACAAACAGCCACAGAGATTGCAAAGCGTCTCAATCTCACCATCAAGTTGGAATATGGTTGTATCGAATGGTTGGGTCCTGCACCAGAAGATCATCTTGAACCACTATCAGTCGATGAACTTTCAAGACTCTATCCAATCGATCTCTCTTATAAACCTTCAACCACTTTTATTCCACATGCTGAATCAATTCAAGATTTATCTATTAGAACAAAGTATGAATGATTCAAAAAACACAAACAACGCTAATAATACAATATTGATTGATTTATCTATCTATTTAATTTTAGAAAATTTGTAGAATATGTCAAAGAAACTTATAAAGGAGAATCAGTTATTATTGTTACACATGCAGCTACATTGATTAGTATCTGTAGAAATGTAATCAATGATAAATCGTATCCATTTAGATCTGGAGTATGCAGTCTCACCAAATTTGTACATGACTCTACCACTGAATCGCAATGGAAGGTGGACTTTGCTGGTTTGGCAACCTACCTAAGAGGTGGTGAACAATATCATTGGACTTTTCCACAAGGTCAATAATCGAAAATATATAAATATAAAAATATATATCTCTATTTATTTATTTATTGAATATTATACCTACCCTCTAATTAATTGTTGTAATAATAATAAAATAATCAATGTCAATGTTGTTTTAAGTACTATTATATTATTTTATTTTAATCTTATACAAATTGATTATATAGATCATTCCATTTTATAAAATGATCTATATTCTCCTAATTCCTTTTTGTTTTTTTATATTATTTATTCTTGCTTGTTGTTGTTGTATCGAAAAGTATAAAGAGTAATAATAAATTTAATCCAACTTCAAATCAAACTTTTCAAAATGTACACCCTTTTGATCGATAGTGACGATATCAGCAAAGTCACCAGTATAGATATCACGTTCACCAGCAGATGTAATGGCATCCTTTACCAATGACAAAGCTTGTTCTGCTGATAATTCTCTTGGACCATCAACAATTTGTTGATTAAATTTACCAACCTAATAGAAAAAAAATGAATGAATAGTGATTAATATTGAGGTTTGAAAATAACTATGATCATTATTATTATTATTATTATTATTATGACTACTTACTTGATTATCTAATAATGGTTGAATTAATTGATTACCAGAACCTTGTGATGAGAAACGAACACGTTCGTGTGATCCAACAGCATCATAAGTCCAAACACAACCAATACCATCTTCATCGACACCAGCAACCAAATTGAATGTATAGAATGGGAAGAATCTCTTGTGGTAGAGTGTATTTGAGAGGAATTGTGCAATTGCTGGAGTGCTCATTGATTTACCATGATCTCTTTCGTATTGACGTAATTGAGTATCTAATCTCTTTCTAAGTGCTATAGTATCAGCTTGCATTCCTGATGTTGCAATTACACATTTATCAGTTCTAGAAATAACAATAAAAATTAATATCAAGAAGATAAGATAGATAATAACCTTCTTTTCTTTCTTTCTTTCTCCTCTTACAATTTAAAAACCTTTGTATAATGTCTTGTTTGAATACCATATCCACCATCACTCATACGAGTATCACCTGCAACAATACAATAATTTGAACCTGCAACTGCTAAAACAGTACTGTAGATATGATATAGTAATAAATGTTTGTTAATATACTACCACTAACTTGTACTCTTTTGTAAAGTTTACATACCCTCCATTATCAACATATGGTTCAAATCTATGATGTGAGATTGGTACCTCCTTTTCAGGTAAGGCTGTTAACTTTAAATCATCCATCATCATCTTTATTTCTTTCTATCTTTTATATATATGTTATTAATATTTCTCTATTCTCGCAAATTAATTAAAATGTTGAAGATCACAGAATTGGGTTGCAAGTTCACCAAACATTTTTTTTTTAATTTTTTTTTTTTTTTTTCAAAGAGTACATTTTTGAAACAAATAAATAATGGAAATATGATAATTGATTTGATTTGATTGATTTGATTTGATTTGTTATATTGTTCTAATAAAAATGTTTATTAGATGATGCACCAGTAAAATCATCAGTTTTCTTTTTCATCCAACCGAGGATTGATTTCAAGCTAGTACCAAATTTCTTTTGTTTTTGGTATTCACTGTCGACGCCAATGATCCTACTAGTTCCAGAGGAATAGGGTAGATTGGTGTCATTGGCAGCCAAAGAAATGAAAAACATGAATGGTACCAACCATACACAAAATATGAAAATGGTAAAGATCTCTGGGAATGGGAAATATTGTGATCTAAAGAATAGGAACCATGAACAATGTGAAATAATCAATGTTACTAATAATATATAAATAAAATAATTAATTAATAATTTTGTTTAAATTTAATTTGTTTGTTTGTTTGTTTGTTTGTTTGTTTGTTTGTTTGTTTGTTTGTTTGTTTGTTTGTTTGTTTGTTTGTTTGTTATACATACAAAGACTAAAAATAAATTTGATACTTGATAATGATACAAATGGAAAATCGGAAAGTAAACTATAATAGGAAAGATGACTTGCCAAACTGAGTAATATACAAACTCCAGACACATCATCAAATATATATAAAAATAATATCAATCCTGTAATTACCTATATATGACAAAAGAATGAGTAAATATGATCGGTTCACTTCATTCTTGTAGTAGGTGGCTGTGATTGTTGTACATACAAAAATGGTATATCTAATAACTCTTTTTGCAATTGAAGAATGTTCTTCTACCAACTCTGCAAAGTAATATAATCCACATGCTAAACAAACTGTACCAAACATAAACAATAAGGTGTAGAATAGAAACACCAATATTGATAAAAAGTAAGATGACATTTGTTGTTGTTTTGATTTGTCTCTCCAACTATCTATGTATGAACTCTGTTCTCTCTTTCACTCTCTCTCACTCTTTTGTTCTTTATATGCTACAGTCTTTTGGTATTACATGAACAATCTTTCAATTGAACACAAACACAAATGATTACTGCTAAAGACGAAGTATGTGTATCCAACCATTAATCTTTACTTTAAAACTGACCACAGTCTTTTCAAAAAAAAAAAATGAAAAATTGCAAGACCGCTCCCGCTGTGAAGTGAGAGACTAGGTGTGAAGATACAGGTGTATCTTGTATCCCTTACCTCTTTGAATCTTGATTAGTTGAACAGATAATACCTATATCTTTGTCAATCCTTTCACAGATCAACTAGTTATATCATAAAATGTCAATGATTGTAAGTTTAGCAGAATCTATGACTTGGCATCACTTTATCATATAAAATTTCACTTGTGATACATCATCTCTCACAATGACAACACGAGACAAAAGAGAGAGAGATAGATGATCATAACGACACAGACGTAACTTTATATATGATAATTCAAGTCATCAACAAATATAAATGATATATTATTGTAACACTATATTAATATATCAACCAATTCATTTAATATATTATAATTATACTATTACTATTATTACTATACTTCTATTATTTCTATTTCTATTTTCTCTATAGAAACCACCAATTATTTTATTAAAGGAAGGTACTGATACATCACAAGGTATTCCACAATTGATTAGTAATATAAATGCATGTTGCGCGATTGTAGATACAGTTCGTACTACCTTGGGACCAAGAGGTATGGACAAGTTGGTATATCAAAGCGAAAGAGAAGTGACGATTTCAAACGATGGTGCTACAGTGATGAGATTGTTGGACATTGTACACCCAGCAGCAAAGACATTGGTCGATATTGCACGTTCACAAGATTCAGAGGTTGGTGATGGAACAACATCGGTGGTCGTGATGGCCGGCGAGTTTTTAAAGGCTGCCAAGCCATTCATCGAAGAGGGCATCCACCCACAGATCATTATTCGTGCCTACCGTTCGGCATGCGAGCTTGCAAAGCAAAAGATCAGGGATCTTTCAATCGTCATCAAGCAAGAAAACATGAGAGAGTTTCTCGAAAAGTGCGCTGCCACTGCCATGAACAGCAAGTTGATTGCATCGCACAAGGAATTTTTCTCAAAGATGGTAGTCGACGCTGTCCAATTGTTGGACGACAGCATCGAGCTCGATATGATTGGCATCAAGAAGGAGTCGGGTGGTGGTATGGAAGACTCGATCTTTATTGCTGGTGCCGCTTTCAAGCGTACCTTTTTCTATGCTGGTTTCGAGCAACAACCAAAGCACATTGTCAACCCCAAGATCCTCTGTCTCAACCACGAGCTTGAGCTCAAGGCCGAGAAGGACAATGCCGAGATCCGTATCTCTGACCCCTCCAAATACCAAGCATTGGTCAACGCCGAGTGGAAGTTGTTCTTCGACAAGCTCGAAGCCATCCACGCCTCTGGCGCCAACGTCATCTTGTCGCGTCTCGCAATTGGTGATCTTGCCACCCAATACTTTGCCGACAAGAAGATGTTTTGTGCCGGTCGTGTCCCAGAAGACGATCTCCGTCGTGTCTGCCGTGCCACCGGTGCCGCCATCCAAACCACCGTCAGCAACATTATCCCCGAGATCATTGGTCACTGCGGTCTCTTTGAAGAGAAGCAAGTCGGTTCAAGCCGTTACAACCTCTTCACTGGTGCCACCAAGACCCAAACAGCCACCATCATTCTCCGTGGTGGCGGTGACCAGTTCATCGACGAAGCCGAGCGTTCTCTCCACGACTCTATCATGATTGTTCGTCGTGCCCGCAAGCACAGCTCAGTCGTTGCCGGTGGTGGTTCGACCGAGATGGAATTGAGCAAATACCTCAGAGACTACTCGTTGGGTATCGAAGGAAAGCAACAATTGTTGATTGGATCATACGCAAAGGCTCTCGAAGTCATCCCACGTCAAATTTCAGACAATGCCGGCTTCGACTCGACCGACATTCTCAATCAACTCCGTCAAAAGCATTCACAACCAGGAGGCCAATGGTTTGGTGTCGATATTGCCAACGAAGGCATCTGCGACACTTACCAATCTGCCGTCTGGGAACCAACCTTGGTCAAGCTCAACAGTATCACTGCCGCTACCGAGGCCACTTGCCTCATTCTCTCGGTCGACGAAACCGTTTCCAACCAACAACAAGCTGAGCAACAACAAGCTGGTCCACAAATTGACCCAAGAACTCGTCAAGCTTTAGGACGTGGTGGTGCTGTTAGAGCCATGAAGGGACGTTAAAACAAAAAAAAATAAAATTAATAAATAAATAAATGTAAAAAAAAAAACAAAAAATTTTATATAAAACATTAACAGTAAGAAGTAGAATATTTAAATATATATTTTTATATTTGTTTATTTTTTATTTTTATGCGTGATTTTTTAAATGTTCTTCAACAATATTATCCAAATGAGAAACTGATCCAATAAACGTAAACAACCATTGAGACTCATGGTCCTCAAGTGATTCCGGACTTGCATATAATTGAATAAATTGAATATTTGAAAGTAATTGTTGTACATTTGCCTTGTAAATAACAAAAGCCATAATATCATTATAACATTCTGGTGCAAATTCTTGTCCTAATGATTTCATCATATCTAAAAAAAAAAAGGAAAATATATATTAAATAAATAAGAAATCTCTAGAATAATACTAATTTTAAACTACACTTACTTGTAACAATTGACCAAGTATCCATAATAATTTGGATTTTATCATGAGGTGATCTAAATAAACTAAGTTTACGTAATTGTTGTTGAGCTGTTTCAAATGGTAAAAGGTTTCCATAAATAGTTTCATCTATACAAAATGATTTTGGTGTCAATTCATATCTTAGAGAATTTAATTTTGAAGAAAAAGTTGCATCATTTTCTGAAAACATAAATATCCTATAGGAAAAGAAAAAGAATAAATAAATAAATATTAGATCAATTAGAATTATTTTTTGTTGTTTCAATTTTAAATTCTTACTCATTATAAAGTTGAGAAATGATAGATTTTTCCAAAGAAAATAAAGCTTTTTTAAGTCCTTTCATGGAACCTGGCCAACTAGCTTTTAGTTCTTCTTTGGGCCTACGTAAGACATTGGAAAGGAGGTTGGATAGACTTTGACAAACTTTACAATCAATGATGATTTCACCAACTTTTGGAGGATTTAAAAATCGTTTGATAATGTTACAATGACATAATTCCTTTTTCTCGGTAATGATTTTTACAGCCTTTACCAACATTTCTTGATTTGTGATAAATGTTTCTTCTTGTGATATACATTTCAATTTAAAGAATACCAGCGAGTCTATAAGTATCTTTGTTTGTGACTTTACATTCAATTCCAATTGATCGTCCAAATCACATAGTCGATTCAATATTCTTGCCTTTTCCCATTCAATCTTTTTTTGTTCATTGTCCATGTCTTTGAAAATTTCATCCAACAATAGTTTAAAATCATCTTGTTGATAGTTTGTCGGTAATCTATTTAATGATTGTATAGTTTCTTGTAAAATTAATGGGAATTTACTATCCATATTTCTCTAAAATAAATTAAGTAAGGGTATTCTTTTTCTTCTTTTTTTTCTTTTTTTTTACTTACATTTTGTTGAGTATTTAAAATAGTGATAATATTATTTGAAATACTACAACCACATAATTGTGATAACATTAATAGAGATTGTTTGAGTTGATTTTTAACCAATTTAATAAGATTTTCTTCCATTGATAGATTTTTTTTCTCTGGTTTTAGTTCATCATGACCAACAATGGTTAGATGAATAAATCTAAATCCATGATTGAAATTGATGATTGGTTTAATTTCTTGTGCCAATTTTATACATTCCAAGGTTTCGGGTGAGATATCATTTTGATCTTTAAATGTATCCTTTTTAGATTCAATAGCTTCCAATATTTTTAATAAATCCAACATTGATATTGGTATTTTATAATCATTTTGATTAAAATTTTTTGGTACTATAGAAAAAGAAATTAATTATTTTTATATATAATTATAATTGTTTTGTTTTTTTTGTACCTTTAAAATAATCATTTAAATCTTCAACATTTAAAATATGTTGATTGAATTGATCAATTTTTGTTAATAGAATTTTAGATAGACGATCGGGGATTGATTGAGGATCAGTCATAAATAAGGTAATTCTTTTTGCCAATCTTGATAAATTATTTTTTACATTGCTTCTAGTATCTATACCAATAAATTGATCTGGTTTGATTAGGATGGGGATGAGTAGATTACCAAAGATGGTGTAGAATATAGTCAATTTGTCACTCTCTGTAAGCTTGTCCAAAGATGTTGGAATATTGCCAGATGATCCTTCCAATGGTATGAGGTATCTTCCTAGGTCGATAATATGCTTTGACAGCCAACGTAGAGCATATGGTATCTTGTCCACCTGGTCGACCACTCGACATATAAATTCAAATGCTTCACTATCTAAAATTTCTTGTTTATATTGTTCACTTTGTCGAGATGGTGGTGGTTGAGAGGCTTCTCGGGATCCTCCAGGAGGATCATCACCAAAACTAAAGTATTTATTCGATACTATACTCTCGATAATGTCCAAGAGGATGGTGATGTAGGGAGTGGTGTAGGTGATGGATAGATGGGCATTGAGGAGGACGTAGGCATAATGCTCCATTTGAGAGAAACTGGATGTGCTTGGTAGACGAGTGGAAGGATCAATGTTTTTGGGATCCTGGATAAAGACATCGAATTCACGATCGATAATTGTCTTTATGAGTTGAAGAAATAGGTATTCATCATTGGCAGTGATACAGTTGCCATAGATTGATATGATCGAGTGTGATAGAGATGCTTCTTTGGCGAGTGATGATGACATGTATTGTGGTCTTACAAGTAGCGTAGAAGCCAGTACATCTGGGTGTTGACGAAGTAGACGAATGAGACGTTCGATCTTTTCTCTGTCTGCCATGAGTGGATAAAATACGATTGATTGATCAGTCGTTCGACTGCCCGTCTGGTCAAAGTAGTCAGTCACCACTCTTCCACTTGTTATCGTTCCGACCGACAATGTACCCACTCGGTCAGCCAACAACAAAGCAATACTGTTTTCCAAGTCACGAATTTGATGCAATTGTTCAAACAATGCTTCAGATTTATCTCTCACCATCTTGTTCATATTATCAATCGATTTATACTCTATTGCATTTGATACCTTTTCAATCTTTAACATCTTTTGTAATGTAAAGATTCTTTCTCCACTCATTTTTTCGAAACAAAGTTATTATTATAAATAATTAAAAGAGAGGAAGAAGAGGATTATCTATATATTTATAAATGTACGTATTATTGAAACGATGTTGATGTTGATAATGATGATCATTCTTTACAACACTAGCTAGTATTATTATTAGTATTATTATTATTAATGATGATCGATTGAGTGGGGTAGGGGGTGTGCGATTTTGAATAATCAAAAGACGATTCTAAACGACATCCAACCTTGCAACCCAAAGACTGGTTGAAAAAAATAATAATAATATTTATTTATTTACAATTGATTGATTGAATTGTTTGTTTGTTTGTTTGTTTTGGTTAGGCAGCAGTAAAATAAGTTGGAATGGTCTTGTTTGCTTTTTCTACAACTTCGTCAACATAGGAGACGGCTCCTAGGAATATGGTAAATTCGTGTTCATCATTTTCATCAACGATTTTGTTGTTGGAATAAAGTTTAATATATTGAATGTTTGTTAAAAGATGTGGAACGTTGGCTTTGAAGATGACAAAACTCATAATACTATAATATTCATCTGGTGCTATTTCTTGATCCAATGCTTTCATTGTATCTATAAAAGTAGAGAATAAAAATTAATTAAAAGTAAAAATAATAATTATTATTATATAATATTCTTTTTATCTACTTACTAGTTACAAGTGACCAAGTATTTTTAATAATTTGAATCTTATCTTTTGGAGTAATAAATAGATTGATTCTTTGTAATTCTCTTTGGGCACTTTCAAATGGTAAAACAGTTCCATAAACAGACTCTTTAATTTTAAATGCTTCGTGACCAAGAATATTTTGTAATCTATTTAAATCTGAAAAAAAGAATACATCTCTTTGTGAGGTTGTAAATATACTAAAGATAAAAGAAAAAGAAAAAAGGTTAGTAATCAATTAAATCTTTAATTATTCGATTACTATTAATTGACTTACTGATTATAGATTTCAGAAAGAATAGATTTTTCCATTGAAATGATAACTTTTTGTAGAGCTTGTCTATTTTTTGTTTCCCATGAAGAGTTTAATGCAATGATGAGTCTTTCCATTGTATTCCTAAGTATTTTTGGTAAGGTTTCACAGACTTCACAGTCAACTTCCCCAGCTTTTTGTGGAAATTGAAAACGTTTAATGGGATCACAATGACAAAGGACTCTCTTGATGTTTTGGTCAGCATACGATTTAAGGACATTGGTGATTTTATCATATGCTTTTCTTTTTTGATAGACCAACGATTCAATGAGGATTGATTCTTGAGATAGGGCACTTTCCAATTGTGCATTCAAAGCATTGATATTCTTGGTGATCGCAGTCTTTTCTTTGTTGTGTTTAAGTTTTTCAGCTTGTACATCCAACTCCATTTCAGACATTAATAAACCAAAATCAAGTTGTTGATATTCTATTGGTAATTGATTGAGTGATTTAATAGTTTCTTTAATTATTTCTGGAAATTTACTATCTCTATTTCTCTGAAAAGAAAGAAAAAGTTAGACATATTATTATTATTTCTCTTTATATTTACATTTTGTTGAGTTTTTAAAATATTACAAATAGTTTCATTACTATTGGTACAACCACATAATTGAGGGAGCATTAATAAACATTGAGTCAATTGATTCTTGCAGTATTTTAACAAATACTGTTCAGGTGTGATAGTTGGTTTCTCCACTGGTTTATCTTGTCCACCAAGATGAATCTCCATCAAGTCATAACTATAATCAATTTTACTGTGGAAATTAGATTTATCGAATAAATTGATAATTTCAGATGACGATTGGTCGATGGCTGTGTTACGAATAACCTTATTAGATGATTCAATGACACTAAACAATTTACATAAATCAGACATAAACATTGGTATTTTATATTGACATTCTTGATTTCTTGATGATGGTGCTAAAAAATAAAAAGTAATAAGTAAATTATATTCAATATATATTATTATTATTATTTTTATTTTACCTTTAAAATATTCTTCCAAATCTGGAACCAAAGTTACTTGTTGATAAAAGTTTTTAATCTTTGGTATCAAGAGTTCCTTGAGTGATTGAGGAATGGTTTCTGGTTTGGTCATAAAATCTCTGATTCTGTTGGCAATGGCAAAATACTGGTTCATTGATTTCATTGGTATTTCAATACCCAAGAATTGGTCGGGTCTCACCAATATGGGAACTAGAAGATTATAGAAGATGGTATTAAAGATTGCTTCCTTGTCGCCATCTGTGTGAGATGACCGTCCCAACTGTACAGTATGTTTGGATAGCCAACGAAGTGTGTAAGGTATCTTGTCAACTTGATCCAATACTCTTGAAATGAATTCTCTTGCTCCAGTATCAACCCATTCATTATTTAATGATTCACGTGGTGACATTATTGATGGTGAAGCGATAAAAGTAGATGATAATGATAATGATGAAATAGAAGTTGACAATGAAGAAGAAGAAGAAGAAGAAGAAGTTGGAGTTGGAATTGATCTAGCAGAATGAGATAAAGATATCTGATCTATAATACTTGAATGATCTTGTTTGTTTTCAAATAAAAATGCTCTACCGGAGACTAGACCCTCTATAAAGTCCATAAAGAGAGAGTGATAGGGAGCCTTGTAAGATCGTTCTACGTGAGCGTTGAGTAACTTGTTGGAGAGGTTTTCCTTGTTGGAGTAGCTAGACGGTGATGCATTGTCACCCCATCTGTTTAGATGCTCAGCATACTCAATGTTGATCATTGTCTGGATGAGTTGCATAAAGAGTAACTCGTCATTGGGTGTAGTACAGTTTCCAAACATTGATAGCACCACATTTGGAAGAGACTCTTCGTTAGGTAGTGACGAAAGAGGTTCTTCACCAGCCAATAGAATGCGAGAGAGGTACTCTGGTGAGACACGAAGCATGCGAATCAGTGTCTCAATACCTGCTCGTTCGTCTTTGCATGGGTAGTACACTCTCTTTTCAGGAGGTGAGGAAGGAGGAGGTTCAACAGACACATGATAACCAGTTTGATGTGATACTCTAGAGACACGAGCATACTGTACACCAGCAGGTACATTTAATGGTGAACGGTTGTTTTCTTTGGCTTGTTCAGCAATTGCCTTTTGCAAATTACCATTTTGAAGTAATTGGTCATAAGCTATTGAACATATCTCTGTTTCATTTTTCTTTAAATATTCAATTGTCTTTGATTCTCCTACTTTACTTATATTTTGTATTTGTAACAACTCTTGTAAATTATATAATTTTTCTGCAGAGTTCATCCTAAAAACACAAAAGTTAATTAAATTAATCTTTACAAAACTTGTATAATAACTATTGATTAGATTTAAACTTACTTATTTTGATTGATTGGTTTGTGTAAATTTATATGTCTTCTTGTTTAAATAGCCAATAGGATTGATACATTCTTTACTTTTGACTTATTTCCCCGAGTTTTAGGACGAGTGATTGGTGATGGTGGTCATAAATTCATTCCAAACCATCAATCAGCAGGGTAAAATCACAAGAAACAGATACAACGGGGAAAGAGTATATACCTTTTCCAAAAAAATAAAAGTAATACTTGATGTTCATTTTTGACATCAAGTATTGTGTGTTGGGTTGGCTGAACAAACCAATTTTAGATTAATACTAAATATTCAAGTTTTTGTTTAATAAAATTTAAATTGATAAATACAAATTATATTGGTTTTATTATTATTGGAAAAAATATGATGAGTTAACTTTAATAATGCCTTACTCTAAATTATTATTATTTTAATTTTTTGTTTTTTTTTAGATATCCAAAGTTTTTAATTTATCATTGGTATGAGTTGAAATTGGATTAAAGATATGAATGAATTTGTTTGATGAGCAACCAACAAAGAGACCAGAGAATATCATGTAAAAGAGGGTCTCTGTGATTTGGTTGAAACAAGTGACCGAACGGAAACGGACAGTGTCGGCAACAAAGTGCGAGATGATGGTGGCGGCTGGGTAGCAGAAGAACCAGAGAGAGAAGATGCAGCCGACCATGCAGAGAAGTTTGCGACGGGTGGCATCTAGTTGTTGGGAACGAGTGTGGAAGGTGGAGAAGATAAAGTAGATAAACATGCAACCTACTACTCCAAGGATTGGGTATCCAATGGCAGTGTCAATGTAGTAATGTTGTACACGGTAGAGTTTGGCGAGACAGTCGTAAAAGATGGAGGCGGCAAGACTGTAGACAAGGTACACAAGGAAAAAGGCTGATGTAAGGACACGTGGGAAGAGGGATGGTGACATGGTCGACACGTTGAAACCTTGTGACAACAACAAGAGGACGAGACCAAAGACGGAACGTGCAAATATATCGACACAGTTGGATGCAAGTTTAAGGTTATCAAGATTAGTATCTTGTGCATAGTATTCGGCATAATACCCGATTAAAATGAGTAATGAAACCATTTTCAAGACAACGGCAGATGTAAATAGTTTCATTACTTCTGAGCGGTATCCTAGATTGGTTTGGACAGAGATGGAATGAACCGATACGATGAAAACAGCAAACAAAACGATGAGTGCGATAATGGACATGTGGGGAGTAAACTGCTCGTCGGCTGAAATGACACGATTCAACTTGTCACCACGGTTCTCCATGGTAATCGAGTATTTACCCAAGTGGGTACGGTCCATCTTGTCAGCGGGTGCGATACAGTTGGAAAAGACAACGTACCAATAACGAGCGCGTTGTTGGTAGATTGGAATGGGATAGTTTTCATTGTATGGTGATCCATTGTCTATCTTGGCTTCGGCCATCGACTCTAATTCTTGACATGTCAATTGATCATTCTTGATGATATAGTCCCAGTGCTTGTCACTGTACAATAGAACTGATGACATATCACCCTTTACAAATTCAATATCAATCGTGACATGACTGTCTAGGGTCATTGCAAACTTATCGATAAAGTTCCAATTTGACTGTGATCTATAGTGATTTCCACTAATCACTTTGGATTCTGTTAATCCAACAATAATAAATAACAATACTGTCAACGTTGATATTAATAAATTTAATTTATTCATATTTAATTAAAATAAAATAAAATAAACAAATAATTATAATTTTATAGATAGATAGATAGATAATTTCTATGATGAATTAAATTTGATTAGTGTGGAAAGAAAGAGATAAAAAAATTGGTTTGGAAACAGATAAAACTATTTTGGAATACTATTTTGGATAACAATAAAAAATTATACTTTGTGTGTATCCATTCAAATTACATTACCTTCAGTAGCATCGATGAAGAACAGAGGGTGTATAATTCATTTATTCATGTGATGGTTTGAGAGGATGAGAGAAGGAGTTCAAATGTGATAGGTGGATGGTTTAATTTAATAAGAGTCTACAAACCACTATATACTTGTCAGGCAACAATGAATTGTTCACGAAGCAATTTCATCACACCACCCTCCTCTTTCAACAATAGTGGGTGTTTTGATCTTTGGATAAAGGGTGATTAAAAAAAAAAACAATGTACAGTACTATTCTGTTTTTGGTGGGGGGTTGATGGTAAAAACAATGATACTAACTCCCCCTTTGGATGAATCAGTGAGGTGATGTGACACCTTTTGTGTTTTAAGATTGATTGATTGTTTGTATGTTGGGTTCTTGTCTTCTCTCTCTCCTTGTCACTCTTAAATGAATAGATTTTGTTTAAAATAGCAACAAAAAGGATGGTTTTGGAAATTAGAAAATATGTTTATATATATTTATATTTGTGATGGTTGGATCTATCTTGTCCCTGTCTTTTTGTTTGTTGTTGGTAATATTAATACATGAATGTGTTGTTGGTTGTTTTTTTTGATGGTTTTAAATTTAAAATCAAATTGGTTGGATACTTGTACAAGATGAATTCGTAATTTTTTTGTTTAACATTTAACAACTCTTTCTTCTTTTCTACTTTGTTCAGCATTGAATACTAAAAGATGACTTTGTAAAGTATCATCTGCACTTGAAAGAATTTGACTTGGATCATTGGTTGCAACTGCGTAGACAAAAGATCTGACCAAGTAGTAATCTGCACCATTATGACCAGTCAATCTTGTATCAGCAACCATTTCAGGTTTAAATATTTCTTTGTCACCCATTGAGAAATCATCATAGTCAATTGTATAACCATCACATTTTAATTGACCATGTGAACCATGAATGACAATCTTTCTGACACACATTTCCTGTGTAAAGCTAACCATTGAAAAGCTAGCCGTGTTGCCACTGTCAAACTCCAAGTTTACAACTTGTTGATCGACGACATTATTGTCGCAACCTCCATAGACACATCTTCCGTATGGTCCATCCACCAATGCACTTTTAACATTCTGTAAAGTTGGTTCTTTGTCAGGAACAACAACTTCACGTTTCCATGGATAGTATTGAAGATAGATAGTCTTGGCAGAATATGGACAACGGTCTACAATAGGACACTCCAAGCAAGATTTTGCATCACCTGCTTCCTTTGGTTTATTCTCTTTTTTAAAATATGATAATGATCCAAATGATGATATTTTCCTAAAATAAAAGTAAACGTAAATTAATACTCTTTCTCAAATTATATATATGTATCTCTATTTTCTCTCTTTCATACTTGCAATGTTCACCCATAAAATAATGAATAAGGTCCAAGTCATGACAACTTTTAGTTAAAAGCATAAAAGATGATTTCTCTTCAACACTCCAATTACCTCTGACATAGGAATGGGCGGCATGGAAATAACCAACGGGTTCAAGATGAGTGATATTGAGAACCTTTCCAATCCTTCCACTGTCGATCAATTGTTTGATCTTTTGAGTGTAGGGAGTGTAACGGAGTACATGACAAACAGCTAAAATAACATTGTTTGCCTTGACTGCAGCAACAATTCTCTTGCAATCCTCCAAACTAGTAGCCATTGGTTTTTCCAACAAGATATTATATCCCTTGTTTGCAAATGCAACTGCTTGTTCTGCATGATAAACATCTGGTGATGAAATTAATACTGCATCTGCAAACTAGAAATAAAATTTAAATTAATATATATTTATATTAATATATATTTTCTATATTTCTATATTTCTATATTTACTTTATCTTTTGCAACTATATCTTTCCAATTTTCATAGATTTGATCTTGAGGTAAATTAAAAGAACCTCCAATCTTTTCTCTTCTAAATTTGATTGGATCAGCAACAGCTACAACCTTTAATCTATTTGGTCTTTCCTTTGCATAGACAGTGTAAACGTAACCTCTGTTACCACAACCAATAACAATGATAGAGATTTGTCTTGCTTGATCATACTTTTTCTCTTCTTGTTTGATTGCTTCCGATGGTTCACTAGTTGCTTGATGTTTGTAATCCTTATGATCAATATCTATATCATCAAAGTTCTCTTTTGATGATTGTTCTGGTTGTTGTTGTTGATGTTTTGTTCCTTTAATCTTTTGAATTAAACTATTCATCTCTTTTATCTCTCTGTTTGTTCAGCAAAGAAAGTTAAATTAAATTTTGAAACCAAAAATGAATATTTATATATTGAGCTCGGAAAAAATAATTGCTTGTTTTGGGTTGTGGTTTCTCTCAACTCTATGGATCATAGAACTGATGATTCATAGTATAAGAATAAATATCTAAGGTTATATATAGTTATTAATATTTGATTTATTATTCCATTAATATATGACTCTCTAATTTATTTTAATTTGTTTTGTTTAAAAAGAGGCAATACCGGTAATAGCTCTACCGAGGATAAGTGCGTGAATATCGTGAGTACCTTCATAGGTGTTGACAGTTTCGAGGTTGGCAGCGTGACGGATGACATGGTATTCATCGGCGATACCGTTGCCACCCAACATGTCACGTGATTGACGAGCAATGTCGAGTGACTTGCCGCAAGAGTTACGCTTGATGAGAGAGATACGTTCTGGGGTGGCAAGACCGCTGTCGATGAGACGACCGACTTGGTGACAGGCTTGGAGACCCAATGAGATCTCGGTGGCCATATCGGCCAACTTCTTTTGGTACAATTGGTTGGCAGCGAGTGGCTTGCCAAATTGCTTACGATCCAAACCGTATTGACGGGCGGTGCTGTAGCAAAACTCGGCAGCACCCAAACTACCCCATCCAATACCGTAACGAGCCTTGTTGAGACACGAGAATGGACCACGGAGACCCTTGATCTCTGGGAACATATTCTCGGCTGGCACCTCTACATCTTCCATTACAATCATACCAGTGATCGATGCACGCAACGACAACTTACCTTCAATCTTTGGTGCTGACAATCCCTTCATTCCCTTTTCCAAAACAAATCCACGAATATCTCCATTATCATCCTTGGCCCAAACAACAAATACATCAGCAATTGGTGAATTGGTAATCCATGTCTTGGTACCATTTAAAATATATTTTCCTCCTTGCTTTTTTGCTCTAAGAAAAAGAAATACAATACATTATTATTATTATTATTATTAATATTCTATATCTCTCTCTCTCTCTCTATATTTCTATTCCTATTTATATTTCATACCTAGTTTGCATACCAGCAGGATCAGAACCAGCATTTGGTTCAGTGAGACCAAAACAACCAACCAATTGACCACTAGCCAAACCATCGAGATACTTTTGTTTTTGAGCACTAGTACCAAAGGTAAAGATGGGATGCATGACAAGAGATGATTGTACAGACATGGCAGAACGGTAACCACTGTCAACCTTTTCGACTTCATTTGCCATCAAACCATAGGCAACGTGAGAGACACCACCATACTCTGGGATGGTAGCTCCAAGCATACCCATAGCACCATACTCTGACATGATATTACGATCAAACTTTTCGTCACGATAAGCCATTTGAACACGTGGCATCAACTTTTCTTGACAAAAGTTATGTACTTGATCACGAATCATCTTTTCTTCGTCGGTCAAACAATGTTCAAGGTTTAATGGATCTTCCCATTTAAACTTGTCTACAACTCCTGATACTGTTGCAAAACTCTTTGAACTATTATTAATCTTTATAGCTAAAACATAGATATAATATATAATATAATATATAAATTGAGTTATTTATTCTTTATGATGATGATCATCACACCTTGATGTTATACATTCATTCAATTCATACCATTTAAAAGAATGCTCTTTGATTGATTATTAAAGATGTTTCTAATCATTGTTACTACTACTGCTGTTGTGTTGAGTGAAAGAGATAGACACAATAAATGAAAAAGAATAAAAAATTAACCTGCAGTTGTAATAAAAAAAAAGAAGTGATATTTTTGTCAATATAATTTAAAAATTGTTTTTGTCGGGAAGACGAAATTTCCATATGTATGTGCTGGCTGGGAGGAGCCGTTTTTAATTATCCATACAATCTTTGTCTTTTCTTTTTTTTTCTTTCCAATTCCTTGTTTCAATCTCCTATTAGGGTTTTATATACTCATCAATGTTGAATAGTAATTTACATCTAAATTTTCTAGAATTTATCTTCGAAGGGTCATAGTATAGTTTCCAAAACTGCGAACCCTATCCAATTCCTTGAGAATTTTTTCATCAATTCTTGTTGTTGGTGCTTTGGGATTAAAGATTAGTAAATGCTTCATTCATTCATTTTCTATATCTGATTGTTTGATAATCTTTGATTCTATCTATCTTTAACATTAATATTGGAAAATTCAAATAATAGAACAATTATAGTTTTTTTTAAATATTATTATTTTTATTTATTTCTTTAATTACAAAATATTAACTATATTTATAATGGTATGTATATTTATGGTAAACCCAAATCTCTATATTTGTTTTTGTTTTTTTTTTTACAATGGCAATTTCTTTTTTTTTTTTCCTTTGGATTCCCATTTCTATAGAAATAAACTTGAGGTTGTTCGTTGTTGTTGTTGTTGGTTAATATTCTTTAGTTCGGGATATATATTTATATTTTAAAGATGAATCAGAGAGGACATCCAACTGAGGAGAAGGAAGAAGGTAGGGGAGGGGAGGGGGAAAAGAGTGATGATGTTGTTGTTTTTTTTTACAAATTATAAGGAGGTGTAATACCATTTTGATGTTGATGTTGTTGTTGTTGAGAAATATGTTGTGGCGATGATAATAATGGTAATGATAATAAAGATGATGCGTTATATGATAATCCATTATGACCAAGTTGAGGTGACTGTTGTTGTTGTTGTTGAAGACCATTCAAATCATTATTATTATTATAAACATTTGAAATTGGTAAAAAGTTGGCTTGTTGTAATAATTGTTGTTGTTGTTGTTGTTGATGTTGATGTTGTTGATGTTGATGTTGAATTTGTTGTAATGGTTGAACTTGTTGTAATTGTTGTTGAGCTTGAAGTTGAGGAGAGGGAGCGTTTGGATTATACTGATTGAGGAGGGATTGTGGAAAGTGGGGTGGGGGAGGTGGGAAGGCAGCATCTTTGGAGACGACACTACCCCAGACGTTTTTGAGCATTTCCATGTTGGCAAAGTCGTATCTTGAGCTGGCGTGGACACGGACGAGGAGCATAGCCTCTTGCTTGGGTGTGAGGATGGAGGAGAGTGCAGAGTGGGTGTCTTCCATGAGTGTACGTTGTTTGACAAAGTTCTTTTTAAGAGACTCTAGCTTGCGCGTAAACTCGAGGATCTCGCTAATATCTACATTGTGGTTGTCGCCAATCGCACCCGACAACATGGGGAGGGGGATGGGTGCATCAGTGATCGAGTGGTTGGTGGCAAACGACTTGTTGAGACGCTCGTTGGTGGGGAACACCATGACCTTGGTCAAGTAAAACTCCTTGATGGAGCGATCCAACTTTTCACGTTCGTTTCGCAACTCAATGTCGGCTTTCCAATGGTTAGCACGCAACTCCTTGATAGCCTTGGCCTGCTCGTCGGTGATGGCCGCCGCAGTCATGTACCGCGACCACCAATTATCAGACGATGGACCACTAATCGACGAGATCATTGGATTCTCGAGAGATGGCACGTAACCCATTGCAGCCAACTTGGCCTGTGTGTAAGGGTGAACCATCTTTTCCACCTCCTTTTCAACGATTGCATGTCTCTTTTCAATCGAGATGTGGAACAGTTGCAAGAGATAGATGAGTGATCGTTCGTCGTTCTTTTTAATAGCCACATCCAACTGTATGATAATCTGTTTGGCTTCCATCATCATTGTGATAAAGGCAGGATCTGGCTTCATAATCTCGACACCTCCTCCCTTTTTCAAACTAACGTTCTCCTTTTTCAACTTGTCATTTTCAAGTGCCAAGACTGCCAACTTTTCCTCGATATCTCGAATGTATTCTTTTTTTCTTTGTCTATAGTTTCGACTGGCCAAATTCTGGTTCTGTCTACTTCTATTCTTTTTGTATGAATCGTCATCATCACTATCGCTATCAAAGTTTGAAAGAGGTGGTGATGATTCTTTCCTACTGCCAAAATCTGGTTGAGTTGTTGTTGCAATTGGTTTTGGTGTTGCTGGTGTATTAATTGTTGAAGTATTAGTTGTAGTTGTAGTTGTAGTAGTAGTAGTAGGTGTTACATTGGCTGCATTCTTTTTTGATCCTTTTTTAGATTTTGGTGGTGCAGGTGTCGTTGTAGTCGTAGTAGTTGTAGTAGTTGTTGGTGATGTTATATTATTATTATTATTTGATGATACAGCTGGATTTAAAGGAGGTGACGCTTGTTTGTTATTTTGAATTGGTTGTTGCGGTGATGGATTTGTTTGTTGTTGTTGTTGTTGTAATTGTTGTGAAAAGTATGGGTTAGACATTTGAGGTAATTGTAATTGAACTTGATTCGTATTATTATTATTATTAGATTGTTGTTGTTGTTGTTGTTGTAATTGATATAATTGTTGTAATTGAGGATGTTGTTGTAAATTTTGTAAATTAGGTTGTGCAATACCTCCTGTATTAGTCGTCGTAGTTGTAGCTCCACCACCACCACCACCACCAGGTTGTTGCTGCTGTTGTAATTGTTGTTGTTGTTGGTATAGTGATAGCATGAGTTGTTGGTCACCTTCTCCAAATGGAACTAATTGGTGAAAGAAAGACTCGAAAGATCCTAAAGAATCCATATTAGGTTGTTGTTATTGTTGTGTTGTTTATATAATATTATATAATATAATATAATAAATATCCTCTCTTTTTTTTAAATAAATGTATGTACTGTTGGTATATATTGATATATTGATATATTGATGTTCTTCTTCTTCTTCTTCTTCTGTCAGCCACTCAATAATAAATAATAAATAATATTATTGTATCCCTCTATTGTTTATATATGATATATATGAGGGTATGGGTGGGGTTGCTCTATGCTAGCTAATCTACTACTATTAATAAAGAAGAAGAGGATATAGATATCTAATTAAAAAAAAAAAAAGAAACTGTAACGAGTTAGTGGCCACCCAAATTGAATTGCACACAGCAGCTGCTAGCTAAGAGTTGTTGTGTTGTTTGTGATGTGAGAATAAAGGGGATGAAAGAAGAGAGTCTAGAAATAGGTAGGGTTTCAAGAAGTGTAAATGGTTTTACTAAACTCTAAAGTGCATGCCATTTAAATTCTCAAAGAGAGACGTCTGTCAGAAAAAAAGTAAAAATGAAATAATTTGGAGGACATGTTCTTCTTCGCACCCTTACAACATTGCTTCACCTGACATTGTTATCCGTTGCCACCATCGGCTCACTTTAAAGAAAGAAGGATCTTTAAATATATTGTTGTTGTGTAAGATATTATATTGGATTTTCATTGATTCGATCCAATACCTGATCCCAAGCAAGACACACAATTTATATTACACTTACACTTTATATTTCTTTTTGTTGACTATTAAAATAAATAAATAAATATTATATAATATATAATTTTGTCTGTTCCTTGATCCTTGAAAATGAAGGATGGAGGGGTTGTAGTAGTTGAGAAGAAATGATCCCAAAAGAGAAATTTGGGTCAGTTGAATAAATAATACAAACTTAAATCTGCAGTACCTACTGAAACAATAAATATTGTTGTGTGGACTTTTTAAAAAGTAAAGGTGGTACAATAATATGGATGGATGCAAACAAGGAATAAAAAAAAAAAAAAGACTTTTTGTCACAAAAAAAAAGAAAAGGAAACTACTAACTTACTTGATATCCCTAAAAAGGAAATGGAGGGCTCCAACTCTCAAAAGTGAAATTCGAGAATAATTAAAGTTTGTTTTGTTGTTTTTATAATAACTCGAGGGACGTCCTTTAAACTCGAGACAGCTGGTATTGATTAGTTTATGTGTGTGTGATGAATAACTCGTGACGATGAAACGATTGTTGTTGGTTGGTTGTGTTTATAACCAAAATGTGTAGAGTTTAAATATAAAACACATATGGCAAGGTTAACGAAATATCATCAAAATTGCATGGTGGTGGTGACTCACCCAGACCCAAGAGAGCTGGATGGATTATCTACAAGTGCAGCTAGCTCGGCCTTTGGATATCTCCATCCGAGAGTGGATTAAAATAAAAGAATCCGACATGATTATACTTTGAGTTCTATTGACCAGAACGATTACTTGATTTAATAAAAATCATGGACACGCAATTTTGACATGCCAGCTTTTGTGTTTTTGAAAAGATGTCAAACAACATGGAAACTAAATATAAACCAATGAATCAATCAGTTGAATAATTAATATCCATTTTGGCACCTATATTTAATGTGAAATTCATAAATACATCTATACATCTATATAAATTTAGACTTTATTTATTTATTTTTATGTAGTACATATATGAGAAGTCAAAACAACTGCGCTGGGTTTTTCGCAAAACTCATATAAATTTGTGAGAGACCGCAAAATTCTCTCACACAGAGTGTTTTGATTTTTAACATTTTTGAAATTTTCCTTGACTTGTTGAAGAATAGAATTTTATTGACAAGAAATGGGTTACTCGAAATGTATTTACCACACTCACTCTATTTCGTAGTTGTATTATGCGTTGTATTGTGCGAGATTGATTAAATGATGATAGGTAATTACCATTATATCAGATATATGGATGTATATAGATAGATATGTATTTATAAATACACCATAGTAGAGAGACAACAACAAGATGTTGCATAAAAAAGGAGATAGAAACAAAAGATTAAAAGATCGACAAAGACCACAAGTACAACGACGACGACGACAACAACGACGTCAAATAGATAAAGAACTAAGAGATTACCTAGTCAACGACGAACAATTCCAATTCCAACCATATTACAGAGAACCCAATTTTTTTGAGCCCCAACAACTACCAGACTGGGATTACATAGAACAAGGACAACAAGATGCCTTATGTGAGCTACAAGTAGAGTATGCAATATCGGAGGCTGAATCGTATGATTGGTGGGACCAATGTGACAAAGAATTCAAACAAAGAAAGCTAGATAAATTAATACAAACATCACAACTACGAGTCAAACTACTTCCAATATTCAAACAACAACAACAACAGAAACAACAGAAACAACAACAATCAACAACACAAATCAATGAAAGAATATTTAGACAAGTATGGAATAATATATTTCTAAAAAGATTGATATGTTCAAAGATCAGGACAATATCACAAGACAATTTAATCAAACTAGAGAATTATTTCACGGAATACATGGAAGAATATTTCGAAGATCCCAACCTATTCATAGAACGACGTGGTATTTACAAGATCTATGAATGTCCTCTCATCACTGTTGACCTCTTTGCCTATCACTATGAACGTTGTCATGACAAGATTAAAGGGAGTAATGACAGTGTCCTTGAGCGTTTGTCTGCAAACCCTCGCAATATGGTTGATACGTGGCTGTTTCGTAGGGCATTTGAATACATGAAATATACAGATCCTTGTGAATTGTATGATTGTCAACGTCGTTTCAAACCATCGCACCTCAATAACTACGAGTACAAAAGCATGTGGAGAAATATTATCAAATCCAACAATGTCGAGCTATACAACTATGTCAAGACTGTTCTGCCGCTACCAAGTTGCAAGGGTCTAAAAAATATGGTCTGTCTAGCATGCAAACCCTATCTGGCCAATCGGAGGGCCGAAAAAGGACATCGTTATTTTTATAGATATGGTTTCTCCAAAAATCACGAGAAACCTGGCCATGATGGTATCACCCGACCACCCGGAACAAAATTGTTGAAAACCCTTTTAAATGACCTCGAAATAGTCAAACCCAACAAGATATGGTGGTTTGGGTGGGAAGTATATCAAGTGATGATACAACATGGATTCATTGGCACTTTGGAAAAACTACACAACTCGTATCAAATCAACGTCGATCTAAGCTATTTGTACATGGCAATTCTACATAAACAAATTGACTCTATACGGCTCCTACACCGATTCTTCAATATTCCCGACGGTCAAGATATAATCACAAAAGTGGCTGATACTTGTGATCTCCCATTCATCATTGCATTTCATAATATCGATCCTGAAGCTGGTCGTCTATACACCATCTTCCTCTATACAATGAGTTCAAGCTTTCATCTTGGTCCCATACATCTTTGTTCATCCAAAAATGATTGGCTTGACTTTCAAAAAGAGTTTTACAAACACGTCATAAAACTCGATTACATTGACGATAATCTCCAATACCATATAGACAACAGACAACCATTCCATTTCAACATGGAAACTAAATATAAACCAATGAAATTAATCAGTTGATTACAACTTTCCAAAAATAAATTAAATTAAAATAAATATACAAATTGATATTATTTATTATAATTTAACAACTAAAAGTATTATCAATAAATTTACAATATATTTCATCTTTTACATTATCGACAATTGGAACTGGATCTTGAATTTCCATACCAGTCAATTTTCTGTAGATTGCTTGAATGTCTGATTCGGGACGATTGATTGTTTTGGCAACCAATGACTTTAATTCCGTGAGACTAGTACCTTGCGTGAGAACAATCTTTTTCATAATAACTGGATTAGCATTGACTTGAATGGCAAAGGCTGGTTTGATTGGATTGTCAACGACAATGGGTGGAGAAACCAAGTCGGTCATTGCAATACCCATTTCAGAACGAATGGATTCACTTAAAATGGTTCGAGTAGCTTCTGTCTTTTTAGGGGTAAGACTACATGCAGAGAATGAGGTGAATTGTCCAGTTTCAAGATTGATGACTACTTTTTTAGTGGTGATAGATCTTGCTGACAAGCCCATATTGAATGTGAATTGATCCTCTCCACCACTACCACCTGAACTAACACTAGTAATGACAAGTGACAATAGTTCATGCTCGGTTACAACAATCTCTGTAGCCGATGCACGTTCCATCACTCTTAGAATACCAAATGATATTTCCTCTCGCTTCTTTACCATCAATTCATATACAATTCTCATTTTGGTTTCATAACTTGTCATTGACTAGATAGATCAATCAATAGATATTAATAATATATTAGTAAACAAAAAAGAAAAAGAAAAGGGGAATATGAGAGAGTACTCGTTGATAGCAGTGCGTTGCAATACATACTATATTGTATCTATCGGATGGTTTTACAGCAGCACCACCTCTTCTACCTCTTCTAGAACCTTGACCCATATTAAAGTGATGTGCCAATATTTGTGCCCAATCTTTGTGAAACTCGTTCGAGTTGTATTGTACAGGTTGAAGAGGTTGACCAACACCACCACGTCTAGGATTTGGTTTTGCTTTTAGTAGTTCTGGTGATACCTCTTTTTTAAGATATTCAACCAATTCATCTAAATGAAAGAATGAATGAATGAATGTTAATATCTATCTATCTATCTATCTATCAATTAATCTACAAACCTTTTTGATTTTCCAAAGTTGGAGGAACAAACCCTAACGACTGTGTCTCTACTCTGTCAACTGGTAAATAAAGAAAGAATTTGATCATATTATTGTTGTGACTCTAAAATATTTATATCCAAATGAGACGACTATTTAAACTTGAATGTTTTCAAATAGAGGTATTCTTGTTCTATTTAATGAAAGGTCAGGCTGATACGATAAACTCCCCATCTCTTCTCTAAAATACTAAAGCAAAAAGAACTACGATTGATAAACACAAAAATATCTCTCCCACTTTGATGAAATTAAAAAACTTTTTGGTCTTTTTCCAAACCTTTTCGCAACCTTTTTTTGGAGAGAGCAACTCACAAAGTTGGATTGGAATAATGTATTAATGTATGAATGTTTGTACTAAATATTGAAGAAGATCAACCAGATCTACCAACATAGTCATACAGAATTTTATTGGATTCACTATTTGAATTTTGATGATATTTTGAAAGACGATCAATCATTTCAATGGTTGGATAAATGATTTGATAATTTCCTTTATGCATTTTCTAAAATAGAGAGAGAGAGAGAGAGAGAAAGAGATAAAATAATTAATAAAAAATGGTTAAATATTAATTAATTAATTAATTAATAGAATAATACATACTTCATATTCAAATTGAGTAATGATATCAATTTCTTTTTTAAATTGGGATTTTGGTTTTGGTTTGATAATAAAATGATTTGGATCAATATCCATTTGATGTTGCATTTCTGATTTGGTTTCTAATTGTAATTTTGATTTAACGATTGATCTTAATTCCTTTTTAACCTTTTTACTATCATATTCAGTGTATCCAAGTAAATCAAACGTCTCTCTAATTAAAAGTAATTTGTTGTAATTGTCAAATGGTGCTAATGATCCTCCGAGTTGTGGATTTGTATTGGCTTCAATAAACATTGGTTTATAACTAAAAATTAAAATAACAAAAAAATATTATTATTAATTATTCTTTGTTTCTTTTTTTTTTCTTATTTATATTTACTTGTCTAATAAATCCATATCAACACCAAGAAGTTGGAAACAAGAAGATGAAGATTTTGTAAGATTGTTTGTTTTTGATAATACAGGTAGTTCTACACTAAACAGTGCTTTGACCATTGTTTCCTTGATATCATTCCAAAGAACGTTTGGATCATACAATTGGTTCTCTTGCAAGTATTTCCAGTACGCTCGTAGACTCCATCTACTTCCAACATTGTCAACATTGATATCGGTACTATACTCAAAGTTACTTTTACCTGAATTCACTGCTTGATTTGTAATATGCATTGACATATTATCATCATTAAATGTTTGATTATCTGATTTAAATCTAAATAAAAATATTAACAAACATGTCTTTTCTTTTTTCTTTTTCTTTCTTTTTTATATTTATATTTTATAATACTTACGGAGTAGTAGCAAATTTTAATACACCATTATCATGAATATAGACAATGAGTGGATCAAGAGAAGTAATCAAGACATACATTCGAATAGTGAATTTATGACCATTGATTAAAAGTGGATTTCGAATGTATTGTTGTACTACATACTCATCGTCATTTGGAATATGTTTGGTATTGTTGAATAGTTTGATACCAGTTCCTCGACCACCAAACTTTGGTTTCATAATCCATAAATCACTGTTATCTTGTGGTTGTTGTTTTAATGATTCATAATCCTCTGGTAATACAAATGTTGTTGGATGGAAATTAAAGTCCTAACAAAAATTAATTTAATGTAAATATTTAAATCAATAATATAATATATATATTATTTACATACATTGATACCAAATTGATTAATCATATTTTTAATATTCTTTGCAATTGAATGTTTAGCATTCAACTCTTGAGCCATACCTGGATACCTATTAATTTGTTGATTGGGTGGTTGAATCTTTGAATATAGTTTCTCTGGGAAATCATTATACTCTACCGTAGGAAGTGGGACTCTTAACCATACTAAATCAATTTCCTTTTCCTTTTTAAAATGAAATCAAAATAAATAATCTATACTTTTTACTTTCTCTTGTTTGTTCAACATACAGTATTTGTAAAATCAATCGATGGATTATTTGGAGTATATTGATTGAATCCTCTTTCAATAAATACTTCATTTAGTAGTTGTCTTGTTTTCCATCTCTTTGCTTCCAACTCTTCAAGAGTTGTAATTGGTGTTGAGGTTGTTGAGTCAGTTGAAGAAACTGTTTCTTCTTCATTTGGTAGTACCTTGGGCTTGTCTTCAGACGATAAAGGTTGTTGTTGTTGTTGTTGTTTCTTCTTTTTCTTTTTAGTCATTTTCAAACCATGAGTTTGACCATTGGGAGTGTTTACACCAAATGAAGATGTGCCTTCGATATGAGAACCAATGGAGATCTCGACAAATGACTTTGACTTTGTCTCACCATACTTTTCAATGAGGTGTTGACGGTTTGAAGAAGATACCAAGTCGAACGATAATAAAGGGGTTGTCGTCATCGTTGATGTTGAGCGATCTTTCTTTTCAAGTATTGGTTGTTCACCCACCACCACACTCTCAACCATTGCCTCTTGCTCTTGCTCTTGCTCCTTTAAAGACCATGATGGGTGTATTAGTAGTACTAACAACAACATCAAAATCACCACAAACAAGGTGCTCAATGATGTTGTTAATTGTGTCATCTTTTCTGTCTCTATCTATCTATCACAGCTAGTCGGTCACCTCTAGATAATAGAATAGATGCAGCTGTGGATGGTTCAATATTGAAGAGAGAGAGAGCACCTTTAAGGGAAGATATTCATTCATGCATTCGCTAAATAGAACATTCAATAAAAAAAATCTTCCTTCCTTTTGTTATCGGCCCTCTCACATGCAAATAAGGAAAAAATCTTCCCTTTTATGATGACAACAAAAAAAAGCGTTGGTGTTCTCGGTTTGTCGAAATTCCATAGAGTAGTCCCATTTTGGGAATATTTAATTTATTTTTTAATTTTCTCACTTTGTCAACTCTCAGATGCCCCAACTGCCACTCACACTCAAAGTAGTTATCATTGTGAGGAGAGTTAATTAATCGAAACAAGAAATAATCAGAGTTACCTCTTTCTGTTCTATCTATCTATCTATCTATCTTACACCTATTTATTTATTTATTTATTATTATTATTTAATTTATTTATTAAAACAACATAATAGAATAGTATAGAATAGAAGAGATAGGGTAGTGAGCGATGAAAGTTTAGCATTTACTCTCTGTCATCAATTTTAAAAAGTAAGAGAGGACACATGTGTCGATATTAAAGAACACAAAAAAAGAAAGATAGATCTTCTGGTGATTTATTTGTTTTATGGGTTGATGGATCGGTAGGGATCGCATGGGATGGGATGGGATAGGATAGGATAGAATATCAATCATGATAAAATATACGTTATGTTGTTTATTCTCAGAGCAACAACAAACAATTACAAGTCGCACACACACTCATCGATATACGATCACATGATATGGTCATATTATCTACTTTTATCTATTTACCATCCCTTGCTCATTATAATGCCCCCCGTCATTTCATCTCCTTGTTTGTTTGTTCATCAAGCAAGCAAACATCAATTAATTGCGCAATTAATTGTTGTATACTGTGCGATGGTGGGTGGTGTATACACCAACTATGTTGGTTGTAACAACACAGAGAATAGAGAATAGAAAGAGAAAGAGAGAGAGAGGAGAGAGAGAGAACAGCAACAAAAAATGAAGTCGATAACACGATGATCATCATTAGCAATAAGCACAAAGAGGAAATAATTGATAATAGTGGGGTGGTGACATTACTACAATGATCTCTATCTCTTTTGTGTGTAATGGATATTCATTACACTTGCATTGTCATATGATGGCAGAGAGAGATAGTTGGTGTGATGAACCAACAGTGAGCAGTAGGTGGGAAATCTAACTTTTATCCTGTTGACACACTAAACCACCACCACCCCATTCACCACCATTTACCACCATGTCAGTTGGAGATGCTGTGTTTGACTGATTGATATTTGCAATAATAGTGTCTTGGTTAATACATCAAAGTAAAGCAAAGAGAAGCAGTGGTGGAATTATTATTGTTGCAACAACATTATATATCGTAGTATCACATTATTTGTTATTGTATTTTTTTGTTGTTGTATTACTACGCTAACCAAATAAGAGATATAAAAAAAAGTAAGTGAGTAGCTTTTTAATTTGTATATATATTCTGTCAGTCACACACCATCCATCCATCCATCCCTTCCAACGATTCAAAATTTGATTTGCGACACCAATCAATATCAATAATAACATATCATCAACCACCATGCCAACTCACCATACACACCATCCACACACGCTCCCTCTTTTTTTACCACCAAACAAATAAATCCTTCCTCACACTCACCATCCACTCCAAAGAGAAAAAGAATTCTACTACTACTATTATTATTTGTGTGTGATAGTTTGTGAGGGAGTGATAGATAAAAAATATATAATATCTGTTTGTTTTCTAATTGTTTGTTGTTGTTTGTTTGTTGATATTCAACTTTGCGCAGCTTTGTTTGTTTTTTTTTTGTGTTGTTGACTGTTGACTGGATGAGTATTGTATAAATTAAAATTCCATTAATATTTGACAAAGAATTATTTTTTCTAATCCTTTTTTTTTTTTTTTCTTGTTGTTGCTTATTTCCCCAAATAGCATCTCATTGTATCAATCACACACAGGTTATAATAGATTAACAATCCATAGCTCCATCCATCAAAAATTTGGAAAAATACAAAAAAGAAAAAAGAAAAAAGAAAAGATTTCCATCAATCAATTCAATTCAATCAATCAAATAATAATTAATTAATAATAATTTTAATCAATGGTGATTTAGTAACTCAAAAGGAAAAGCCCCCTAAAACAAACTATATTTGTTTATATAATTTCTTCCACCCCCCCCCCAACCCTTCTTCTTCCTCTTCTTTTTAACATTTATTTGACAACTTTTGTCAAAAATCAACAAATCCAACCATTCCAACTCCAATCAAACAAATTCATTATTAAGTTTCTTGAAACCTAATAACCAGACCTGGTTGTTTCATCAACCACACACAAATTAATTGGTTACTTATTATTGTTGGAAATCAATTTCCAAACATAATTCTAATCGATTAGTTTTCTTCCTGCTTTTTAATACTTCCCTACTGGAAGAAAAGCACACGCTCAGAGTAGTTGCCCACAGACATCAAGATCCGACGACAACACCAACTATTCATCGTCCAGTTTATCCATTTCCGCACATTTTTTTTTTTAACAACGTGGAATGAATCAACGATCACAATAATTAATTAAAAGATCACCCCCTCCCCACACACACATTTTTAGATTTGTATAACAACAATGTAAGTCATTCAAAAGTAATTGATCAAATATACTTGATGATATTTACAATACTATTTCTATTCTTTAGATTTATTGATTAAAAAAACTCCCCATCTCCCTCCCACTTTTCATATTTAAACACACAATCATAATGAAATATAACTAGAACTAGCTCTCTAAAAGAAAAAGAAAAAAGAATTTAATATTCAATCAATTTTGGATCATCCTTTTTTGGTTGGTATATTTTTTTTTTTTTTTTTTTTAATTAATAATAATATTCCATTTTCTATCTTTTGTTTATTTGTATATATAATAAAACAATAACCTCCCCTATAGTAACTATATATATATATATAATTATATAAATACATCACACACACCAATAATAATAATTTAACAAATAATAATAATTATATATATATATATTTCCTTTTCTTTTTTTTTTATTTGTACATACAGCACCATTTTATTGCTAAATTTTTTAGCTTGTACATTTTTAGTTTCTATTTTTGTAAATTTAGAATCACCATCATCTCCATCTCCATCTCCACTCACTCATTTTCCCAAACAAAACCATGGTATCAATAGCACCAACTCCACTTTATTTGCCTTCAGAGGAAGCAAATAAAATTTTCAAATCCCCTATTCCCCAAAGAAGGGATATCTCATCTTGTTCCAATAAGCAACAAATCGATCCATCAGATAACAATAATAGCAATGCCGTCAATGTCGGCGAAACCTCCACAAGTTATTCCAATGTAATTGCAACTAGTACAACACCCATTGTTGTTGATGGACCACCACCACGTCCTCATCGTCAACAACCACCACGTTCCCATCTCAACAAGTCATCAACCAATACTCCATCTGTCCAAGCTTCACCACCCCCATCGCGTCGTGACCTCTCCAACCATCTTTTATACCTTCCAGCCACACCACATACAGTATTGGCAAACAACCTATTGAGAGGCCGTAAAAGAAAGAATGTACGTCCATTTGACAACCAACAGTCTGGTCTTGTTCAAGATGCATCTGGCGGTCTCGACCAATATTCACCCAAGTTGTCGGTTGGCAATGGTCTCGGAGGAGGTGTCTATTTCCTCAAGAATGCCAGTGGTGAGAGTGTAGGAGTATTCAAGCCACTTGATGAGGAGAATGGCATCGAGCTATCTTCCTCACCATTGGGACAGGGCCTAAAGAATGGAACACTTGTCGGTGAAGGAGGGATCAAGGAAGTGGCCGCATACATCTTTGATCAACTCCATGGAGGATTCTTCCAGGTTCCCACTACCGCTCTCGTCCAGGTTAAACACCCCATGTGGTCTGTCACGGTTGGTGGAGTCGACTCTTCACCAGATCTGACCAACAAGCCACCCTCACCCACTCTACTCGCAAAGACTGGTTCACTTCAGCGATACATCCCATTCGATGGTACTGCCGAGGAGATTGGATGCAGCAAATTCTCTATTGCCGATATCCATCGTATCGGTCTATTGGATTGTCTCATCTTTAATTGTGATCGTCATTCTGGTAATATTTTAGTAGTTTGTCAAGACGACGAAGAACAAGAAGAAAAGGAGGAAAATGCTGAAACTGATCTACCACTAGTCAAGAATCCATTCAAGATTAACAAGACAATGAATAATAGTCAATTTGAATTGATTCCAATTGACCATGGTCTCTGTCTGCCAAGTTCGGATTCCCTTTCCGATAGTTGGTTTGATTGGATCAACTTTCCACAAGCCAAGGTTGCATTCTCTGACGAAACCAAACAATTCATACTCGACATTGATATTGACCAAGACATTCAAAAGATCAGTGAAGCTTTGCCTGAACTAAGACACAAATGTTTAGAGACTCTCAAAATCACTACCCTTTTCGTTCAAGAATCGATCCGTGCAGGATTGACTCTCCATCAAATCGGGCTTCACCTCTCTCGATTCTTTGATTTGAATCGTCAATGTGCTCTAGAATCCATTGTTCAACAATCAATGGTCTTGACCAATAACAATAACAACAACAATAACAACAACAACAACAATAATAATAATCAAATCTCTTTATTGTTTAATCAATCTTTTTGGATTGCTTATCAACAAGAGGTTAAATCATTTTTTTTTAATCAATCCAACAACTTATTAAATTAAAAATAAAAAAGTCTTTAAATTAATTAAATCTTTGTGATCTCAATCAAAAAATTAAAATTAAATATTTAATTAATATCCCCTATCGATTGTGTGAGTGTGGTTGGGTTAACAGTTTTTAATCAATCAATCAAATATTAAAATCATTTCTTAAATTATCTTTTTTAAAAAAGAAGAAAACAAGAGTATATTTTAAAAAATGGGAGGAGCTTTATCATCAATACCAGATAGAATGATTAGTCAACAAAAGATATTACAACAAGATATGATGGAAAAGAATGTTTGTACTTCATATGATTGATTGTTGGTTCATTTTTGATTGATACCTTAGTTTTTTTAGATAAAGAATCAAATTAGATTTCAAGATAGAATGTTGAGAAAACAAATAGCAATGCAAATAGCTATTACAAGAGAAAGAACTTATTGGTGTATAGCATTGGCTACAGTAGGTTGGATAGGTGTAGCTGTCAAGAAGGTTCCAAAGATGGCAGCAGCTCCATTAAGTCTATTTACATTGGTGACAGCGTATCAAGCCGATCTAGCATTTTACACCAAAGCAAATAGAATTAAAAAGATGGCAGAAGATATTGAAAATGATCCATCTTATTGGTTTGTTCCAACTGATCCAGCAGGAGGTCAACCATAAAACATTGTAGTAGTCGTACTTTGAAAATAAAAATAAAATGATTAACCCAAATTTGGGTAGGGGCTTTTCACAGTGAAATTCATCCTTTCATTCTTCACTTTCGATCGATCATTACATATATATATAGTAGAAAATGAAGAAAGATAAAAAGAATAATAATAGTAGTAGTAGTAGTAAACCAACAACAACAACAACAACAACAACAACTTCTCCTTCTTCATCAACTTTAAGAAAAAGACATGTTACAGGAATCAATATATTAGAACAATTACCATTATCATATTTTATATGTTTATTGGTAAGATTGATTATTGGGATATCATCAATTGGTTATATTCATCCAGATGAATACTTTCAATCACCAGAGATTACCGCTTCCGATATATTCAACTTTGATACATTTAGAGCATGGGAATATGATCCTACTAACCCTTGTAGATCAATCATTGTACCGTATGTTAAATATATATATATATATATTGTTAATTACACTCATCGATCACTCATTTCTTATACATTTTAATCCTCTCTCTCTCTCTCTTCTTTTTTCTATTTAGAATGATTAATTCAGCAATACCATATTTTACTTTTAAAAAAGGTACAATTATTATTAGAGATTGTATTTGGGTATCAAGGAACTATAGTCAATGGATATACATTGTTTGTAATGCCAAGACTATTTGCAGTATTTTCATCGGTCTTGTTGGATTATTATGTTTGTTTGTTATGTCGACACTACCGACTTTCATTCCAAAAGGCATTGTCTGTCTTGTCGTCGTGCTGGCTTATTATCATCTTTCACAGTAGAACCTTTTCAAATACGATCGAGTCACTTACCGTTGCAACACTATTGACCATTGTGTTGCTGCAGGACGGTAAAGGATACAAATACATTGGTATGGTGACACCAAACACACCTAAACGAAAGAGATCGCCTCTGCCATCCATCTCGGTCTATGACTTTTTAATTGGCGTGATTGTGGCATTTGGAGTGTTTGCACGATTCACCTTTGTCTTTTTCGCCATCCCCATTGGTATCTACTTTTTAATTCGATTGTTCAAGTGCTCCAAGAACCTACTCAGTGCCATTGTCAAGTGTGTCAACATTGCCAGCGGGTTTGTAGCTGCCACCATCTCTTTTATCATCATTGACAGCATCTACTTTGGCTATTTGGATCCGTCCAAGGCGATCGGCTTTATCGTGTCACACTATATCGTCGGCGAGAGTTTCAACACCGATATTTTCTCACAACTCACTACACACTCGATCGAACCGTGGCGACAAAACTTTACAATCACTCCACTCAACAGCTTGCTCTATAATTTGGATCCAGAGAATCTGGCATTACACGGTATCCACAATCGTCTCACTCATCTCTTTGCAAGTCTTCCATTAATGATTGGACCATTAATCATAGTCTTGACAATTGAAATCATATCTATTATTAGAAATTATAATAGTAATAGTAATAGTAAATCAAATCAACCGACAACAAATAATAATAACAATAATAATAATAATAATAGTAATAATAATTCAGAGAGTGGAAATGGTAGTAGTGAACAGACCGTTAATATGAATGGAGATTATTTATTACCATGGAGTGTAAGATTGACAATAGTAGGAGTTATAATGAGTGGATTATTCTTTTTATCATTGGCACCACATCAAGAGGCAAGATTCCTACTACCAATCTTTTTCCCATGTGTATTGGTTTGTTTTAGATATTTCTATATGCCAACTAAACGATCAAAGTATCTAGTCATTGTCTGGATACTATTTAATATGTTGGCTACCATCTTTTATGGATTCATTCATCAAGCTGGTGTAGTCCCCTCACTTATTCATCTTCAAGGTCGTATAAGTAATAACAACGTTAATAATAGTATATCTTCGTCATCGTCATCACCACATTTTGTTGATATTGATCCAAACCAAAAATTAAATATTATCTATTTCCACACATATATGGCACCAAGACATTTATTGGGTATTGGAGCAGATCAAAAGGATAGAATCAAAGTGTACGATGTATCAGGCGACTTTTCCAAACTATCAACACTTATGGACTCTTTTAACGACAATAGTCATACAATTGTTTTGACTCCCAACAAAAAGATACTCTATGAACAATTCCGTCACAAAACTTGTCAATTGGTAGATTCCTTTTGGCCTCATATCACTACCGAAGATCTACCAGATTCTCTCTATAACCTTAGATTATTCTTATTATCTTGTCATGAAATTTAATAAATAAAAGGAATAAACAAATAATAATAATAGGTTTAATTGTTATTATTTTAATTTCTTGAAAAAATCTTTGTTTTTTTTTTTTTTTTTTTGAACTTTTTTTTGATCTTTTAACTTTAGTGGACTTCACAACTTGATTAATTAAAAAGTTATATTAAGAAGAGTTATATAACTTACAGAGAGAGATAATGGCAAATGCAGCAGACGCTTTAAAGAGATTTGAAGTTGAAAACAACATTCAACAAGTAGATCATGACTCATTGTTTAAATATAATGAAGTTCAATATAAACAATTCTTGGATGCAAAACCATGGGCTAAAGAGTAATAAATAATGATATAGATAGATATAGACAACTACTAGAAGATGATTACTAATACCTCTTTTTCTTTCTATATCTCTAGTCCACACTATTTCAAACATGTAAAGATTTCAGCTATTGCATTATTAAAGATTGTTATGCATGCAAGATCAGGAGGAAAGTTGGAAGTTATGGGTTTGATGATGGGAAAGATTGAAGCCCACACTATGATTATTATGGATTCTTTTGCTTTGCCAGTTGAAGGTACCGAAACTAGAGTCAATGCCCAAGCCGAGGCTTACGAGTACATGGTCGAATACCTTGATCTCATCAGAAAGACTGGTAGACTCGAGAATGCTATCGGTTGGTATCACTCTCATCCAGGTTATGGTTGTTGGTTATCTGGTATTGATGTTAGCACTCAAATGGTTAATCAACAATATTCTGAACCATGGTTGGGTATTGTAGTATGTTAAAACCACTTTTAAAAAAAATGAAAGAGAAAAGAAAAAGAAAGGAAAAGGTTTGAGAGAAAAGATTGATTAATATTTATCTATTTATTTATTTACTCTTTTAGGTTGATCCAACACGTACCATTTCAGCAGGCAAGGTTGAGATTGGTGCCTTTAGAACCTATCCAGAAGGTTACAAACCACCTAATGATGGTCCATCTGAATACCAAACCATTCCAATGTCAAAGATTGAAGATTTTGGTGTTCATTGTAAACAGTAAGACGTGAAAACAAAAAAAAAAAGAGACTAATATAAATGTAAACTTGAAATAACTAATCTTTTACTTTTCATTTAGATATTATCCACTTGAAATTTCATATTTCAAATCTTCATTGGATTCACAATTATTAGATAAATTATGGAACAAATATTGGGTTAATACCCTTTCGTCTTCTCCAATCTTTACCGTAAATATATTTAAAAAATAATGAATTGAGATAAATAATATATTAATATTCATTTATTTTTAATTTTTTAGAATCGTGATTATATTACAGGTCAAATTGGTGATATTAGTGAGAAATTAGAACAAGCTGAAAGTCAATTATCAAATTCAAAGTCATCATTGTTGTTGGGTGACAAGAAAAAGGAAGAAAGTCAACTTGATAGAATCGTAAAGGACAGTTCCAAGGTTACCATTGAACAAGCTCAAGGTATCATGTCTCAAGTTATGAAGAATCTTGTTTTCAATCACTCTTGCAAACCACAAGGTCAATAAGTGACAGACAGTCAGCGATAGTAGAAAAAAAAAAGATTTGTTTTTGAAAAAGATTCAAATCACATACACAACCAGGTCATCCAGAATCTGACATCCACCACTCGAAAGAATTATCAATCAATCAATATAATATAAAATAAATATTGAAACAATAGTGTAACATACATTTCCTCTCTCTTTTCTCGCTCTTGAAAACCTAGACTAAATAACCTTCTAACAAACAAATATAAAATAGAGTAGAAACTCGAGAAACATATTTGTGTTTAAATAGATTCTAGAAAATCTATTTAAAATATAGTTCGGAGAGTTGGGACATTGTTGAAAACCATCCATTCGGAAAATGGTATGCCCTACTCGAGAGCTCCTACGATGCCATCTTTTCGAGTCGACGGTAATAGTCTTTTTCCTTTTCCTGTTTATTTAACAATGGTAGAGCGAGCAAAGGTCGTTTGATGAGGTCAGCAAATCCGATTTGGGTGTAGCTAGCCCCCAACAACTCATACCCAGAGAGATGTGTCGTCGGAGTTTGCTTCCACACACATGGAATAAAACCAACCAATTTTATTCAGTGAACACCGACAATAGCCCCTCCCAAGACTCTCATTTTGATAAAATATCAATCAAGGGTGACGTCAGAAAATCTCCATTGATGAAACGAGAACACCCCGTTCTCTGATGCATCAATCTGACCTGATCAATTCGAATTTTTACAAATGTCTCTACAAGGGCCACCACTCGTATTAGGTCCCTTTATTTTTTGTGTCGAGATGAGAGAACCCAGAACCAGACGAAAAGGCAAAGATACTTTTTTTTTTTCCATCAAATATCTTCTTCTTTACTTTTTTGAAGTTAGGATAAAATTCCTTTGCACAACATTTTAAAACAGAATAAAATTTTATTCTAAAATCAAGATTTTTAAATCAAATTTGGGTTCTTGACATCATTCTCGTTTTGCTCACACTCCACTACAATAAAACATCTATCTCCTATCACTGTTATATAAAATTTTATCTCTCTCTCACTCTCTGTCACTATCAAAATCGATCGGGTTTTATTTAATTATCTCCGATACTCAAAGAAGCAAAGAAAGAAATAGAAAATCTAATCATTAAATAGAATTGTAAATATCAAAACTTTTACATTTATTTATTTCAACTGTTGTTATTTGTTCAATACCGATGCCACCATTGCCCTTAAAAGGTGTTTAAAACAAAAAAAAAAAATCAAAAACCCAACCCGTTCGTTGCTTATCTGTTCATCATCATAGGATGTTGGGCTTTTTCAATCTCCAATAGAACATCATCATCATCATATCTAACAAACAAAAAATCATCATGATTCACAGTAGGAGTGAAAAGATATCATTTCACTTGATACCATATCATCTCTCATTTAACTTAAAGTTCCGATTCCAATTCAAATAATCATCAACAAGTAATAATAGTAGTAGTAGAAAAAAAAGGTATATTTTAAAAACAGTTGGTCGGTCATACTTTAATTGGTCAATGATTGATATCGCTATGACCTATTTATGTTATTGTTTAGTACATCAAGGGTTCTATTTGTTGATTTCGTCAGAAGGAGCCAAAAACATCTACTCTTAGTTTTTCTTTTCTCTCACTCTCTGTCTCCCTCTATTTATACATAAAACATTGTTGTTTGGTGGGTTAAATCTTTTTACCAAAAGACGACCCTGCTGTTGTCAACAAACAAAACTCACCCCACAATTGGGCACCTCTTACCCCCCATTTCCACTCAGCTCCACCACTACCACCACTACCACCACTACCACTACCACCAATATTTCAAGATATGAAATTGAAAAGGAGAAGGAAAATAGTTGGGGGTCTATTACTTTTAAGAGCCGGGCCATGATATATTCATTTTGGGTTGATGCAATAATGGTGATATATGTTATTGTACAATAGGCACCTTCCTTTTCACCTCCTTCAATTACAATCACCATATATACAGTGTACACTGAAGTGCTAAAATTCGTTTGTAATATTATTATTTCTTTGTTATTTTTAATTTCAAATACCTGTAATCCAAAAATATTAATTAGTTTTTTTTTTTCTTTCTTGTTATCTATTTCAATCTATAATAGTTTACAACAACAAATACAAAAGATTAAAATGTAGGTAAAAAATATATTGTGAAACCTCACAGCAGTTTGGGGTGCTCAATGTACATATATCTCCAAAAAAAATCTATTCCTTGTTGCATTGCATCACTACCCCCACCCTACTCCTACCTATATATTTTCGTTCTATAGAGTTTTTGTCATCACACGAGAGAGAACCTTTTGTTGAATTTCAACATCATCCAAAATTCATTTCAACAACCTTTTTTTTCCATTCCTCTTTTGGTAAATGTTCCATGAATGGGAATTAAAAAAAAAAAACCAAAATCAAACCAGGTTTCAAAGGTTTCTTTGTCTCTATGCATATGGAATATTGGGATCGACCAACCCTACCCTCATATCGAGCATCCTCTTTTTTTTCGTTGCATTCTATAGCAAGTTGTTCCAAGAGGACTTTTCTTTTCTTTCCTTTTTTTAGGTTCCACACGCTTTTGTGATATCATTCATCTAAAATACATTTGTTGTCAACAAGGTTCAATTAATTAATTAATCGAACAATGTTTTAGAATCGTTGAGGAAAAACCTTGGAACAACCTTGCAGTACTGAATTGCAAGCTATCCTATCCCATTACACGCAGCAATGACAACATCCAATCCATACCTAAAACCTTTTCTTCTAGTTTTATAATTTTTTTTCGATTTGAGCAACAATTAAGAAGAGTATCTTTTTGCAATATATTGCAATTGGTTAACCCAAATACTCTAAAGTGTATTTACACAAAGTGAACAAACAAACAAATAATTTAATCATCACAAAAAAAAAAGATTAAAAAAACAAAAGAGAATATTAATAATAATAATATAGATATATATATAATGTATCTATAACAACAAAGACGAACAACAAATTACTGTGTGTATTATTTCTAGACATTTTCTCTCACTTGTTGTTCTACTGTAGAACTTTTTATTTATATTTAAAAAATTGTTTTTTATCTTTTTTTTTATCTTAATAATTTAAAATACTATAGCTTTCACCCCCCACTATATTAAAAGTTTTAATAATCTATTTTTTTTTTTATCACCTCTCCCAAACAACAACAACAACAACCATTTTATATTGACCAAAGAGCTCTTATATCTTTACATACTTACTCCTCTATTTTTTTTTATAAGCTAGCTTTATCTTTATAATTTTATTTATTTAAACATTTTTATTATGGTAAGTCATATATTATAATATATCTCCCTCATCCCATCATCTTATTGTTATATATATACAATCAATCAATCAATCAATCAATTAAACAATCACGATTCAATCAATCAATCAATCAATTAAACACGTAACACACACAAATAACATCCCCATGATCCATAAATCGATAAACCTTTATCCGTCAACCGCCGATTGACCATTGATTCAATCCGACCAACCAACCAATCAATCACATACCAATTAATTAATTAATTGCCATATACATCAACCCTCGTTTCCTTTTTTGGTACCTACATCATCCACTTTCTCCTCCTCACCTGTTGATCATCATTGTTTATTTATTGTATGCGTCTGCCCATCCATATATTATTCACTTGATTTCGATGCACAACAACAACAACAACAACAATTTAGTAATAAATGCTAAATACATTCTCCCTCACACACTCGCACACATTCAAAGTATGACATTCTTTCTTGCTTGGAATGGTATACATGTCCTCTTCCAAAACACAATTTAATTAATTCCAGGTTTCCAAAACCCTTATTATTATCCTTCTTCATCATCTTTATCATCATCATCATCATCATCAAACCTGTCATCATATCTAAATGTAAAAAAAAAAAAACAGGAAACAGGATATCTATCTAAAATGATGTGTTATTCATTTCACCACACTTTTGATTCGCTACGCTACGACAACTACGAGGAGAGCGGGTTGGATTTGATTTTTTTTTATTTATTTTTTTCCCATCCAATCCACACGTCCATACGATTTGATTGACCGTTTTTAGGGGTCAGTCAGTCAGTCCTGTCCTGTCTGTCTGTTTGTTCACCACACCACTCTTTTTGATTTTGTTGTTATTGTTGGAAATCATCGTATATGAAATCACTATATATGTATTGTTTACACCTACCTTAGTGTACTACGTACATACGTACGATCGTTCACACATCTCCTCCATTCACTCAAAAGGGGATAATCATGCTAGCATGTCAATACTAAAAAAAGAACTATATATAAATCACCCTCCCACACACACACACACATATATGGTGGAAAAAGGAAAAAGGAAGAAGAAGAGGAGGAGATAAGAAAGTTTAAGTAGAAAATCTTCCTCAATCTCTTACCCATAGGTAGATTCCCAAACAACAAACAACATCCATCTAAATTTTGTAGTCCAATCATAGATATGGAAACGAAAAACAATAGGCGGTGGTTGTTGGTTGGTTGATATGATTTGAATCATATGCCATAATGCTTTTCCCTCAATACACTATATTATATTGCATTACCACCAATATTTCCACTACCCACCAATATAAATTTATACATACATCCTTCCCTCTCTCCTCACTACTACTACTGCACCCTACCATTGTTTATCACAACTTCACATTAAAAGGAGGAAAGAGGAAAGAGGATAGATGGAAATACGAAAATTATTTGTAGTAGCTAGTTGTTGCAGTTGTCCATGATTTCTATTATCGTTATTATTGACAAACACAATTGGTGTTCATTTTTTTTTTTGGTTTCCTATTGTAGGAGCAGTCATAAAAAATTAAAAACACAAACAGAATCTATAGAGTTTCTATAGTTTTTTTTTTTTGTCTCCTCCTTTTCCCACCCCATCCATCCATCTATCCATCGGTACATGCAATCTTTTCCAAAATATATATTATAAAACTACTATAGTAGTTATAGTAGCCTTTTGAATTATTATTTATGTAACTATCATTTACGACTACGACGACTACAAGACGACAATTCAATATACGTCTTTATATGGCATTTTCTAAATTGTTGTTCCATGTGTCTCTCTTTTTTTTTTTGTAGATATATATAAAATATTTTTTTTTTTCAAACAATCTCGATATTGGGATTGTTATTTTTTTCCCTTTCCTCCTTCCTTTCCTTGAACAACACAATTTCCAGACCAGAATATTATTACAATTCTCCTAACATTCACAATTTTGATATTTTCAAAAATTATAGGTTATTATCCTGAAGCAGGAAGATAATCCAAAGAAGAAAGAATTAGCCATTCAACCAACTCTACTACTACTACAACAGCTACAACAACAACAAGAATAATAACAAAACAACCTATATTATCGCCAACCAGAGTAGCAGCGTTCTATAGATTTTTCAACACCCCCACACACTAGATCTTCATTTTTCAGTCTCTAAATCTCAATTCGTGTGAGAATTCTTTTCCGACCACTTACGACGACCGTCTTTTTTCATATTTCTCTCTCTGTTGTGCAGGTCAGTCTATTGTATATATAGATTCTAATCCTTCCGGTAGTTTCCACCACTCTCTTTTTCTCTCCCACCACAAGAACAACAACAACATTCTTTTGGAACATCGACTCGGTTAGCAAAAAAACTAGACCACACGCACGTACCCACACACACACAACGGCAATAATTGCTACTACTACCCGCCACCGCTACTACTACTACTCTACTATAAATATCTATACCTCTGGTAAGTGTCCCACCTATATGTCCAACATTTGAATTTAATTTCATCACAAAGGCAAAAAACTCGAATACTTATTCAACCACCAAATATTACTATTTCTTTTCTTTTCTTTTCTAGTTTCTATACTTTTTTTTTTTTTTTATCGAATGTTGAATATAGTATCGAATCAAAGCCTTGGTAATTTTGTATCAAATATGAACTCATTTCCTTCACAAAATGAGTCACCTTTTTCATATGCTGGAAACTTAAATGGAAACGACTCTCAAGACCCATATGGTGACATCTCCTCTAGTAGTCTACATCAAGCAGTTCCTTTTGACAATGATTCTCTTTTACAACATTCTGCTTTATATTTGGAAAATATCTTAGAACATACTGATGTAAGGAAAAACAAAAATTAAAAAGAAAAAAGAAAAAAAGAAAAAGAAATAATATTAATATTTACTATTTTGTTTAGGATAATTATTTACATGAATCATGTAATGAACATGATTTAATTGATCCACAATGGGATGAAAAAGAAACAATGACATTGATTGAATTGGCAGGAACTGTTGGATTTAATTGGAATGAAATTTCAAAAAGAATGAATAAAAATCCAGAGGTAAAGTAAAACAAATATATATAAATATAAATATTCTTTACTAATTTCTATTTTCTTTTTTATTTTTTTTAGGATTGTCAAAAAAGATATGAATTAGTAATTAAAGTATTCGAATCTAAACCAAATTTATCAAGAAGTTCAGGAAATAGTATAGAGACATCATTATCATCAAGTTCATCACCTGTTCAATCACCAACGATTAATAGTTCAGTTCCATCGCCAGATACAGACAATACTAGTAGTGACGACAAATTTGATGGAAGCAGAAGAAGAAAATCAACATCTACTGTAATGGACCACAATCTAAAAAAGAGACATAGAAGAACGGCATCGGAGATTGATAGATCCTACAAGTGTTTTGCACCAAGTTGTAGTAAATCCTATGGTACAGAGGGTGCTCTCAAGATGCACTTTAAATTAAAACACCCAGGTGTCAAGATTCCACAGGTTGGATTCTCACCAACTTTGCACGGTCAATTCTATCATCAACCGAGAATGATTAGTCCCTACAATGCATCACCATATCTTTGTCCAACTGACATTCAAAAAGAACTTGTATACAATGCTCAGGCAGGTGGAAATAATCAAAACCCATTCCTTCCACACTCTTATCCACAATTACCTACTTTTCCAAAGCAACGTGTCATCCTCCCTAATACCAGTCTGAGTGCACCTTCCATCCCAATCAATAGTAACCCCAACCTACAACCTCTAGCGCCTGGTTCATCAACCAGTTCTTTTTCCCCATCATCGTCATCATCGGATCTCCAATCATCTCTAGAACCATTCATGACTACTCCTGTCCTCGTCAACTCCAACTCTAGTAATAGTAATAGTTCACCACCATCGGCATCACAACAAGTCTATAGATTCTCAGACTTACCATCCATTTCGCTAAAGATTGGTGGGTGGCAGAAACAATCGCAGTTTTGTGGAGATTTGGTTGCTAGATTTTCGTATACCGAACACAAATTCATGTGGGAGATTTACAACCACGGTGAATCGCTGACCAAGATGGAAATTTTTTTCGACGACCTCTGTGGCATGGAGTTTGCACCCTATGCAGACGATCGTATAGACGTGAGCTTTCTGCTAAAGAAACCACCTCAATTCTATGAAGCCAAGTTTGGTCCAAACCAACAAGCATCGTCTTCCAACATGACCTACAAATCAACATCAGACTTTACTGGAGGGGAGGCCCTCCAATGTAAAAAGCACACACTTTGCTTTATCAAAAATGCCCTCTCAAAACCACTCGAAGCTCTTTGTATTACTGATCCAAAATTAAAATCCTTTATTGAAGCTTCAAATTTGGACATTTCAACTTTTACTCCTCTAAATAATAATCAAAATCAAATAAGTACTAATAATAATATACAATTTAATAATAATAATAATAACTTTGTCAATACTCAATCAAATAATGGTCAAATTAATAATAATAATAATAATGGTAACCCTGTTTATTTAAATCCATCACTTTATAATAATAATAATAACTTTATTAACCAACAACAACAACAACAACAACAACAACCACAACAAGCAACAATAGCATCAACAGCAACCGTAATAATTAATCAACAACAAACATCCGATTCATCAACACCCCTTTGTACAGAACCACTATCACTTCAACAACAACAACAACAACAAACAACGTCACAACAACAATTATCAACACATGATTATCTTGCATCATCTCATCAGAATATTTCAATCCCATTACAACAATTACAACAACAAATACTTACCAATTCACCATCACTCAACAAATCATCCAACCTACTAGCACCATACAATTCCAGTATTCCACAACATTCTTTAAACAATAATGTTCCATCTGCTTGTTTGGACCTTTTACCAGAACAACCAGGAGACAATAACAATTTCAACAACAATATTGCCAATTTCAATCCAACAGGAGGATGTACACCAAATACTCCATTGTTTAGTAGTACAGAATTGACTAAACGTCTAAATGACAATTTAGCTCTCTGTAGTCCTTTGATTTCTGGTCAATCTATTCATCAATTACAACAACAACATCAACAACAACAACAATCTTTACAACAACCACAAAACAATATTGTATCTCAAGAAATGAATCAAATGAACCATCCACCAATATAAAATCTATTATTTATATTTTTGTAATTTCTTTTTATTTAAATCAAATAAATATAATTACCCAATAATAATATAATTTTTTAAAAACTACCCAAACCAGAAAACCAAAAGGTATCACTTTTTTTTTTGGATTCTTTTTTCAAAATTTCCCTCCAAAATTTGTGCACAAGTTCAAAATACAGATTAATTTATCATTTTATTTGTTTAGAACTGTACAAATATGATGAATAATAATAATAATATAGATTTTGAAAAAGTTTGTGATGATATGAAAAGAATAGAAGAATTGGTAGATAAATGGAAGAGTGAACACTTTGATGTTCTTAGACGTAATCATATATCTCATATTACAAACATGAGAAGATTAGAAGAGAATATCACTCATTTAAATAGAGATGAACAATTCTTGAAACAAAATGATCAACATTCAAAACAAAGTAAAGAAAAAGAAAATGAAAAAAGAAAGAGAATAAAAGAAAAGAGACATTAAACTAATCTTTTCTTTTTCTACTCTTTTTTAGTAATTGAAAAACAACAAACACAAATACAATCATATATTGATGAAATTGAAATATTAAAACAAAAAGAGATGCATCTTCCACCCAATTCAAATCAATTGAGACAAATGTTGGATACAGAGACCAATGATAAATTGGTACTAGAGAATAGATCCAATCAATTACAATCAACCAATCAAGTACAATTGGATAATCTGTCAAGTCATACGACCTATTTTAGAAAATATCTATCATTGGATATAGAGATTGCAAAAGATGGCATTAAATTTATATTTACAAACATTGACAAGATGGATCATACTAGAAAATTCCAAATTACACTCACGTTTGATGAAAATGATGAATACAAGGTATTGGAATGTAGTCCAATGATCAACGATTTGGATACACAATTGGAACATTTAAATGTAAATAATCAATTATCAACTTTTATTAAAAATATACGAAAGAGTTTTGTCTATTTATCTAAATAAAAAGGAAGGAAGGAAATGGAAAAAAGACGAAAGAGCTGTATGATGAAAAAAAATATTATTTTTTTTTATTTTTTTTTGTGCGATGATCATTGCAAGAATTCTCCTCAGAATGTTGTTTGATAGTGTTTTAGAAAGATATCTTGAAGCATTAGATTCATTTTCATAAAAGATGATAAAGAGTAGCGTAAAAGGTAATAGAGTGATAGATAGATAGATAGATAGAGATAGAGAGAAAAAGATAAAAGAGAATAGAATTAAGTTAAACTAATCAATTTTAAAACTCTTAATACATATATATTCATATATATACATATAGGTTTAGCAACATGCCTTTTGGCATCAAAACCAGCAATGACCCAAACTGTATGATCAATATAGATTGATTGATTAAAGTTTAGTTCACTCTATCTAACTTTTATACTTTTCTACTTTATAGAGAAATATTGGATCAATCATTCATTCATCAAGAACTCATTCATCAGGATTGGTAGCAACAATTTTTGGTGTAACAGGATTTACAGGTAGATATTTGGTACAGATGATGACCAAGTCTGGTATTCAAGTGGTTGTACCTTATAGAGGTGAAGACTATAGTTTCCGTGATCTCAAGGTTCTTGGTGAATTGGGTCAAGTCATCCCAGTTCGTTATGACATTCGTAATGAAGAATCGATTGAGCGTGCAATCTCTCACAGCAACATTGTCATTAATTTGGCTGGTCGTTTCTGGCCAACCAGAAACTATACATTGCCAGATATCAATATCGACGCTGCCGAAAGAATCGCTCGTCTCTCTAACAAGATGGGCAACATTGAGCGATTTGTACACGTGTCTGCTTTGGGTGTCTCTGAAGATCACAAGTCTGAATACGCACGTACAAAGGCTGTTGGTGAAAAGATTGTTCGTGATCTCATCCCAAGCGCTACCATTGTTCGTCCATCTCTAATGTTTGGTGATGAAGATCGTCTCATCAACAAATGGTCAAAGGCAATTCAATGGGCTCCATTTGTACCACGTTATAATGAAGATTTAAAATTCCAACCTCTTCACGTAAGGAGATAGAAAAAAGAAAAAAGAAATAGAAAGAGTAGTAACTAATTTCTATCTATCTATCTATTTATTTAGTGTGTCGATTTTGCTAAAGCAATTATGAGTATTCTTGAACTCCAAACTACACATGGAAAGGTTTATGAATTGGGTGGTGATGAAATCTTTACTTGGGGTCAATTTTTAGATATGGTTATTGAAGCTACTGCCGCAACTGAAAAGAGAAATATTCCAGTTTCTGTTGAATTTATGAAGTAAATAGAAAAAAAAAGAAAAAAGAAAAAAGAAATATTAATATTAATATTAATATGAATTTAACTTTTTTTTCGACCCTTTTTTTTTAGGATGGCTGCTGAAGTATTACAATATGCACGTGATCCATTATTTTTACCAGACGAAATTGAATATCATAATCAAGATCTTTTGGTTGGACAAGATGCTCTTGGTCTCAAGGACTTGAGAGTTAAACCAACACCAATTCAAGAAAAGTTGATTAGACTTTCTAGAATGTACAGACCAAGTAAATTTTTCAATGCTATTGCCAATCCACAAATGAAATAGACAAAACAACTTTTTATTGTAAAATTAACTACATTTTAATAATAACAAACAAACAAAATAATAATAATAAATCCAATCTCTCCTTCGTTATAATATTACAATTTTATTTATTATTTATTATTTATACATTTTGATCATAATCTTTGTTTAAATTTACAGGTTGATCATTATAATATGGTTGTGGTTGTGGTTGTGGTGGAGGAGCAGATGGTTGAGGATAACTTGGTGTTGGTTGATATGGAGATACTACTACTGGCGATGAAAAGGATACCATTTCTACATTTTGATCTAGACCTACTACATCACTTTCTCTAGCTTGCCTCTCTCGGTTTTCTTTTTGTATTTGAAATTGTCTTGTCATTTGTGTTCTTGATCTTTCAATCCTACATGCTTTAAGTACTAAACCAAATATCATTAATCCAATTGCTACTGCTCCTCCAATTATTACTATAATTAACCATGCTTCTACCATTGGAGATGATGATGATATCTCTTTTTTAAATTATTATTACTATTATTATTATTATTCGTTTGATGATGTAATGTGTCGATCAAAACATCAATCGTTGCGAATGGGTATTTATAACGAGTTTGTAGCCTTTTTATAAAAAATCAAATAAATATTTATACACTTGGTCGTCACCGCCGTCGGTGTTGGGTGTTTGATTCCCAGTGTTATTACCAATTCTTTGAAGTAAACATGAGAAAATTTACGTTTGCAACTTTTGGTTGTTTTTACCAAACGTTTATTATTATTATTAAACATTATCAACATCAATATTTGATAATTTAGCTAAATTAACATTATCTCTATACATATAATCTGGGTGTGACGGAGAAATAGGAGAAGATGGAGAAATAGTAGATGGTCTGTTATTATTTTGTGTTGATTGAAATGTTGATAATCTAGTTGGACCTTGACTTGCTGCTGCTGGTTGTTGTTGTTGTAAATGTCTTTTTGACATGTGAACTATAGCTCTTCTTACTATGATTGCAGTTACCAATACACCAATAGCAATACAAACAGCAACAATGATTGCTATTTTACCTGAATTATTACTTTTTGATTCTTCTTCTGGTACATTTATTGTATCATTACTATTACTATTACTACTATTATTTATATTTGCTCTTGTTATTATTATTAAATTAAAAAATATAATTGTTCCTAGTTGTAGTATCATTGTTATTTATTTCTCTCTCTCTCTCTCTTTTGTCTTTAAAATTTAAAAAGACACAATAAAAGAGATTTTCGTATTGTTCCATGGTTCTCTCGTGTTTCTTCTACACTTTACCTACTACTTTCTACTGACATTCCAAAATAGGAAAGTAATCTGCTCAAACATATGACTTTAACCACAAACCGTCAAAAAAAAAAAAAAAAGACTTTGTTTTTTGCCTTTTTTTTTTATTTCTTTGTGTATTGATGAAGATCATCTTTGACCTTTTGTGATTAATATTAGTAGAGATGAAGATAATTAATACTATACTTTTAATTTTATTATTATTGATTTGTTTAAATCAAAATGTCAATAGTACTACAACAACTATTGATGGATATCGAATGTTACAATTTGATTCATCTACATTTAGATTTGGACCACAAAGATCAATACTTGGTGCACAAACTATAAGATATGAACAATCAAGAGCTTTGGAAGACTATTCAACGTATACGGTCGTTATTGGTGTTGGTCATTTGACATTTAATGTATTACAATCATTATTGGAACAATCAATTGCTGGTATTATAGTGACTGTACCATCAACCAATAATATTGGGTCGTCGTCGACATTGACTATTGCATCATTGTCTAGGTTGACAATCAATGTACCAATCTACTTTGTCGAGGATGAGGATATAAAAGAGGATTTGGTTGGTGGAGATCTTAGATTGGTCACTAGCGACAAGACACCATCACCAACACCAATCACCCAATGGAATGTAATCAACTTTTCAGGTAGATTGGTTGGACAAGTCGAACGAGGCGATTCAATCGTTCCACCAACGGTTGTCGTCGTTGCACACTATGACACGTTTTCTAGACTCGCTCCTGCCTTTGTCTCTACCACTATTAATCGTCGTGAACAAAGTACTAGTGGAGTGGTTGCACTCTTGGAATTGTCTCGTATCTTTTCCAAACTCTATTCAAGTGCTGACAATCAACCAGCCTATAATATCATCTTTTTGTTAACGAGTGGTAGTGCTACCAATTATCAAGGTGCCGAACAATGGTTATCACAACAATCACCTGTCGTCTCTGAATCTATTGATTTGGTTGTTTGTATAGATTCGCTCATTAGTGGACGTTCTAATGATGAACCGCTATATTTACATGTATCACGTCCACCAAAAGATAATACAACTAGACAACTATACTCTGACTTTACAACATCGGCAAGTGATTTTGGATTGGAAATGAATTTGGTTCAGAAAAAGATTAATATTTCGTCGCCAGTCATTTATTGGGAACATGAAGTATTCTCGAGAAAGAGAATCCCTGCAGTCACCGTGTCACAACGAAAACAACCATTTGACCAATCGACTGAACCACTCTTGCTCGTCGATCAACCCATCAACACTCGTTCACTCGCCACCAATATTCAAATCATCGCCAAGGCAATCATCAATCATATCTATGCAAATGAAAAGATTAGTAAAGATATCTTGGTAGCAGAGGACTCTGTCTTGTCTGTCAACGAGGCATTTATCGATAGTTGGTCAAATGCACTTTCAAGAGTAACTAGATCTTTACCATTTGTTGATGTAGGTCAGATTCAACCAGCAATCGAAAAACTCTTAAATACCTATCTTTTAGATGTTGTAGTTGATTCTAGTAAATCTGGGACGTCCTCTGGTTTGGTATGTTATCAACCAATTCAAACAATCTTGTCATTTAGTAATGTAAAGTCTTTTACTTTTGACATTTTGGTTTTTGTTGGTTGTATCGTCTATTTGATTGCTCTCTATTTTGGTCTTTGTGGTAAAGATCGTGCATTCAATGAAATTAAATCTTTCTTTTAAAATAAATAAATTTAAATATATATATAAAACTAAAAAAAATCTAAAAATATTTAATGGGATGAAGAAATGAGAAATAGCTTTGTAAAATTGTTTTCGTCCAACCAACGAGCAACAGAGAATTTATTAATACATTTATATAACACTATCCCCTATCTATAAGACTAACTAATAGTTTAAGACAACTATCGTCTCCGACAACTTCAGTTTATGGATAGAAATAACATGTTGATCTGGTGGAAATCGTAAAAGTTAACGGCGACGCTAGTGTGGACAAACTGGATAGTTTGGAGATTAGCAACACGTTAAACATGTTGCTTGTTTAACGTGTTGCTAATCTCCAAACTTTCCAGCCCCAAAGACTCAAGAATGCTCAAAATAGCACTACCGGAGGTACGATTTATAATAATATTCCAGCCATGGTATGGAGTATTTGAAAGAGATGATCCTACTACTATATAACTATGTGATATCTATATATGAGGATTAGACACTATGCTCACACTATTTTTTTTGACTATTTTAGATTTATTTGATTTAATTGGTTGGCGCCAGATTATTAGTTTAAATAAATGTTGTGATTATTTTTTTTTTTTTTTATATGAGTTGTTTGTGTTGGAGTTGCAATCATTTGTGTTGGAGGTTGGAGGCTTAGAGCGCGTTATTTCTTGCTAAATAAGGGCATAAAAAACGTGCTCAGACCAAGAATCGAACTTGGGATAAGAGGACCACAACCTCTTGTGATGCCACTTCACCATCTGAGCTCACAAAAGCAATAAATAAAACATCGCGACCTTGAACTCGGGGGGTTTTTTTTTTTTTTTTTTGTCTGATGAGGTCAAGATTTTTTTTGCCCTCTTCGAACAAACAGCCTTTTAAATTAAAACAAATAAACCATAAAAACCGTATCGTGCGACTCGAGTTACGATACAGATTTATTTATAAAAAAAGGTTTTTTAATTAAACCCACACAGGAAAAGAATTACATTAAAAAAACAAAAAGGAGACCCACTCAGCTCGAGTTTGACGACACGTCTACATTTGAAGATACTCAATCTAATAGAGGAGTAATGAGATGAACTGAGTTGCCTTCATAGGGCTGATACGTAGCATGGTTTTAATAATAATAAAAAAAAGTTGGCCCATTTCAGATCAAGTTCATCCATTCTTTATTATTAGTATCATAAACTTTAGGTATAAGTAAAACATATCTTATAAGTTTTTACACAATAGAACTAATTTATATTTTTAAAATTTAAAATTTGATTTGTAATGATTGTTTTCTTTAATCATTTCATCCAAGTCATCATAATGGTCATCTTTTAATTGATGATAATAAAACTTGCGTTCTCTACGTTGTAGAAAAGGTTCAAAGTCGTCTTGATCAGATAGACATAGTTCCTTTGGCATGGTATGAATGACGGATTCACGGGATGGTGCCAATGGCATATTTCTTTTTACTTGAAATAAACGAGGAATGGCTTCCCTGGCAGTGATCAATCGTTGTTTTGGTTCCACTACTGTCTTTTTGACTTTTGACTTGTATCGCTTGAGTCTAAGCTCTTGGATTAATTCATTTGAATATTCAAATGGAAGAGCAAGGTGACTGACAGACTTGCACCAATCAAGTCTTTTCCTATCCAGTGCTTCAAAATGGTCAAAAGAATTACCTAGTTGATATTCCTTAAATGAAACGATTTCATTGTGTCTACCGCTTTGAGCTAGATTTTCACAAGCCAAAAAGTATGCCAACTTGACCTTGGTCCAATTGCCGTAATGACATGGCATGCTGAGGATGCTAATCAACTTTTCCATATCTCTAATTTGTGTGGAAACTTGTTCTTTTTCTTGAGCACCAAGTTGCGAGAATTGGAGTAACGAATCCAAGTGGTTCTGGGCAGCAGCCAACTGTTGACTTGTTAGATTGCCCTTGTGCTTGCTGGTTGTGGTGGTAGAGTTGAATGGATTGATAATGAGAACAGTGTTTGTTGTGATGTAGCCCAACAATGGGTTGAGGCGTTCGAGTGATATCGTTCGAACCTTTCTTAAAGCCTTTTCCTGTATTGTTTCACCCTTTTTGCCTTTAGGAGCTGGTTCCATTTTTACATTAGAGTAATAGCATTGACCCATAAGATAATACCAAAGAGCTTTGAGAAAATCGACTGTGATATCGAATTGAAGTGGTGTTTCTCTGGATTCTAACCCATTGCGATAGTTGTTTGATTTCAAAGCAGTATCCCATAGCTTTTCCAGTTGTGGGCCAATGTCCATTGAAACAAACATTTCATCTAGTTGCTCCTTGGTCAGAATGATTCCCGAGTTGTCCAAACCTTCTTTGCCAAAGGTTCGCAATAAATCGGTCGACCACTTTGCCGCGGTATTAAACTCTCTACAAACCAAGCGGCTGTTGATTTCAGTATAGGTAGTGTCATCGTCTTTTCTATCAACACTTTTCTGACAATTAGCAAGGGGAGTCTCGACCAATCTTGCACTCGAGACGGCACAGAGTCCTCCTTGCGTGATTGTCTTTTCTCTGATCTTGTCGGTTGTCATTTCATTCTTGCCATGCTTCTTGCTGTGGTCTTTGGAAGCACAATCACTAGCAAGAGTTGAATCCAAATTACCATCTCTTTTGTTAAACAATTGGACTAGACTAGAAAATAAAAAAATAGATAAATATAAATTTAATTAATAATTTGTTCTTTTTTTTTCGATATATATTTGTTTAAAAAAAGATCATTAAAACTTACAAACAATTTTTACAATCTGTAGTTTTATCACAAGGACACTCCAAGAGGTCTGGTAAATAAAATGGTCCTGGTATCTTTGATACTTGAGGGGGAATGTTGGGGGGAATATCTGTACTACTACTATTATTTGTTTGCATTATTAAATGTTGTAAATGATATAAATTATTATATTTTTGTTGTTTCAATCCCCTTATACTTTAATAAGGATAACATTTCCCTCTGCGACAAATGTCATTCCTTTTGTGCAGCCGACCACAATATCACCCAATCTCGAAAAATACAATCAAGTATGTGTCTTTTTGAAAGATTATAAACCAAAATCATCCAATCCGTGAGCTTATCCAAAGGCTTGGTTGAGGGTAAATATCACCCCAAAAATTGATTGTAGTCATTGAAATGGTTGTATTGTTGAATGACTGTAGATTGATATATTTTTAAGAGGATGGCTCTATATCAATGTATCTCTTTTACTCTCGTTTTCATTTTGATACATTCATCTCTTTAAACTAAAGGTAATGTAACATCTAAGTATATAACATCTAACGAGTTGTACTTTTCTGTAAATGGCGATATTTCTGCTTACTTTGATAGGTAACAATTATTGTGCACTTTGAATCAACAAGTAAATATTAATACTAGTATTCACCGACAATCAATGAATAAGAAAGAAAAAAAAATGAAAAAAAGATATTTTTTTAAATTAAGTCGAAACGTGGTTCAAGATTTATTAATATTAATCATTATAAATCTATAAGAACCTTTTATATTAGTATCAGATGAGAAATCCACCATGTGTAAATAAAATGAATTTCTTTTTTTAAAATTTCTCAACTAGATCATAATACAAAAATAGATAATGCTGTTTTGCGAAGCTAGTTTGCCCAGACGAAAGAGAAATTGCTAGTGTGAGAGATCAGTTCGAGATTAGTCAGTATAGATTTGCAGTTTTGGATTAGTCAAGATGGAAAATAGTTGAAGATTTTGGTAACGATTGCTATTGTATTGTTTGGGTCGAGACACTAGTCACGATCTCCGAATTGCACTTTCAGGCTACACCATGTGCGATGAAAGCTGGTTTGAGTTCTTTTTTTAATAAACTTGATGTGAGCTATCATCTACCCACATGATAGCTATTATGATTGTTTTATTTTAAATTTATTATTTTTTTTTAAAGAAATTTATTTTCTTTTCTCTCCTGTGAGAGACCGCAAAATTCTCTCACACAGAGTGTTTTGATTTTTAACATTTTTGAAATTTTCCTTTTTTTTAGGCCTATAAGATGTTTATCACGTTGTGCTTGACATTAAGAAAGGAATGGGTCAGCTGAGAATTCAAGATCAAAAAATTCCAAGTTTATTTAAATCATCTCAAAATTTTATTAAAACTAAAATAATTAATATTTGTTTGAATTTATCAATAGCTCATCGAATCTGTTAGTTTTAGATTGTCTAAAATCAATGATATCTCAATGAACTCAATCATGGGTGGATCAAGTCTAATAGGCTATTTTGGATAAAATAAAAACGACCAACTATCGTCAGATAGTAGTCTTGATCAACAATTATAAATGGATTAGAATATTCCAATAAAGAAGAATTCATTCTTATTGATTATTACCACAATAGTTATAATTGAATTATTCTATTTAAACGATACGCATGAAAATATCGATTCAATCTAATTATTATTGATATATTATTAATATACCTCTCAAACTAATTATATTTCATTTAATTTATTTTTAGAACAAGCAACAATCCAAATCAATCCAATATGCTTGATTATTTTAAACAAAAAGAGATATCAACTTCGATAGACATGGACAACCCCCTAGAATTCAGAACAAATTAACTTTAATTCCTCTCGAGATAATCTTTATCTCTTGCTGGTCAATTAAAAAGTATAATTAATAAAACTTTGTAACTTTGAGTCCGACTCTTCCTGATAAATTTATATGAGTTTTGCGAAAAACCCAGCGCAGTTGTTTTGACTTCTCACAAATACAGATTTTTTTCGTTTGCCGTCACGTGATAAAAGTCAGGATGGTGTAGTTGGTTATCACTTGGCAAATAGAGATGAAATAACCATTAAATGATCAAGAATTAGTGTTTTTGAGAAAAACGGGGGTTTTTTTAAGCATCTACCTGTAGTTTGAGAAAAAAGGGGGACTATAAATACAGATTTTTTCGTTTGCCTTCACGTGATAAAAGTCAGGATGGTGTAGTTGGTTATCACATGACCTTTACACGGTTAGGGTCGTGGGTTCGATTCCCACTCTTGATAATTATCCCTTTTTGCTGAACGTCTGTTGGCCATGGCGAAATACATTTTAATAAATATGATAGTGTAGAGGGCCCTTCTAACGTATATCACTATTGTATTTAATAAAGAATAAGAGAGAGTAATAAAGTCTTTATAATGTTGTTAGAACAATGTTGTGTATTTATTTATTTATTACTTTACTATACCTTTATAATGTTGTTAGAACAATAAAGAGTATAATGATCGTTTGCGTGTCTTAAAGGTTAACGTTTGTAAAAACCGAGATAATGAGATCTTCATTACAACATTCTCTCGGCTGACCCCCAAGCTGGCTTGCCAATTACCGACAGTCCACTCAAAATCCTTTTCCTCCAATTCGACGATGACTCTGCATCATTTGCAACATCGTTCAGACAGCAAATAGGGCGCAAGATTTCTCTTGTCCCTGTACAGATTATTAGTTTAAATAAATGTTATTATTAAAAAATCTTTTATTTAAATAAATTTGATAAAATACCAAACAACTGACCATTTGAACGAACGGCCGAGATGGACAACATCCTTTTATTCAAGACTATACCAAAATGCTTGACCAAATACAACAACAAGACAATAGTCCCCAGACTCTTGTCAGACGCCAAAGCAATAGCCGAGTACCAATCAACAGCCCTCTGAATATCCTTTACCGTCAATTCCTTCTTCTTTTTCGTTTCCCACCACCATTTAAAGAAATTTAAATTACCAACTTGAACAATCGTCTCTAAATATAAACCATCATCATCATTTTTGTTGTTTTTTAGATTCGCTAAAAATTTTAAAACCATTCCATTTCCAATTATATCTTTTAAATTTAAATCTAAACCATTAGGTTTGATTGAATCAACTTTTGGTTGAAAAAGTTTAAATGCTTCCATTGATATCCAACTAGCCTGATGAATAGATAAATGATTATCCAAAGAATAAAAAAATTTGTTGATTCTAGAGAATTTTGGTACATTGACGACATGAATTTTAAATTGAAATTGATCTTTTAATAGTTGTAGTAATTCCTTGTCTTTTGTTTCAACCATTATATATTCCACCACCTTGTTAAAATATTCATTTGTAAATGTACAAAAAGTTTTTTTTTGATGTTGAATCAATTGCAAAATATTTTCTCGGGTCAATTCCTCCATTGGTATATCTTTTAAATAGATACAATCAAAAAGTTTGGTTGCATCAAATGCCAATTGAAATGATCTTGCTGTTAAAGATGAACCCATTACCCTTGCAATGTGTGGGTTTGCCATTACATAATCATATTGTACTTTAGGGTCTGCATTATTTATAATATGTTTTGTTGCTTCAACTGTTAGGTCTCTACAATCCAAGAATATTCTCTCCAACCATTCCATTTTTGTTCCAATTGTTTTATAAACTTGAAGAGGTAAATTCTTTTTAAATAGATTGGTAATAAAAAAATCCAAATCCATTTCCAATATACATTTTGTTGCCCTATCCAATAATAATCCATTTTCATTATCATGTATTGGATAAATAATAATTGCAAGATAACATTTAATTAATTCTGAGGATATTTGATCTTTTCTATTAAATATTTTATCTATTAAATATTGATTATCAGATATGATATATGATTCCCAAAGACCAATCGTTTCTTTATAGAGTAAAATAAATTTTGATGGTTCAAATTGAATCATTTGTTTAAATGATTTAATAAAATGACCATAATGTTTTGATTTTACTCTATTTAAAGAATAATGTTTAAACCTTTGATTGGTAGTTTTTTCTTTATCTTTTTTAGTTTCTTTTGTATTATCAATTGATAATTTAAAATGTGGCAATTGTACATTTCCACAACAATAAAAGTATTGTGGATCAATGATTGATAGATAACTTGATAATTCTGGAAAATGATCCAATAACCATAAAATAAATGTTGAATCATTAAAATGTGACATTGATGTTTCCAATAGTTCTATTATTAATTCATTTCCATCCAATATTGGATTAATATTCTTCTCGTTGAATAGATATTCTAGAACATGTAAATTTTGACCTTTTACAGCACCAATAAAAGCACCTCTTGTTGATAATTTGATTGGTTCCTCTTGAGAAAATAAAATTTCTATAATCTCTAAATGACCGACTTGACAAACATTTCTAATCAATGACCATGATATAAAGTAATCTTTAAATTGTCTATAAAGAAATGTAAACTGACGAACGTCATTGACCAATAAACATATAGTTTCAATATCTCTGACTAAAACACTACATATAGTATCCAAACATCCCATTTTAATCTTGTCAATCAATAGACCAACATATTTTGAATCTAAAATCTCTTTTACACTTTGATAATGTTGATAGGACCATCTAAATAAACAATATTCTCTTTCTTTACTTTCTATAGTCTTTAAATGTGAAAATATTAATTTAAATAAATATTGATTCTTGAATGGTATATGAATCATTATTTATATAAAAAAAATGTAAAAAGAAAAGAGAATAGAGAGAAGTAGACTTTATATGATTAAAAAATTTAAAAAAATAGAAAAAAAACAAAAAAAAATAGAGTGAGATCTTTTAAACTATTTTCTACTACTCTTACTTTTTCTCTCACTCTCTTTCTTCTCTTACTCTCTCTTTCTATCTTTTTTTAAAAGAGAGGTAGGGGATAATATAATCATTCAATCATCACTATAGGTAATTTTAATACTACTACTACTACTATGAATGGTACTAGTAACCATAGAGATCAAACAACAAACAACCTTATAGATCAAGAATGTAATCTACCTCCAAGTACTGGTATTTTGGGAAGTGATGGATTTGAAGATGACCTTAGTATAGATGGTAGTTTATTCAATGGTAGCTACAATTATATGATGGATACTTCTCAACCATCATCACCAATGTCACCACCAATCTATTATTATCCTTCGGATGCATATAGTCCTGATCAAGAAATTTATTCTCCTCTCAGATATTCCCCTTTGGCAAAAGAAAATGAAAATATTAATAATAATGAAAATATAAATTCATCAGAATCTGAATCATCAACATCATCATCATCATCACCATCAACATCATCAACAACAAGAGGTCAATTTTCACAGCAAGCAAGATGGTATCCTTCACAATCTGGATATCGTTATTATACATCATTTATGCCACCAAAAAATCCAACCGAATTATCTTCTTCACCTTCCTCTTCTCCTTCTTCATTAGATTCTGATGATATTAATAGTAGTGATAGTGAAAATAATCAAAAAAATACTTCTACTACTACTACTACTACAAAGAAGAAAAAATTAACAGATCAAGAATATTATGAAAAATGTAAAGCAAACATACCACAATATCTTGGTCCTTATACAAAAGAACATGAAACAAACAATGACCCAACTTTAATATATGATGGTACAAGATTAACTGAAAATCAAGTAGACGATTATTTAGAATCATCAAGAGAAATATTTTCAAAACATCTTCAAGACATTAAAGAAATGGGTATAAAGTTAAATTTGGACATTGATCGGACAACTGATGATCAACTATTAAATATTCTTCACGAATACGACTATTCACCAGTGTTGGCTTTAGATTCTATAGACTATTCAACACTTCAATCTATTTTACCATGTTTATCAGATTATATTGAATGTAAGAAAAACAAAAAATGAAAATTTATATATATATAAATATATATTTACAATTTTCTTTATTTATTTATTTTAGCTGCATGGAGTATAAAAGAAAAAGATCAATTTTATAAAGCATACAATTCACTTGGGAAAGGGGGATTATCTATTATTCATACTATTATTGGGACAAAAACAAGAATGCAAGTTTTGGAATATTTTTATTATTGGAAAACTACTTCTCAATATGCAAGATTAAAGAGAAGAGTAAAAAATCAAAGTATTCAAAATATTACAAAACCTCAAATTTCAAAGGAAAAAGAAAAAGAAAGGGAAAAGGAAAAAGAAAAGGCAAAGGAAAGGGAAAAACAAAAAGAAACTAATCAACCAATTCCAATTCAAACTGAACAAATCCATGAAGATAAAGAGAAACAACATCAACATCAACAACATCAACAACAACAACAAGATCATGATATAAAAATAATAATAGAACAAGATGAAGAAGAGGAAGAAATAGAAGATGAAGAAGAAGAGGAAATTGAAGAAGAAATTAAAGAAGAAATTAAAGAAGAAATTAAAGAAAAAATTAAAGAGGAAATTAAAAAGCCTGGATCAGAAAAAATTCTTCCAATCATTGAAATTAAAGAAATCATGGAACCAAGAATAATAATACAAATTGATGATCAAGAAAATAATAATAATATATCCAATTCAAAAAGGAAAAGAAACAAAGAAGAAGAAGAAAAACCAGAGGATTATTCTTTTTATTTTGATAATTGTAAGATAATAATTCAAGATTTTGATGAAAATGATATAATTAGAGAATGTATTTTAATGGAAAAGAATTTAAAGAAATTAAAAGAAAATGGATCTAGAGCTTTAATCAAAAAATAAAAATCTTGTACACAAAACTTTGTAAATATTTGGTAAAACAAAAAAAAAAAAAAAAAAAAGAATGCTTATTTTATTTGACAAAAACAAATAATTTGTTTTAATATATTATAATATAAAAAGGAGGAAAGAGGAGAGTTTTATAAATTTCACAAAAAAAAAAAAAAGGTTATATTTTAATTAACCATTTTTTGTTTTTTTTTTATAGTAGTAGTAAAGAATGTTGGTTGGTTGGTTTTTTTGTTGTTATTTAATCGTTACATTTGTTATTAGTTAATTATTATTATTATTATTATTATTTAAAAAGAGAATTTTGTATTATTATTTTTTATCTCTTTTTTTTTTTTTTTTTTTTTTTTAAGTCTTCCTTGTACTATCTAAAACAGGTCTAACATCATCAACCTTTGTAATATCTTCCAATAAAGGTATCAATTCTAATAATTCTCTATCTTTTTCGTCGTCAAACCAACTGTCTACAGGGATTGCATTCTCTGGATGGAACATGTACGATGTTGGTGAATTGTCAATAATGATGGTAGATTTTAGGTCTCTTCCAATTCTCGAAAGATCCTTGACATAGTTGCCCTTGTGGTTGTGACAAGACTCTCTGAAAAGTCTCCAATGGACGACCTGGTATTTATCGAGCAGGTTGAGTACTGGATCGGCATATTTGGCAAGACTGGCAGTGAAAACAACAATTTCAAAGTGTTCACCGACAGCACGCAAAAACTCGTCGACATGGGGTCTCTTTACGACAAAGACCTGATGAATGATGCCCTCAATCTCGACGGGCACGACAAAGTCGGGGTTGGCAACGGGCTTGAACGACGAGTGGACCAATGTCTCATCGAGATCGAGTACAAGTGTCTTTTTGTTGAGATGTTTTGCGTGTGGTGGTGGCAGGAGCGCTTCCATGCCGGCACCCGATGCATAGTTATTATTTACATTGGTAAGGAGTTCTTGACGAGTGGCTCCGCTAGACGTCCCATTGGCACTAGACCCACTATGATTGCCAGACGACGACGACGACGACTTTTTGCTATTGTCTCCAATAAAACAACATAAAAATGCCTTTACCAATCCATTAGAGTTTTTCTTTTTTCCATTGCTATTTGTTCCAGCCGTTGCTGATGAAGAGGAGGAGGAGTTCTTATTGTTTTTAGAAAAGTTCCGACCATCTCCATTAATATTACTGTTACTATTATTATTTAATGTATCATTTTTTGATACTTGTGCGATTGGATTATCCATTTAAAAAAATTATATTATTTTTAATTTATAAGAGTACAAAAAAAGTGAGTGTGAGTAGGATGGGTGTAGTTGGTGATTGATTAGTTTGTTTGGTTGTTGTGTTTTTTAAATGATGGTAATACAATTAATTATTAATACAACTACATATATATATATATATGTCGATTATAGATATATATGTAAAATAATAAATAAATATAAATAAAATAAAATAAAAAAAAGAGTAGAAAAAGAGATAAAACTTATATGATTGTTGTTGTTGTTGTTATCTTTTTGATCACTACTACGACTATTGTTTTTTTTTCTCTTTGGTACTATTACTAAAACTATAATTAATAATAAATGAATGAATAGATAGATAAGATAATTATTATATATAATTATAAATAAATAATTATTTAAATATATAAAAAAAAAAAAAGAGGTAGGTAGAGGTGATGATGAGAAGGTAGGTAGGTATAAAATTAGTAAATCTCTTTTTTGTTTTTTTTTTTTTTGGTTGTTCTCTCTCTCTCTCTAACTACTGATGATGATGATGTTGTTCCTGATGGTGTTGTTTTAATATCATTATTGTTATTGTGGTTGTGATGGATGGATTAAAGTGATGGATCAGTTTTTTTTTTTAGTTTATTTCTTGGTTGTTGCAAACAGCAGTAGCAGCAGCAGTGTGTCAGTGTATGTGGGTGCTGTTATTATTGTACTACTTTTGACCTAGGTACTACTGAGATATACAACAACAACAACAACAACAGCAGCAGCAGGAGAGCTGATCGTGTGTGTGTGTGTTTTGTGATATATGGTGGATGGGAGGGAATCAAAAAGAAAAGGTGTGTGTGGGATTGTGCTAAACAATGTTATGGTGGGTAGGTTTAAAATAAAATCAAAAATAAACTAACCGATGTTTGGATCTTTTGGTTTTGGATGATAAACTAGCTAGTCGTATATACCCCTTTTTTTGTTGCATGTTCAACTGTTAAGTGGATTGTGTTTGTTGTTGTTGTTGTTGTTGTTGATGTTACACACACACACAAACCACCACTGTACTCGTTGTTATTTTATTATTATTGTGAATTGAAGTTGAAAATGTTGTTGGATGTTGGGCGCACATATATATAACACAACACACACACAATATAATACAGGACAGGTGAGGGTTGGGTTAAATTTAAATACGACTCGACGAGAGACTATTATCTCCCTCTCTAATAGTAATAAATAAAACATTTGTTTTGATGATGTATCCATGTCATTTAGGTTCCCTCCAACTTCTTCCACTTTTGGGCTGTTGATTTTTTTTTTTTTTTTTTTTTTTTTTAGATTTCCATCCATGGATTTAAACAATCGTGCTAATACTGTTATTATTATCACAACAATAGTCAAATGTACGACTAGTAGTTGATGATGATGTTTGATTCCCCTTTTCTATTGCTGTTGTTGTTGTTATTATTAGGCGATAAAATAGTACTACTTTATTGCTGCTGTTGCAGGTGTCACTCAATGAGTTGTCGTAAACAGTACTGTGTTTGTTTGAATTGTTGTTGTATCTGCATCAGAATGACACTTTTGGTACAATGATTGGAATGAATAGAATAGAGGAAAAAAAAAAAAGTGGTTTATATACCTTTTAAAGAGTACTATCTATCTATCGAATCTATCCGTCGGATTTATAAAAAGTATGAACAACAATTCCACGTCGTTGCTCTCTCTCTCCAATAAATAATAAATAGTAGTAGTAGTAGTAGTAGTAGGGAGTAGTGTTATCTTTCTCTTTCTCTTTCTCTTTCTCTCTTTTTGTTGTTTAATTATTATGATTATTATTGTATACACACAAACTTTTCTCTCTCGACATCCACACTTGATAGCTATTGGTGATGCCAAACAGTTGATCAAAGACGTTGGGTGGAGCTCCCAAAATTCAAAAAAAAAAATTCAAAAAATATCTTTTTGGGTGTGTGGGCGGGGAGGGGCGCTGTTTGAATCGGGGCGATTTGATTCCTCATGGAGGTAAATTTAAGTTGAAATCTAATCAGTTAAAAAAGAGAGTACTCGCAGAATACCTGACCTGACTGGATACTTTTTGATCTTTAGAGACATGGGGTTTGTTTGGAATATATATCTCTCACACATCATCATCATCATTTTTCTAAAAATAGAATAACCTTTGAAATAAACAATTAATTAATTTAAAAGAGAGAGAGGTTTAGTAATCTGGGTACAGAGGAGAGCCTTTCAAAGTTCAAAACGGAGATATCTGATGATGAACAGCCCACCTTTTTTTTTTTAAAATATTTTATATAAAAATATCTTGTTTGGTCGATTCATATGAGTCTCTTTTGTCTCTTTTGTCTTCTCTTTTTTTTATTATATAATATATATATATATATTTATAAAGAGTGATGACAAAAGAAAAGAAAGAATTATTAATATTTATTAGATTAGCAATCTATTCGATTATTATCTTTTTAGTATCAGTGTTGGTGTATTCAAATACATTGGAATCTGACTTTTGCTTTGATGATCAATTTGCAATAGTAGATAATCCAGATGTTCGTCTACCTTTATTATTATCATCATCGTTACCATCATCATCATCAGATAATCGATCAATTGGAACATACCTTTATGATGTCTTTTTCCTTCATGACTTTTGGGGACAGAATCTAAAGAGTAATACTTCACACAAGTCTTATCGTCCATTGACAACCCTATCGTTTCGATTCAATGCTGCAATGTCTCATCTATCAACCAATCAAACAGAATTCTTTCATCTCACAAACATCATGCTTCATGCTGTTGTATCAATCTATGTATTCTTTCTTGCAATATTTTTATTCTCCTATAGAAACAATCAACAACAACAACAACAACACATATCATCTTCTTCATCTTCATCCACTTCATTTTCGTCATTTTCATCATTTTCATCATATTTACCAAAAATGTTAGTTTCTGATGAATTGGCAAGTTTTATTGGAGCTATGTTTTTTGCATTACATCCTATTCATACAGAAGCGGTATCTGGTATAGTTGGAAGAAGTGAAACATTATGTACATTGTTTATAATGTTGTCCATATTTTCATATGTCGTTTCTTTTAATTACCAAGGTTCATCGGTGGCTCCCTATCTTGGATCGTTGGTATTTTTCATTTGTGCATGTCTTTGCAAAGAAACTGGATACATGTTGGTCATTATATTGCCTGCTCTCGAATTGGTCGTATTGAATTATCGAAAGACTCAAGGACGATCGGTTATTCCAATTTCAATGGATGCTTGGAAGGAATTTATAATGCGTACATTTGGATTGGTTTGTGTTGCTATTGCTTATATGGCATTTAGAAAGTATATCACTGTATCAGTATTTCTAGATAATTTTAGATTCTTAGAGAATCCAATTGCTCGTCATCCAGATCAACAAACTAGAATCCTCTCCCTCTTCCATCTACACTACAAATATTTTATGCTCTTATTATTCCCACATGAAATGTCTGCTGATTGGAGTTTTAATTGTATCCCCCTCATTCACAACATATTAGATCCATCAAATATTAAATCACTCCTAGTATACACCTCCATCTCCTTTACCATCCTCTTTTCATTCTCTAAACTTAATTTTATTGAATCTCTCAAAAATATTAAAAAGTCTATAACCTCAAAATCAACCAAAAATAATAATAATAATAATAATAATAATAATAATAATAATAATGATGATAAATTTAATTATGATTCATCAAATATATTATGGTTATGTATATTTGGAGTGATAACATTTTTACCATCATCTAATCTATTTTTCTGGGTTGGTACAATGATTGGTGAAAGATTACTTTATCTTCCATCCATTGCTTTTTGTTTAATCATTTCAAGATTAATTACAATTCCATTGGTTAAATTGGAATTATCTTTGTTACAACAACAAAGAGAGTATAATAATTTAAAGAAAACAGATGGAGATAAGAAACAAGATCAAGTTACTACAATCTCTACAACAAAATATTCAAACAAATTTAAATTAATTACAATTACAGTTTGTTTAATTTCAATTATTATTTCTTCACTTTATGGATATAGAACATATCAAAGAAATATTGATTGGGAAGATGATATTAATTTATTCTTTAGTGCTTTAGAGGTATGTAAATTTATAAATTAGAAATAATATTTTCCTAATTATTTAATTTATTTTATTTATACTTTGGTTTTTTTAAGGTTTGCCCAAATAGTGCAAAAGTACATTATAATATTGGAGTATTATATAGAAGATCGGAATCATGGGATATGGCAATGGAACATTTCGAAAAAGCAAAGGAAATATTACCAGAGTATTGTGATGTTGACCATTTCTTGGGGTTGACAATATTAAACAAGGATGGTAGTCTACCACTGGCTCTAAAGTATCTAAATCAAAGTTTAGATTGTCCATATGTAGCAAGTAAGAGTGTTGAATCGATCGCAAAGATTTTCGACTACCTCTTTGCAACCTATCCCGAAAACAATCAATTGTATATAGAGTTGGGGTACATTATTGCTAGATTGAATCCACTCGATGCTGCCAAACAATTCCACAAGGCTGGTATCATGGAATACAACAAAGTAGATAGTCTCTACAAACAACCAAATTGGCATACCATGACATCGGCACAAAAACAACACCAACAAACTGGAATGAAACAAGCTATTACGTTGTTTGAAAAGTCATTGTCCATGTTACCTTCAAACCTCGCCAAAAACCTCAACGATGAAGAAAAGCATCTTTGGTGTTTTAATCAAATCTGGTTATCAAGTTCATTCAAACCATTGGATGTATCAATTTCACTTGGTCATCTTGAAAATATAGTCAAACATTGTAAAGATCAATCTTTCTGGGAACAAACCTATACCAGTCTTTTATCGATTCGTCACCAACAATACAAAGAATCACAGGAAAAAGGTTCTCTTGATCCAGATATTTGTAAATCGTTGGCAGATTTGATGAAAATGTCACCACTCTATCAAGATCAATCAATTCAATTTTATAAACAAGCAAGTGATCTTTATAAACAAATTGGTAAATTTAAAAAATCAAAAGATTGTTTAGATTTAATAAATAAAAAATAATAAATAATAAATAATATATAGTATTTTTCAAAATTATTTGTTATTTATTTATATTTATATAATACAAGATTTATATTTCTTTTTTTGATTTAGAAGAATTCTTCTTTGATAACTAAACCATCCTTCCATTGTTGAAGAGCCCATTGAGTCTTTTGAACTTTGTGGCCACCATATGTGAAATCCATATACATCTCATAGGCTGAATTATTACCATCAACTAGAACTTTTAATACTATTCAAAGAAGAATATTAGAATATTATTATAGTTATGTTTTAATGAGTAGTAAATAGAAAGATATTAAATTACCTTTTGCTTCATGAATAGTAGCATTATTGACAAAACTTTCTTCAGCCTTTCTATTTGCATCTTTACCAATACGATTGGTTGAATCACCCTTTTCAAACATTACAATGTCTGCATGATAATACTTTTCAAAGACTTCAAGAATCTTATGTTCTTGAATACCCTTGATAATAGCTTCCAAGTTTGATCTAATATTTGATGACATTTTTTATAATAGTATTTATAAAAGTTATTGTGATTAAAAATTAATTATTTGTTTGTTTGTTTGTTTGTTGAATTGAATGAATTGAATGATGATTTTTCATACCCATTTATATTGAATTGGTATTTGATTCTGAGAGACAATCAGAATTAAAGTTGTCATTCTTGAACCACAGATCAACGGGAACCAGACGGATTCGGACTCGAGGTTTTTTAAAAGGGGTTAAAAAAAAAAATCTTCTGACCGCAGAAGATGGAAAAAGGAATCTGTTTGGTCTAATTGAACTCACGTGAATCGGAATCTGATTTATCTAATTGTTATTATTAATTTATTTATTAATTTATTTATTTATTTAACTATTTTTCTTCAATTATTGATAGGGTTGGCATATTTAAAAAGAAAAACTCCATTATTCTAACATTACCAGTTGCTTTTATCACTTTTAATAGAGTTTGATTACCAAATTGATTTGTTGGTGCTGTTGTTGGTTGAGAATATAACTTTTTGATTTTATCTACATTGTTGTTGTATATAAATTGAACCATTTCTTCGTTTTTTTTGCCAATTGCATTTTGTAGTATTCTATGAAGTGGCTGTTTCTTGAGCTTGATTATAGTTGAAAGGTATTGAATCATTTCTAGTGATTCTTCTGTTGTCCTACATGCATGTTCGAGCAAGGCGCTATTGAACCGTAAATGTTCAATGTGGCCATAGTTTTCATAGATAAACTTGATGCACTCGAGGGATGCACTGGAACATGCAACGTTCAAGACGTCACGACTAGGTGCAGGTAAACCATTTTTGTGGAAAAAGGCAAGTAAATCGACATTATTACGAATGCATGCCTTGTTGAGTAAGATTTGACTGGTTGAATAGTTAAACACTTCTGGACATTTACAATAAATGTATTCGATAATGTCCAATGGATATTGATAAGAGGGTGATGAGAAACTGAGAAACTGTGTATAGTAGGACGGTGCCATCAAATGAGAAAACTTTTTGATTAACCAAAAGGAAAGATCTAGTTTGACATGGGGCGGTGCAATGTGCGACCAAAAAGGAATGGGATGTGAAGAACCTTGATGATTCGACCAAGTCAAAGGATCGTCCAAATCAATTTCCAAGTGTTTGAGAATGGCTTTATAGAGAGAGACACATCCTCGTTGAGCTGCAGAGCTCAAAATAACTTGTTGTGCATCATGACCTTTACATGGATACTTTTGTATCATGTATTTAAACATTGCCAAATAGTCACCTTTTCCAATACGACAAATATCGGATATAGTATCAGACTTGCATTCACCACCTTGGTAGTGTCGATCAATAAATTGAACCACCTCTAAATGACCATTGATCGATGCATAATGCATTGACATTTTCTTGTCGCATTCTGCACCGATACCACAAAGATATTCAACAACTGCCAATTGACCCTCAGCAGCTGCCTTGTTGATAGCGTCTCCAAGGTTGAAACCAAGTTCTCTTTTCTTGTTGATTTCACAGAGATAACGCACCACGTGAACGTGTCCATTCTTTGCACTATAATTGATAGAGTCTTGTGATTCTACCAATTTTACCGTCTCTTTCAAGTAGATTACAATGTCCAAGTAACCTAGTTCGGCGGCTTGATCGATTGCCCGGTTCAAGAAACGGTCCTGTCCAAAGTGCGAATAAAACAGCTTGACCATGTCCAAGTGGCCACGCACCACTGAAAAGTCGGCAAAATGGTAGAACCGATTGTCTTTGCTTTTTAACAAGCGTTTGTTCTTGTGCGCCAACAAGAGTTTGGCCTCTTCAATACCATCAGTGGCAGCAATCGATGCTAGAGTAGAGACTGTGTAGCAGCATTCAGTCCTATTCTCCAAGATGTATTTGAGAATGGTCATGTGTGGATAGCTAGCAGCCACATCAAACGACCGTCCAATTCCAAGCTCTGGATACGTTTCACATAAATAAGCAAATAGATTTGTATGACCATACTCTGAAGCCATCTCTAGTGTTTTGGTAGAAGGTTTAGACTTTAATGTCTCTATGGCATAGAGTAAACATGCAAAACTACCACTTGCTGCTATATTGTCAACTATCCAACCATTCTTTTTTGAAAGACCGTCTTTGTCGTCGTCATCATTGTCATGTTGATAAAAGTAGTGTGGATATAATTGATGAATCTGTTTGAGTATGAAAACATCTTTACAATTCTTTAATATAGTTGGTAATCCTTGAAAATAAATTATAAATTGATTATAATTATTATTGTTGTTATTGATATTGTCTTGCAATTTAGAAACTAATAGTTTAAATGCTTTTTGTTTTTGTTGTAGTTGTAATTGTTGTTGGTGTCTCTTGGTCAAACTTTTATCAAGTGATGATACAAATAACAAGTCTTCATGATGACAATATCTAAGATGTGATATAGAGTCACTGGTGAAATACTTGTACTTTGTAGTTGATAGTTGTAACTCTTTGTTGATTATAGATATAAATGATAGGACGTGTTTCAATAATAATGTAGATCTAAAGACTCTACCAACACCACCTACTACCACTCCTACTACTGCTACTTTATCTCTTTCTTTATCCTCCTCCATTTTGCAAAAGTTATATAATTACTAGTACACTAATTTAAATGAACTATTCTTCTAGTATCTACATATTTATAATGTTGTCGTTTGATGAATCATCCACAAGGATTCATCAATAAAGATCAAGATTTTCTTCATCTGAGGTTCGCCTTGAAAAAAAAGAAAAAAAAGATAATATTGATATTATTAATAAATAATTATTTATTTATTTAATTATTTAATTATTTATTTATTTATTTAATTGATCTTGTAAAAATAAAGAAATAGTAATGTTTCCAAAGAAATTAGCATTTTGAATTGCCTTTTCATAACTGGTTGATTTACCTTCAGTTCTATTTTCAACTACGAATTTCAAAACATCCAAATGATCATTTCTAGCGGCTTGGTCGACTCCATTAGAGGTTCCTCCTTCTGTTCTATTATGATGTAACCATTCGACAACATTTAGGTAACCGTGTTCCATGGCAAGATCCATTGCATTGGTTGTGCATCCCTCTGATCTATTTTTGGAAAGGTATTCCAAAACTGGAATAGATTTAAAAGCATTATCCATTGCATTGGTTGTACATCCCTCTGTTCTATTCTCACTAATAAGTTTGAGCATAGTTAGGTCGCCAGTATTGGCCGCACTTTTAGCAACACAATCAAGTGTCGTTGTTGTACATCCTTCAGTTCTATTATAATGTAATAATTTTATAATATTTGATCTACCTGATAATGCAGCCTAAAAAGAAAAATAAAAGAATAAATAAATAAATAAATAATAATATATATTTGTTTGTTTGTTTAGTTTAGTTTATGTTTATACATACAATATCCATAGCATTTGGAGTACAACCTTCTGAACGATGTTTATCAAGAAATTCTACAATTTCAAAACTTTTAAATGAAGCATTGTCCATGGCCTCTGTAGTACACCCTTCGGTACGATTAAAATGAAGGAATTCTAAAACAGACATGTGAGAATATTCTGCTGCGCCGTCCATAGCATCTGTTGTGCACCCTTCACTTCTGTTATGATGTAGCCATTCCACGACATTTAAAAAACCGGCGATACTAGCCTTGTTCATGGCATTAACAGTGCATCCCTCAGTTCGATTGAAATGAAGAAATTGTACAAGAGGTAGATTTCCCAACTCGGCTGCATAATCCATAGCCAATGTCGATGCACTATGACCATTTTCGTGGAGATAGGTGACCATTTCCAACCCATTACGTACTGCCAAATCGATAGCATTGACAGTGATAGTAGCACCAATTGAAAATAGATATTTGGCCATATCAAAATGACCTTCAACAACGGCACTTATAATTCCCTTTTTCTTGCAACATCTTGGTCTATTTTCACAAAGAAATCTAACGATCTCCGTATATCCCTTTCTTGCAGGACTTGCCAATACATCCATCGAACACAATGTAGGGTCTTTAACATTATTTTGTAAATACTCTAATATGTTGAGATGTCCATGTGCCGCGGCAGTATCCATCATATAGGCCATTGAAATACCGGGTTTGTTTTGATACAAAAATTGTACAACCTCTAAATGACCTCCACGAACTGCCATTTGCATTGCCTTGTCTGTGCATCCCTCTGTACGATTTCTAAAAAGAAATTCTACTATTTTGATATGTCCTCCAGCTGCAGCACCATCAATAGCACCAGATGTACATCCTTCACTTCGATGTTGATGAAGGAATTTGACAACATCAATGAATCCTCCTGAACTTGCTTCATCCATATGTCTTGGTTTACAAGATTCCGTTCTAGTTTTGTGTAGGTACTCGACTAGATCTAATCTACCGCATGATATGGCACTTGCCAAAGGTGAGAATGCTTCATCACCGGCCGTATCGAGTGTATCACTATAGTGATCTTGTAACCACTTGACAACATGTAAATGTCCGTTTCTGGCGGCCGTTGACATTGTGAATTGGTATGGTTGATAGGAACAATTTTGATAAAGGTATTCTATTACATTCAAGTGTCCTGCATCTGCTGCATGATGCATTGCAGAATTACATACCAACCTATTCTTTCGATCACAAATTTCTTTGTTGTCTGCATGTGAATATCGCTTGTGCAGAAATATGATTATATCTAGAGCACCTCTTTTTGAAAGAGATTTGATAATATGATCATCGGGAATAAAGTCAGGTGACCAGTCATCGATGAGGTGTTGTAGTGTGTCCAAAGTTGCATTTTGATGTTTGATGTATTTGTTGATTGCTTTGCTACGTTTGTCACGATCAACAAAGAGGTCATCCTTTGTCGACAAAGGTATTGGTAGATAATATCTAATAAATGACCATGGCAATGCAAACCTCAGCAAACAAAGAGGATCAGTCTTTGACCTTTCAATCAATTCTCTACCCTTGATTGATTGGTTGTATACACCTCCTCCTTTTTTAACTCCAACATCATAACTTAATCTTGTATCTTCTAAACTATTAAATATGTTATTTCTAATAACTATATTTCTAAATATTGTTATAAATGTTGTATGTGTCATCTTTGAATAAATAAAGAATGATCATCTTTTTTTTTTGAGCCTAGGAGCAGAGTGACAGAAGAAGAGATGGAAGGGTGGAAGATGGAAGATGGAAGGAAGATACTATTTTTTTTTTCTACTAATCTAAAAAAGATCAAAAAGGGGATATTATTTTGGGAAAAGGGATATTTATTAATATTTAGTATTATTTAGTAGTATTATTATATTATTATTATTATTTTAATGGTTATAAAATTGAAGAAACAGAAAGTGAAGTATAGGTATTTTCAGCAAACAATAAACCATCTTTGGCATAGTTTGGATTAATTCTATTCTTTGGTAAACTACATTCCTTTGATGCCAATGTATTATAATTCATGAAATAAATAAAACTTCCAATACATAATCCAATCAACGTACCTGCTAAAATCTAAAGATAGAAAACATGATTATTAATTATTATTATTATTATTATTTGATTGTTTTTGTTGTTTTGTCTTACATCTGAGAAATCATGATGATAATCAACGGTTCTTGAAACAGCGACGAGTGATGAAATTGCATAGGGAGACATGACAATCAAGATCTTCCACATGGCAGCACCCTCCTTTCTAAAAACACGTAGTTTACCACATAGATAAAATGATAGATAGGTCATTGATGCAAAGGAAAGGGAAGAATGTCCACTTGGGAAACTCATTCTTCCATCACGAATCAGACTTTGGTCGTTTGTTTCTACACGTGCCAAATAATCTGGTCTATATCTTCCAGCAATTACTTTTAAAAAATCGGTAAATAATAAGGTCTAAAATAAATAAATAAATAAATAAATAGAGAAGGAATAAATATGTCAATAATCTCTCTCTCTTTTGTCTGTTATATTAGTCGTACCATTGTAAAAGTTTCAAATAAACCAAGAAAAGCATGATGGAAATCATGCATATTTCTATAATATAAATAAAATCCAGCAAAAACAGCCAAGGGAATGAGAAGGGCAATCATGAGTAATGCCCATGTGGGAACAATATCTTTGAGAAGGGGATATTCGACAAGTTGGAAGCCAGTAGGTTCAAATCTATCGTATGGATGTATGACAAAGTTGGTCAATATCTGTTCAGTGACAAATACTCCAATACATAATGCCCAATCTCCAAAATGTTGATTAGTAAACCTAAATAGAATAAAATGTTTTAAAAGATGAAGAAATAAGAGGGAGAAGACTTTGAATTATTATTGTTGTTGTTGTTACCTACCATTTTGCTTGTTTATAGTATCCTAATTTATGAATCATTTTTTTTACTACTCTTCTATTAATGTTGTGTGTAATGTTACAATAAGGTATAATCTTTCCTCTCTACTCTCCTTTTCTCTATTCTCTCTCTCTTTCTCTATCTCTCTCTCTCTTTTGTCGTCGTCTTTGCTAAATTAAATTAATGCTTTATATTTTCAATGCTTTTAAAAAATCGATTCACAAACGTCAAAAAGGTTGCACACAAATTAAATAAAAAATAATTAAAAAATCGACGTTCTTTTACAACAAACTCTACTACACAAAATAAAATCTATTGTTGTGTTGCTTATTAATATTTATTATTATTATTTTAATCTCTACTATTGTGAATTGTCATACCACAATTCATTTACACCTTTTCAAACCGAGACTACGACAATACATAGCGACCATTGGCATCAGGATATTTTAAAAAGGGAAAAGGACAAATCTGTGCAAATATCGGTGATTGTGAGAAAATGAAAGAAAAAGAGAACAAACGCGTTTGTTACTTTACTTTCTTTATAAAAAGAAGACTATAGATAGAATGAACGTTAGTTAGTTATCAAGAAAATGATCAATACCATATCAACCACCAATCAATCCCCTCCTCCACCACCACCATTAATACCATTATTATCATCATCAATGTCACCAACTTTATTGTCAAAACAATCAATAATACTATTTCAATCAAAGATATGGAATAATATAGTATTGAAAAGACATATATTTTCATTGATTAAAGAGACTTCACCTTTTGATCGTCAAAGACTTTTAAAATCTATTCATCATGTGCGGACGATAAATATATTTACAGAGAGACCAGAGGCATATGAGCATTCACCACAGAGTCTACTGACATGTCCCTTGTTGACATTCAAACGATTAAAGACGATGATTGATATCGTTGGACCTGCGAGAATTCAATACTATTATCACTACCTTCCAAGGAACCCTCTTATGAGGTTTGACATTTCACTGTTTCAAGAGATGTGTCGTATTCTTGGAGTAGAAATGGGACTTGCAGTCAACAAATATATTGGACCACTCACTTGGGTAGGTGCAGTCACCTCAAACAATCTAGAGTTTTACAAATACCTACGTCAGCATTTTTCATTTAATCCATCGATCATAGAGGGCAAACAACTGATACGATTGGCAGCATTACCACACTCGTATCGATCAATCATTGAACGTGACCTTATTACTCTGCCAAGTGGAACAGAAATGTTGGAAATGGTCTTTGAAGATGTTTTCAATTGTTATCCTATCGGTCTAGATTGGTTGTCATTGGTTGCTTACGACTTTATCTTTTTCACTGGAGAAACTGATATCTACAAAGTATTGGAAAAATTACATCACAAGTTAAAAGAGACAGTACCTCCTAATCGGACAATATCCGATAAAGGATTCGTCCTAACCGATCAAGAAATACTTTCTCTAATTGAAACAAACAACAAAGATCTATTCAATTATCTATATGACAATCAAAAGATTAGAATCAATTCAAATTTACTTGTTTTGGTTGTTAATAGATGTAATTTTGATTTAATCTTATTTATTAATAATCTATCATCAAATGGAAATAATAATAATAATAATAATAATAATAATAATAATAATAATAATAATGGAGATAATGGAGATAATGGTTTCCTATACTCAATGTTAAAGTATACAATGAGTAAATCTTTCAAATATTTAACAAGACATAGTGACCAAGAGGTTGTTAGAAGATTCAAAACTGAATTCTATCAATATGTCAAACCATTACATTATCTCGATCCTTTATTAGACCAACTACTAAAACATCAAGATTATAATAATAATAATAATAATAAGATTATTATCGAACCCAAATTCCATGGTAGAGTAGTCAAAAATCGAACCCCTCAACATATGAAAATATTCCAACAACAATCAATTGATCCAATTCCTCTATTCAACTTTGACCTCTAAAAGTAATAGGATAAAAATAAATAAATGAGATTTGAGCTTTTTTTTTTTTGGCGCCAAGTTTGAATACAATCGACCTGTGTTTGTTTCTTTTATTCATAGACCACAATATCATCGAGTAGTAGTAGTAGTATTAAAGAATAGAATAGAAAGGTGACCTTATGGACCCTCCTATTGATATGGAAGATGATGTTACATCAACTCAAGAAGAGAATACTACCAACAACAACAATAACAATAATAACAATAACAATAGTAGAGGAGGAAGTCGTTTAGCTAGTAATCTGGGATTAAAAGGACCGTCTAGAAGTATATCACACTTGAATACAAAAGATCAACAAAGTAAAGATAACTTGGCAAAGAAACAACAAGAGGAACAAAAGGAAAATGAACGACTTGCAAAGGAGACACAAGATATATTGGACGATCAAGCACGTAGAGCAAAAGGTCAACTAGATCAAGAAGAAGACGATGGAAATATATATATTTGGGGTACATCTCTAATTGCCAAAGACATACAAAAAGAGTTTAGAGATTATATAACAAACTTTAAATTAACTAAAAAGAAAAGACAATCTTATCATAATCGAAATAACAACAATAATAATAATGAAGATGATAGTGATATTGATATGGATGGACCACAAGATAAAGATGATGATCATATGGACAATATTGACGATCAAACACCATTATACTTGACATTATTTGGTAAACTAAGAGATACAGCTGGAGCACATTTAAATATCAATCTAAACTATCTACGTAGTTTTAATCCAAAGTTGTGTCGTCAGTGGAGCAAGTATCCAACTGAAATATTACCACTTTTGGAAAAAGAGCTCAACGACATATACATGGAATTCTTAGAGGATACATACCAAGATGAGAACCATCCCGATTACCAAGACCCACAAGATTTTCCAACCATTGAAATTCATCCATTCAACTTGGGTACTAATACTCCAATGCGTGAATTAAATCCAACTGGTATGTAAACTACAATTAAAAGAATAGATTAGAATGAATGAATCATTTTACCTTACCTTACCTTATTCATTTATTTTATTTACATTTATTAGATATAAATCAATTGATATCTATAAGAGGATTAATCATTAGAACAAGTTCAGTTATACCAGATTTAAGAGAAGCATTATTTCAATGTACTGTATGTAATACAGAGGCAAGGAGTGAATTGGTAAAAGGAAAGATTATTGAACCTGCTGCATGTCCAAATCAAAATTGTAAGGCCAAGCAGGCAATGATGTTGGTTCACAATCTTTGCACATTTGGCGATAAACAATATATAAAACTACAAGAAACTCCCGATGCCATCCCAGAGGGTGAAACTCCTCACACTGTGGCTCTCTTTGTCTATGGTGATATGATCGATGTTGGAAAACCTGGTGATCGTGTTGAAGTTACTGGTGTATTTAAAGCAAATCCAATGAAAGCAAGTGCAACTACAAAAACTCTAAGATCAATTTATAAAACTTGTAAGCGACACTGAAACAAAAATATTTAAATATTTCTTTTATTAATATTGTTGATTTAATTTATTTATTTAGATATTGATGTATTACATATTAAAAAAACAGAAAAAGGAGATTTTATTGTAGATAGTGAAAATGCAGAGTATGTAAACAAAACAAAACAAAAATAATAATAATCTTAATCTTTGTTTTTATTAATGATTCTATTTCCATTTTCTATTAGTTTAATGTTTGATGATATTCATGATGTTGAAATATCAGATGAAAGAATAACAGAGATTGAAAGTTTAGCCAAAAGAGGTGATATTTATGATTTGATTACTAAATCGTTGGCACCAAGTATATGGGAGATGGATGATGTTAAAAAGGGAATATTGTGTCAGTTGTTTGGTGGATCTGACAAGAACAAGGGCAATACAGGTACGGGTGGAAGATTCCGTGGCGACATTAATATTTTGTTGTGTGGTGACCCGGGTACGTCCAAGTCACAGATGTTGTCGTATGTGCACAAGATTGCACCACGTGGCATTTACACGTCGGGTAAGGGCAGTAGTGCGGTTGGTCTGACGGCCTATATCACGCGTGACCCCGACACGCGAGAGACGGTGCTCGAGAGTGGTGCCTTGGTGCTGTCGGATCAGGGTGTATGCTGCATCGACGAGTTTGACAAGATGTCTGATCAGACACGATCTATTCTGCATGAAGTCATGGAGCAGCAGACCGTGTCGGTTGCCAAAGCCGGTATTATCTGCTCGTTGAATGCGCGTACGAGTATATTGGCGTCTGCCAATCCCAAAGAATCGCGTTATAATCCGCGCATGTCGGTCGTTGAAAACATCCAGCTTCCACCAACTCTATTGTCGCGTTTTGACTTGATCTATCTTGTGTTGGACAAGGCCAGCGAGGAAAGCGACAGAATGCTGTCGCGCCATCTCGTGTCGTTGTACTGGGAGCATCCACCCGTCTCGCGCGACCTCATCCCCACCGACCTCCTCACCGACTATATCACGTATGCACGCAAGTACATCAACCCCACCATCACAGACGAGGCTGTTGAAGGCCTGGTCGAAGGCTACCTCGAAATGCGTAGCAAGGGTGACGGAAAGCGGACCATCACGGCCACCCCGAGACAGCTAGAGTCGTTGATCAGACTCTCCGAAGCACATGCCAAGATTAGACTCTCTGAAATTGTTGAGCCTCTCGACGTCCAAGAAGCCATCCGTCTCGTCAGAGTGGCACTCCACCAAGCTGCCATCGATCCAACCACCGGTACCATCGACATGGATCTCATCACAACTGGTCGCAGTGCTTCCAACCGTCTTGAATTAAAAGAATTAAAAGAGTTTATTTTAGAGGTTGTCAATGCAAGAAATACAACCTATGATACACTTCAAAAACTTTTCCTACTTGATCCAAACCAACAACAAAGTCAACCAAGTCAACAACAACAATATCAACATCAACAAAATCAACAACAACTTAATCCAAACCAAAGATTTACAAATGAAGATATTAAAGAAGCACTCAAACAATTAATAAGTGAAGAACAAATTAGAAATGAAGGTGGTAGTATTGGTCATATGGTTTATAAAAAATACTAAAAATAAAAGAAAAAAAAGAAAGAAAATAATAATAATAATTATTTGTTTGGCTGTTTGTTTTTGGTCTATATATATACTTTGTTTGTTTTGTTTTGTTTCGTTTTTTTTATTGGGTATTATTATTTTTAGCTTCTGGTGAGGTACCAACTAATTGTGAAGCGGCATCCAAGGCAACTTCAAGCATACGTAAGGTACCTTGGTGAACAATTTCTCTGTTTGGTTCGTACTTTTCGGTGAGCTCACGCTCGAATATATAGTTATCGATATTTACACAGCAACCGGCTCTGATTCCTCGCAACGAGGCAATGATGTAGAGGATGGAGGCTTCCATTTCAATGGCGAGTACACGACTACGTGCCCACAATTTGTTATGATTACCCAATGGACCATCGAAAAAGTGACCGACAGTGGTGATAATGCCAACGCCATAGTTGATTTCATCGTGTGTCTTGGCGGCTTGGATCAAGGCGCCGACAACTTCGTGGTCAGCAAGGGCTGGATAGCCAAGTGGGACCAAACCCTCTGAAACACCGTCTGAACGAACGGCACCAGTGGCAATGACCAACGATCCCTCGCGGAACTTGGCATCGAATGAACCGGCAGTACCGGCTCTGATGATGGTGGTGACACCAGCTTGAATCAACTCTTCAAAGCATACACTAGCACCTCCACCTCCAATACCATGTGACATGACAATCAATTCAATACCCTTCCATGTTCCCAAATAGGCATGATATTCTCTGACGGCACTGATGAGACGTGAATTTTCCATCAATTTCTCTGCTACCAATTTTGCACGATTTGGATCTCCTACCACTACACATGATCTTGGTAACTTGCCTATTGGTAATGCGCAAATTGGTGTAACTACTGTCTTGTTATCCATCCTTTAAATGTTATATATATACTAGTATAAGTGAGTTGTTGTTATTTACAAATATTGTTTTTACAAAAAAAAATTGACTAAAGGGTAGATGATAGATTAAAGAGTAAGTAAAAAGGTAGAGATTATTGTAGAAAGAAAGAAATAGAGAGGGGAATGTGTCGACTGGTCGAAAAGAAAATTCTTATTCTTGATCAAAAGAAGAAAGCAGACAAAGATCGCGCTCTCTCAAAATACAACCAAAAAAACAAAAAAGAAAGATGGTGGATGGAGAAGGATAGATATTTTTTGTTTTTTTTTAATGATGGATGGAGCTACTCCAATCTGCATTGGGAATGAACTAAATTCTGGTAAAATGCAACCCCTTTAACCAGAGTCGGGATCCCGACTCGTCCTAATCTTAACCTTGTTTAATAAAATTTTAAAAAACACATACTATTTAAATTCTAGAGTTATAACAATATAATGCAAATAAAAAAAAAATGAAACAAAGAAAGAACATATGGGTTTGTTTGTTGTTTTGGTAATTACTTTTAAAATGAATTTAAAACTTAACAAGAGATAAGAAGAAATTTAAACATCTTTAGATGTTTTGTTGTTGTTGTTGTTTTTTTAAATTGCAACCCCCGGATAATTGTCGGTTTGTCAATCGTCTTTGTCTCTCCTCTCTTCACTTATTATTCCTCTTCCTCCCTCTCTCTCTCTCCTCTTACCAAATGGGTCATTCATCATTATAGATAATAGTACTACCGTTTATCTTTCTCGCGCTATATTGACTGACTTTTTCTTCTCCTTTATAATTTATTTTTAGACAACACAATTGAGTTGAGTGTGGTAGTGGTGTTGAGGTGAGGTGGTGTTTATGAAAATATCTTTCATTCATTTCTTTTTCGTTTAAGTTGAAAATATATGAGTAAATTTTAAAGAGATAGTGACAATGGAGATAAGATGATATTAAGGGTAGATAAATGTGAGAGATAATAGTGATAAAAGTTGCTATTGCTAAGATTTTAAAATCTATAAAGTGTAGACTGTCATTTGTTACAAATAATTATTTACTTTTTTTTTTTTTTTATCTTGGGAATGATAGAATGAATGAAATTGAACCTGAAATGAATTGCGCAAGATGATTGCTGCGATTTGTTGAGGTGAGGACAACAAACAAAAACAGCAGAACCAGAGAAAGAAAAAAATCAAAAAAAATATAAAAATTAAAAAAAACATAACTGGGATCCTTGAAGGATGATGGCTTGGTTCTCTCAACCATATAAAATTTTTAAAGAAATTAATCAATTATATTAAATTTATATTTGGTAGATAGAATGGACTAGATCTCAAAGTAATCAATCTTGTCCTGTTGTTGTAGAACAGCAGCGACCCAATCTATAAATAAATAACAACCGAACGACACATACACCACCGCATTACATCAAAATTTACAATGGTGGCCACCACGGCATAAATTTTGGTGACCCTCGGAAGCCGGGTCTTCGGCTTATTGAAAAAAATAAATAAATCAAACAAATAAAAAAAAATGTCCAGCTCGTTTATGAACTTCAATTTGAAGGGTACCTTTGTATTGACTACTCTAATGTTTGAGTAGTTTGATTGAACAATAATTTATTATTGGTTATTATTATTATTATTAGGATTATTATTATTAGGATTATTTGGATTATGATTTTGTTGTTGATATCTTTGTTGTAATACATTCATTAGTTGATCGATATGAGGATTTTGTCGAAGTTGTTGGATGGCAGGATCATCAATAAGATTGGTCTCACCATTTAAAATACTATTGAAAACTGGAAGTTGTGAAAGTTGTTGAACTAATATTGGAGTTAGAACTGAATCTATTTCTTCCCCAAATCCTGGTCGAATTTCTTCTTCATCGCCATCCTCTTCTTCATCATCTTCATCTATATCAAATTCGTCATCATCCATATCTTCATCATCATCTATATCCTCATCATCACCTTCCTCATCATCAGAAAGAGGAAGATTTGGATTTGGAAGTGGTTCTTCAGGTGCAGAAGAATCTATTTGTAAATTTTTGCCAATGATTGTTGTATTGTAACTATTGCAATGTTGACATTTGTTTCCTAAAAAGTGAAGAGCAATATCCATTGATTTCTTGTCACAGTCACAACATAGTACTGAACATGTTGATCCTGCGTACATTCTAGGCATTGGTTGTCTTGCTATTTGAGCGTCTATTCGCAACCAGTATTCAGTGAGGTTGTATGCAGACTTTTTACACATTGGACATTGAATGGTTCCAGATTTAGCAAACTGATCATTGCATTCACTGTGCATACTATGTCCACATTTTAATGAAACCACTGGATCACGACTTGAAAACAGATCTTCCATACAAATAGGACAACTATCTTCAAATTTATTATCCAAACATACATGTTTTTCAAATCCAACCTTGTTTAAACATCCCTAAGAGAGAGAGAATGTGAATGTGTGTAATTAGTATTTGGACCAAATATATATATATATATAATCTACTTTACTTACATTACAACGTTTACAATGAATAAAACTATCTCTTTCACCAACTCTACATATTTTACAATCATCACAATGATATATTTTCTTGTCTGGTGTATCATCATAGAATTTACAGTGTGCACAAAAGTATCTAGCAAATTGTATGTCACAACCAATACACTTTTCAGCAACTGGTTGTACAGTCTGACACTTCATACACATGATCTCTTTGGTGGCAAATCTATCAATCTCATGCTTGCTCTGATCGTTGTGACATAGTCTACAAACAAAAAACACTCCACAACAAGCTGCTTTAATCTTGCATGATCTTGGGTAATGTTTACATCCTAATATATTCTCTTTCTATAAGAAAAAAAAAGAAAGTAAGCACTATGACTATAGTAACTCTATGACTAAACCAAACCAAAACCTACATGATAAGATACACTAGTTGGACTATTATTATTATTTGTATCCATTCTCTTCTTCTTCTTCTTCTTTCTTTCTTTCTTTCTTTTATCTCTCTAATATCTCTCTCAAGACAAAGACAAAGACATTTAATTTAATTTGAGAGTTTGCAACCTCCGTCTTAAATGTTTGCGTTTTGGTTGCAAGGACAAATAACAACTATTCTTTTTTATTCATTTTTAATCATTTTTTTAGTTTGGATAAGGTCCGAGTCGATCATTGACAGATGCATCAAGTCAAACATACAAACAACTATCTATAATACATTTATAAAAATAACTTTTCTAATGATCCTTTGTTTGACCTATTCTCTTGGGATTTAAAGAATGAAAATGAAAGAATAAGAATAAAAGAATGTTTAAACTAAATTGGAAAAAGTGTAGAGAGTACCAAATTGAATGAATGGTGATTATCTAAAATTGAACACAAAGATATATAAATCTTATCGATTCATCATATTAGGTCTTGTCTTGGGTTTCGAAGTTCAAAATTAATGGGCAAACAAGTTGCTTGGGGAAATTGAAAAGCCCCCATAAATGAGTGAATTCCCATTACTTGATGAGGTCATCAAAAAAAAGGTTGGCATTGTCTCAGGTCGTTGGCACTACGAACTTTAGTTTAGTCGAATCATCTTGAAACGAGGTGCATGCTGCTTGGTTGTGGGGGTGGGAGATTGTTCGATCTGATAAAATAGAGTATATAATTTAATTTTTTATTTCCTTTTTTTTTACTCTGGTTTCATGATGATTGAGTGAGAAAGTCACTGAGTTACATACACTCCAAATTTTGTTGTTGTTTGTTTGTGTGTGTTTCTATTATTGTTATTCCTTCCTTACTCTCACTTCTTTCCTTTTTTAGTATTGGCCCTGTACCCTTACCTTATCATCAATCTATTTAGTTATAAATAGCTCTATAGAGTCTAGTACACAACATTTATTATAGGTGTACATGAGTACTCTTCTTTTTTGTCATTCATTCAAATTTCAATCTATAAAGGATTTCTGTACAATAATAATAATTATATAACAATACATAAACTACTCTACATATCATATATATATATATATATATATATTCTACACAACCATATATTTATATACATTAAAAAGAGATAGAGAGAATAGAATAGGAACAAGAGAACAAAAAGTAGTACCACTTTTTAGACAACTATATATATATATAACATATATTTGATAGATAATAGGATATATAGTACTATATACCTCTCTATCTATTAGAATGTTTGAAAATTCAGAGACCTTTGGGTTTTGTATAAATGGTACAGAACCACAATCGGCAACAGCTTTCGATGACATTCTAATACATATGGATGGGTTGAGTATTGCCCTTGGTGTTGGTTTGATTATAGGTGGTGTAGGATCAACACTTCCACAACATATTAAACTTTTAAAGACTAGAAGAGCGGTTGGTCTTAGTTACCTTTGGTTATTCCTTGGAAATATTAATCAATTTTCTGCTGTATGCAATGCTTGTATGTTGTAAAGAAATAGAGACTATTATATGTTTTATTTTTTGAGAAACAAATTAATAATCAACCTTTATATTATATTATTTTAGTTATGATCAAATATCCACAAATTCAAGCATGTTATCAAACATCGTTCTTGGATTGTGCACCTTCAATGTTGGCTTTAATTCAATTATTTTCTTTATGGGTTTTCACTATACCAATGTAAGAGAGAAGATAGGAGAAGAGAAGAGAGATAATCAATCATATGACCGATTATTATTTAAAAAAAAAGGATCATATGATTAATTATTATTAATTTCTTTTTTTTAGTTATATAATGTATATATTATTTACACCAAACGATTTAAAAGATATTGAAGAATCAAATGTTGCCAATGTACAAGCGGCAAAGAGAGAATACAAAATTGGAATTATATTTTTTGGCCTACTCATAGCGTTTTTAGTAGTCATACCGATAGTTGTAGCGGTACTTATAAACAAATATGGACCATGTGATCACGCATCATATATTTTTGGCTATGGAATGGGTATCCTTTCCACTGTCATTACTTTTATTCAATGGTCTCCACAAATTTATAAAACTTTTGTTTCAAAGGTATGAATGAAAGGAGAGATATTAATTAATTTTTTGTAATATATATCATATGATATGATACTAACCAGTTGTTTATTTTATTATATGTTGTTTAGAGCGTTGGATCATTATCAATTACAATGTTATTAATTCAAGGTCCTGGAACGGTTTTAACAATTTATTTCTTGGTTTTTGTTTCAAAAGAAAGTGTATCGACTTGGTTGTCATATGTCAGTGCAGCATTCCAAATATTTTTACTCTTGATTCTACTTTTCTACTACAAGTACCAACAAAAGAGACAACTCATCATCAAGCAAGAAATGTTGGATGGATCGGTCGACGACTATTCAATCAGCTCAAGTTCATCTTTTTCAAATTATATTTCAGCCAAAGAAGATTCACAACCTTTATTATTGAAAAACGAAAAGAATATATAATAACAAATAATAACAAATAATAACAAATAATAACAATAATAATAATAATAATAATAATAATAATAATAATAATTTAAATCATAGACAAACAAGGATCATATAGAGGAAAAGTTTCCCAAAAAGAAAAACTACATTGTAAATAATAATTAAAAAAAACTCCACACCAATTGACCAATCCAATCCCATTCTTCTGTTGTCTAACCTATTGAACAGCAGCAACAACAACAACAACAACAAAAATGAAAGAACCAAACTATATAGTAATTATTATTATTATCATTAATAATAAAATATAATAAAAATAATTAGAAAAAAATGATTCTTTTTGAAAAGACCATTTATAAATGAGTTCTATTTCTATTCCTCATTCGTTTCCACTATCTCAGTAAATACAAGAGGCACAATCATTTATTAAACTTTCTTTAGAAATATAATAGAGTATATGTAGAGGTGCCCTCCTACTGTGTATATCTATTGTATGTAATTAAGAATATAAGATCAAGTAATAAAGACTTTCTATGTTGTTTGAACCATGATCGGATGGTGCATAACCTCCGAGGTAAAAGATTCATACACGAGGTACGTAGCGTATGTGCGTCGATTAAAAGTCTACTGCACTATATCATTCCATATTATAGTGCATTCTAAATGGAAAAGCAAATCACTACACGTGACGATCTATGGGCGCTATGTGGCGATCGCTCTGATTATAAGTCTAGTTTAGATGATCAAGGTGATCACCACATGGCGTCCATAGAGATCATGAACGTTGGCATACCGGTATACCATCGACATCTTGACCAAGATGTATTTGAACACTACAGAAAAGATTTATAAATGGGAGGAGGGTATGGATAGATAGATTATCGAATCTGTATGGACCAATTTTCTATTCACCTTTACAATCGAATATATATGGTATAGAGACAAAATTATTATACAAACAAGACAAAACAACATCATTATTATTATTATTATTAACTCCAAACTGTAAATAAAGAATTAATATTATTATTGTTTTATTAGTTTACTTGTCCGGGTGGTCATTTCATTTTCGATATTCAATCCAATTCATTAACTATTTTTTTTTTTGTTATATTTTTTTTATTTATATACAACAATAACTACAATATATATATATATATATATAATTATCATGTTTACAGATCAAGAAAGAAAACAAGCAAATAAAATAAGATTAATTCAAGCATGTTTGAATAGGTCACCTGTAAGCTATAGATATATGATATATGATACCTTCTAGAATATAGTCACTATTGCAATGATGATTTATGATATTAACATATTGATTGATATGTATAGGTTGATATAGAAGGATTAAAAAGATGTTCAATGACAGAGTTTGGATTTGTAAACTCTGCTCTACGTAAAAAGATATGGCCATTGTTATTAGATATTGATTCAGATCATATTATTAATCATCATAGTATAGTATACAATATACTTTTCAAAAAGATACACACACTAACACTATAGTCTATCCTTTTTAGATGCAATTGTTGAACATAAAGATACAGATCAAGTAGCAAAAGATGTAGAAAGATCAATGTGGAGATTTACAAAGGGAAAGTCAAAGTTGAGAGATCAGAAAAGAGCAGAGTTGACACGTATCATCAATGCAATCCTTTCATTACATCCACAACTTCATTATTTTCAAGGTTATCATGAAATTGGTAGTATATTGCTGTTGGTAACCAATGAGACACTATCATTTGCAATGTTGGAGCGTCTCAGTTTATATCATATCAATGATAATATGTTACCATCATTCTCTGAAGTATCTAAATTACTTAGTTTAGTATTCCCACTTTTATCTTTACTTGATAATCAAGTATGTACAAATATATACAAAAGAGATAGAGATAGACATAGTTTGAGACTAACCTCTTTTCTTTTCTTTTATTTTCTTAGACATATCAATTTTTAAACGATTCACAAGTTCAATCAATGTTTACAATTAGTTGGATATTAACATGGTTTGCACACAACTTTGACGAACTTGAAAATATTGCAAGATTATATGATTACTTTTTATCTTCTCATCCATTATCTCCTTTATATTTTTCTGTTGTTGTAAGTCAAACAGTAAAGTTTACAACAAAAAATTTGAACAAATATTTATTAATTTATTGTATTTATTTTAATTTTAGTTGATTAATCATTTTAAATCAAATCTACTTGTATTGGAATGTTCATATGATGTTGTACATAGTTTTTTTTCAACATTACCAGAGGATTTACCACTTGATAAATTAATCAAACAAACACAACAATTACTTGAAAAGGTTCCTCCAAAGAAATTACAAGAGAAATCTAAAATATCATTATTACCAGAGTATGAAAATAATTCAAATAGATAGAAATATTTGTATCAAGATCTTACTAATATCTTTATTTTATTTTAGATCACCAATGTGTACATATCCTTATCAATGGATGAAAGCAATGACATTAAAAAGTAATGGAGGAGAAAAGAAACCATTCAATGTCTACAAATTTTCATTTTATGTATTGTTTGGATCGTTTTGTGTACTTGGTCTAAGTGTATTTTTATCGCTCTACCAAACACACAACAATACAAAATTATCAGTATCTTCATTATCTGGTTTGTTGCTTGGGGGCAATAATGGAAATACCGATTCCAGTAGTGTAATTAGAAATGGTTTAAATATAATACAATACAATATAACAAACTCTTTCAAGATGGTAAAGAGTTATCTTGGTTATTAAAACCCCATGCAACCGAAAATAGTCATTTCTTATTGTTTACATGTAACCTATTATATATATTTATATATATTTTATTTGCGAGATATTTCGCAAATAGTCCAATTGAATATTGACACCCATTGACAGATTAATAATACCCACTACCACAACCACACACACCCTGGAACAAGTCAACCATAAATATATAAATATATATCTGTTTGCAATTGGTGTAGTGGAGGAGGAGGAGATAATTAAAATGATCCTAATCCAGAGCTTTTCGTTTTGAGTGTGTGTGTGGTTGTGGTAGTGGGTATTATTAATCTGTCAATGGGTGTCAATATTCAATTTTTTTTGTTTTTTTATAAATACACATTTACATTTAGGAAATGGAAAATACCAATAATACATCTAAAACAATAGAAGAGGATTATTACAAGAAACAAATAGAGTTGATTGAAATTACACAAGGTGCATATAGATCACGTTGTTTACATTTGGTTACTAAACTCAATCTATCGGCTTTGTTGGCAGATGAGAAACCTCATTCTGTTGATGAATTGGCTAAAAAGTTGAGAGTGGATGCTACGACATTACACAAAATAATGCGTGCTCTCTCTACCATTGGAGTATTCAAACATCATGACCAAGTGGATGGGGTGTCATCTAGAATCTTCTCTCAATCAGATTTATCAAGAATGTTAAACAATTCTTTTACAAGAGATGCCATTCTCTACAAGAGTGGTGATTGTTTGTACAATGGTTGTAGTGATATTGGAGAAACTCTCAAAACGGGTAAAGCAAGTGTAGGGAGTGGAAAGGGATATTCAACTATATGGGAATACTTTTGGGACAATCCATCGGAATTATCTCTCTTTGAAAAGGGAATGACTGGTTTAACAACTCCATTAATACCCTATTTCCTTGGAATGGCTGATTTTTCAAAATTCCAAATTGTCGTAGATTTAGGTGGATCTCAAGGAATGTAGGTACAAAACAAACAAACAAACAAACAAATAAGGTTTATTCTCTATAAATATTTAATATTTAATTAATTATTTTTTTCATAGATTGATTCAAGAAATATTAAAAGAAAATAAAAATATTAAAAAAGGAATTAATTTTGATGTATTGGAAACGATTGAAAACAATAAAAAGTTGGATAGAACAAATGTGGATTCAAGATTTAGTGAAGTGGTTGGATCATTTTTTGAACAAGTTCCAGTCGCAGATTGTTATACAATGAGTAAAATCATTCATGATTGGGATGTCATCAAGTCGAAACAAATTTTAGAAACCATCGGTCGATCAATCAAACCAAATGGCAAGGTATACATATTTGACTTGATTCTTGAAAAAGATAGAGACTTTTATACTTATAGAACTTGGATAGATATTGACTTGTGGCATAGTTGTAATGGTAGACAACGTACAGAAAAAGAATATCAAGATTTGTCTTCATCTGCTGGTTTCAAAATTGATTCATTTGTTATAGATTATTTAATTATAATGTCAAAGATTGAGAATAAATAAATTTCACATTTATATTATATTATATAAACAAAACACGTCATTTATTTAATATTTAATTGATCTGTTAAAATCAATAATAATTCTTTGATGGATTGTTCGGGATTATCTTTTGTTAAAAGGTGTAACATAATGTCAGAGTTATCATTTGCAAGTAAAAATAGATAACATTTGTATAATAGATAGTTGTTTAATTTCGATGAATCAACCATACGACGGAATAAATTTAACTCTTGAATGACTCTAAGTCTAATATCTTCCATCAAATTTCGTAATAATAAACTATCATATTTGTTATCATAAAATTTCTTACTCCATTTCTTACAAAATAAATTGTTTCCATTATAATTGAATGTTATATGATTATTTGAATTTACAGTGATTGGTATTATATCTTGTTGTTGTTTTAATAATTCCAATGTATTTGTTGTTGTTGTTGTTGTGGTTGCAGTATTTGTTTGTAATTGATAATGATAATTATTACCATTATTAATGGTATCGTCCAATGATATTAATTGAGGTTGAGATATTAAAGTAGCAGAATGATTGGATATACTAATAGATCTAATAAAACTAATAAAGTCTTTGGATTCTGATTTTGGCATATATACATCAAATGAATATCCAGACAATGCTGCATGTATTACCAATGGTAATTGATCATTTAATAAATCAATTATTCTTGGTATATAATTTATCTAAAATAAATTTTAAAAGTAGATTAATTGTTATTATTATTTCTTTTTCTTTCTTTTTTTTTTCTTCTTTCTTTTTTAATTACTTACACAAATTGAATACCAATTTGACAACATTGATTTTAATTCATTATTTACATTTAGATTATTATTATTATTATCAACTTTAATCAAGTTTGAGATATCTTTACAGAAATCACCCAATTCTAGATGATATGCTTCGATTCTATTTTCTTCCTTTTCCAAATGTTCATAACAAAGACATAGATAATATTCTTTGGTTGTTGTTGTTTGTATATCAAAATCCTCTTCTTCTTCTTCTTCTTGGTCCATTTTATCAACATTGTCAATAGTGATAATGGTAGAAGTTGTACTATCTTTGAATGCACCAAAATCCAAGTCTTCAATATCCTCCAAGATACTATTGATATTTAGTTGTGATAGACTATTGCTCATATTTGATTTCTCTCCATCACTACTTATACCCATTGAACCAATATTCTCTATATCATCATTGGCAACATCATCCAAATCCTCCAAATCCAATAATAATGATGATGATGTATTTCTTTTCATTGTTGGTGTTGTTGGTAATTTCAACGTTGATGTTTGTTGTTGTTGTTGTAATATTTGTTGTTGTTGTTCTACTTCCATAAGAGTATAATAACATGATATGACAGTCTTTGTAGTAGCAGTTGTATTTGTATTTGTATTATTTGATGATGAGTTTGGATCTTCGATTTGACCGATTGAACCAGTCTTGTAAATCATATTCTTTGATGATTTAGTATGAATGAATGACTTTACATTTAGCTTTTGAATATCGTCTCCATTTGACAATATTATATTGAGTGTATAACTATTACGATTTGGTTGTTGGTTGTGGTATAAATCAGAAGAGGTAGTCTGATTGTTGTTGTTGTTGTTGTCTTGTGGAAGTTCAACATTCTCTGCTGATGAATACTCTTTCACCAATAAACAATAGTAACTAGCTTGTTGTTGTATTAGTTGTTGTTGTTGTTGCTGTTGTTTCAAAGGAGATGATCCTTGTGCTAGTTGACCATTATTATTACTATTATTATTATTGGTTATATCATTAAATACAAAGTTATTATTTGAACTACTATTTAGTTCATTTCTGTGGTTGTGGTTGTGGTGTTGTTGTTGTTGTTGTTGTTGTTGATCTGTTGATTGAGTTAGTTGTGAAAATGACATGTCTATCAATCAAAACAGAGAACACGTGTAATAAATCTAGAATGATGATAAGGTAAACATTATTAAATTTTGAAAAGAATCGCTCAGAAGGTGGGTTTCAAAGGAATTTTAAAATTCCATCCATCTCCTCCAGACATACGAGTCAGACGAATAGTCAACTCAACCAATCAATATAAATACTAATAAATTATCATCATTCAATTCAATTCAATTCACAATTTAACAAACAAATAATTAACAACTTTTTTAATTTAAAAGAAATCAACTAAAAATGTCAACAAACAATAATAGATTAAACTTGGAAGCTATAGTCAAGGGAATTCAAGAACAAGATTCTAGAGGTATTTGAAAAATACTATCACGATGATGTTGTAATGTTTGAAAAGGGTGATTCGACCAACCGTGTTGGTAAAGATGCCAATAGAAAGGCTGAAGAAAGTTTTGTCAATAATGCTACCATCCATGAAGCAAAGGGTAATTTAATACCATTATTAAAATAATAATTATAAATGACATTCATTGTGCTCATACATTTAATTTTATAGTTTTAAAGATACTTGTAGACCAGGAAGGTCACACAATACAGCCTATGAGATGTATATGGATTTCACATATGGTGGTCACAAGGTTCAAAAGACTCAATGGGCTCTTCAACAATGGAAGGGTGGTTTAGTTATCAAAGAAGAATTCTTCTAAATATATATATATATTTTAAATAAAGCAAAAATATTTAATTTAAGTTTTCCCTCCCTTTTATTTTCAATTTTCACAAACAACTCGAGAAGTTTCATTGTTAGTTATATTTGTGCATACAAATAAGATAAATAGAGAAAAGAAAGAAAATGGACAGTGACAGATTATCAGAATTATATCAAATGTTTCAACATGCAAAGAGACAAGAAAAAATATCAAAGGTATGAGATAAAAGTATTGCTTGGTAGTACCTTGTACTAATCTCTCTCCTCTTTAAAGAATGTAATTAAAGGAAAGAGAATATTAGCAAAGAGATTAAATATTGCAAGAGGTAGACCATTCTATCCAGCAAGAATTCATAGAAAGGCTGCATCACAACCATTGGTCGTTAGAAACACTGCATTCAATGCGTTGAACAATGGTGATATCAGTGGCTACGATATCATTGTTAAGATGGCAGACGTAAAGAAACGTGACGAAGGCGCTAAAATGAGAGTATTCATGCAAAACATCATGAAGCAATATGGTATGGAGGCATTCCAAAATGCTTTACTTCAAAATGGTGTCGATGAAAACTACAATGAAGATGAAGATGAAGATTTTGAACCACCTTCTGATGAAGATGAAGATGATAGTCAAGATGAAGAAGAAGAAGAATCTGGGTCTGAAGAAGAAGAGGAAGAGGAACAACAAAAACAACAAACAAATGGATTTTTGGTAGAAGAAGAGGAATTTGACGAGGTAGATGATGATGACCAAGATAGCGACGAGTTTGATAGTGATGACGAAGATTTAGACCAAACTGATGAATTTTAAAGAAGAATAATTTACAAGTAGTATCAATCAATACAACACAAACACACACCTAAACATGTACATGGATAAAAAAATAATTTTAACTTTAAAATGGTTAAATATTTTATAACACTATGTTAATTAATTCTAAACATTTCAGTTTTAAAGTTATTTGATTGGAAATCAACCACACACCCACAAAAAGAAAAATAGTTGATCAATCTTTTTTCATTTTAAAACATTACGATATTATTTTTAGTAGTCTTTGGATATATATAGCGAGAGAGAGTGATACGTGGGACAATGGGTTAGGGTTATACGGTTTTAAAAAAATCAGATTTAAAAAGTAGATGACTAATCAAAAGTACCCATGATTAAAAAAATAATATCAAACTATTCAAGATTATCAAAGGGGCAATGGAACGGAATGGATTAACAACAAAAAATACAAAAGTATAAAAACTGATTTTGCAATCAGTTAACTAATATCAATCAATCATTAATCAAATAAGAAAATGAGAATTTTAATATTACTTTTATCTTTTATTTATATTGTAAACTCTACAAATACAAGTGTCCCATTAACTCAATGCATGGTATGTAAACTTTTAAAAAAAATAAAAGAATTATTTATTTACTTTTTTTTTTTTTTTTTATTTTTAGTCTGGAAAAGTTATTGGTACAGAACCATTAACAGTTTATGGATCATGTGGATATGGATCATATAATGGGGAGACAACTCCAGGGACAATGACTGCAACATTGAATCAAATCTTTTATGCTTCTGCAAGATGTGGAGATTGTTTTGAAATTACTGGACCAAAGGGATCGACTGTTGTAAGAGCTGTCAATTTCTGTGGTGGCAATGAATGTTCAAATGACCGTCCCTACTTTATGACTACACCCAATGCCTTTTCCGAGATTTCCGATGAACCATTGTCGACCATTTACGACGCTGGTTTTAGACGTGTATCGTGTCCAACCGAGGGTCCACTAAAGGTTCGTTTCCAAAACGATACCTCTGAATACTATGTCAATGTCTTGCTTTTTAACAACAATGTCGGTATCTCATCGGTCAGCATAAAAGGTGCCAATATGCCAAATGCTGCTGAAATGAACCGTCAAAACAACTCTGCCACCTTTTCATGGAGTCAAGCTGGCTTCAAGATCCAATTCCCAGCCACTGTCACTGCCACTTCATTGTATGGTGATAAGGTATCTGTCGTATTGAAATCATCTGACCGTCTCAAGGTGTACGAGTTTGGTAAAAACTTTGCTGTCCCTCAAAAGGTTGTTGGATCACCTGCCACTTGTCTACTTGCCAAGACCCCAACCTGTATCTACAACGACTCGTTTTCCCAAGGTTATGATACCTGGAGTTCATACTCTTACAAGGATCTCAATGTCTCTGATACCACCGTCACTTACAACAAGTCCAAAGCATCTCTACACATTAATTTGATTGGTGCAGGTTCCTATCTCTCTATTACCCGTGCCGGACAATTCCAAACTGATTATTTCAAGGGTATCAAGTTTGCAATCCGTGCCAGCAGAGTATGGAATGGATTCAATGTATTCTTTGGACAACAACAAGAATCGTGTTGGAAGCCATCGACCAACATCACTACTGAATGGTCAGAACATACAGTCCTCTTTAGCGACATGAAACACCAACACATTGAAAAGGCTATCAATTTTGGAAACAAGAATGAAAATGATGTAATCATGTGGTTGGATGATATTAGTTTTATCACCTCTCCAAATGCTCCAAACATCACTGCTGGTGCTTCAGCTGGATCCGAAGGATTAAATCCAATGACCAATCAAACTACCACTACCATGCAAATGACTGGTACTCCATATGCTCCAAGTGAAGATCCAACCGTTCATGGTTCTCACAGTGGTGACGAAATGAATCATGAATCTTCTGCCATTAAATCAAATTCAACAAATATCTCAATTATCTTTGTTTTATTATTTGTAGTATTATCAATGTTTTAAAAAAAAAGGAAAATTTAAAAAATAAATATATTTCTTTCATTCTTTATGTATTTTATTATATTTGTTTATTTAATAGAATGAATCAATTCTAAAAGTAGGAATTTCCTTTCCTTCTTTAATAAAAGAAAAATGATAGGTAGAACCTACTTGAATACTTTGGACATAGGATGGTAGTTTCCATTGACCCTTGACAATGGCAACAGCACTATAGATACTTGATGGATCACGGAGTTCCAAATCGGCTGAGAATACCACTCCTTGGAATGGGACTTTACCAGTATTGGTAATTATACTTGAAAACATTCCATAATGTTTACCATTTTCATTCCATTCTGAATTTAAAGTAGTATCAAAAGTGGCGGCCTTTTGATTGACTGGTGGTTCATTTCTAGGGTCTTGACAACTTTCTGATCCCAAATTGGTATATGCCTTGTTTGAGAAATGGTACGTACAAATACCATTTGTAGTAAAGGCAACCATAATATTTCCTCTACACTCTGTTACATAAACATCGACTGCTGGTCTTCCAACTGGAACCATAAAAACATGACCTTCAGAATCGATTTGAAAACTTGAATAATCAAAAAATAATGGTTTTGTTTGATTTATATCAAATGGTTGATCTTTACCCCCTAAACATCCTTCCTGAATACTCTCTAAATAAAAAATAATAAAAGTTTAAAAAATTAGAAATACATGATCTAAAAAATGTTTATATTTTTACTTACCAACTGATGAATAAGAACCTGTAGCTTTAAATACACCACGATCTTGAGCTGCTTGACCTCTTGCATAAAGAATATTTCCATCATTTAAAAAACATGAAATTTTAATACCAACTCTAGTTAAATCAAACCATGGTTTCAATGCATCCTTGCATTGTGTAGTTTGTCCATTCACTTGATTGATTATCGATATTATTGAAATTAAAAGTATTAATATTTTCATCTCTGCATAAACTCTAAAATAAATATTGATACAAAATATAACAATTATAGAAAAAAAATGATTTTTCATTCATCATTCGTATGAGATTTATGTGTAGTGTAGTTAGTAGTGAGAGTATTACAATTGTTAATTTCATACATCTCCATCTCTTCCTATTCCAACACACTCTGTAATCATGATCACTTTTTTTTTCACCCTCCCTCTGCAAACCCTTTTAAAACTTGGTATCATCATCACTATCATCATTATCTTTGGGTGTCAATGCTCAGGTTGAGTGTGTCTTGTTTATATATATATTATTTCTGTTGTTTTTTTTGATTTATTTAACCTTGGGCTTGTTTGCATCTGCGCTGAAAGAAATTAATTTCTTGAATTGACCCTTGGCTAATGCTACAATTAATGATCCACCAATACAATATGGAACCAAGTATAATAAAGCGGGCTAAAATAGAGAGAAAAAAAGAAAAAGTAATAATTAATAAATATACTACTATCTATTATTATTATTATTTTCACACTTACTTGAGCAGCTTGGAAAGTATGCATAACAAAGATAGTAGTCATAAGACCAAGAGCATAAGAGATCAAGTTTGAAGTAAAGTAGGTAGTTTTCATGGTCTTGTCAGAAGAGGCAAGTGAACGATCGAATTTGAGGAGGAGAGCAATAAAGATACCTGGCATGACAATATCACCGAGACCGAGCATAGTGAATTGGTAGGTGGAGGCGAAAATATCCTTTGGGAAGAGGAGTTTGATGGGGGCATCGAATGACTTGGCGACAGTGACCATGACATCAGTTCCAAATACCCAAAAGATGTCGTATAAAAAGAGACCACTCAAAAGAATGACACCGACCGAATAGTCATGCAATCCAATCAAAGAGATACCTTGAATCGAAAAAGTGAGACCAAAAATGTTGTTGGCAATCCAATGCTTGGTAGTCATGTACCAGTAGCTAATACCAAGAGCAATAACAAAACCAACCAAGTCATAAATGTCAACAGTGACACGAGTACGTTCAACAATGTATGGGATGGCTGGAATGTGGAAATCCAAAATAGCTCCTGCTGGCTTTTTGTTATTCTTCTTTGAGGATGATGAAGTAGTAGTAGAGGATGGAGTAACTGGTGCTTGTACACCAAGAATCCAGCGAATAGCAAGTGCAGTCATTTGTGAGAGTGCAAAAAGACCAAAAATAATAAAGTAATACACCATGATAAGATTAATCAAATCCTTATCAAAATACTTGAATGCTAAATATAAACCAAACAAAAATACACTACCAATCAATGGGAATGTCCATGCATCTGATTTTTTCATTGTTTCTGCCTAAAAGTAAAAGTAGAGATAAACAAGAGTTAGAAACCTATATAGAACTAATCTCTCAATCTCTCTCTATCATTCTTTCTCTCTCTCTCTCTCTCTCTCTCTCTCTCTCTCTCTCTTTACCTTTGTATCTTTAAGTGACATGTATGATCCAATGTAAATTGGGATGATTGCCATAGTCCAAATAGCGCCATAGGCAACCATTAAACCAGTACTAAGTTCAATTGCCATTCTCTCTCTCTTTGATTGATTATATACTAGTCTCTCTCTCTTTCTTTCTTTGTTTAAAAGTTAGCACGAATAGAAAAATAATACAATAAAGTTGTGAGTTGCTTGTTTGGGTGTGGTGAAGTCGCGTGGTATTTTATTTCTTCTCTCTGCATTGTCACTGTTTTTTTTTTTTTTTGAAGTCAACAAGGTTTTTTTAATTTTGACTTTTCATGTTTGATCCCATAATAATTGATCGATCGATAATTATTTGTAGAATGATCTACTTGTATATTATTAATATTAATATTATTTATCTCTTTTCCAAATTTATTTAATAATATTATTAATTTTTTGAATATATTTAATTAAAACTGGATCATTGTTGTGTTGTAAATGATCTAGTCTATCTTGAAGATGGAATTCATTACAAATGACATCTCGACATTCCTGGTAGACACTGAAATTGCCAAGTGATATGATTAGATTCTTCATCAACAATGGGTTGTCCAAATGTCTAAACATGACTGTCAATACGTCAGTCTCTAGTAAAAGAGGACAAAGAAGATCAGAGTTTCTAACCATATTACCTATAGCCCCTGCTACATTGGATCGAGTCTTTTCATCTTCCTGTGGATTATCCAAAATACAAACAAATGCATCGATTGCCGGTATCAATTGTTCGTACAATTCATCCGAATGAAATGCTGAATTACCAATTGCTATACATGCAAATTTTCTTGTTATACTATCTACATCATTACATCTATCAATTAATATTGGTATTATTCCATATCTAAAAAATAAAATATAAAAGAAAAATTAATAAATAAATAAATAAATAAATAAATAAATATTATTCTTTTTCTTTTTTTTGTTTGTTTCATACTTTGAAATGATTGAATAAAAAGTTGAATCAAATTTAAATAAATTTCCAATTAAAGTACAAGCTTTTGAACGAATTGATGAATCATGATGATTTAATAATTTTGGTAACCAAGTACATAGATCTGATTTTAATATTGATTGATAATGATCTTTACCATTCTTTACAAATTGATTTAATATTAATAATGTATTACTTATAATTGTATTTAAATTTTTCCTAAAATAAAAAAAAATATTAATTATTTGCTTTTTCTTTTTCTTTTTTTTTGTTTCTATATTTTACTTTTCAGGACTTAATAATTGATTAATTAAAGTTAAACCATTATTATCAATAAATTGTTGAGAGAATTTACTATCATTTACCAATGATGATAAAAGAATGATTGGATATTCAAGTGATTCCAAAGGTAATTGAGGAATAATTAAAATGATATTTTGAATCAAGTTATAATCCAACATAATATGTCTTATCAATGTATGTAATGGATTTGTTTCTTCTTGATTATTATTACCATTACCAGAATTCTTATTATTATTATTATTATTATTATTATTATTATTATTATTATTATTGTTTAAAAGTTGTTTTTCTGGAAGATAAAGAATATGAATAATTTGTTGAGTTAGAGTTGCAAGACCACTTGTACCACCAAATTGAATAGATGACCATTCATTTCTAATCTTTTCCAAATGTTTTGGTTCCAATAGTGTACATAGACTAATCAACAAGTTATTCTTTACGAGGAATGAAAGGTTTTGATTAGAGTTTCGAGAGAGTACATCATAGATGACACGTAACAAATGAATGACACCAAATGGGGATAATTCTTTACATCCATCTAAATTGCCATTGGTAACGGCTGCATGCAAGTGATGACATATACTCTCCCAAACACCAGATTCCAAAAACTCTTCCAGAAACTCATGTCCTCCTCTTTTTAAGAGGCTAAGTAGAATTGATACACTTCCATCCAATTGACCTATACATGGCCTTCCCATACATCCTCCTTCAATATTTCTAATCGTTGTCATTTTATGTGTTTGAGTGGCGGCGGCAGCGGCAGGTTGTTGAATGTGATTTGAAAATAACTTTCTAAGATATTTAAGTGGAATGGCTTGAGATACTTGATCGATTGTTTCAATCAACAATTCATTGTTGGTTAGGAGATAGTTTTTTTCAATATCGATAGATACCGATAAAAACGATCCAAGGAAATAAGAGGTACACGAAGACAATAGTGTATTGGCTGCATTGCCAAAAAACTTTTTAACCAATAGCTCCAAATCACAAGAGATGATCCATGGGATAGTCTCTGGTATCTGAGTGACAACAGTGCCAAGAATCAATACAATAATACATTGTTCATTGTATTGTAATTTGTCTTGTGCCAATAGATGATCCAATAGTGAACAAGTTTGTTGGTGTCCTTGCATACTAGAATCGTAGATATCAGCTTCCATACGATTGATCAATTCAGCAAACAAACGAGACGATCTACAACAATGTAGGATCAATTGCAAGATATTGTATCGGTGGTCTTGATCTTGCATGGTCTCGTAAAAGTGTTGAATGATTCCTTCTTTGGCCAATCCATCACCAATTGTATTACAAGCAGTTTGGTAGATTAGATTGTTGGAATGATTGAGAATGGATTGGAGGTTGGATGTTTGTGAAAATGAATACAATGGGAATTCCAAAATATTATTGGTAGAGGTTGATAAGAATGCAATAAAACATTGTACAATCAATGGTCTTTGATCATCTTCTTCTCTTCTGGTAAACATTTCTTGTTGTTGTTGATAATACAAACAAAGATTATTGATTATATCACTTTGTTCTAAAATTCTCTTATAAATTTCATTAAATTGTATTGGTGATTCTCCAATCTTTTTAAAAAAACTTCTTATAAACTAAAAAAGAAAAAGAAAAAAGATAATTAATAAACTTTAATTTAAATATCTTGTTTTTTAATATTTTTTTTACCTTTAAAATACATTTTGAATATTAAAACTAAAATTTGAAATTGATTTTGTTAGATAATTGATAATTTGTACAGGTGAATTAAATTGAATTGAAAGATTAGTTTGAAATTGATTTAATCTTTTTGGTGAATTGGGTGTGATTGGTCGATTTGGTTGTTGTTGTTGTTGTTGTTGCTGTTGCTGTTGTTGTTGTTGATCTTTAATAAAATAATTAAATGATAGAATATTTAAAAGTGATGGTGAATATTCAAAATAGGCGCCTACGCAATTACACATTTCAGCTAAAAGTTGTTGTAATAATTGTTGTTGCAATGGATGTTGTATTTGTTGTAATTCCGTCAAGATATGTGTCATGGATTCAATTAAAATGAAAAATATATTTCTTTTAAATAGTATATTGGTGTCATTGGTTGGTGATAATACAGGTGATGCTACATATACTGATGAAATAGATGAAGATGAAGATGATGATGAAGATGAAGAAGATGAAGAGGATGATGAAGAATAAAAAGGTGGTGGTGATTGTTGACCTCCACTTTGACCATTATTATTACATTGTTGTTGAAATAAATTAATTAAAATTCGTAACATACAACCAATTGAACTTAGATCAATTGGATTATTTTCATCCAATGGAGATGAACAACTAGCTTGCAAATGATAGATTAGTTTTTGAATCAATAATTTGTCCTTTAACATTTGTGTATTGTTGCTTTGATGGATTGATCTCGTTTCTTGTTGCACCCAAAAATCTCGTGATTCAAATGGCAAGACAAACGAATTGCCAGTTGGATCGTTGGAAATGTCCAATCTCTCAATCATCAACACCTCCTTTTGTGATTGTGGAGGTGTCTTTAATGGCAAGATCAAAGGTGTGTTTCCATGACTAGTCTTTGGTGATTGTAAAAGTTGTTGAGATGTTGGGACTGAATATCGTGTTGGTGTAGATGGTCTTGCCAATATATGATGTTGTTGTTGCAATTGAGGAGGTGAGTTTATAGAATTGGATGATTTAGGTCTATTTTGAATATTGAATGGATTGTTTGGTGTACCATTCGATGTCGGTGAAGATACAGAGATCTGTGTACCATATACTGAACTACTACTAATAAATAATGGTGTTTGTGGTCTACTATTATTATTATTATTACCATTGACTGATTTCTTTTTAATTGAAGAAGAATTTGAACCATTGATCAAAGGTTGTTGAGGTGATATGATTGGTGATTTTGTTGATATTTGTTTTGGTGATAATTGAATAATTGAAGTAGAAATACTATTACTACTATTATTTGGTGTTGGTTGGATTGATATTGGTGGTGATGATGTTGATGATGATGATGATGTTGTCGGCCTATTATTATTAAAACTATTACTACCACTATTACTAATAGAAGATGAGGGTGGCCTTTCCTTGTTGTGTCCATTGATCAAAGGACTGGATGATGATAGGACTGGAGGTGGTGGTGTTGGAGGTTTGGCTGATTTTGGTGGACTAGATGATGATGCTGATGAATTGGTACTATGTCTTCTTTGTTGTTTTAATTGCATCCATTGCTGTGAATTGTGGTGAGGAGTTTGTTGTTGTTGTTGTTGTTGTTGCTGTTGTTGTTGAACCTTGACATTATGTGTATTTAAAAATGGATGATTGATTAATTCGGACCATCCCAATTTCTTTTCAGAATCCCTATTATTGTTGTTTGTTATCAACAATACTTGTAATAGATTCAATAAATCATTTGAAAATATTCCATTTAGATTTGTTAAATTGACATTGTGCCCACCACCATTATTATTAACATCTTTTGTAGTTAATAGTTCGTATAGAGAATGACCAAATAAATACAAGTCATCAGGTGATTGTTGTTGAATTTGTTGTTGTTGAACTTGTTGTTGTAATTGACCAAGTTTAAAGTTTAGATTATCTGATAGTTTGACGATACCATCACTAGTGATCATAAAGTTGCAAGGATGGATGTCACCGTGAACGTATCGATTGGAAAAGAGATGGTAGAGTGCACTCGATATTTGTTGAGCGATCAGCTGCACCAGATTCTCTGGCAGTCCCTCTGCATCCTCGCTCAGCACCGTACCCAAGTTGCCGTAGCAACACTCAGTGACCACACACAACTCGGTCGAAGATTCAAAGAATTCGAGTATTTGAATGATGTTTGGATGCCATGATACCAATCGATGGTTATTAATCTCTTGCACCAATGCTTTAATAATCAATGTATTACCAATCGCCTTTTTATCAAAACATTTAATATTAACATATTGATAACTATACTTTTTTCGACACTTTAAAAAGAGAGAAAGTAAAAGATGTATTAGATCGAGTAGTATACTATAGTAGTAGATATATAGATATGTATGTATGTATAATTACTTTTAAAACTTTAATAAATGGTGATTGATGAATAACCTCTATTATATGATATTGTTCATTCATCTCTCTCTCTCTCTCTCTCTCTTTTATTATTATTCTTCTTATTGATAATATAGTTATCTAGTAATCAAGTCGACTTGATATATGTTTATTTGTTGTTGTTGTTGTTGAAGGTGTGAGGTGGGTGTGTTAGAGGGTTAGGTAAGAAGAGATTTACTGTAGAATTCGTGTTTATGATAGATAGTAGACTAATAGTAGTATATATACTGTATGTACATGTTATGTTATATTAGATTGATAAAAAGAGATTAAGCAAGAGATGGAGCGGTGGTGATGGTTGATGATTTAATTTAAAAAAGTGTTGTTGTTGCGAATTGTTGTTGTTATCAATCAATTTGATTGATTTACTTGAAAAGGAAATTTGTTTGTGGTGTGTGCACTTTGGAAAAGATCTGCAACAACAAATCAATGAAATCTTGCAAAGATGATCAAACAAACAAACAAACAAACAAGGTTTTTTCGACACAACCCGTCATATATTTTTGTCGGGCCAAAAAGATAAATTAAAAGAAATTCGATAGTTGTATATATAAATTAATTTTTGGTCATCATATTTTCAAAACTAAGTAAAGTTTTTTTCTATATAAATTCACATTTATTGCCATGGCAGCTGTGACCAGTCTTTGGATCGATCTTTTTTAAAATTAAAAGAATTAATTGTATTATTGTTTACAAATGTTTTTTATGTTGTTGTGCGCTTTTGATGAAGATTGATTATTATTATTTAATATAATAATTTATGTTTTAATATATTATTTATGTGTATATGTAAATGTTTGTAAATTTATAAAATAGTACTACTTTTTTTTATGATCTTCAATTGATTGTTTATAGTCTGTAGAACTTGATGTTGGCTATTTAAAAAAATATAATGTTAATAAATCAAGTCAAGAGATCATCATTGGATTTAAAATAACCATACCAGTTGAATCAACAAATGATCCAAGTTTCTCACGAATGAGATACGATTGGAATCGTTGACTTGTAAAATGCGAATAGGCAACGTAACGGCCTAAACCAACGAACATGCCCATGTTTCTTTCAATGATCTGGAATAACTCAGAGATCGACTCCTTGGCAGCTCTCTCGATGGAATATTTCTCGGGATTGAATCTCAAAAAGATAGAAGTGTCTCCGTGCTCTATTACAAAAAGGTATTAATAAGAGGTGTATTTTTTAGTTACTCACTTCATATTTACTTTGTTTGAAACCACAATCTGAAATGATAGGCATTCTTTCGAAATGATCAGAGCAGGGTTCACAAGTATGTTGGAACTCATCTATCTCAATGTAGATCACCATTTTGAGACTTTGGATTCGAATGATCAGATCTGGAAATTTTGGGCAACCAAATATCTTCTTTGAATTGAGAATCAATATGTCGTCCTCGTCCATTGATGATACATTAATTAAATATTTCTTCATTGAATCTAATGATTCCAATTCTTTTCTTAGTAGTCCAACACGACCTTCCAAAACCAATTGTGACGATAAATACTTGTATCTATAAAATAAAAGGAATTAGAAAACAATCCTATTTGTTGATTCTTCTTTTATGTTGATACCTTGATTCTAAAAACTGAATAGAGATGACCAGGTTTTCACAAGTGTCTCTATATTTGGTGTAGATTCCATCAATCAACACTCTTTCACCATTGCTCATTCCAAGTTCCTCATCAAACGGGTATCCTTTTGTTGAATAGGCTGGATCAATTCTAGGATAACTATAGTCAAAATGAATGGTTAATAAAAGGGACAAAAGTAATAAAATTATTTTTATAGTTACTATTGGATCAGTGCCTGTCTCATTCTCAGAGGAAGACCAAGAGAAGTTATAATATTTGACCAACCAACCAAACCATTTCGTGCACGATCCTCTTCAACAAGCTTTTGAAGTTGTTCCACCTTTCCTTCCACCATCTCGGCAACTTGAATTGGTTTAAAAATAGAAAAATATTTCCTCATGACCTGGTTGCTTGATCGATTGATGCCTTGATTCTTTAATTCATTCGAGATGGATTGGAAGGATGGAAAGGTGAGAGTATCCAATCTATTAATTATTTTGTTGAATGCAACAGTTTCTTGCTCGGTCCACTCTGTATGGGGGAACTTGTAAATATGATACATATTCTTGATTGTTCTGGGTCCGATAAGAATACCATTTTTGTAACGTCTAAAGTGGTCAGCGATAATCATGATGTCTGTAAATTGTTCAAATAAACTGACCAAATAATCCTTGTCTTTTGAATCCATTGATATTCCATTTGGAAATAGTTTGAATTTACTAATGAAAAAAAATTAATAAATATATGAATTATTATTATTGTAATTTGCCAATACAAACATCAATCCTTTTATATTATGGTCTGTGAAATAATTCAAAATAGGATATTTGGTTTTGATTTCATCCAAAAAAATATTCCAATCCTCTTCATCCATTGGGTTCGAATCACTAAACATCTCTGCCAATACGATACATCCCTCTTTGGTAACCAGTAATTCCATGATTTTCGGTGATCTCATTCTTTACAAAGATAAAAGGTTAAATATATTTTTAAAAAATGTGATTTCGAATGATTAGTTACCTAGCTCTTAGTTGAGTGACACATTTCTTTCCATCTTTCTCATTTGAGTGCTTATACATTGATTGAATGGTGTCCCATTCTCCAGGGTGCTTGTTAAATAGATCCAATAATCTAAAATCATCCTCTAACAGCCACTTTGAACAATTTCTACTAAAATGTTTGATTTGGTAATCTATGTAGGGGGTGGGGATGTTGGGGAGTTTCTCGTAGAGTTGATCCAATGTTATTTCTCCACCAATACGTTGCTCGATTAAATCAAGTTGATCTTCTGTCCAACCATTTGAATACCCATGGACAATTCTATTATAAATCTCCAAATTAAGTTGGATGAACCTGGTGAAATTGCTAAAACTATAAAAATAAAATATTTGATAAATATCAATCAAATTTAAACCTGGTATTTAGTATCTAATACTTACAATTTTGTAAAGTCAACATCGCCAATCTCTCTTTTGTACTTTTTGATGGTGGCCTCGAGATTCTTGCCTCCACTATTTTGATGGCCAATCTCAACTTTTCAAGAGTGTCAATGTTGACATTTTTTGTTGACTTTGATTTAAACAACTTACTTTCCATTTCCCTATCTAACAAATTAAAACTTGATCCAATGCTAAAAATTAGAAATAAATATTAACCTTTTACTTTTCGAGAGTAGCCAGTAGTAGGTGTATTTACTTTTTATCTTCTGTACTAACCGCATCGCAAATCTTTGCAAACACAGTGTCGAGAGAGGCATAACTAGGAGCAATATGACGATGACTCACCAACTTTGCTCTAACATAATGAGCTCTGAAATAAAAAAAAATATAAACAATTGGCAATTCGTTGAACCATATTATTATCAAATTATTAAATATACATACATATCTTCGAGTCTAGTATTTAAAGGGTTATCCATCTTATCAAATCCAATATCATCACTAAGTTGGGGATAATTGACTTTTTGATTACTATTATAAGCTGTGATAATAGTATCAACCAAGATACCAATTGATTTTCTTGAAAAGATCATTGGTGAGAGCAGATCCAAATTTAAAATGGAGGTTATCAATTCTTCCATCGTTGACTTTGGAGCACCACTATTTATATATCTTGTGCAATCCTCCAACTCTACTCTCTCATATCCTTGCTTTTGGCTGATGGCTTTAGCAACCTTTGAAAATCTAGATTAAATTAAAAAAAGTTATTAAAGAATGGTTCAAGAGATTGTAAAGATGATCGATATTTACATTATATTAATATCTTTATCTCTTTTGAATATGGGGTGGACTTTTTTAATCAAAACTGGATCTCTCAATATTAATGTCCCCTTCTTTTTATAGATTCTGGGATCACCATCAAGTAGAATTATCATCATTGTGATGACTTTATCCTTGGATAAACTTCTGGTTACCTCCCATCCAAGGACAAGATCAACAAGTTTTTTGAACTCTTGATCCGTAGTGTATCTAGTAATGTTGGCTGTGGTGGAAATTGTTGGAGTGGTGGGAGTGGAGAATGTGGAGAGTGTGGGGACTCTAGTTGTAGAAGTGGATGTGGTGGATGAATCGATTACATCATCATCTTCTACTTTTTTGAAACTTCCATGGCTTGTTTTGGGGAAAGAAAAATCCAATTCCTGCTCCTCACTCTCCATATCAATATTTCTCTTGTTCTTTGTTAAAGTTGACAAATTGGTTCCAGTTGCTTTGTTATTTGACAATTTGTATGTGGAATTTGTGGAAGTTGGTGTGATGGTAGAGGAGACACTGGTGGATGTGAAATCATACTCCTCTCCCGTCAACCTATCTTTGAGAGAAAGTTGGGTTGCCTTTCTAATGTCCTCCTCTTCACTATCAATATCTTCACTAAAACTATCTTCTTCCCCTACAGAGTCCTCCTCCTCACTCTCATACTCTTTTATTTTCTTTAGTCTCTTATAGTTTGTTGTGGGGACTGAGAAATCAATGACGATCTCTTCCATGACCTCTTCCTCTTTCTTTCTAGTTTTTCTATCTCTTTTCAACATATTTCTATCTATCTATCTTTATACTGTTGAAACAATAAAAAAATGGTAAAAAAACAGCCACTTTGAAATTGACTATTTTAGAAAAAATCAACACAAAAGAGTGGCAAAAGACAACCAATGACTTATAACAGATAGTAGTACAACCAATAAGAATTATCTATATACCAGATGAGAATAGTAAACAACACATCGATCATTTATCCTTTATTCATCAACCAACATTGATCAACAAGACCACCATCTCCCACTCACAAGTATATTCTAGCTATCATACAGCTGTTCAATTGTGTATATTGATGTGTAATAAATCCTCAAACAAGATATTTTCAACTAAATACAACACGATATCCATATATCATCTCTGTTATCAATACTTTTGCTTATAAATGTGTATGGGAGAGTAATGGTTCAATATTAAACAATTTGTTCACCCAGAACCAGTAAATACTGTAAAAGTGGAAACCCAGTCAATGGATATATATATATGTTTGAGTATGATTGTGTTACAGTGTAGATGGTAGATTCAACAGGCATTGCTGTCTGTCCAAGTAGTACCTTTACACTTGTGACATTTAATGAGTCTATTACCATTCTTATCGGCACGACAGCTGTGACAGGCAAATTCTTTATGGACTCCGGTACGACCAGTACCTTGGCAATGCCAGCAATTAACCAAACCATCTGTACACCATTTACCTAAATAACATTACATTTTTGAAAAATCGATCATCAGATTAATTTTAATTTGAAAAGAGATAATAATAATAATTTAAATCTATCTAAATAATATACATTTCTTTAAAGCTTCACCAGTCTTTTTGTTTATAGGGGCAGGCAATCCAGTATTTGGGTCAATGACAATATCAGAGGTTGGTGGATTCTGACCCATGGGAACGGTTGGAGCTGGACCTGGGGCATAACCTACTTGTTGAGGTGGGTATCCTTGTGGTGGGTAACCTTGTTGTGGTGGGTACCCTTGTTGCGGTGGGTACCCTTGTTGTGGTGGATAGCCTCCTTGTGGTGGTGGGGCATAATAACCTTGTTGTGGTGGAGGTGGTTGAGCGTAATATTGTTGAGACATTTTTTAAAAAGTAAAAAATATATTTGATTTAAAAATAGATAAATAGATTTTAAAGATATATAAAGAAATAAAGTCTTTATGCTTTGTTTGAAAATGTGAAAGAATGAAAAGAAAGAGTGAGAGAGAGCATCTCTATGTGTTTGTTAAAAAATGCTAGTGAAAATACCAAGAAAATCAACTTACGTGGTCTATAGCCACGTCCGTACGGAAGAGAGACAATGGGTAATTTTTGTTAGATCTCCATGAAAAAACCGATCAGCACCAACCAATCATCTGTTTTGGCATAAATTCGAGACATTGATGAGTTTTTCGCACCTCTTCCCACAATTTTCATGCCCTGATTGGGAACTGTTTGGTTTTTTTTTTTTTTGTTCGCCATTATTTTGGATTTAGAGTTGGTTGTGAATTGTCAACACCATCACTATATTTGATATAGTAAGCTGGTTTACCAACATGGTTGATATAGATAGATTGTAGTAGTTGTTGTTGTTATTGGGGGAAATCTATTAATAGTTTTATTTATTGATTGTTTTAATGTCATATGAAATCATCATTTTTTTTTTTAATGTACATCATCATCATCATCACCATCATCGTCATCGTTCATTGTTCATTGTGTGTGATTAGATTAGATTAGATTAATTTTTAACATGTACTTTGAGGATATATCTAATCTTTACTTGATCAATATCATAAACGATGAATTCATTATGTGAACAACTAGTGTTTAATCCACTCTTTACAATCTTTCCACCTGGAATATGTAAACCTTGTTCACTAGAAAAAATAGAAAAAAAAACATAATTAATCATCTACGATGGATAAATAAATATATTTCTGTGTTTATACATACATTGGGAATTTACCATTTGGATCAGGATGAGACATACCACGAGCTTTAGTGGAATGAGTACCAGCTGGAGCCTTTTCCATGTATGTATCGTGGTCTAGTTCGTTCATGTTACCAAGAGCAACCTCACAAAGGATCATAATGGCAGTTGGTTTATCACGCGAGGTGCCACAGTAACTGGCACTCTTTGAGATACAATCGGCAAAGTAGATACCTTTACCAAAACGGTAACCAGTTTTTGGTGCTTCGGGTGGGGCAATCTTGAGACCCTGTGAAATGATACCACACCAATTGGTCAAACGACTACCGTGCCACAAGAGCAACTTGTTGTCATTCTTTTTCCATGGGTCAAAACGTGGTGCTTCACCTTCTCTGTCGACAGAATAGATATCGTCAACACTCAAACCAAATCTAAAGTAGCTAGTATCGTGTGAATCCATGGCATATTTTACCAAATTCTTGTAGGTATCGGTACTCTTGTCCAATGGTTTGATATCTGATTTCAATTGCTTATAATAAGCTTCAAGTAAATTGGAATCATCATCTGCTGAATCTTTAATTAATGTTGTTGCAATTTCAATATCTGCAAGACTCTATAAAAAAATAAAAAAATAAAAAATAAAAAGAGGAGAAAGAAAGTTAATATATATATTTTTTTTTCTTTTTCTTTTTTTTCTTTTTTAACTTACAGCCAACATATTAATTTTATCTTTAAGATGAGAAATTGTATCAATGTATGGTGGAACATTGAAACCAAAATCATGAGGGATAAGAGTATAGAATCTTGAAGACAATGATTGTAATTGATCTCTTCTACACTTGCCATTGATTTCAGTTTCGATATCCTTTAATACTTGATAGCCCTTTGTGATTTGATTCTTGTGGAGTTTGCCAAGTGGTGACTTTTTAAGATCAAATTTGGCTTCGACCAAGGTTTGCTTCATCATCTTTACATCGAAAATAAGTTTGATAAAGTTTTGTACACGGTCATCGAGTGAACATTCAGTCTTGTGAACAACTGGCTTTTTCTTTTTCTTTGGTTCTTCTGCGTCCTTTACAGAGTAATCCATTTCTAATAAATCATATTTACCACTCTTTTTTACAAAATGATGTCTATTATCAAATTGATTTGATGTTTTTTCATAAAACCTAAAAAAAAAAAAAAAAAAGAGAGAGAAATAGAAAAATTAGAATAAATATAATAATAATAATAATAATAGAAAAGAATAAATATTTACTTTTTATAGAAATCAGATTTGGCACCACTAAGAGAGTAATGATCGAATGGTTTTGATTGACCAACTTTACCTTCACGACCCCATCTAGTCCATACAACAAATTGGTTTGCATTGTTATCACTTTGAAGTAATTGAACAATATAAAACTTGTTATTGTTTTGTGCAATTTCGGTTTGATTCAATGTTGCATCATAAACATCTTTGCCATCATCATAAACATGAAACTAAATAAATAAAAGAAATAAAAGAAATAAGTAAATGAATACATATCTAATAAATTTTATATATATTTTGTTTACATACATCTGAATTTCTTGGGAAATTAATATCAACAGCAGCTCTTCCTTTAATTTGAATCTTTGTTTTTGATCCATCATCAGAATCTGAATCTGAATCTGAATCAGAGTCTAAATCTGAATCTAGGTCGGCCAATTTCTCTGCCAATAACAAGTTTTCCTTTACTTCATCATCCAATTCTTTCTTTGTCTTTTTTGGAATGGTAGTGGTAGAGGTAGTAGAAGTAGTAGAAGTAGTAGCTGGTTTTTGTTTCTTTTTTGATCTCTTTGCTTCTTCGTCTGATGATGATGATTCGTCTGATGATTCAGAATCAGAGTCTGGTTGAACAACTTGTTTCTTTGCTGCTGCTGCCTTTTTACCTCTTGTTGCTTTTGGTTTGGCTTGTTCTTCCTCTGATGATGATTCAGAATCAGATTCATCTACCTTCTTCTTGCTCAATGCATATTCACTTTCCTTTACTTTCTTGCCAGCAGTAAGAGATTCGTGGAGGAAATCTTCACTGACAACAAAGATACCAGCATCTAGTGCCTTTTTGATAGTGACACTGCCCTTGTTGTAGTCGGCCTGTGTTGTGAGGACATGAGTGACCTTGGCAGAGTAGGTCTTTGCGGTCTGTGCACCAATTGACTCCAACAATGACACTAATTCACCTTGAGATTGTGTAAATGTACTACCAGAGAGTGCAACCACACATCCAGACAACATGTTTGATGCATTCTTTGGTGAATCATCATTTAATACTCTTTTTTTTGGTGGCATTACTTTACTTTACTTGTTGTATCTTCTAATTGTAAATTGTATACTACTACTATCTGCTATCTGCTAAAAAAAAAAATTTAGCTCAAGGATTTTTTTTTTCAAACCAAGACCAAAACCATAGAATTCGAGGAAGTAGAAAATAAAAAGAACAAACTACAGAAACGGTTTTTCACCCCCCCCCCCCACTCTAACCACTTTGGCATTGGGAATGAAACGTACATAAATAAATACTTATATATAAAATAAAATATATAAAAGTTTAAAATTTAAATAAAATAAATCATTATGTAGACAAGACAGTACTGTCATCACATGTCATTACTACGCCAATTTTTTTTTTTTGGTTGGGGTGGATTTATACTGGCATGTAGGTGGATCGATGGTGTGATACAGAACAATACCCCCATTTTTATTTGTAAAATATATGTATGTCACATTTCCCCTACTCCTGCCTTTATAAATATTACTTTGACTGGATGATAGATAGCAGTACTGGTGGTATGTTGTGTCGTGTTGGTGATTGATCGTTCATAATAATAATAATAATATTCCATCTTTGTGTCTCACACACACACACATACACAACTATCTCTTTCCCTCTTTCTTTCTCTCTCTCTCTTTGTTTGTCTAATACTTTCCCCTCAACCTATGCTACTTTACATGCTATCATAAAGAAGAGAATTAATTTGATGATATATTTTTTCTAAACAATATTTGTTTGTTCATTTTCTATTTTCTTGTTCAGTAAATCAATCTATCTATCTATCTATCTACTTTTTGATCTATCTATCGGATCGTTTCATCAACCGAGTGTCTCGAGACCAACAAAAATCTTCGAAACTTGGTTAAGAGAAAGAAACCGTTGAAAAAAAAAATATTTCAAATTAAATTGGTTGCTTTTAGAACCAAACAGGCACACTCCCTCTCACAGTCTCTCCAACCTCTCCTTCTCACCCAACAACCAACAATAATTAGTTGGACTACTTTGGACTTTACACAAACAACAACCTAAAAACACCAGAGTCTACTATATTTATATCTATAACCCTTATAGTATAAAAAAAAAAAAAGAAAAAGAAAAAGGCAGTAGACAAGACAAGACAACAACAACAAATCTAGTTACAAAGAAGAATTGTATTATTGTAATTTTAGTTAAAACTCTATCAACAACAACAAAGAGTATATAGATAGAGAGAGAAAGAGAGAGTTGTAATAATAATAATAGTTAAAGTATTAAATAATAATAAGTAAATCTAAATTTGTTATCTCTTAAAAGAAGAGATTTCATCTTTTTAAAAAGAGATTTAATATGGATCCTCCACAACCACCAAATAGTACTTCTACTTCTACATCTACTTCGTCTACATTAAATACATCAAATGGATTAAGTAATAGTAAATCATCTGAAGATATATTTACACAAGGAAAGAGAGGACCAACATACCCAACCTTTACCATTAAAGCATCCAACACTACACCCAATGGAAGCATAAATAATAGTCCTACACTCAGTCCAACACAAAGTGGACAGGTAGGATCTCCCAACTCTGTATCAACGTCATTATCCTTTTCCTCATCGACCTCTTCTTCACAATCTCCCTCCCTCACCTCATCCACCACTAGCACAGCCACCGCATCTTCCCTGGCAGCTGCTCAACAAACACCAGAGATTCGTGTAAGAAATCATCATGATTTTAAACCATATCGTTCTTCTTCTCCATGTGTTTTCTGTGGTGAACAAATGAATAAGATTTGGAATCCTTTTACTAGTCATTCTTATAAATGTTCATGTAAGTGAAAGAGAAAAAGAAATTGAAAATATTATTACTATTATTATATGAACACTAATTTACTATCTTTTATTTGTTAGGTTGCGGAATTGTATGTCATAAAAAATGTTTAGATTTAATGAATACGATATCATGTTCAAATAATAAATTACATAAAAAGACATCAACATTGACAGTATCACAACAAAATCAAAATAATCTATCATCATCATCGAATACAATTGGTAGTAATTCAGATCCATTGTCACTATCAAGAAGTAGTAGTGCAGCAGAATTAAATTTACAACCAAATCAGGGAAATACAATAGCAGTGCCAACTTCATCGTTGGCAATGCCCAATCAAATGCCCGACGAAAAGGTGATTGATTCCATGTTTGAATCGTTGGCCAAGGAACGTGAACTATCGTTCCCAAGCAATTTCAAGTGGACCAAAGAGACAAAATGGTTGTTGCTCGTGCAACATGGCAAGCTCAGAAAGGAGGGTGCATCGGCAAGTGGCAGCACTTCTGGTGGCGAAGACCACTCTGCGCCCGAATACTTTATAAAATCACTACAAAGCAATGCTACACAGGAACTATTCCTCTCGTTGCACGTCAACTTGCGTACCAAGACAATTGCATGGTTGGCCAAGTTTATCGAGATGGAAGGTATCGCACTCATCTTTGCACTACTCAACAACAAAAAGAAAGAGTATCGTGAAGAGTGTGTACGTAGTATTGCCATCATTATGAACAGTCCACTCGGTCTAAAGGCAGTGACGAGTGAGCCAGTATCGGCCAAGCGTTTTGCCATGGTATTGGTGACACCCCAATTCTCACTCAAGGCTCGTGCCATTGTCATTGAACTGCTCACCGTCATGTGTATGGAAAAGTGGGTGCCAGGTGGCTACTCGATGGTACTCAAGGCATTGACCAACCTCAAGGAGAAAAAGAGATTTACCACATTTGTCAAATTCATAAAGGAAAATAACTCTCTCGAGATGAAGACCAAAGCTCTTTGCTTTATCAATGTCTTGATTCACGAGCCAGAAGAGACTAGTGTTCGTGTCAATATTCGTAGCGAGTTTTTAAGACTTGGTCTTTATGATTATCTTAAAATCCTTAAAGCTACCCTGTCGCAAGAGGATAGTTTACTCATTCAAATTGAAATCTTTGAAGAAATGATGGAAGAAGATAATCAAGAGATGGAACAAAAACTTGAAGACTTGAAACGTCAATTGGGAATTGATATTGACAATTTGGATGCTGTTTTCAAGGCTATCAAACAAACTGCTTCAAAATCTGGTCTCACCAAATCATTATTGTCGATTATGCAAAACTTGCTTGTCATCAAGAATGACCAAGATGGTATAAAGTATTGGTTGCTTTGTGATAGTCTTATCAAGCAAGTGTCACTCCACCGATCTGGTTTGGGTGATAATATGGACTTTAAGGGTATGTTGGCCAATGTTGACAATGCCACCAAAGAAGTTACGTTGACAAGAAAGTTGGAGGAATTGGAGAAACAAAACATTGACAAGGCAGCCATCATTCAAGAAAAAGATATAAACATCAAGGCGTTGCTCGATATTGTCAAGCAAATAAAGGCTGGTGGTGGAGAAGTATCTCCACAGCTGGCCAAACAAATAGAGAGTATCATGAAGACACTTGAACCTGCCAAACCAGATAAAAATGACAAGACCATACCAGAGGTTGAGGAGCCAGTCACTACGCTCATTCCACCACCTCCAACTTCAGTCGTAGAGGAACCAGCAACCGAGAGTACCGGCGGCCCACCACCTCCACCACCACCACCAATGATGGGAGGACCTGGTGGCCCACCACCTCCACCACCTCCACCCATGCCAGGTAAAAAGGGACCAGCTCTCATCAAGACTAGACCACCTCCAGTCGTTCCAAAGCCAGCTCATCCACTCAAAGCTTTGCAATGGGTCAAGATGCAACCAGCCAAGTGTAACGATTCCGTCTTTAACGTGTTGGGTGAGATGAAGGACATCAACTTGCCATGGAAAGAGATTGAATCCGAGTTTGCCGCCAAGATTATTGTACGTGAGAAAAAGGTAAACAAGCCAAGAGGACCGGCCAACGTTGTCGACGGAAAGTTGGCACAAAACATTTCCATCTTTTTGTCACAATTCAAGGGCTACAGCAACAAGCAACTGCTAGATACCATCCAAAACATGGACGACAAGATGATGAATCGTGATCAAGTACGTCAAGTCTCCAAGTTGCTACCATCCAAGGACGATATGGCCGCACTCAAAGAATTCCTTTCCGCCGAAGAACGTTCCAAGCTCGCCACACCCGACCAATTTTGTATCGATATGGGTGCATTTGCCTATGCCAATGAAAAGATCCAACTTTTCATGTTAAAGGGCGAGTTTTACCAACGCATGCAAGAGATGCGTCCACAAGTAGCCGCCGTCTCATTGGCCTGCGACGAAATCCTCAAGAGCAAGCGTCTCCAACGTCTCTTTGAGATTATCCTCGTGCTGGGCAACTTTATCAACTTTGGTACCGTTCGTGGTGAACAACCAGCCTACAAGATTGATTGTTTGATCAAGTTGGCCGACACCAAGTCGAGCGATCTCCAATCGAATCTTGTCCACACCCTTGTTAAATATTGTACAAACTCTGAAAAGCAACTCCTCACTTTTGCCGACGAACTCCAATCGTTGAGTGTTGCCAAACGTATCATCTGGTCGGGTGTCGTCGCCGACGCTGCTGCATTGACACGTGACTACAATGCCTGTAAAGAAATAGTCGAAAACTTCCAAAAACAAAACATCCCATTCCACGAGACTATGGTCTCGTTCCTCCAAGTGGCTGGAACCGAAATGGAGAAACTCAAAAAGCTCCAATTGGCCACTGAAGAAAACTATAAGAAACTCTGTACATATGTTGGTGAAGAACCTGGCAAGGTTACTCCAGACGAATTGTTTGAATTGTTTGCACGTTTTATCGAAATCTTTGAAACTGCATCCCAATTCCTCGCCGAACTCAAAGAACGTGAAGAAAAGGAAGCCAAAAGAGAAGCTCAAAAACAATTACGTGATGAATTAAAGAAAACTTTAAATTCTAAACCACAAAATAATCAAAATAATCAAAACAACAACAGTAGTAATAATAGTACAGGAAAGAATGATCAAGAAGATGATATTGTAAATGATTTATTATTGGCAGTTAGAGATGGTGATGTATTTAGAAAAGGAAGAAGAAAACAAAATAGTACAGGTGGAAGTCCAATTCCATCAAACGACAGAGAAGAAGTTTCTAAAAAATTAAGTCAAATTCTTACAAATAATTTAAATCAACAACAACAACAAAATCATTAAAAATTAAAATTAAAAATAAAACATTATTTATATTTATAACTTAAACAAACAAACAAATATTTTTTGGTGAAATCAAAACTTTTTTATTTTTATTAATTTTAATTATTATTTGGTTGATTTGGTTGAGGAGTTTTATAACTATACCATTGGAATTTCTTATTCTTTCTACCTGGGTTAACTTGTTGTTGTGGTTGTTGTTGTTGTTGATGTAATTGTTGTGAAATTTGTTGATTAATCTTTTGATCAAGATCAATAATTTCATTGACCTTTTGTTGTTGTTGTTGTTGTTGTTGATTTGTACAAGGCGTTTTGTTTTTGTTATTACTATTATTATTTGGTTTTGGATCACAATCAATTGGAATATTATGAGGTGGAGAATTTACATTATTATTATTGTTATTAGTCAATGGAGATTGAGGAGGTTGTTGAGATGGTGATGAAACTGGTGGAGTTGAAGATGAAGAATGTGGAGATGGTTGTTGTTGTTGTTGATGATGATGATGATTCTGTTGTTGTTGTTGTTGTTGTTGTTGTTGTTGTTGTTGTTGTTGTTGTTGTTGATTTTGTTGTTGACTTGAAAGTATTGGAGATTGTAAAATTTTTAATTGTTCAAGATTGGGAGGTTCAAATGGTGCAGGTGGATTATTGACCAAGTCAATGGGGACTGGTGGAATGTTTACGGGTGGAGGAGAATTGTAAACATTTTTATAGAGATTTTCATAGATTTGTTGGACCTTGTCTAGATTGAATCCCTTGCCTGCTTGAACACGATAGTCGTTGCTATAGGTACTTTGAAATGGAAACTTTCCATCCTCTGTAGGGAGCATCTTGGATACAAACGATGCCTTGTCATTTCCTGGTGTTGGTTTGTGGTTGTGGATGGTTCCCCAAACATTGGTAATCGTATCAACCACACCAATATCATAGGCAGAGACACTGTTGAGTCTAAGAATTAATTTTGCGTGTTGAACTGGTGTAAGGATGGTACTGAGCACCAAGTCAGTATCACAAATCAAATTTCTATGTTTGACAAAGTTCTTTTTCAATTGTTCCAATTTTCTTGTTAGATCCAACAACTCTGACAATTCCATAGTTCCCTTGTCAAATGGTAAAATGGTTGAACCAGTTGAAGCAGGTGGAGCAGATGATGTTGGATATGGTGAATATTGATGTGGATGTGAATTATTTGGACTATTATTATTATTACTATCAATAGGTGAAGTATTGATAAATGGTAAAGGTGAAGAAGAGGAAGAAGAAGAGGAACCACTTGGATTAATTAAAATATCATTGTTGGGTGGTAGAGGTGGATAGGATTGTTCGTTTTCGTATAATGGTGTTCCACAAGAAACCAATTTTCTTAGGAAAATATCTTTAATTTCCCGATCCAACTTGTCACGCTCTGTTCTCAACTCTTCATGAATCTTTGTATGATCGGACCATAAAATCTCAGATGCTCTATATTGTTGTTCATTCATACTAACTTCATCAACAAACTTTCCCCACCACAATGTAGATGTCATTGGTCTACCACAAAATATTGATGTTTCACTACTTGATTTATATCCCATTATTGCTAATCTTGCCTAAAAAATAAAAAAGAAAAAAAATATTAATATAAACTATAGTTTCTATTTTCCTTTTTGTTTTTGTTTTTTGTTTTTTTTTTACATACTTGAGTATAAGGATGAACAACCTTTTCAACTTCACGTTCAATAACAGTTGAACGTAATTGAGAAGAGAAATAATATAATTGTAAAAGATACTCGATCGATTTTACATCATTTTTGGTGACTGCTTGATGTAATTGCAAGAGTAGGTTTTGACTTTCACGAATGACTTCATGGAAATCACTATCTGGTCTCATAATATCTGCCATTTCACCAGTCTTTAATACTCTATTTTCCTTGCGTAACTGTTCATTTTCCAATGCCAACTCCTTTACTCGTAGTTCGACTTCTTGAATATGATCTTTTTTACGTTGACGATAGTTACGACTGGCAGTGTTTTGACTGGATCTAGATTTCTTTTTCTCTTCTTCTTCTTCTTCTTCTTTTTTCTTTTGTTGTTCTTGTTGTTGATGATGAAGGTATTGTTGATGAATCAAATTTTGTTGATGAAGTTGTTCTTGTTGTTCTCTATGTTGTTGTTCAATCATTTCTTTTTGTTTATGATAAAATTGTAATGGTTGTTGTTGAAATGATATTTCCGAAGAAATAGAAGATGATGATGAAGAAGATGATGAAGAAGAAGAAGAAGAGGAAGAGTTATTATTATTTAATGGTTGACCCATTTGATTCAATTGTTGTTGAAGTTGATGTGATTGTGCAAACATTGTATTTTGTAAACTAAATGCTGGTCTTGGTTGGAATGTTGTTGATGATGATGATGAAATTGATGATGATGATGATGAATTTTCAGATCCAACAGAATTACCAGAATTATTATTATTATTATTATTAGTAGAGTTTATTTGAATAGGTGGTGGTAGATTATATAATGTTGTGATGGATGTGGAGGTGATTGTAATTGAATTGGTTGAAGTGGTTGTAGTGGTTGGATCGCTTGTTGTTGAACTGGTTGTAGAATTGATTGAAGAATTGGTTGAAGAATTGGTTGACTAGTAGTAGTCGAAGTAGTTTGAACTGGTTTGTTTGTGGTCGTATTATCATCAACCAATTTAGAAAATTGTTGTTGTTGTTCTCTATAGAATAAATATTGAACTTGAGGAGGGGTAAGGAAAATACCTTGATCTTCCAACTTTTTTTTGGAATTGGTCTTGTTGACTTTGGATGATATTTTGAACAAATGCCAAATCGGTTGGTGCACCCGATGGAATATGTACATTGTTTAATGATGCCTTTTTAAACAACTCATCATAACTTTGTGGTGGTAATGGTACTCCACCACCACCAATATCATTTAATATTGTCTGTTGTTGTTGAAATGATTGAGGAGGTAGACTATTTTGTAAAAATCCATTATTAAATAATTGAGATACTGTTAAATCTTTTAGTTCATTTCCATTGTTATTGTTGTTATTGTTATTGTGACCGTTGCCATTACTATTATTACTATTTGTATTATTTAAAAATGAAGTTAAATCGGTAGATTGATAAATCGATTGATTTAAATATTCGTCCATCATTTTTGTTCGAGTTTGTCTTACGAGGTCTTTTTTGCCTATGAAAATAAAAAATAATATGGATTAATATTTTCCTTTCCCTCCTCTTACTAATTGGTTATAAATTATGAATGACTAGGGTTACTCCTCCTACTACTACTACTACTACTACTGCTTGCTGCTACCGTTGCTGCTATTATTAGTGATAATTTTTTTTGATTGAATAAAATATCAAATTATCCATCAATATTCACCACACATAAACAGCAAGTGTGTTTGTCTCTCTCTCTCCTCTTTTTGATCACATCTATTTTTTTTTTTATATATAGAGGGTTGTATTTGTTTGTTTCCCCTTCTCAACTCTTCTTCTTCTATCTTAAGGGAGGGTCAAGTTCATCAACAATAGCAGTAGCAGCAGGCAATAGTAATAATCAATCATGTCATGTGATAATTAATGAATTAAAATATATTATATATTATATATATATATATATATGTATACGTTACCTTTTTAATAGATTGTCTGCTGTTTTGTAATGAATCTAGATTTTTTACTTTTAAAAAGATATACACACACACACAAAAGGAGAACGTCGTGTTATTATTACAATCTCTCTCTTTTTTGTTTTGCTACTCCTTGTTGTTGTTGTTGTTTAATTATCTCTTGTTTCTTGATAGATAATAGTAGAAATTAATGTATTGTTATTATTATTGTCGTTATTCATCACTTTTATATCAGTGCTGTTATATTATTATTATTATTATTATTAATTTCTTGACTACCAAGGACACTTGAAAGAAATAGAAATATTTTATATATATATATAAAGAGAGAGAGAGATGGGTAGTCTTTAGTTTAGTCGAATATTTAATATTGAGAGGAGGAGGTTGTCTCTTTCAGTTCGTTCCTGAATTCATTAAGGGGGGTTATAATGAAGTTTGCTGTAACGTAATGTTTGTCTCAGAGAACCCTGTTTTTTTTTTTATTTAATTTAATTTCCCACCTCTGAGCTGAGACTTTGAGACCCTTTGTCCTCCTAATATCGAGTCTTTTTTTTTGTTTTTAATATTTTTGTCCAAATACATATATATTTTTATTAATTAATTTAATTTTTTTAAAAACCGTTAAGGATACTTTGTATGTTTGTTTTTTTTACTTTCTAACAAAAGAAATTCTATCAATATAAACATGACGAGAATTTTCTTGATTTCCTAGACCACTGATCATTACACCTTTGAATCTATCAGCTGTGATGAGTTCACTAGGGAAGAAGAGAACGTGCCAATTATCATCGACCCATTCTTGGCTTGGATATAGCATTGGGAAGGTTTGGCTGGCTTCATTGTTGGAAGAGACAATATTAAAGGCAAGGTTAGAGACTGCTTGACGTTCACCTTGTAGAATAACCTTGAATCCTTTAATATCACGCTTGTTAAAGCACAAGTCACCATTTTGACAGGCCAAGTAATAGTTTACATTGTTTAATGGAGCAATTTCAATTACTTGATGATCCAAAAAACTTGATACCGATGGTCTAAGATACGACGCACTTTTATCAACAAGATTGTAATTTACAACTCCCTCGGTTAAAAGATCAACTTCATTTCCTCTTTCAAAATTAACTTTTCTATTTGTTGGTGCTTGATATTGTTGTTTTGGTGCTTGATATTGTTGTTGTTGTTGAGGAGCTTGATATTGTGGAGTTTGTTGTTTTGGTGCTTGATATTGTTGTTTTGGTGCTTGATATTGTTGTTGTGGAGCTTGATATTGTTGTTGTTGTTGTTGTTGAGGAGCTTGATATCTTTGGGGTTGATAATTATTTCCATTTGCAAATTTGGCATCAATTTCAATATCGGCACAAGTCATGTAATATTCTTGAGCATTGAATTCCCAGAACCATTGTAAAACATATTTACCTGGAGTTGATGGAACATTATAACATGCAGTACAAGTAGCATCATTGGTATTCTTTAAATAATCTGAACAATTTCCAAATCTACTAGTTGCTACTGGATGTGAGAAAAAGGTTTCTTGACTATCATCTTGAGTCTAAAAAGAATATATTAATAAATAGAAATAATTAATATATTAATTTTTGTTGTGTTTAATTAATTTACTTACTTCCATACCAGATCTTTGATTTGATAAATAAATTTTAACTTCACCGGCACGAATTTGGGTAGCATGATTTCTAGCAGGCCACTGAGAACAAATTTGTTGACCTGGATAGAATTGACCCATTGGATAACGTGCATCATATTGATTTTGGATGGGAGAAGTATTAATTCTTTGGAATGGACCACATGCTTGACCCAATTGAGTTGGAGCCGGTTTGGTAAACTTTCCTCTTTGAAAGAGGAATCGATCACCTTGTTGATCTGTCAACTGCCAATTTCTTGGGAATGAAGTACATCGATTTTGATTATAATCAAAATTGACACATTTCATAAAACTATGTCCTTCAATTAATAGGGATTGAAGTAGTAGTAGTATAGTTGTAATTAATAGTATTATTATTATTTTCATTTCTTTCTCTCTCTGTATAACAAAATAACAAAATAAAATGATAAAGATGTTTTGACTCTTCTTGTTATTATTATTATTAATTATCCATTGTTGAAAACAGTGTACTTGCATTTAATCAATCATTCATCTTACCCCCCAACACATTACATTCATCAAACTACAATTTTTTAAAAAATCATTTTTGATCATCCATAGTGATACCAGATACCATTGATTGATGGTATCACAAAAGATAATGAAAAATCATTGTGTGTGGGTGTAAATGTACTAGTGTGGGGTTTATAAGAAGTGTTACATCAATGATGATGATGTTTTATTGTCATATTCATCAATTCATAACTATATCAGTATTTTTACAATGATGTTCATATGTGACACAATTTTCTTAAAATATAAATATGAAACATGCATCGAGAGTTAGAGATACTTTATCCAATAATATTAATAAAACAGCCTGTTAGTTTTCAATGATTGCGGCTATCTTGATCTTTAATGTACCGACTATACGGTCTCACTTTCGCTGTAATCATCGTCGTCTTCATCATATTGTGAAAAACACAATTCAAATCATATGGAGTGAATATCGAACACTCATTGGCATTTATAAGTAGTTGAATTCCATTATATTGTTGTTGTGTTTCCAATATCAATACATTTCTATTGTCAATAGAGTCCTATCTGTGAATTGGAATATTATTTCACTAAATTCAAAACAAGAGATAGGATGTATGAGAGGAGATTATGGTCTCAACAAACAAGAACAATCATCTTCTCTCGAATTGGTCCGAACTGTCATCACCATTCAAACTTTGTACCAAATCCATCAGTAAAAATCCAATGATTATTAAGTCGTTTCTAATCTGTGATTGAACACGAGCACGTGATGTGAGGGTAAATTGTAGTATGTGAAATTCAGGATTGACTGAGTTGAAACTATGAATATGGAACGTAGTTTAAAGATTGAATCTTTCGAGATGGTGATCCCCTCTCCCAGGATTCAACGACGTTCCGCATTTCAAAGTATAACCAATCAGTGAATTCGATACAGTGTTCAACGCCCTCATTCTTGCTGATGATGCCAATTTGCCAAGATCTGATAAAATTTCACACCACTATATTAGAATGATTCACTCAATAAATAAATAAATAAATAAACAAAATAAAGTTTTGGATTTGGAAAATAATATTTATGTATTTATGTATTTATTTATTTTATTTTATTTTATTTGTATGATAATGGCTTATTAATATCTGAATGATCAATCTTTGTCCATTCCCAACCACCTCTACCATCAAATAATAATTGATAATCATGATAGGCACGTAATTGTTGTCTATGTGAAACAGTGACTAGAAAAATAAATAAAAGATTAATAAACCTATTCTTTTTTACTTTTTTTCTATTTTCTTTTCTTTATACATACAAAGAGTAATACCAAGAGTTTTACAAGTTTCATAAATTTTACCTTCAACTTCATCAGAGACGGCAGAAGTACATTCATCGAGGATGGCGTATTGAGGACGATGATAAAAGAGACGAGCCATGGCAATACGTTGCTTTTGACCACCAGAGAGGGCGGTGAACCAGTCCTTGACGTCATCCCAAGCCCATTGACGAATGATGGTGCTGTTTGGATCGACAGTTTGGAGGAGGTGTTGAAGATCTTCGTCGGTGATACCGTTACGAGCCATATCTTCGGCAGAGTGTGGGTAGATGATTTGATCACGCAAAGTACCGAGGACAAGGTATGGCTTTTGTGGCACAAACAAGATATCTTCCTTGCGTGGCTTGATGACGGTACCACAATGCAATGGCCACAACTCTCCGAGGATACGGAAGAGTGATGACTTGCCACTACCGTTTGGACCGGTGATCATAACGTTTTGGTGTGGCTTTACCTCAAAGTTGAGGTCAGTGACGAGGAGCTTACCTTCCGGTGATACAATCGACACGTTTTCAAACTTGATAAACTCTCCTTCAATAAAGTTGCCGCCGCCAGTAACCGATGGCATCGATTGAGATGACGACGATCTCTTGATGGAACGAAGTTGGTCACAACGACGACGCCATTCTTGGAGCCAGGCAGGTTGGTCATTGTCCATGTAAATGTCGGTGGTGGTGGGGGTTGTGACGGCGCTATTGTTTGATGAAATATCGTCCTCGTTGACGATGGTGAATGTGCTGCTACCACGTTCCTTGATACTCTTGATCATCTCTAACAACTCGGATACACGTGATGTGTAACCGGCCATGTTTGTGATCTTGTTGCCCAACAATACCAATTGTCCGATGGCTTGTGCCAATGCAACCATCAATTGAGTATTACGAATATAATCCTTGGTCAATTCAGTTGAATCCTTTCCACTTGTTCCCTTTATTCCTAAATAAATTGGTAATGCCATACATCCATATCCAACAATTGATGCACAATATTTTACTAAAAATCCATCAAATACTAAAAGAGTAAAAAAGAAAAGTAAAAAGAAAAGAAAATTAATAAAATGAAAAGATATATAGAATATATTATATTATAAATATTGTTTCTTACTTCCAACTAAACATTTCAAATAACTAACATAACTTGTATGTTTGAAAATATCACCAAAAGATAAATTAATAATTTCTCTTTCTTTTTTACTACCATCATAGAAAGCAATTTCCTCTGCATTGGTAATTAATCTTTGATGAACTGTACGATAATTTCCTTCCAATTCTGATTGTTTTGCTGTCAACTAAAAGAAAGAGAAAAATAATAAATAATTATAAGTAAAAGGAAAATAAATAAATAATAAATTTCTTATTTGTTTCTACTTACACGACCAAAAGGAGGCATAATAATTCTCTTTAAGAAACCAGAAATAATGAAATAACCAAACATTAACATTGGAGAACCCCAACCCATAACACCAACCAATTTTTGAGTAAACAATATTAAATCCAATACTGGTTTAAATACTGTTGTATAAAGATTACTCATTGAATTACAAAATTGTTCAATATCACTTGTTACTCTTTGATCACTATAAAAAATCAAAAAAAAAAAGAGTTATTAATAAATGAAATGATTGTTTTTTTCTTTTGTTTTCTATTCGCTTACGCATTATCAATTTTGTTTGAACCACCAAGATGAGAAGCTTTATAAAAGTTTACACCTTCAAGATATTCCTTGTGAACATATTCAGAGAGACGTTTTCTAAAACGAAGAGCCAACATATCGGTTTCATACTTTAGAGCAGAGTTTACAAATGAGGCAGGGATGGAAATGACGGCAAATTTGAGGACACCATTACGCATTTCCTTCCATTTTCTGGCGACGAGGTTTTGTGCATTTCTACCAGCAATTTCGGCAATCGATACGGATAGCATGGTACGAGCCAACAATAATGAAGTTAAAAACATTAAACTAAGGAATTCCTTTGATCGAATCGATGGAATAATAATCTTTATAATCTTGCCCAAACGACGAAAGAATACTGCATCTACTGTTACTCTTTTCTTTGATTTATCATTTGATTGAACTTTATTATCAACTATTAATCCTGATTGTTTTTTATCTAAAAAATAGAAAAAAATAAGTAAATGATATATATATATATAGTTGTTTGATTTCTACATACTTTCATTTTGAGTTGAATAAAATTTAAATAGAGAATAAACTCCACCTCCAATTGCACCTAAAAGTAAAACCTTTTTACCTAAGTCATTTTTTGGTGAGATTGAATCAAATAGTTGAACCAACTTTTGTTGTGCTCTTCTAATTGATCTATTTTGAACAATGTCTTGTGTTGTTGTCATTTTTTTGTTTAAACAAAAAAAAAAAAGATAACTAACTACGTTAAAAGAAAGAAAGTTACAACAACAGAAACACAAATTGTAATTACTAAATTTAAATTTGAATTGACTAATATTCACACAAATAGGAAAAAGGTTGATGAACACTAATCACAATTTACAAAGTAGTGTGTGTTGTGTGTTGTGTGTAGTATGTGGTTGTTGAGAAATCGATCACTCTACACAATCCTCTTCTTCTTCTTCTTTGTTGTTACTAATACTAATAACTACTTGAGTTTGAAGGTTTGTTTAATAAAAAAAAAAAAAAAAAGTAGTAGCAGAACTTGAATGTTGCAATGGAAAAAGGAAAAAAATTAAAAAAAAAAAAAACAAACCATCTCATCTGACCGGTTTTGACGTCAGTGCTATCCAAATGCAGTTTGCATGACGAAAGAAAAATGGGCAACCCAGAGAGATAGATATTTTAAAAAAATACATCTTTATTCTTTTTTATTTTTAATTTTAACAAACTTGTTTTTGATGATTAATAAATTCATAATGATTAATTAAACTAATTAAGTTGTTATTATAAGATTTTACTATACAAGCTTTATATTGATAGTAAAAAGTAGATTCCAATTCACAAAGAGTATGTTGAATACAAGTATTGGAAGTACATGGATTAGCGATTGGATATGGACTCGAGGAATAAATACGATTATAATAATCTGTTAGCATTGTATGATTGGTAGAGAAACGAGTGATGACGTCTTGCCAATCTTGAGCAAATAGATTATCCATTTGGTAGACATCGGTTGCATTGTATTCAAGTTTCCAAATTGGTAATGAACTATTTCCTGCTTGATTTGCTTGATCCAAGTCAATATGATAGGTTGATGATTCAACCAAATACGACGAGTCAATATCAACAGTATAAATACGATAAGAAGGATTTTGATTTTGGAATGTGGTTGTGGATGGAGTGATATATACTACACCAGAGGGACGATTAGTAGTATCATTGGTACGATAAACTTCAAATCCATCACGATGAGTGTGACCATAGAATGAAGCGACGATACTGTCTTCATAACGATTAACAATTTGATAGAGTTGTTGAGAGATGACATCAACGCAATCAGAGATACCTGGTGGAATATGACCGATGATATAAACCTTTTGACCGGCATCTTCAGCTGCTTGAAGAGTGTTGACCAACCAAGTAATCATACCTGCAGGGTTTGTACTATCGGCCAAAAGATATAGATTTTGATCATTACACCAATTCATATTTAATGATACCATTCTAGTATTTTGAAGAGGTGGTGGCATCATGACGGTATAGTAACCACCAAAATCCAATGTAGACAATGCATCATCATCTAACCATTCACCCCAATACTGTGTCAATGCACTAAACAACCAATTACTGTTTGGAGGCAATTGCATTGCATTGACTGGAACGGCCTCATGATTTCCAATCGATGGGAAAACTGGTACACCCGGAAAGTATTGTTTGATGAGATTGGTGAGATGATGAGTTGCATTGAGTTGAGTTTCTCTGGTTTGCATCCAAATGTCGTGTGGTACATTATCACCAGTCCATTGGATATAATCGATTGTATGCTCGCTTGCAATGTGTTCCAACATGCTAATCAGAGTTGGCATGTTTACATCACAATGATAGTCTCCCCAATAGCCGGCAGCAGTCGGTCCGCTACCCATACCATTATGAGCACGACAACAAATAGGCTCTCCACAATCATTGTTACTACCAGCCACATACATGGTATCCACATGAAGGTCACTTAGATGAAGTATAGTGGCCGATGGTCCACCCTTTTTAGGTGGTACAGGATCGACATGAGGTGGCTTTGGTTTTGGAAACTCTACCACTCCACTAAAATTCTTTGGTGTAAATGGACAAATCCCTACAAATCCACATAAATATTCTGGTGAATAACTTTTATTCCCTACTATATCAAATGTTTCATTTGAAAATAATGGTAATAATCCTTCACACTAAAAAAGAAAAGGAAAAAAAAGAAAAAAAAGAAATGATTAGATCAAGATGAAAGATTTATATATCTTTTCTATTTCTATAAATTTTATACTTACAACTTCAGGTTTTTCAATTTTAAATAATACACAAGTATCTACAGAATATTTGAGTACATCTTGTTGACCAGTTTCAGTTTGAAGCATTGCTTGAACTGTTTTAACTACTACTAGACATAGGTCACATGTTATTACTCCTTTTACATCTTCAACCAAATTTGTATCTATTTTAATCTTGTTTGCAATTGATATAGATGAATGACTATGAACAATAGTAATAACAAATGTTAAAAATAATATCAATTTTATAATTGATTTCATTTTTTTAGAAAGATATAAATTATGAATAGAGAAGAAGAAGAAGAAGAAGAACTTCTATTGTGTTGTAGAGTGTTGTAATAAAAATATATAAAAAAAAAAAAAGATTTATAATAATTGTTGTTCCGAAACCCCGAACTCTCAAATGTAAATAGAAAATTGGGATATTCAATTTGAGTGTCCCGAGATGATCAAAAGATTAATATCTTCATCTTCATCTTTTGCTTTAAATATAAAAAGAAGAATGAAAGTAATAGTAGTACCAATATTATCAGATAATTATAGTTATTTACTGGTTGATGAAACAACTAATAAAGCAGCAGCCATTGATTGTGCAGAACCAAACAAAGTAGTTGAAGCTGCAAAACAGCACAATGTAGAGATTACAAGTATTCTATCAACTCATCATCATTGGGATCATGCAGGTGGTAACAAACAAATGAAAGAGTTACTCAATAATCATAGTCTACCTGTTATCGGTGGTGATGATCGTATTGAATCAATCACCCAAAAAGTAAATAATAATGAAACAATTAAAGTTGGTGCTTTAAATGTTAAAGTTTTTTCTTCTCCTGCTCATACTACTGGGTAAAGTAAACAAAGAAAGAAAGAAAGAAAAGAAAGAAAGAAAGAAAAGAAAAAAGATAATTTGATCTAATTCTATATCTTTTTTTAAGACATGTATTATATTATGTTGAAGATGAAAAAGAAAGGAATCTATTTACAGGAGATACATTATTTATTGGAGGATGTGGTAGGTTATTTGAAGGTGATCCAACACAAATGTATGATGCATTGTATAGAGTGATTGGTCAATTACCAGAAGATACAAAACTTTGGGTTGGACATGAATATACAGTTAATAATCTATTGTTTGCTAAATCATTGGAACCAGACAACCAAGATATCAATCAAATGTTGGAATGGTCAAAACAACAACGTACCAACAATCTACCAACTATTCCCTCTACCATTGCCAAAGAAAGAACCTTTAATCCATTTATGAGAGTTCATTTAAATGGTATTTTTAATGGTATTGATTATAGTAGTAGTAGTCCTCAACAAATTCTTGGTCAAATTAGAAAATTAAAAGATAATTTTAAAATTTAAAAAAAATGAATAAAATTAAAAAAAAAAAAATGACAATAGGAGAGACGATCATTTTTTTTTATTATTCATTCATAATAATGTCTTTTAATACTCAACCAACAGAGAATGAAAGATTAGAACAAATATCAAAATCAAAATGTCAATATTGGATTATAAATAAACGTAAAAATAGATCATTCTTTTGTAAATTACAATTGTCAAATGATAAAGATAAAGATGATAAAGATCAATCAATCTATTGTAAACATCATCAAAAAGAATTATCAAATAACAATAATGATCAAAAAGAAAAGAAAAAGAAGAAAGAGATAATAATCAATCAACAACAACAACAATATTATAAAGAAAATATAAATGGAAATTTACCAATATTTAATACAATACCATTATCAAACATTTCAACAATTGAATTGAATGAAATTTCTATTAAATTGGATAATATATTTAATCAATTATTTCCAAATGGTATTGAAACCTATATTCATCAACACTCTTCATTTAATCAAATTTCAAAGTATGTAAAAAAAAAGGATCTTTAATCCTTTTTCTTTCTTTTTTTTATTAATTTTTTTATTATTTTTAGAATTGAATCAATATCAAAATTAAAACATTTAAAACAAGAATCTTGTATTTTATCAATTATTGAAAGAGAAGGATTATTAAAAAAGGATTCAATTTTTTTGGAATTTGGTGCTGGTAGTGGTAAATTGGGATATCATGTATTTAGTGCGTTGGAAAAGGAATCTGGTCATATCATGATTGATCGTCAAAAGTTTAAATCATTAAAATCAAAAGATTTGGCAATCAAGAATGAAAAATCTTGTACATACTTTGAAAGATGTTTGATTGATATTAGACATTTTGATTTAAAATCAATTCCCATTTTATCAAACAATACGCAAAATTATACTATTATTAGTAAACATTTATGCGGATGTGCAACAGATTTTACTTTAAAATGTATCTATAATACAAAAAAGGAAAGAGATTTGGATGGATTCAAAGGTATTGCAATTGCTACTTGTTGTCATCATCTTTGTACTTGGGATTCTTATATCAATCAATCATTTATTAAAGATGTTATTGGTTTATCGGAACAAGAATTTAATACTTTGGTATCAATTACTAGTTGGGCTACTTTAAATAAGAAGAAGAAGAAGGAGGAGGAGGAGGAGGAGGAAGAGGAAGAGAAAATGAAAGAAAATATGGAAAATGTGGTGACCACCACCAAGATTGATGGAGTAAATTATGATTTGGTCTTTTCAAAAGAGAGAAAAGAGGAATTGGGTTACAAGGCAAAAAGAATATTGGATCATGGTAGATTATTGTTTATTAGAAATAGTTTGGGTTTGGTAAATAGTCGAGTGCAGATTTATACTGATCTTTCAAAGGAAAATTTGGTTATTAGTGGTCATTAAAAAAAAAATAAAAAGATAGTTTTAAAGAATTTCTCTCAAAATTGTTGTCGTATTGGAATAGCAGTAATTCCTTTTCTTTTAATTATGCCTTGTTGTTCAAAAGATTCAGATCGCCATGCAAGAGTCAAAGGGATAATGATCTATTATTCAAACTATAAATTTGTTGTTTAAAATTTTTTTTGGGGGCGTTTTTTTTAATGAATCTGGACTCTAGTCGTCTGACAACAGAGTAATTATGGTTTATTTGTTTTAATTTTAATTAAAATAGTTAGAGGTTCTGTTAGTATAGGGGCTTGTAATGTGGTCTTTTTTTTTTTTTAAAGTAATTCTTTTCCTGTTCTCTCCTATCGTCGGGCGGTATATTTTTTTTTTTTATATTTTAAATATGTTTGTTGTATTATTGTGTGTTGGTTTGGTTATTGTGTTATTATCATTATATACTATAGTTGTTATTATTGTTACTATCTATCCTATCTATAGTTTAGATGTTGGCATCGTCGATTGGTTGCTTGTCCAAAGCAGCATAGTATTCTTCTCTTTCTCTTTGGATCTTGACCTGGGATGACACCAATATTCTTTAAGATTTGTGTCTTAATGAAACCTGGGAGAAAGAGTGGCATTTCTTATTTCTTTTTAATAATTTAACAGAGTTATCTAATAATACTTCACCAGGCGGTATAAATACCGCAAAATCATTTTTCATCTCATCCAAATAATCGGGCTTGTAGCTCAGATGGTAGAGCGCTCGCTTAGCATGCGAGAGGTAAAGGGATCGATACCCTTCTAGTCCACACTTTTTTTGGCGTGATTCAGATACATTCAGATCTTTTTGTTGTATTCTGGTTCTACTCGTCGTTGGCTATCGAATGAACTAGGTTTGATTGGTTTCCAACAAAACTGGATCACTAAAACATTGATTTTAAAAAATCCGTTCCAGTTTTTTCTTTTTTTTTTGCCTGCTCGTCAGGTCCACAATTTTTTGGCGTGTTTCCGATACATTCAAATCTTTTTGTTGTATTCTGGTTCAACTAGAAGGCGTTGGCTATCGAATGAACTAGGTTTGATGCACGATCACCAGGTCTTTTTACAATTCTTTTCTTTTCTTTTTTTTTAGTTTTTTTTTTTTTATTTTGACCCCCTCATCTTTCGATCATCATTGTTTATTCAACATGCATCACCACAGTTGCCAAGATATCATCCTCCGAGTTTACTTTAACATTATGTCAGCCAATACAACCCCGAGGGTTCTTGATCGGAAGACTATGATAGAATGTTGCAAAAGTTTCAAGATCTCAAGGAGATTATCTCAAGTCAAGAAGGTATCAGGATCAAACAAGAGATAAATGGGTCAGTCCCATCTTCTTTTTGGATATATATGGTCACCACTGCACTCTATCATCAGAGCCAAACACCATTGTCTGCCAAGACTGTCAGGCAACTCAAAAGATTTGGAATCAGTTACAAATCAATCCACTTGATCCAAACTATGAAATGATCAAGAGTGACCTTTTCAAATCAATGTCACCAATGTATCATCCACTTGTCATTGGTAGTACCGAAACTTCAATTCAACCAATTCACATCCCATCAAAGTATGTATAAAAACAAAACAAAAACAAAAATAATTAATATAAACCAATGTTTAATATATATATTTTTTTTTATAGTATTAAATCAAAGTTTAATGTTGCACCAAACACATTTGTCAATTTATATGGCAAGCTTCCTCACCTATTATGTGAAAAAGGTCACCGATTCATCTACCAACCAGAACATGTGATCCAATGTTGTAAAGTGTGTGAACCGGGCAACAAAAGATATGAATCATTGGCTCTAGAGGCAGTACTCATAGCCCCGTATCTACAGATTTTGTTCAGTTTGTAGAACTTGGCCTGTCTAGATGGAGTGACTCCACCTCACGTCTCTACCTCGTGGAAATGGACGAGACCCAATGTATTGTTTTCATGTTGTTCTCATTGCTCGGTTGTGTTGGGGGGTCCAGACGAGGACATCAATATAATAGTCAAGCACTTGCTAATTCGTCAACTTAAAAGCCATACGTATACATTTTCGACATTGGTGTATAGTATTGTCGGTCAAAACAATCTCAATATTGCGTACACCATGATTGATCACCTCGAGACCGACTCTGATGAAAGTTTAAACTTTCAAAGGTCATTGACATCATGAACTACTTTAATGAAATGGCCGAAATAGATGATCAAGAAATGTCTCAAAAGAAAAGATTATCAATAAATTATTAAATTAAAAAACTAAACAATGAATATATAAATTGAATTAATTCAATTCAGACTATCATGATAAATCGTGACCAGTATACATGTTGTTTACCAGCAACAGAGAAATCTCTAGTCTTTCAACCAAGATGTCATCTTCATGGATTTAAATCTTTTTGCTATATTCTGGTTCTACTCTTCGTTGGCTATGAGAGAAACCAGTTTGGCCGATTTCCTACAAAACTGTATCACTAAAAACATTTAAAAATAAATTTATTTTATTTCCTTTTCTGTTTTTTTTTTTGTAATCACCCTTTCTTTTTTTTTTACAAAACCTAGATATGATACAAGTTTTATTGATTCGATGCAAATCCTTACAACAAATACTGGAAACCAAAACCCATATAAAAGCATTATTTCTCAAATTAAACACAAAAAAACAAAAAAAAAAAAGAGATTAAAAGGACACCATTCATATTAATAAACATTATATAAACATGAACAAGACAAACAGTAATAATAATAATTGAAATATCAAAATATTCAGCACATAGACAACAAATATGATAGATCGATGCATTGCTCAACACATAAAGAGATAGAGAACAACAGCTTAAATATACGATATACGATTCGTAACAACACTACAGTTGTAGTTACTACTGCTGCTCAATCATCATCATCTCATTATTATTATCATGGATGACAATTGATTTGGATCGTACAATCAAAAGGAGACAAGAAAGTCAAATCACCATCACCAATGCTATACTTGCACATTGCATCACACACACATACAAGACCTACACAAGAGATGATCAGTTGAAAGAGTTTTGTATCAAGATCAATGGATGGTAAAGGAAATAGTTGTATGTATAGTCAAACTTGATCATTATTATTTTTTCATTGTTGTTGTAAAAAGAGTACAATATATCTAACATTCTAGCTTTCTCACTGTTCTATTATCATATAAAGTTAAAAAAGTTTATTAGTTATCAAATCAAATACTTGGGATCAGTATTTCCAATCATCAAAGATCAACAAGATTATCATTACAATCGTGTGCATTAGAGTAACTCTCCCTCATCCAATCAACTCTTGTTATGAGATTATCTCACTCTTGTCCCGTTGAAAATATATCCATCAACTGTCGAGGCCTCAACCATCAAATCATTGGTTGATTTGACAACACCATTTCTTTATCGATCAGTTTCAATTGGCCAATCAGTGTTGATCTCTCCAGATTACAACTTTGCATATCTCAAAAAAGTTAATCTTCTTCTCTCCAACAGATGTTATTACAAAAGAATATTCAAATCAACACATCACCATCATCATCATCATCATCATCATCATCATCATCATCATCATCATCATCATCATCATCATCATCATCATCATCATCATCATCATTAGACTATTCGATGATACCAAAATCAATAGTGCACAAAATAATTGGAAATTAAGAGAGCGTTGGGTTGCCATTGGACATGATATTTTTGGCGATGAATAACCAACAACAACAACAACAAAATGAAGAATAATTGTCCAATTCCAATCATTTGATTTGAAAAGTAGTAATCGATCTAAATTTCAATTGACACTTATCAACAAAGATATATCATAGTATATTGGTTGTTTTTGTCTCTCTCGGGTAGCTCTACCATCTTTGGTTCTAGATATTGGTCGGCCTCTATGTGTTGAGGGGATTGATTGTTCCATTGTTTACAGTGTCGAACTGCGCAACTCTTCTCTATTGAATTGGTGACACATTGCAAATTGGCTTGGGGCAAGCAAAAACAACAATGCTTTGATCGCAAGTTGATGTCTGAGCGCGGTAGCTTGACTATGGTGCAGCGTGTTGGTGGCCTGGAGGGCGGCATATTGGAAATGTGAATGTTGTTTCCTTTTTTATCTACGATCGTTCAATATGCTTCCTGTAAGTGCCCACGTGCGAGATTGGTCAGCCTCTTTGTTGAGGGGATCAATTGGTCCCTTGTTTACAATATCGGTCTCTCCCTGCATACCGCCCAAAGCCACCTTTTCTGTAATAACGACGCCTTGATAGTATTTCCTTATACTTCTTGAAGAATCTACAGACTGACGAGGTCAACTAGCGCCGATATGACAGCAGTGGGAAAAAAAACGAAAAGCCTCATTTTCGACACATGACTTTATTTCCTCTGTGTGTAGTCAGTAACACTTTAGTCTCTCACACTGAGACCCTTGAAAATGGGAAAAGTTCGACATGTTGCCGTTGAAGTAAATTGGGGCCACACGCCTATAAATAGGCGAAAATCCCCATTTTAGACACATCACTTTCCATCCTCTGTGGTGTAGTCGGTAACACTTTAGTCTCTCACACTGACACCCCGGGTTCGATTCCCGGCAGGGGAGTTCCTTTTTGGCATGGTTCCTTTTTGGCATGGTTCCTTTTTGGCATGGTTCCTTTTTGGCATGGTTCCTTTTTGGCATGGTTCCTTTTTGGCATGGTTCCTTTTTGGCATGGTTCCTTTTTGGCATGGTTCCTTTTTGGCATGGTTCCTTTTTGGCATGGTAGTTGTTTTTTTTCTTGTATCTATTCAAACATACATCATTATATATTTATATAAACAAAACCACTCAACCTAGAAGCAAGAGCACAGCAACTTATTATTCGTTTCACTCATTACAGAGTAGAGACAGCCATGCAATTATTCTAGGGGTTAGAGATCGCTCACTCGCTCTAGCCCCTTCAAAAAGTCGCAGCAACTTAAGTCTGTTCCTCATCAACCATACCACTCATCGAGTACCTGGCTAATGGAGAATGGTCACTCTTTATGGCCCGACAGACCATAATAGCAATGTTGATCCTGAAAGACTGCCACCAGACCTGTCAACATCACGGATTCTATCAAGTTTAATCAAATTTAATCATGGATGCAATTAATCAGCGTAAAGACAACCAACCGAGGCGACCGTAGCGATGAAATCACTTCACTAAAATGGACAAAGGTACCCCCGACTCTACTGTAAATAGCTGGTGACCAAAGGGGCCGTATAGGAATCGGCGTAGGATTCGCTGTAGGCCAAATAACTCTTTGCCACAAAGGTTATCTCATTTCATCATTAAACTAAACAAAATAAAATTTCTAGTGGTGATCCTGGATACCCACCTTAGTAGCAAAAAAAAAAAATTTTTGGCGTGGCCTCTTTTTGGCATGGTTCCTTTTTTGAACAGATTCATGCATGTTTGATCTAAAAACTTACCCATCCTTTTCCAATGGCCCAATGGTCATCACCCCCCAATTATTTTAATTATTTGATATCCAAAATTATATTACCCAAACATCCCTTTTTAAAATTGTAATTAACATCAATTAAAAGAACCAATCATCTATTAATTAACAATTTAATCAACCAAAAAGGATTATTGGTTACATTAAATATCTTTCAAGATACTACTTTAAGTTCAAAGCATACCAAATCAAAATGACACTGATTAGGCAGAAAACAAAAAATCGTAACTTTACACAATACAAACAAAAAGAGATAATATAATACAATAATTGTATAAAATTTAAGGTTCAAATTTTCGATTTGGATATATTTTTAGATCACAGCACCTATAAATTGAAAAAAATAAAAGGATAATTTTATTAATATTAATTTAAAACATGAATTATTTGTCACTCCAACACTTTGATAAAAAATCCGGATTGTAACTACTATATAACTATGTGATATCTATATAAAGGTCCCAAAATAAATATTTGGACACCCACCTCTAAAAAATCTTTAGTTGTACTTTTTAAAGAATTTATTATTTTAAAAAATCTATTTTAATGTGGGGAGATATATACAAGAGTCTAGTACCTAATTGCAAAGAATTGGAAAATTGGATCAAAAAATAAAAATAAAAAAAAATATTATTTGTACCTTGGTGGGTCCAAATATTTAGTTGATGATCAAAAAAAATTGATAAAGTAGGAGGGGTTAGGATGGATCTAGTACTTTGTGTAACCCCCTTTGGCCTTGATGACTGCACTAATTCTATCTGGAAGCGATTCGTAGTACGACTGAATGGTGGATGGAATGTTGTACCAAATTTTGTGTATGGCTTCGAACAAATCTTGCTTTGGATTATCATAGAGTGAAAGTGCTACACGGTCTTTTGTGTAGTTCCACAAGTTCTCTATAATATTGAGATCTGGTGAATATGGAGGCAAACTAACAAAATCCAAGTCGTGATCTTCGATGTATTCTTGAGTCACTTTAGCAGTATGACATGAACAATTGTCATGTATGAAATAACAATCCTCTTTCTCGAGGCCATAATCATCCAAGGTATCTATGAGATCATGCTCTAGTATCTTGCAGTATAGGTCCGAGTCCAAGCCATGATCAAGTTTTGAAATATATCCCGGTCCATCCCAAAATATACAGGACCAAACCTGACACTGTGCACCACCCCCAGGATATTTTTCTTGAACCCTGTCCTTTTCAAGATTTGATGTACTCGCACTCCAAGTATATCTGTTGTGGTTGTTGTCGTATTGTTGGAATTTTGATTCATCTAAAAATCCACACCTGGCCCAATCATCGACTGTCCATCCAATATGTTTTGTTGCATAGGCTAGACGTTTTTTCTTTGTAGATTTTGATAATGGAGTTTTCTCTTTTTTCTTTATATATACAATACCTTCCTCTTTCAAAATAGAAGATATCCGCGTCAATGAAATGGTTCCATCATGATTATTGTTGAACCATTTTTTCAAGTTTCCCAGTGATCTCTCGTGACCACCCAAGATTCTTCTTCTGATGGAACGTCTGGTTCTGTCATCAACTTCTTCGGTCTACCAGATCTGTGTCTATCCTCTAGAGAATGAGTTTCCTCAAGTCGATTGATTGTGTTGGCTACTGTTGTTGGAGATATTTTAAGAATATGTGCAATTGATCGATTGCTCTCTTTGAGACTGTGTCTCACTCTAATCTCTTCTCTTATTGTGTTGGTAAGTTTCATAACTTGTACTACTTCTGAAATATATATACTACATCTGTTGACAGTATATCTTTATAGTAAAAAAGTTTGAATGAATTATCTTCAAAAAAATATTTGGACACCACCCCCTGAGTTTTCAAATAAATAAAAAATCTAAAAATATTCTAATTATATCCAAAGTTGATAAGCACCAAAATAAGGTTGAGCGCCAGATCAAATCAATTCAATTATAAAATAAATAAAATATTTTATTGTATCTCTAAAAAAATAGGGGTGTCCAAATATTTATTTTGGGATTTATTGAATATGTTTGGGTTTAAATACTCGTTTACTAAACTATGCTCTATCTTGTCGAGGGCCCTACGATATAGATAGTAATAGGATAGTAATAATCAAGATCTTATATAAACTATGGTTAGTCTTATAGATTGTATAGTGTTATATAAAATGTAATAACCTTTATTATTTAGTTACCTTATATAAACTATGGTTAGTCTTATAGATTGTATAGTGTTATATAAAATGTAATAATAATGAATGATGAGAGCTGTTGCTCGTTTGTAGGTGCGTGAGAATTGGGATTTTGTAAAAAAGGTCCATTCTCATTACACTCGGATCATCGTGAGTGTAATATTGTGTATGGTGTATATAATATCTACTGCTAATAATGACAATGATGATAAACAAGATAACTAGATAACTGACAAGATACAATAAACTAGACTGAACAAGACTCTACACGATAGATATACAATTATAACTAGCTACACGAATTGGGGAAACAAGAATGATCCACCAAGCTCGTCGCGACTTCTATTTATTTGTGTTTTTCATATTTTATGTATTTTCGGAATGCAGGGTGAACCTTGTTCTCTGACACTCTCGCAGTGACACCAAAGGCATGCAGCGTACCACGCCTTCCTTCATTCCTTCTTATATTATTATCTACTTTAAAGTCCTTCCCCGAAGCTGGAGTATTGGCTAGCGAGGGAGAGTGAGCCTTGGCCGTGATGGATGGGGCAGGAGAAGGTGGTTTAGCAGTGGCGGAAGGAGAGACTGGTTTTTGGAGAATTCTCCGGAGCAGGATGGATGGTGGCAATGGTTTGGAAAGAACGGGGTTGGGTGTGGCGTCTGGAGCCTCGGTGATGACTGGAGATTGTGTAGTATTGAATACAGAGGGAACAAGGTTAACCGTGACGTTGGAGTCGGAAGAGTCGACGTGACCATTCGGTGTAGAGTTAAGGTTTAAAGTGGTGTCGTTTGAAAGTATGTCGGTTGTAGAGTCGTCGGTTGGACTCTTCTTGTTGGTGCTGTTGTGCATCGCATGCTCAGGGTTTAGCTGTTCAAACTCGTCGAGTATGTGTGTCGGTATTTGATCTCTAGTAGACCAGCGGTTGTTGTAGTTGTCGAGACCGGTCCACTTTACGAGATATTGTGGTTTGTTGTAATGCAACCTGAAATCGACAATGGCCTCTATGAGATGTT